AAGTCTGAGCATCGGAAATGGGTACTTACTTTATGGACTTCTGGATGGGGGTCAGGCGGAAGGTGGGTGGAGGCGTTGAGGGGGGTGTGTGGAGGAGCGGGATGCGGAGCGCGTTTTGGCACTCTGGGTCGAGGTGGATGCGTACGAGGAGGAGGTTGGTGAGGACGCCACGGAGGGTGTTGTATTCTTTTTTATATCGCACGTTAGCGCGTCCGTGATGGGGGGCTTGGGATACGGGACGTACGGATGAGCGTGATGAGGTAGTGGTCTGGCGTGAGGGGGAAGAGAGAGGGGTGGAACGGGGGATAGGCCTCTTTGTCTGTGGTGAAGCTAATGTCTTTGCCGGAGGCGTCGAGGTAGGGTATTATGGGGGTGAAGAGCATGGGTTTGTGCCTATATGACGGAAGTGCAGTGTCAGTCGTATTAGGACGGCGGGGTTAGATATAAAGACACCATGTCTAAAATATAGCGGCTTCGTATCTGGAGGTCAACGTACGGTTCGGCGCATGTAGGCCAGGGAAGCGAGGGCTTGTTAAGGTTATAGTGGAGCAAAGAGAGGAAGGGAGGGGTAGCGTAGACGCCGCTACGCATAAGATCTTGGATTGAGTTTGTGAAAGATGTGGGGGTTGAATCCTTGGGTGGAGGGGGAAGAAAGGCTGCGGATGCTCGGATGAATGCGTCGGTGAGGGATTGGGGTTCATTGGATGGGTGTGGGTCTGGAGGATGGTGGGTAGCCTCTTGGGCTTTGCGTCGTCCTGTGGATGTGAGTTACGGCAAGGTACTGTGGGCAAGATTGTACCAACTCCATGCTCTTTGATGTAATCTATTCTGCAACTTCCTCCTCTCTTTTGCTGATGCCTTGCCCGTCCAATCTTCGTTCGCGTCTTGGGCCTGGTCATCATGAGCCTACCTCCAAAACTGACGATATCAAAGCGATTTGGGGGCCTAAAATACATGGCAGAGCTGCTTCTTTTCTCCTAGCGAGATGAAAGTATCGTTCCTCCGCGACATGCTGCGATCGCCTTCCAGTGGACAGGTCCGATGGACGAATACAAGCACGTAGAAGAATTGCTCCGAGAGATGAGGAAGCGGAACTATCTCCAGGAGTGCAGTGGCTTTTGTATGCAGGCTGCTTACTGAAATTAGGCTCCTTTAGGAGTAGCCGGAAGGATGTCTTGCATCGCGACGGCACGGTTCAGATGCAGGTTGCTTATGCGCTAGTCCCTCTTTTGGCTTAGATTACATCCGTAGCTCGGCCTGACCAATCGGAGATTCGCACGGGTGCAACAAAGCCTCGTCCAGGGCACAGCAAGATGCAAATCTGCAACACTGCAAGCTCCGATATCACCATGTATGTGCAGGCAAACGAATATTCGGCCGACCGGTTGGTCCGCTGAGTGACGCTTTGATACTGAGAGACTGGGTATATAGGACGGTTGGACCTGCAGGTGGAAGTGCATCACAATATACTCGTTACAACACCAGATCTGTCCAGCCTAGCTAGAAGTAAAGATGAAGAACATTCAAGCACGCGCTGATTTCGATCCGGTGAAGGAGGTTCCTTCTCTCGAAGGCAAAGTGCTTTTCATCACGGGCGGTACGTGGAATAGTTTGTTCAGTTGAGGGCAGCTACTAATCTAATGCCAGGCACCGCGGGCATAGGAGCTGAGACTGCTCGTACACTGGCGCCTCATGGGCCCTCGCACATATACATCACAGGCCGCAACCGAAAAGCCGCAGATACGCTTATTGGAGATATCCAGAAGAGCTATGCTTCGGTCGGCATGACGTTCATTGAAGTGGACTTCACTTCATTATCGTCCGTGAAAGATAATGTTCAGAAAGGTTTCAAGCATGAGAGGTTAGATGTCTTGATGTGCACTGCAGGTATCATGGCCAGCCCGCCGGTACTTAGCAAAGATGGCTATGGTAAGCTCTACACCTTATTCAATTGGCTCGCCTTCCACAGTGAAGTCTGGAATGCCATCAAGAAACACCTACTGATCATGAGACCCCAGAGATCCAATTCGCAACAAATCACCTCGCACACGCCATGCTCATCGACGTCCTTCTTCCCACGCTCCTCCGCACGGCCCGCACCCCCGCCTCTGATGTTCGCATCCTCAGCACCACATCTATGGGCTACGGCTTCCACCCGGGCAACGGCATCTCCTTCGCCGAGCTCGACTCGCGCAGCTCCATGCCGCGCTTCATGCTCGGCGGCTGGGTCCGCTACGGGCATTCCAAACTCGCCAACATCCTGTACCCAGCAGAGCTCGCCCGACGCTATCCAGAGATCACGTCGTTATCGATCCACCCGGGCGTCGTCGCGACGGACCTGATGTACAAGCAGGACTGGCAGACGCGATGGTTCATCCACATCACGTGCTGGCTGCAGGGACTAAAGTACTTGACGCCGCATCAGGGGTGCTGGAACCAGGTGTACTGTGCGGCGGTGGCGAAGAAGGAAGAGCTGGTTAATGGGGGGTTCTACTATCCTGTTGGACTGCATGCACCAGATAAGCTGGATAAGGCCGCGACGGATGCAAATTTGGCGGGGCGGCTGTGGGAGTGGACGCAGGGTGTGTTGCAGAAGTTTTGAATTAGAAGTTAGCGGCTTGAGTGTTGAGGGGGGTAATCGACATGGAGTACTTGGTGAAGTCGCGGGTAGCAATCAGGCAGTATTTACTTAGTGTATGATAAGCCATGATTGGCATGCTTGATAAGAGATGAAGTGGTGATTGGGTACCTACACACTGTTCTCTTACTTCAATTTCCACGCCAGACACTGTCAGCTTGGTCTCTCACCTGGCTCCGTGATCGCTACCTAGGTGTATGAATTCCAATCACCCATGAACACTCCATCGAAACATCAAGAACACACGGCCCAGTGGTAAGGCGCCCCAACCCTAAGGCATTTCCGTGCGGCGCATGCCCACGATTCATACAATTTCTTAAATCAAGTATCATTCTCGGGGCTACGTTGAGAATGAGAGCGAGATTTGAGAGAGCGTTGCAGATTGTGAGAGCCAGAGGATCGGGGGAGGCGTTGGTTCAAATCCAACTGCGTCTATCTCTATACAATTTCTGTTGAGAGTTGTGGAGTCATGTGTATTTTTTAGCCACAGGTAGGATAGTGAGGACGGACACAGCACTGAGCTTTCAAGATAAGAAGATTGAATAATCAACTGATGAATCAGTCATGCAGATTGTTGGGATTTTACGAGGTGTCTTTTCCATAAGAGGGGAGATATGCAGGCAGTTCAAACACTTCGCACGCTTCCTTACGTGCCTCGGACAGCACGCGCGCATGGTCGAGTACGGTCCCTTTCCCTTTGGGTGCGATGCATTCGATAGCCCTGCGCGAGTTTCTATCCTCGATTAGACTCCGTATATAAGGATGAAAGCCTTCGATTTCTATTTACCACGCGAATTTTTGTTATCGGACGGTTGCCCATCTTTTCTACAGATCTGCTGGATGCCACCGTGTGGTCAGTACCAATGATAAGGAATCTCATGCAAGGATGTTGCTCCGTACAATACGTGGAAACAGTGATGCGCTTCTGGGGAAGCCGAGGCCGTGGAGACAATCGGGACAGTGCTGGAACGTCGTAGGCTGACAAGCTGGTAAGCGACAGTCCCAAGAAAGACGGAACCTTCACCCTCAATGCCAGAAGCCTGCTATGTTCGATGGCGTGTCCACTCAAACGCCACTTCTGTATCACTGCGCCTAGACGCAGACCCACTCCGAAGTGCGCCGTCCCCGTCAATGCAGGTGATGCTGTGACTTCACGACCCATCGCAGCCTCGCCCGGGATGTGTACGCCGAAACCTGAGGTCACACAGGCATCCTCCGCATCGACACAGTTGGTGCCCACGGCACTTGCCCCGATTGAAGTAACGCTCGAATCATGCAAGTTTCACGCACAAGTCATCCTACGCTAGCGTCGCGTTCCCCGCGCGCGATCCCCCGCGTCCCTCGTTTTGCCCCGATTCTTTTCGGCGCCTCTGCGGCGCCCAGAACTCGGTGGCCGCTCCGCGCCTACATATAGAGAAGACACAAGCCATTGGCGCCGCGGTCGTGGCTTGCCAACCAGCTTATTGCCCCCTCCTCGCGCCTGCAACGAAGCGCGCCGCGCGACCAACCAAGACATGACTGAGCGGGGAAGCTCTCGAGCGGTGAAGCGTGCCGAGTGGAAGCATCGTCTCGAGGTGAGGTTTAGAAGCTTGACGGGTGTGGCGTCGGGCTGAACGAAGTCCTCATCCGATGGCTTGAGATTCCCGGCCGCGTTTGTCGGAAGTTCTCGCACAGCAGCATGGAGGTACAGAACAACGTTGAAGTCGAGCATCATCGCCTTATTCCAAAGTAAATGGATGGAATGAGGACCCGCCGTGTGAGTGGATCAATTGCGCGCGGTCTTGCACTTTCAACACCATCAGATACAACTGTATCACGAGGCCTTACCCCGGACTCCACAAAACTCCACCCAAAGCCCCATCTTGTGCGTATCTATAACGGTCAAAACAAATAACTCACCACTTGCACCACAAACCGTTTTGCTCCGAATCCAAGACGCGCCTAAGCTACCCGGGATGAGGCTCAGCCGGTCGGGGTCGTGAACGTACGGGTCTTAGGCCTTCTTGGATCGCTTCTTGGTATGTGACCAGCTCCTAGTCAGCCAATAATGCGACCAAGTTGTCATCCTTTCCCTACGCACTCAGGCTGAGCTTTGACGTTTTCGGGATGCCACCTTTTCTGGGATAAAGGAATGTAGGGCGAGAATGATATATAAACGATGGGTATCTGCGCCCGGGGCATACGCTCCACAGCTGCCTCCGCGTGGTTGCTCAACTCTATATTCATTCGCAAATCTTTCGAGAAGAAGCGTTCAAAATGGCCACCACTACTACGGCTGAGAAAAATGAAGTCCTCATGCTGGAACAGCAGCAGACGAACGAACCCGACTATGTGAAGCCTGTGCCTATCGTCGATAAGCAAGATCAGTTTGGTGCCCACGAGAAGACCGACCCTCGTGAGATTGCATTGGTAAAAAAGTTGGACAGATGGATCATGCCTATGCTGTGGTCCATGTACTGGTTGAACTATCTGGACAGGTATGTACAACACCAAACCATCTCTAGCGTGACTGGGCCATGTAAGCTGACACAACTATCTTTACAGAAACGCGATTGCCCTCGCTAGGATCAACGATCTCGAGGAGGACCTCAACCTCACCAGTGCCCAGTACCAGACTTGCGTGTCTATCCTCTTTGTCGGCTATCTACTCGGTCAGATCCCGTCGAACATGTTCTTGACGAGAACCCGCCCCAGTATGTTTACCACCTATCATCTCATGGTGTTTGGCGTGAAGTCGACCCAATACATAGCTCGCAGCCATGAACTGACAAAAACCCAGGTCGATACATGGGAACCGCTATGATGCTTTGGGCCATCGTCAGCGGTCTGACAGCTGTGTCTAAGAACTTCACTGGCTTGCTCCTTACCCGTTTTTTCCTAGGCCTGACAGAAGCACCTTACTATCCCGGTGCAGTCTACCTACTGTCTATCTTCTATACGCGCAAGGAAGTTGCCACGCGCATTGCTATCCTATACACGGGCAACATCCTCGCAACCGCTTTCGCAGGCCTCATTGCTGCGGGCATCTTCCACGGCATGGATGATGTCGCCGGCCTTTCCGGCTGGAGATGGCTGTTCATCCTCCAGGGAGCCGTTACCTTTGTCATCGCCATCGTGGGCTTCTTCCTTCTGCCCGACTTCCCGCACGACACAAAGTGGCTGACACCGGAGGAGCGCCTGCTGGCCACCAACCGCATGGAGCTCGACACTGTTGGCAACGAGGGTGAGACCTCTACCCGCAAAGGTTTCATGCAGGCTGCGAAGGATCCGATGGTGTGGATTTTTGCGTTCATGGCACACATGCAGTACGTACTTATTGCACTTCAAATTTATACGCACAGCACATTACTGACTTTTCTCAGCCTGGCCGCCAACGGCTTCAAGAACTTCTTCCCCACCGTGGTAGAGACCCTAGGTTTCGAGGAGACCATAACCCTCGTCCTCACATGCCCGCCCTATCTCATCGCCGGCGCCGTTACAATCGCTGTCTCGTGGAGTAGTGGTAAGTTCAACGAGCGCACATGGCACATTACGATCTCGAAGGCCGTAGCCACGATTGGTTTCGTGTCTGCGTGTGCAACTATGGATGTGGCTGGCCGCTATGTTTCCATGGTAATCTTTACCATCGGCACGTACGGCGTCAATTCGCTCATTCTTGGGTGGTGCGGAAGTACCTGTGGTCAAACGAAGGAGAAGAAGGCAGTCGCAATCGGCATTGTGACAACGATCATGAACGCGTCGTTCATCTGGTAGGTGCTTCCTGGTCGCTTTCTATCAAGCGAATGTTTCGGCTAACGTACGAGCTAGGACGCCGTACTTGTGGCCCAAGACTGACGAGCCGCGATATGCTATTGCGCTTGGCTCGTCTGCTGGTTTCTCCGTCGCTACTGCTGTACTTGCGTGGGTAGCAAAGATTATTATGAAGAGGAGGAACAAAGCGCTGAGGGAGATGAACGACGAGAGTGGGAACTTTTACGTCTACTAGACGTGATAAGCGATGCTTGAGCTGGAAAGGATGATGCACGAAGTGTAAAATGATGTGATTCGACACCAGTTTGTGGCGTGTTGCTAGCGTTGACTTGTAGACAAATATGATTAGCGACGGGATCCGCAAGACGCAATGCACGATGTGTTTGGTCTCAATATCAAAGTCAGCTAGCGACGCCAATACAGCTGCACTCATTTTATCAACTGTCATTCTATACTACCCGTTGTCGTAAGTTAGCAGTCGTCATTATCCGGAAGTACACAGTGTCCTGATCAGCACTGCTCACTGGCTTGGTCAAGGCTCGTCCTATTTTCCTGCACATGCAGGTCATGACTGGCCTCCTTCGCTGCTTTCCGTCCTTCCGCGACCTTTTTCAAGTTGTAGTGCTCAAACCCAAATGTAGCCAGGAGCCCGACACAGGCAGCACTCAGCGCATATATGAAGACATGTTGCACAGCATTCGCATAAGCCTCGCGTAGCAGAAGTAGCGCTTTCGGTGTGGGCGCGATAAGTGGAAGATTTGATGCACCCGCCGAAATCACTACGGCTGGTGGGATCTCCGGCGTTTTCATCTTGATCTCTGCAGTAAGTCGGTTGACGAACAGTGTCTGCGAAATGCTTAAGCTCAAGGCGCTGGAATTTTGTTAGTCGGTGATTGCTACTAGGGTCAAAACTTACGCCCCGAGCTGAAAAGCAAACTGCAAAATGGCTGTGGCTTTTCAGTGTTGGTTCTTGTCGCGGTTCTGAAGCTTAGTCTTACCATTTGCGACAGGCATGTTATGCTCCCTGGAAAAAGTCAGATATGAACGTCTGAGAGTGTGAGATTAGATGTTACGTACGTCATGATTGCTTGAATTGCTGTGTATGGGTGATTTATCGACATTCCAGTACCGAAGCCACATACGACTAAGAAACCCGCCCACTTGGCGGTACTCGTCCCGACGTCGAGGGTCATTACAAGACCAGACCCAACAATGCTGATTGCGGTGCCGAAAATCATGTAGGGTACCTGTGAAATACAGTCAGGAACCAATAGTGCCATGACCTCAATACCATCGTACATAGTACCCAAACACTGTCGCTAGGGCACCTGTGGCGACAGTAAGCCCGATCTGTGGCAGAGCGAAGGCCAGAAAGTTAACGCCGCTCGCTAGAGGCGACATTCCCTGGATAGATTGAAAATATATCGGAACGTAGTAAGTGTACTGAGCACGTTAAGATACTTCTTCCCTAGGGGAGTTCGGCGCACTCACAGCGGTCATTGGCATACCCATGAAGAAGAGGAACAAGACACCTGAGAGCAGTGATCTCTGCTTAATTATGGACAAAGGAAGCGTGCCGTCGTTCCCTAGCTTCCACTGCACTATGAAGAATGCCACGAAGAGTAAACCTGAAGCCACACAAAGACCTATGACCTTTGCGGACTTCCAAGGCAAGGTTTGACCGCCCCATTGTAGTGCAAGAAGAAGACAGCATATTGCAGCGATAACCAAAATCGCTCCGCATGGATCTAGGCTCGTCAAAAGTTGCTTAGGATTGGACGCAGCTTGTGGGCTTCTCCGTGTGCTGTCTTTCTTGATATTCAAGAAAACGAAGATGAGGAAAAGAACGACAAACCCAATTGGAACGTTACTATCACCAGGTCAACGGTCTGATTGAGCGGCGGGTTGGACTCAGCTGACTACTTACATCCAAAAACACCACCGCCAGCTAATGCTGCCGGTGAAAGTCCCCCCTAGAACGGGTCCTATCCCCGCGCAGATACCAAATACACTTATCACAATGCCCATGTATAGGGGCCGCCGCTCTAGCGAAACCGAGTTTGTGATAATGATCAAGGCGCCTTGGAGGAGCCCGGCCGCACCCATGCCTGCAATAGCTCGGCCTGCAATGAACACGGCAGATGATGGTGCGGCTGCACAAAGTATGGAACCCACTGCCTTGGTAAGCTGGATGCCGTAGTACTGTAAGGTGATCCACACCTTCGAATATTATGATACACAACATATATAGACTCTTGATATCGAGTGACATGTATAGCTTTCCGAAGCTAGGTTGTAGCGCAGTCACTGTAAGAAGATAGCCACTCCCATACCAAGCCAGATCTTCCAAGGTCTGGAAAGATGAAGTTATGGCTGGAATGGCGGTTCCTATGATGGTAGTGTCTAATGCGATCAAGAGCGTTCCAAAGAACAGCGAAATGATCACGATTGGAGAGCTCCATCGCTCGCGCAAAGAATTCCCGTAAGTTCTTGTGATTTTGAGGGGCAGATGTTGAGGATCTTGCTGCTGAAAGGCTGTCGCTTCTTTGCCTGGGAAGCTGTGATCTGTTAGGTATTTGGCGTTCTATGGAGAGGGACGAAGTATCACCTTTCCGTAACTTCATCTCGAGTAGTCATTCTGAAAACGATCCGAATGAAGTTGAATTGACTGTAGTTGAAGAGCTAGAGGTTTCTTCCCCTGAGCGGAGGATTGGCAGAGACACGAAGATAACGAACACAGACGAAGATAGTACCAGAAAGTCCTCAAGGGAGGGTATCTCACGAGTTGGAGCAGGTCCTCTTGGTGCGTACAGTTTTTTCCAGCCGAATCTTCTTGGCTGGGTGCGGCGTAGCCTGACTTGCATGTAATTTAGAATGGTTTCTAGCGTACGAGGTAGTACGCCCGCAGAATCGCACAGACTCTTTTCGTAGTACACGACAAATCTCCGTCAACAGGATCAAGGCTTGTGAGCTTTGTTGATGGGACGAATAGGCAGCAGGCGTCTGATAGTGATGCAGCTTATCTGCATATATCCTTGCCACACCCAGAGTATCCTTGGGGTCCCATGCCGGTAAAATCGCCATACCGCGTGGGTGGCTCAAAGCGGATGGTCGTACATTGATATTCACCAATAATCGTTTCGATGGAGTGTATGATAGCAGCAATCGGAACCCGAAGTCTCGTCTATTTTGAGATCCACATGAGCATCTACGCCGATCTCTGCGGACTCTAATGAAATTTCTTGCTAGGTGCGAAGCTGGGGCTTAAGGATCACATTAGCGCGTATTACGTATCCCGAGACATCGATACATAGCAAGTCATTCAAACCATGCCCACAGATATAGTTTTGTCATTGTAGACGCTTGGCGCAGTCAATCGAACTGACACCCGTTGAATTCTCAGAGCATTATTCAAACGAGGAGAGCTCGAAAGCGAGCTTGAAATCGCCAAGAATCGGTCACTGTCTTTACACTGCCTTAGAAGGTCTCACCCTTACGATCAAATCCTCTCCCTTCGAGGGCACTTGTATGCCACCCGATGGGAGTGTATCGTCCATTTTTGGGAAATGAGACCTGTTCCCTGGACCTTCGCCTTCCAACAAAGTGATCTCGAATCTCATGAGCATGACTGCTGTGAACATCTGCACTTCTCTCCTCGCAATGTATCGTCCGGGACAATAGTGCGCCGCACCACCAAAAGGTCGATAACTCTTGTGGGTGACTAGTGTCTTCTTCATTATGAAGCGCTTTGGATTGAAGGCAGTAGCATCAGCCCCGAAGACAGCAGGGTCGAAGTGCATGGCTCGGTATGGCATGAGCAGCTTTCTACCTTGTCGTAACTTTTTGCCTCCGATGATGGTGTCGGTTTGCACTGTGCGCGTGCCGATCGGCCAGTTGGTCAGACGAAGAACCTCCTCACAGATTGACGCGAGTAGAGGGCATGAATCGAACAGAAAGCTCAGATCGGGCGTAGAGTGATTTCCATCCCGGAACGCAGGTTCAATTTCGACCTTCAGCTCCTCCATAAGCTGCGGATGAAAGAGCAGGTATGATATGATCCAGAAGACCAATTTGTATGCATTGGCGTTCATGCTAATGAAATCATGAGCCATGAAAGTAGCCAAGAATGGAGCGGGGGACTTACACTCGGTAGAACGAGAACAACACATAAACTTTCTGATCCTCCTCGAGGCCAAGTTTATCCATATCCTTGCAAAGTATATCGATCAACCATGAATCATTAGGCCTTTCATCCCTGGAAAGTTTCAAATACCGTCTCAGTCCACTCTCAATGTTGATCTTGGAAGAGCGAAGCGCTTTGGTAGCGAAATCAGGTAGGTCCATTGGAAGCTTCCAAGCTTCGTCTTCGTATATCTGGAACTGGGCTAAGAGATCAGGGCACTCCTTGTACAGCGCGTCGTCGAAGAAGGCTCGCGTCTGCGCGTCAACAATGACCACCTCGCTCCAATTATAGAGTGAGACCACTCTCTCATTGCCGCCATCCTCGAGTACCATGCGACCGTGGAGTCGTCCCCAAACCAACGAATGGTCAATAAAGCCCAATAGTCGCGTTTGAACATGGTCGAGTTTCTCACCTGGATGCATCTGCGTTTTGAAGTTCTCGATCATTGTTTCCATCCAATTTTTCGTTTGGCCGGGGAGCGTGTCAAACATCTTCGACGCGGTCTCGGCAGTGATGCCGTACTTTGACAGCATTTCCTTGATAAACGGGTCGAAATCAAGGGTTTTAGGTGCTCTGTACACAGCCAAGACATCCTCAGCGGAGGGTATGACGTATAGTGACTCGCCCATTATCGTGACGGCCCAAGGGTCATTACCGAAGCGTTTTCTGAGAGTGTTGTTGGCATATAGGCTCAGATCAAGGAGGCTGATCCCTTACCTCCCGTCTAAGAACATGTTATGAGCGCCCGTGACCATGGACAATGTGTGACCGAAAACTACGCAAATGTCAGTGGCGAGGCCTGAGAGCAGCTGACGGATCTTACACGGAATCAAATATGGCAATTCCTTTGGCTCATCGCGATACAGCAGAGGAGAAATGAAGAATTTCCACGTGTACCAACCGAGCCAGCCTGCTGCAACAGCACCAAAGATTTGAGCACTGTGGTTCGTGCTGTCACCTACAAGCATGCCCATTATGGCCATTGGTTTGGCGCCCCCGATCGACTGTGCAGACTTGAGTTTAGGGAGAGGGGCTGCAGTAATAGTCGCGATTCCCAGCGAGGAGGGAGAAAGTTGGGGGAACAGTCTGCCATGCTATGATGCAGGTAAATTGCGGCACAGCCGGTGGCACAGGCTGACCGGTAAGACACATAATCCACCAAATTAAAACGCAGGCAGCCTTGCAGGAAACCCTGCAAGCTATGCTGACATCATGCAATTCATTTTCCCCGCCGCACCACGACACCGAAGGAGTGGTAGTTGCACGGCAGGATCAATACAATTGATCCCTGCAACGCACCGCAACGGCGCGGGAGGACCCGTCTCATTTACGCCCGATTTGATTGAAAAATACATGCACGACGTTCGGTTATGGAAATGATGAGGCGCAATCCTCGCAAAGGATTGCACTGAATACAATGTACTCGTCGCAGCATAGCCTGCTTGAGCACTTATCGAGACACACCAAGCCACGGCGCCACTTGGCATTTTGCATACACTAGCGCAACGGTAGCCTAGTCGCCCCCATTTCGTATGCTTCTCCATCGCCGCCCGCTGCGTACCCTACCACGGCCTAATGTACCCAGTTCGCTATCCACTATCAGCGATGGTGTTGTCTTGGCGTTCAGAGCTGTGTAAAGCTTACCCGGAATGCCTGGGGACAGCCGTGTGTTTGCCGCCGCTCTGAAAGCTGATGCGCACGCAGATGCCCAGCTCACGACGCGAATCAACACAAAAATGCAACCAATGCCCACAATGATAGCTGTAATTTCGGCCCGGTTGCAGTGTGATAAGAGTGTGTGCGCTCGCAGTGTGGTAAATGAGGAAGAAGGTTCCATTGTAGTCCTTTGCTGGAAAGTTCTGCACGCGAGAAACAAGGTAGAAGAAAGATGTCGAAAGCTCTGTTCGGCCCTGGAGAATATTCAAAGTATACTCGAATCCTACCGATTCTGAGCGCGGATTACTTGCTTTCAGTAAAGTCCTTATAAGCTGCAGATTTTGGCCCCGAGGATGAGTCTGGTGATCAGTTGACAGCGACGCGCCTGGGCATGGTCTAACCCTTTACGACTGCAAGGAAGCGGCAGTCACTGATAATTCACCGGAATTTCGAAACAAGAGCGCTGAGACATGCGTCGGGAATCAACTCACCTATCAATGGAAGGGTCCGTAATGGTGCATACACCCCCAGGAGAATCGAACCAGCAGAGTTGTCTATTATGTGATGCAGGCAAGATCAGCATAGCCGTGCCACGGAAAAGGCCAGGCAGCTTCGCCTCTTGGGGGCTGCACTTGATGTGATCGTTGCCATTGCACATATGTTGGTTTGACTCGAGAGTGATCTAGGGGTCCGAAAGGACTTGATATCTTGAGGTCATAGTCCATCAACATTTGGAAAAGTCTTGATACTCAACTCCACCGTTTAGTACTTTACAAAAACAAATCGTCCCGTACCCAACCCAATCGAATGTCTTCAATCAACGGATCGCATATCTTTGAGCACATGTACGTCGACATGACCTCGCTTGGTATTGTGGAACAAGTGGTCAACATGAAATACTCGTTATTTCACGTGAGTACGCCTTATATGATAACTTTGAGACGCTAACAGTTAAACTAGACGATCCACTGGCCATCAGCTATCCGTTCGGTACAAGGAGCCACCTTGTTCCATTGTGCCTGTACCGCCGCAACCACTGGCCTGGTGATATGTCTCTTGACCTATGCTCTCTCCGTCTTCCAATTCAGGCAGGCGAAAGGGGAAGTGCATATGAGACTAGGCGAACTCCGTCTTCCTACGATACCCCACGTTGTACCGCTATTGTTCAATGCGCTTGAATTGGCCTGGAGCCCCTCAAATTTTTTAGATAAGGTCATGTGGGTGCCCGTCAACATGACTGAGCCTCAAAATTTCCTGACAATCATAGGAAACATCACGGATGTTCTCGCCCTCTACGCGTTCGCGCAGGCCCCCTGAACTTCTGTATAGTGGCAAATCGTGACCACATCTCGACTCTCTTCCGATCTTCGAAAACCCTCACTAGCAAGACTGGCACTATCTTTGCCTTGACTCGTATCCTTAACACCCCCAAAGATGTAATACCATTCTATGCTGCTGATGATTCTGGGATGGCAACAAAGCCTCGGAAAGAGAGTAAGATAAGACACGAGGATCGTATCCATTATTGGCAAGCACATACGAGCCAGAAATGGTTATCAGGCGCCTCTCTCCAGCTGATGTCCGAGACCTATCTCTCTTTCCTGGACGAAGAGCTTTCACACCTCAACATTAACGAGGAATGGGTTGAAATACCGGATTTATACCGATTTCTGCAGATTCATGTGTCCACAGCTGCGATCAAAGCGATGATGGGAACTAAGATCTTGGAGATGTACCCGAACTTAGTCAAGGACTTTTGGGCTTTCGATCGCAACGTTGGCAATTATAGTCGCCTAATTCCGCGTTGGTGGATGCCTGCAGCCTACAGCGTTCGAGATCGTCTCTTGAAAAATATCGGCAAGTGGACGGACTATGCTCACAGCATGTCTGACTGTTCGAGGACTGGACCCGACGACACGCACTGGGATCCGTACTTTGGGACAAAATTGATGAAAGCTAGGGAGCATGCATACTTAAAAATGCCTGCCATGAACTTGGATGCACGGGCATCGGAGACTTTGGGACTTCTCTTCGCGTAAGTCATGATATACCGGATACCAGTGATGTTATCATTGATTAACGAGGGAGTAGCTCTAACGGCAACGCTGTCCCGGCCACCTTCTGGTATATAACTGAAGCCTTGAAGGATCTAACTCTTCAAGATCGACTCATGTCCGAAGTCATGACTTGTCGAAAAGAGACTGGGTGCCTGGATGTTACTGAACTTGCCACAAAACCCCTGCTACAGTCAACGTACGCGGAGGTACTGCGTCTTCGGATCGCCATCACGATGATTCGCAGCAATGAGTATGAGAGCACCCATCTGGGGCCCTACAATGTACCTAAACAAACTCCAATGGCTATTTTCAGCCGCTTAGCAGCTTTGAACCGGGATGCTTGGGCTATCAGACCGAGGACTCTTGCTCGACCTCTGGAGGAATTCTGGCCGGAGCGATTTCTGGTAGGCTCTGAGGAAGATCGGGGTGGATCTGACGTGAAGGTCTCACAAGAACCCTCGATTCCGACCATTGAAGTCCCTAAGTTCAGCCTTGATGGCTTGGCAGGATGCTGGATTCCCTTCGGGGGAGGTCAACGTATGTGCCCTGGCCGGCATTTTGCCAAGCACGAGATATTGGGCACGTTTTCTGTGTTGATGAGCAAGTATCACGTTGAAGCAGTCTCTATGGTCGAGGCAGTAGATTTACAACCTGATCTAAGCTGGGCCCCATACGGTGGATTGCCCCCGGCAGGACAGCTGCGTGTTCGCATGCGCAAGAGGACTTCGACTGATTGAGCTTGACTCTGAGTATCCGGGAACGTCAATCGTCTTTGAATAGCTCTGTAGACATTTGAATAAATTGATTCTGATGTACGAAAAGTCACTCGGGGCCTTGGAAGTCCTACCAGTTTGGCTTGATTTCCCCATGCAAAATTTCCCAGGCTTGTACCATGAATGAACTGCATGTGCAATGCAAAATGCACCTTAGTACGACTGCAGGTGAGAAGCTGAAAACCTACGTTCTTGAGTAAAATGCACGTAAATGCATGCCAGCGTCATTGTCTCACTACGCGACATTATCAAGGACAGCAGCGTTGGGATCAATAAGTATGCGGCAGCGGCAAGGCACATCACAAGCCGCTGCAACGCGTATCGAACCGTTACGGAGGGCGCCGCTCCCGCTGCACACTCCTGCTTCCATCTACCCCGTGTGACATGGTAGACGGGAGGAATAGATCCTGCAATGCGTGTAGATTCGTGACTGCACCTGAACGGAAGAAATCTGCCGACGTGCATTGGCGTGCAATAAATGTCGATAGGTGGGATCACCACCACCAAACCGCGCGAAAAACGGGCGGAGACGATAAGAATAGATTTAATATGTTGCGCCGGTCAGGCTGCAAATACTTTCGGGATGGTGGTACCGTAGCGATTATTGGCGTTCGGGTCTGCCACAGTGTGCAGATGCGCGCTTGCAGCACAGTCAGCAAGGGCCACCCAAGAGTTTCGCAGCACTACCATAGGCATGACATGATTGGACCCAGCAACCAACGTCCGAGGCTATTTTACATCCTATACTAAGACCCAAGGCTGAGTCGATATGCAAGCCTTGTGCCACCTCCTCTACTGGCACCCTACATAGATTCTGCTTCTACCTAGGTAGTAAGGCTGAAAGGTCCTGGATGCAGTAGATGATCACGATCGGTTGCATCATAACAAGCCTCCTCTGTTTCTACCTTATGTATGGGTAAAAAGGCAGAAGCATGTGATGCTAAGATATGTGGAGATAGTTTAGAGGTGGACTGTGACGGCTGTCGTCTACCACTGAATCAAGCATAATCGTTAACATTGGCGTATGACTGTAAGCCAGCCTGCCAGAGCAAATGTAAGTGAGAGCACCAAGAGTCGAATCCCGATATGCCAAATTGCCGGGTATTGCACTCGGACACGGTTCTTAGGAAGTCTGGGTGTTCCGTTCTGCGTGATCGTATCGACGTGCGTCACGGCATATGCAATTCGATATTGGCGATTGGGGGCCAAACCTGAGGAGGCAATTGCCACATCGCGGCGCAGTTGGCTCGCTCGATGGATGTTAAACTCGAGATACTTTTGCAAGATTATGAATACATCGTTTTCAATTTTCAGCCGACAGAAACGACATTAACTGAGCTCAAAACTCCCTCATCGTTTCGTCGTGACCCACTCCTAAAAAATGTCCGATACTGGTACGAACGGGGACTTTGACCCGTCCAAATTGGATCCCGCGTTGCTTGCAACATTCCCTGCCTTAACACCACCTTCTGGTGTTGAACCCAACTTCAACAATCCTCGGTCCATAGCGTATCAATGTCAGGTTGCCGTTTATGTTCTACTGCCTATAATGTTAGTCCATGTGGTGCTTCGCATATACACACGCCTGCAGGTAAAGAACTCGCTCGGTATTGACGACTGTATGTTTTGGAACCTCAAGAAATGACAATGGCTAATTTTCACAGATAGTTGTGCTGTATCCTCGGTGAAAATCCACGCATTCCCTGCTTCGGTTTGAATCTAATCTCCTATAGTTGATGATGACAGCTTATTGCTCGATAATCCTACGCAGTAAGTATCACTTCACGGCAACACTACGGCATGCGTACTAATAGAGAAGTAATGGGAAATCCATTAGGTCCGCATCAATGGGACGTAAGACTAATAGACCTGACGGAGTCTTTCGTGAAGGTATGTGTGCTCATCACGAGTGTGCAGCGCGTGCAACGAGTTGATATGGTCACAGATGTCGACTACACAGTTCATCATGTACTCCTTCACTGCAACTTTCATCAAACTAAGCATCCTCCTCCTCTATAGGCGGCTGTTCTGGATCCGAGATTCAGCACGATATATGATCTGTATCGGAATGGTCGTGACAGCTCTCTTCTACCTGGCCTGCTTTATATCCTCCCTAATCCATTGCGTCCCGCGACATGGAGAAGGTTGGCTGTCTCAAGAATCAAAACAGCGATGTGCCCAACCGGAACTCGAAGTATCTGTGGTACAGGGAGTCTTTGGTGTCATCAGCGACTTCTATCTCTTGTTGATACCAATGTTGCAGGTTACAAGACTTCGGGTTACTACCTCGCAAAAGATTGGGCTGGCTGGTCTATTCCTTACAGGACTCCTGTATGTTTTCATGAGATGTCCCGCATTACTCTTACTCACAATTGGAGCAGGGCTTGTATCTGCTCTGTTACTCTCTGCATCTATAGATTCCGTCAGCGCGGAACTGATGATTTCACGTACATGAGTGTCCCCGTGTACACATTCGCGTAAGAGCTTCTCCACGAAACCCTGTCCTACGAACTAATATTTCAATTGCAGTGTTGCAGAACTCAACGTGGGAATCATATGCTCATGCATGCCTGTTATTTTCGTGGTCGTCAAGAGCTTCTCGAAGAAGGTCACATCGACTATTAGAGGACGTTCATCAGGAAGCAGATCGGGTGAACTTCCGACCGATGGTGTTCCTCCCAACTGCTCATCTGAAGCTAAACCGTTGAAGCCGCTTCCCGGTGTACCTAGGGGTCATCTCTCCACGCTCATGTCATTTATCCGGAGTGGGCGTCGGAACAATACTGAGGCAGGCTCGCTGGTAAATGGGGACTTGATTCTAACGAACATGTCTGATTTTGACCCTCGTAAAGATACGTACCATGCACACATTCAGTCCATTGAAGACAGAGCATAATGGCCGTGGGATGCTCAAAATGAGAGGCTGACACGATGGACATGGTGCTTCGGCTCAGCACTAGTATTGAAAGGAAAGACGGTCGTCTAGTTTTGGCAAATTGACAATCATGGAAGGATCTTACAGTCTGGTTTTGACTTTAGTCGTCGAGGTGTTACATTCTGTAATTTTCGTACCAGCAACTACACGTACTGTCCTACTTTTCCCAGTTAAATGTATCATGTCATAGATCACAAGTATCGAGGTTTTAGATCGAAGAAACGTGTTGAATGAACATCAATGACACTTTCGATTTTATTCGCGAAGAATGTTTACTGCGAAAAGAAGGTATATACAGAGTATCCCAGTGGAGCTATGGTGCGTGGAAAATAGCTGTTCAAGGAAAAGGTATCTAGTCTATTACCGTACCATGATATTGCCACTCTTCCTGGTCTCCGTGTTGTAGTTGCGCTTCGATCCAGTGACCAACAGCTGCAGCTTCCCTTTCGCATCCGGCTTGTACGAGACAGTTGCAAGCTGCTTGACATTGAACTTGTCGCAGGTAGGTTTGCCATTGAGAGTCCACTGGGCCTTCAGGACAACACCAGGGTCCCAATGTCCGACGCTGGCCTTGACCTCTTGTCCCACCTTCACAGTCTTGGACTTGATTGTAGGAGGAGCTTGTCGTGCGACAGCGGCTTGTCGACCGCCTCGCTTAATGACCTCCTTCCACTCGTTTCCTCGGGTCGATGGCGCTGTGGCGCTGGAAGATAATGGCGAGGGACCATCGGGCGCATGATCCTTAATCCAGCTATCGACAAGAGTGAGGTAGTCCCAGATCTCGCGGTCTTGGTAGTTGCCACCGTGAGGCTTCTCCGGCAGAATGGTAATATTTGCCCAACCTGCGCCGCCTACCGCATCTGTGCGTTTCTGGAATTCCTGAACGCCCTCGTTCAGGTAGTAGTTGTCCCATGTACCGACATAGATATAGATACGACCCGCAAGCGTCTTGCCGAGGTTCCGAGCGTTGTTCCAATTGCTGGTGACATAGTTGCTCAGATCGAATGGCTTCCAGTATTCCACTGCGTCATGGTAGATCTCACCAGTGACCTTGTCCCAGGGCTCCAATGGGTAGTTGTTGTAACCCTGCACACCGAAGACCGCGTTCCAAACGTCCCACTGGTTGAACGAGCGCGATGCGGTACCGAAGGTGAGCTCCCAGTGATTTTCTAGCGCAGTGCTTGCGAGCACCACTTCCGTTCCGTTACGGTGCGTTCGGATCGACGGCACGAAGCTGCCATCGGCTCGCTGGTATGCATTGGCGGCGGTGTAGAGCTCGATGTCTTGGTGCCGGTGGAAGTCAAGGGAGTCCGGGTACGACGAGAAGCAGACACCGAACAGGTCAGGCCTGTAAATCACGTTGGCAATCGACTCCCAGCCACCAGTAGAGCCGCCTTCCTGGATGCGAGCGTATGGTGCACGGATGGTGTTGAATGTCTTGTCCAGGTGAGGTATGAGTTCGTCGTTGATGGCATCGCCGTAAGGTCCGAGATTGGCGGTATTGACGGCATACGAATCGTCATAAAACGGAGCTTCATGGCGGAAAGTGACAAGAATCATCTTCGGCGCGGGCCGCGCTTCAGTTGTGTTCGTCGCTGGAATAGTTCCGTTGTTCCAAGCGTCTGCAAATTCAGTATCTGACGGATAGTCAAAAGCGCCTGAGTCCGCAGGCCAATGTCCTTGGGAGTAGATGACTGGATAACGCGTGTTCTTATCGCTGGCTTTATATCCAGCGGGCAGGACGACGTTTGCGCCAACATACATATCGCGACCCCAAAACGCACTCAGTGTCTTGCTTCGAATTTTGACGTATTTGAGAAGTTCAGTATCCTTGTAATTCGCTTGGTTGCAGCCACCAATCTCCCTGCCTTTGAAAGGCTCGGTAGCCGTCACGTTGTCAAAGACGAGCTTGAGAGTTTGCTGGCCTCCCGAGACCGTGTAGTCTGCCAGTTTTGTGGTCAGGCTTCCGAAGCCATTGACGTTGGGTGCTCCATCTCCGCAGGGAAAGCGGACGCTGACTACTGAGCCATCGCTCCGCGTCACCTTTTCGTACTTCGTGAGGAAGGCTTGAACGGAATAGGTGCCTGGCGGTACTGCATCAATACTGATGTTCGGCCATCCATACACCCCGGTCTCCGTGCTTTGATTGCTTCCTCCCGAGAGACTGACTGTCCGTCCTGTCTTGAAGTCGAAGACATTCTTTCCGAAGATGTAATTCGGCGAAGAGGTAACATCTGTGTCATCGAGAGGATCAGTTCCGTTGGGAGCGAACATCAACACAACGCGGCCATCGGTCGGAGACTTCAGCAGGCCTTTGGTGACCGATATATCAATGTTCAACCCATTGTGATTGCCACGCTCCGTGAGATGGGTCGTGGTAGGAATACCAAAGCCGCCCGTGGCAAGACCGAGGATGACAATAGCCTTGAGCATCTCGAAAGTCAAAAGAGACCCAGCAGTCCGGTGCCATAGAATACAAGGCGAAATTAAACATTTTAAAGTTCTTGGGACCTGCGCAAGCCATGACGAGATAGGCGTTGGACTAGTGTACCGCGTTACCTGAAGAGGAAGGTCGTCCAGCTAATCCTCCTTCCTGCGCGATAACACGCAAGGGATGGTAGTGCGCTAATTTCGCAAGACTCATGGATGACATGCCATCTCATAACAGATACGAGATCGTGGAAAACTGTGCGACTGTTGAACCGCGCGTGAACGACGCGCAAATCTATGCTCTGGTACGATAACGGAATCCTTGTGCATTTTCAGCTATTTTGGAATGACTCGTGATAAATTACGATTTGGGAAAATCTGATCCCGAAGGCTTGTGTTACTCAAGCGTTGTACACAGTATCCAAGCTTTGCTCTGTAACCAAGAACGTCACACTGCTTCAAGCCATTGCCTAAACCCTAGTTTCCTTACCTCTTCACTTTCGCTCGCTCTCCAGCTTTGCCTCAGCGCTTCCACTTCCCCCGACAAAGAATTGTTTTGATTGGTCTCTCTAGTCCCATCGTATAACATGGTCGCCGCAAGCTCTACCCGGAGATGATCACGTACCGTCAACCAAGACAGTCGTGTCTTGCTTATATCACCTAAGAGACAGGCTACTCGCAAACGATTATCGCCCCGTACATACTCGAGACTAGCCTTTAGCTCTAGGAATTTGTGATGGTACAACCCGTTCGAGATCTGGTCGACGAGCTTGGCTACGCGAGTCGCGAAGGCTCTGCAGTGCTCTTCGGAATTGGAGGGATGGTCCGAGTGCTGTGCAGCGTACTGTAGGAGGTGCATGCGTAGGTGAAAAGTGTTGGGTAGCACGGGCGGGTGGCGATTGGGATCACGCTCCCATTCGCGTGTGTGCATCGACTCCACGTATAGGATGATGGCTTCGACTAGGGGTTTGTAATTGGTTTCCCAAGACGTGTCAATTATGGAAGATGGTGAATATGGCCAAAGAAGTCGCTGTTCGCGATGGATGCCCTTCAAGTGTTCGGTATCGTGCAGTAATAACAGGGTGTATAGCTTCAAGTAAGCCGCTTGAACCGCTTTGATCGTAATCTCACCCGTCAAACAGGAAGAGGTGGTGTTGTTGGCATATTTATCCAGCAACGAGGTGACTTGAAACGAACGCCCGGATACATCCATGCCGACGGCATAGCGAGAGACCCATGCCCTTATCGCGTGATCATTTATTGCTGTGACATCTTCCTTTACTCTCTTATTCAGCTTTGCAATGTCTTTAGGAGGATGGATGTTGAATGTGCAATGTGCTGAGTACTCATCGAGAAAAGAGATGGGTAAGATTGGTGCTGCGCAGCGCAAAAGCTCGTACAAAACCTGTTGGTGGCGAGGAATTTGTGGCACGTCGAGCTCCTGTTGTGCTGAGAAGTCAAAGCCAACTTTCCTGAGGAAGAGTGAAGCCCATTTTGCGGTCTGGTATTTGAGACTCGTGATTATAGGAAGAACTATTCGCGTGACCAATTCAGTCTGATAGAGAAATTGGGAACAGCCCGGTGGATTTTTGTTGAGGAAGGTAAACAGAGACCAGAGCATGGGTGCTGACTCGTCGAGGGAAACTTGATCTTCCAGTTCAGGGAGCTCGAGTGTATTCTCAGCGTGCGCCCATTCTGCGTCTGTGATGGGGCGGCGCTCTCGAAGGTTACCAACAATGGGAATGATGTTTTGGAGTGCTGTCAGGATGATGTCGACCTTTCCGGCAGACCCAAATTTCAATAAACCAAGCAGACTGCTCAAAGCAGCACAACGAATGTCCATGTGGGTCGCATTACTTATAAGCTCGGAGAGGATCGATACAGCGAATTCCTCTGGTAGGCATGTGGTATCGCCAAGCAGTTCTGCTAGAAGCTTAGCAGTTGTGACTTTGACTAGACCTTGCCGATAATCCATCGTCTCTGTGCTTCGATCTGCGCTCTGGTCTGATTTGGATCTCGTCGAGCTGTGTGTACTTATCGCGGCTTGCTGCTTGGTTCTTGTGGTGATTTCTTTTGCGAATGTGCTAACACATTCCTGTGCAGCAGCCGCTGGCAGCCGGTGGAGGAAAGATTTAGACAGCAGTTGTCGATGCCAGGAGCTGTTTTGAGGTTGATCAAGAACTATGCGTACGACGAGATCCGAAGCGAGATAAGGTCTGTCGCAAAAAACAAGCATCCGAACAAGCTGGAAGGTGCGTCGCTCCAAGTCAACATACCCACTTTCCTGCTCACTTGTCGTGCTTAAAGCTGTATAGGCGCCATGAGCTGCCTTAGCTAACAACGAAGACGGTACATTGGTTCGCACAGCACTGAGAAAGCGAATCGCATCCGCGACCCGAACATTCTTGGAAGATGTCCTTGACAAGTAGTCGCTGTCAAGATGAACCGCGGGATAACGGGAAATCGATTGTGGAGCGCCGACAGGGAAGCGTGTGTTCAGGAATCGTAGTTTTGGAAACAAATTGTCGAGATACAACAATGCTAACATGATTTGTCCTTCCCTAATTGCCGGATTCGCCTTCGCTTGACGTGTTCGCATAGTTGAGAACGCGTCAACACGACTTGTTGCGGGAATGACAGGGTCGACCAGCTGAAATGTCGTGAATACCGTCGCGTTCTTTGAGCGCCCTAACAGTTGTTTAGACACGTCAATGTAGGTCATCGTATCCAACTTCCGTTCGGTTGCGTAGTTGAGCGCGGTTGGAATAGGATTCCACTCTTGGATCTTATCAGGATGTTCTGCTTCTGGCACCAAGGGCCAGTTTGACAAACTTGTGTCAAATGCCTTGCGCCAGTATTTGGGGAATATTCTACCCCCAGATTCTCCCGTGGTCCAGTAACGGTCCGCTTCTTCAAGATTGAAGCGTCCTTCACTGAGAGGACCACTAGCATAGGCCCAAGCTTCATGCATACGTCTTGTCTTGTCTTCTTTGTTGAGCCACTTAGGCGCGAACATGTTCAAAGCAAAGAGATAATCGTCGAGGAATGTTCCAATAGCTTTTCGCATCTCTCCATCTTCTGGAAATGGTACGAGTGCAGCCTTTTGTTCAGGGAATACAGCAGCATTTATGCGAGATGCGATGTAAGGCGTTTCATGATGTTCCTTGCGCAGATATAAAACATAAGGTTCTGTGAGGTGTTGGACGGGAAGGCCTTTTGGGAACGGCGCAGGCAGAATGTCAGTTGCTGGATGTGTAAACAAACGGTGCTTCCGCCAAAGCTCGTCGCGTGCTTTTGCAAGCTCGTCGAAGAATCGAAGTGTTGCAGGTCTATCATCTTTCAAGTCTATGTAGGCGGTACCCTGGTAATTCAAAACACCTCTTACAGTGTTCAGAGACAAGTTCTCGTGACCAGGCGACAATCCTCGTTCTTCCACTATCAGCAGCATCTTCAAAGTGTCCGCCCACAAAATACGGTAAACATCTTCGTGAGACATGCTTGAGTGTTCCTCTAGTCGTCCTGATTGCTTGATACGTTGCTGAACAACACTAGCGAATAGTGCAAGAACCCCTCGAAAGTGAACTCTGTTGAACGAAGGCTCCCGCAAAGCTATGCATGTTGTCTCGAACATGAATAGCATTATTTTGTTGGCGTATTCCACACGATTTTGCAGTTCAGAGAGAGGTGTGTCTCTACTCAGCGTTCTCGGTATACCTGAAAGCAAAGTTATACCCTCGCGGGTCGTCGTTTGATATAGCTCGCGCGTTGTAAGGGGGTCTCGTATGAACCGTCGTGCCCATTGCTGAGCCTCCATGTAGACATCCAGCGATCCACTGAGAGTAGCGAAGTCGATTGCGGAACGAGCGCTTGTTGCTCTTCGTTGTTCCCCAGCACTAGACACAGTTTTCTTCTTGCGTGCTTCAAAACATTGTCTGGCGAAATTCTCTGCTTCAGCATAATGAGAAGCTCTGAACAATAGGAGAGCCTGCCACATGTCGGCATCGATAATGGTATCGGCCCCTGGTTCTCCATAGTCGTAGGCACTCCGGTCGACAAGTTTGTAGTCTCCCTTGGCAGATCGAATCCGGGTGAACAATGACAGAGCATCTTCGGGCGGTAGCATCTTATTGAGCAGCGTATTTTTCAACGGAGGTAATTTGGCAGTTTTGATGTCGGCCTCATTTTCTAGGTCGCATTGATACAGAGAACTGCAGTAAAACTGGAGCAGAGCATAGCGCCGAGATTTCCAAACTCCCGACAGGCCTAGTTGGACCAACATACTGAACATCTGCCTCTTTTCCATCTTTGCATATGGCAGTGCAAGGATGTGTTCAAATTGGTCTGCGAACATATCGGGCTTAATAGACCAGCATCTTCCTACCAGGTAGACAAAACTGCCCTGCCGCATGTCCAGAGTCTCGGCGACACTGGAATGTCGATCCAAGTACAATAGAAAGAGGTCAACGATACATTGAATGAAAGACCAATCGGCCTTTTTCCTCAAAGCTCTCTTCAAGAGTGGCTCCGAAAGCTCCTTAACTACTATGTTTGCATCCAAAGAAGACTCTACGCCTTCATTAGTGAGTCTTTCGAGTAGACTGAGCGAGAATTCCATTGACGCTGAAACGCCTGGAACAGCAGTTGTGGTATTTGGATATCTCGAAAGGAGTGGTGAAAGCCATTTCTCACCAGCCGGGTGGTTCTCGAACACAGACCGAATGGCCAAGCCTTGCAGTGTATCTGCGTGCGACAATAACAGGGGACGCCGACACGATTTGAACGCATCCCAATGCTTGTTCAATATATGAGAGACAGCATCGCTTGTGCACGTCGGAATCAGCCTTTGGTATGTTACGCGCAACTGTCTGTGGTCTGGGGTCTGGTGAATGTTTGAAGGCTCATCTGGAAGAATGTCTGGAAGAAGGGCCATGAATAACTCTGTGAAGCGCTTCCGCTTTGCTTCGACTTCGGCTCCTTTGGCATTCCATGCAATAACTCGACATGCCTCCTTTACGTCTTGCACTGAGAATTCGTTCAATAGAGTAAGCCAGCCTGAAGCACCACCAAGGGCATCCCACGTTTCTTGCCACCGGGAACCTGAGAGCGAACTCTTCAGCTTCTTGAATGCGAATCGTCGAACTTGGATAGAGGCAGTCTGCGTTAGAGCTGTGCGGAGCGTTTCTGGTGATTGCGCGATTCCAAGCCATTGAGCGAACGCTGCTGGAGCTATGGAGTCGAGTCCAATTAAGTGTAGTATCTCTCGCGTGATCACTTCTTCGCTCGAATTTTGGAGGACACCTCGTAGATGTGCAGTCACCTCGTGAGCCCGGGAGGACCGAAGGATTTGAGGATCTAGAGCAGCTGACGCCATCGACAGAGCTCAATAAGACGTTACAAGACGAGAAGGGTATGCAACAATGGTGGTAGAGCAATGCAAGTAAAACCAGCGCATCAAAAAACTGCAGACATTGATTTAGTCAAACGGAGCCGATTGCGATTGTAGTGTGGAGTTGATGAACAAGAAGGGTTGGCGTCGGCTCAGGCCACTTTCCCACATTGGCTGCCGTGGATAAGTGGGTCTGGCGGGCCCTGGTGTCGGCCTTTCGTATTGAAGCCGTGGGTAACATAATTATTGGAAAACCTTGATTGCTCTTCAGAATGAACACGCCATATAGAATAGCATGCTATCATACACACTATGTGTTTGATTGTACCTAGATATCGCGCTCGACAACGATGGCAGTGACGTCATAGTAGACTAGTGTCTATCGTGTTAATTAGCGCCTGTTCTCCAACAGTCTTGCCCTCCGTTATTGCTGCTCTCTTCAATCCGTTACCCATACGCACGTCCATCCCATTGGAAATACCAATAGGAGCGCGCGTGTAGCTAATCACACCTCCAGGTATAAGATCGAAGGACTATGTCATTGGCTCGATACTCATTGACGTCGCCAGCATCGCGGCCATTCATCTCTTACCACTACCTACGGTACTCATACATGAGGAATGAAATTAATCCACTCAACATTCACATATGCGCTAGCTCTGGCGTTCCTCAACTCCGCGAAAGTTTCAGCAACCAGATACAACCGGGCGACGCCATAGACAATCGCCAATGGGGTGATGGTAGCAAACTCCCATACCTGTAGTAGCTCCGTCATTTTACGTTTCACGAGCGTTTGTTACCGAACTATCATGCGACGGTTGTGTTTTTCCAACCCCTCCTTGTTGAAAAAAATACAAATACACTGTCCTCCAACGACCAAGCCTTACCCACGAAGCGATTGTTTCAAGGATTCAAAACGCCGCTGTGATACCAAAGAGAAGAAGGGAGCCTATTCTCCAAACAAGTCGCTCCATGTTCGTTTGGAAGTCGAAATTTCAGCCTGCAATTTGGATGGCTGTGGAGATCAATGTCGCAAGGCAAAGCAGGTACTCCTAAGAACCATAAGGGTTTGTCAGGAACCTGTCGTTCGGTATTCGTTGTATCGGACATGTAGGAGGGATGACTGGCATCTTCATGAATGCTTGCAAGTTTGCCGAGTATCCAGATCCGTTCTCATCGACAAAGTCAAGCGGATTCAGGTCCCAGTCTTGCTTGCCTGCCATTTCCTCGTTGGTATGGGATGAAGTATGCTTGTACCCCAGGTCCCGAAACGCCTTGACGGAGTGTTTCGCGCGAGTCCATTGACCCGCAGCGTAGTTAAGGGGAAATTCAGGCCTGATTATGCCTAGTATCATCCTAAAGAGAGCAGCACGCGTGTTAGCTAATGATCGTGTAATTTTCTTAGGGCATTCGTGATCACCCTACACGGGCTATATGGATGTTCCACTATGGAGAGTACAAGAATCATTCGCATAGCGAAAAGCATAACGTACCATAAAACACGTCGACCTACTAGCTGAATCCAGGTGTCTGTCGGCGCAGGGACATTCAAGTATAGCATCGTATATGTGCTGATGCCTATAGATACAAGCGAAACCCAGAGAATGTCAAAGGAACCACGATAATTAGGTTGTTCGACGCATCCTCTAACACGATAGGAATTGCCGTGCGGAAGAGTGCCATTTTTGAAGCCGTAGATCCCGAAGCGTCCACCATTATTTCCTGCATATTGTGCATTGGAGACGCTTATCAGGGACTGACAAATAGCAATGGACAAAACGAATTGCGTCAATAGTTTCGAACTAGATGAAACTCGAGACATGTCGATTGAGAGATCGAACACTGCCGACCTGCGACAAAGGAACAAAAAATTGGGAAATTACGCTCGCGAGACGGGAAGAGTCCTTGAATTACAGGCAGAAGAGGAGCGGAACAGAGTCTTCAAGATCACGTACGCAGCCTCGTACTTGGATCATCGCCCCTATCAGATAATTGCGCGATTGGCCAACTTTCACAATGCGGAACAGTCAATTGAAATTGTGTAACCATACGTACAGCAGGAGCGAGCAAGCACGGGCCATAGGTTCCGTGTTCTGATAGGGTCACTAAGCGCTAGCCGGGGATACACACCACGTGTAGTTTATCCTGCGCCGTGCATTTCCTCCCACATCACATGCTTTCTGCACCACCCTCCTTCCAATACTTTCAGAGATTCACGCATATTCTAGATGCCTTCCGTATTAACAATGCTGAAGCCCCTTTTCGGCACCGTCGTGGGGCTTCTCGGTATCTACCTTAGCTTCATCTCACTTCTCACGATCCCCAAGCTTCAAGACCACGTAATTTACCTACATAAAGTCACCTTGACTTGGTTCCAGGATGTCAACATCCCAGAGCAATGGGGTTTCCTTCGGAACCAGGTTACACCTTTTCATCTCAAAACATCTGATGGTGAGACGTTGCATGCATGGCATGTCCTACCTCTCGATGTATACCAACAACACGAAGCGGAGTTAATTGAAGAACCGACCGGTCTGTGCCAGAACGTCGAAAATAGCCTCTCATTCGAACTACTGAGAGATGACCCGACCGCAAAGCTGGTTATCTACTTCCATGGCGCAGCCGGCACTCTGGGTTCAGGTTGGAGACCTCAAAGCTATCGTGCTTTGTCCGCCGCGGTCCCGAACCTTCACGTCCTTGCGATCGACTATCGTGGATACGGATCGAGTTCTGGGTGGCCTTCCGAAAGCGGTATGCTTACCGATGCACTGACCTTGACCGAATTCGCAATGGGAACTGCACAAATACCTGCAGAACGCATTGTTGTGTTTGCGCAATCGCTTGGAACAGCTGTAGCCCTTTCGCTTTCGCACAAGCTGGCTCTAGAAGCACCCCCAATCCTTTTCGCTGGTACTGTTCTTGTAGCACCAATGGCCGATGTCGAAACATCTACGCAGACCTACAAAATCGCCGGCACTATCCCATTACTATCGCCTATGGCGGTTTATCCACCGCTTCTTACCTTTTTCAACAGATTCATCATCAGTAAATGGCCCTCAAAAGCCAAAATCGCAGATTTCATCCGCCATCTCGACAGTGCTGACAAGGACGGTCGCAGGAACAACTATGACATTACACTAATCCATGCTGAGGACGATTGGGATATGCCATGGATACACTCAGAGATTCTTTTTGCACACGCTGTTCGGTCAATGCGTGGCAACGCTGGCTTTACAAAGGATGTGTTCGAAGAAGAAAAAGCAAAAAGAAAGTTACAGCTTGGCGCTGGTGGATGGGTAGTGGAATGGTGGGGTGGGAATGGGATTGTTAGGGAACAGATTGTGAAACACGGTCTTCATGACCGTATCATGAGCTATCCAGTTGTGGGCTTGGCTATAGCCAGAGCGTTTACGAACACCGGCACATACCAACTAGGCGGAAAGGAGAGCTGACCTGATATATATATGGTTTAATGAGATTACAACTTCCTGTGGTCGCGCTTATTGTTGTCACATGTTTCTCAACAGATGGAAATGACCGTACTGCCACTTCAGTCCAATGCTTAAAGCCTCAGAAGAGCACAGTTCGTATCGCGAGTAATATGAAGCAGGGCTGCCTGAATCTATAGAGGGAGGCTAACGGGAACATGGGTGGTGGCAACGAAAAATGGACATCCCTGGGCGGTCATGCGGCAAGGAATATCTGCTGCGGCCGTTAAAGATGCTGCGCTAATAATCTTCTTGCGTAGGAGAGTGCCCTATTTTGATAGACATCAGGACTGGTCTGTGCGGAGGCGAGGTCTATGTTAATCCTCCAAACAATCGCCGCATCCTTTTCCCTCTTTTTTGCTCAAACGTTACGTATGTACCCTGCTTTGCACGAGACGAAGAAGCCTCTGGATACTCAGTCAAACTTTCTATCAAGCTCTGATCCGATGCATGGCGTGTGACGCCTTGAGTTGGCTCACTGGCTAGAAAAGCATCGGAATAAGCCAACCTTAGAACAGTGGATGGTGGTTGCGCAGTCGCTCAAGCAAAACTTGTTTTGACTTCAAGTAACAAGGCTTACTACCACAGTGCGACCAACCCGATTGCGCCAAGAGGCACCTCGGACCATTGACATCTCGTGAATCACGATGTCGCAACACGTGCGAAGTGGGATGGGAAACGCCCCCACATGACGTTATAAAAATAGAAAATCACCTGAGCTCACCACCTAAGAACGTGACCACTAGCAAACTCTGTAAATTAGCTAAGCAGGTTATTCTATTAGTTGTTCCCCTACCCAGCTAGCGTAGCAAACGCCTACAAATGCTTACACCAGGCGAATGCTCCGCAATGACCCGGTCGTAGCGAGCTCTCGTATTGAACGCGACTCAGCTCCTGGCCGCCTAGACTTTTCACGTCTGGCTCTTTCAGCGCAAGCCACTTTCTGGCACTTATAGGATGGATTATGGACGCCACAGCTGGGATAGCTGAATTGAGTTCGTTTTTGCTGCAGGCTAATTCCTGCAGAACGTTATCCTGATTGAATAGTTGCAATCTCGAGATACTATATAAGGTGAGTGAACGATGCTATTATGTTCCAAAGCATTGCAAATCAACAGCTAGGCGAGCCGCTACCTCTCTTTAGACATGCTGTACCCTTCGTTTTCCGTCGTTCTACTCTCGGCCCTTTCTCGACCTGTATTCGGTCAGGCTGACCCTGCCCCATCCTCGCTCCCCGACGATGTGTTACCAGCTGCAAACCTCACTTCAGACCCACTAGACAGAAACATCACCACTGTCGAAATTCCCGTTGCTGCAGTGCCTTCATTAACGAACACGTCCTCAAGCGACGAGACAACAACAGTCTCCTACTTTGAGATTGATGGTCTCAGAGAGCCACTCGCAGTCGTATATGGTGATGTGATCCTTTCAACCGTCCCCGATCTCCTAAACAGCGCCTCGAATAGCACCGAAAGCAAGGTTAAGCGCGCTTTGTCTATTCGGAGTACAGACAATGTCTGGCCCGGGGGAGTTGTGAACTACAAGTGGAAGTCAGAAGATGCCAAAGGGGCTGGACGGTTGGAAGCCTGGACCGACGCGACGAAAAGATGGACCAATATGCTGCCGTGGCTGCAATTTAAGGAGTTCCCACCGAGCGATACCCCGGAGGCGGACATTCTGACACTGGTGGATACAACCGGTCAATTTGCTTGCTTCAGTCCTATTGGTAAGCAATGGGGCGGGCAGATGATGCTGGACGACTCGTGCGGTGGAGCAGGTACCTACACCCATGAGCTGGGCCACAGTAAGTCCATCACGCGATATCATACATCCGATGGCTAATCATATCTAGCGCTTGGTCTCCTACATGAACATCAGCGCCCAGATCGCGACGACTACGTCACCATCCACTGCGAGAACGTCTGGGACTCAGCAGACGGCAGCCCAGCAGATTGTAGCCAAGCCTGCAGCGGCTACGGATGCAACTTTGTCAAAGTAGATCCCCAGTGGTACGATTGGTCTGGACCATACGACTCTCTTTCTTTGATGCACTACAGCCCCTACGAGTTCGCGAAGTCTTCTGGCCCAGCTATCGAAGCACGACCGGGCGTGCCTACGCCACAAGCGCACGCTTTCCCCACGATTCTAGACGCAAACCGCATATGTGAGCTCTATTCTGAGCAGTGCACCGGCGTTTGCGGAAATGGCAAGCTCGAACCGGGAGAGGACTGCGATGACGGCAACAACCTCGACGGCGATGGTTGCGCGGCGAATTGCAAAACACAGGCTCCATGCAATGTTGATTACTGCGACCCATGGAATGCAAACAGCTGCCACATCACGACGACGTGCACTGCGCTTGGTGGTGCAACGGAGGGTGGTCAGGGCAAGCACCTGTGCGCGTGCAGACATGGATACAAGGCTACAAGGTCCAACGATACGTCGGTTCAGGTGAGGCTACCGTGGGTAGAACAGGGTGGAAGGGTATTCGTCGACGCCGGCCTTGCGTGCGATACGTTGTGTGACGACTGGCAGTTGGGCAAAGACGGGTGCAAGGAGGTGAAGGAAGAACCTGTTTGTTACTGATTGCAATATAACGATCTCATGATCTTCTCTGGGTATTGAAATCTGAAACATGACACCTCATCCACGATAGAACCTCACGATGCTGCTTGTTTGACGCTGGAAGGTCTTGATCTCGTATGGTCAACTGAAGTTTAGACTCGTCTCAAAACCTTTAAGCCACATATATTAACCCCTCATACGGAAGAAGTAGATGGCAAACCCACCAACCACAAGGCATCCCGATTTTTGAGTTCACTTCCGTGCTTCAATGACTCAATAACTACGTCCACTTGCACTGTAAATCCACACCAAGTTTGTTAACATTTCGTTGTTGCAAACAGCGCGGCCCTTTCCCCTTGAGATGGAACGCCCTTCCAAAACAGCAGTGTGAGTCCATCAAATAGTCGCGTTTTGCAATTTTTCCATCTGAACTTTGGCTACACTTTTTGAGCAGCTAAATGTTCTTCACAGAAGACGAGGATAAGACTGCTGATTGAGGATTTGGATTTGGATCCGCAGGGGCTGCAGCATTTTGAGGATTGCTGCAAAATAGTTGCGGACCAAGACGAGGAGAAATGCGAGAATCAAAGCCAGGAGGACTGAGTCATGTTGGAATTTGATGGTTGCTGTCTCTAGTCGATGGGAAACGAGAATAGGTAGTTGTCTGCGCTTTACAGTTTATGTCTGCCCTCCCGCGACAAACTACCAATAACAACTATGTGCTCTCGTTTAAATACTCGATAGAAGTCTTGCAAGATTAGGGTTGCAATAGCATAACCACATTTTTCCTATCCACTAAGTACCTACTTGACACTGACGCTTCAAGCAGAGCGGAAGAGATGCGGCTGTCTAAAGCAAGAATAAAGTTATGTGTAGCGATACCTGATCGAAGCCTCGTGCCTTTCAAGTGGGTATGTGCATCGTATATTCACAAAACCCGGGTCCTGGCTCTTCTAGTGCACAATGTTCCCGCATTTCAGAATATATAAACACTGCACCCATTCTTATAGCACTTCACACTGGCTCAGAAACACCCCCCTGCACCACAATAAACTTGTCTTCACCTTCTACACTATAGAAAGCTTTCAGAGAAAACTACATCGACCTCTCGTGCACCTCTATCGAGACCGTACACATCGATACAATGGCAAGCAACAACACCATGACCAACACCACGACCAACACCACGACCAACACCACGATCAACACCACGATCAACAGCAACTATGCCCTGGTACTCACCGAGCTGGTCGACGCCGTCAACCACATCTTCGATCCCAAGTTTGACGTTCCCGCTACGCACATCAAGTTCCTGGACTTCCCGCCCGAAGTCCGCGCAAAGATCATCGACTACTCCCTCCTCGGTGACCTCGAGTCCGGCACCCTGACGAAGGCTATGCACCACGACAGCTTCTACAATCCGTGCTGCGTATGGAACTGGCCTGACCAGTTGATCGTCTGCGACAAGGCGAAGGAGTCTGATCTGCCGAATACGATGTTCCCCAAGTGGCTTCCGCACCTGTCGCTCACGAACCACCAGATGCGCGGCGAGGTCCTGGTTCACATGCTCAAGACCACGGACTGCATTACTCTGAAGTACAACAAAGACCTCGCAATCAAGATCGCGCCTCGGTTCATCAAATTCTTGCGGACTTTCCCTGCGAACGAGGGCTTCGAGGCCGACCGCAACCTCAACTTCCCGCATATACATTGGTACAACTACAACAATGACGGGAAAACTCTGGCATCCAACCCGGACGTGGATCTTATGCTGGCGTGCCCGAAGCTGGAGCGCGTCGGCCTGACGTGGCACTACAAGCGTATCAACTTCTTGCACCCTTACGAGGAGTACTGGACCCCGATGACGCTGGACCGATTTCTGTCCTGGTGGAAGCTTTCGCCCATGCTCGGCTGCGACAACCTCAAGCACGTCTACATCGGCGGCATCCACGCCCGATACGAGGAGATGGATAAAGACCAGATGCATACGATTGTTGAGTTCGGCGCGTGGCTACGTAAAGAGTTCGCAAAGAAGACGCCCAAGGGTCAGGAGGATATGAAGCTTGAGCACTAGAAAGACGTGAAGCCCGATGGTGAGGAGCATGCGAAGCCGGACGGTCAGAAGGTCCACGTGACCCTGCACCGCCGCTACGGCGCCTTCCAATCCTGGGGCCATGGTGAGGAGTTGTAGGCTCCTCCTGCGGGTGGATTCTTACTACGAATATCGATTTGTCACTTCGTTGATGCGGGGCGGAACCATATTGGTTCGAGGATTGACACATTCACGGACAGATGTCTTCTTTCTCTGATCCATGACACCAGTTTGTGGTGTTCCTAGCCGATTGGCGTTTGTTTTGAATTTCTTTTTCGTGGCTTCCAGTCCAAATCAGATTGGCATACGTACATGGAGCATGCTCCTAAAGATGAGTGTTGGCAGAAGCTAAATCATCAAATGAATTCACTTGTTCTATAATCACCTTGCTCATCACTTGTCTTCAGGTTGTCTGGCAAGCACTTTGGCTCATAGATCCCGTATGCTTCGCCGGGCACCGATTCTGATAGCTCGAACAGTTCGCGAATTAACGATGTTTTAAATAGGACGTGGTACTGCTTAGCTACCGTTCTCTATCACCCCTTCCAATCTCCCCACATTCTGTTCGGCCACGCCTCCGGCTTCACCGGCCTCTGCACCCGATTCATACACCAGTTCTGGAAATTTCGAATCTGCTTCCTCTCGCACCTACAACCCGTCCCACCCTCTTCGGCCTCTACCACACTCTCCCCAACCGGCCCTAGCACCTCGCTCTCAGGCAATTGCTTCCCCAGCGCGTTCGCGGGTGCGACAACCCACGGATCATGAAAGTACCCAAAATCTTCGAAATGGTGGAGTTCCTCTGGCTTCAGGAGCAACGCGGCCGCGAGCGCGTGGACCGACGCGTCGCCCCAGCGCTCAGTGTAAAACCCTCCCTTCTTATCCAAGAATTCGAAGAACTCGCGGTGCGCCTCGCTGCGAAAAAAATCGAGATCGCCAATTTCAAAGTTACTCCAGAAGTGGCACAAGTTCCACGAATCGCCCGAGGCGTCGTGCAGCGGCTGCGCGGCCTTCATCCAGCGCAGGCCCCACGGCATCCACGTCGGGCGGATGAAACCTTTCCAGAGATTGCTCGTCGCGATGCGCTTCATCGCTTTGAACTCGCTGACCGCGCGGAATAGCTCGGGGACCGTGTTGTCGAGCTCCCACAGCGCAATCGTGTACCCGTACTTCTTGCCACGCTCGCGCATCAGGCGGAACGGATCGTACGTGATGGCGCAGGAGAACTGCACGTGCGGCTCGACGCGCCAGTACCACTTGTACTGCTTGAGCGCGGGGACGTCGTAAAATTTCCCCGAGTAGAAGCGGCACATGTGGTGGTAGGACTCCATGTCGCCCTTGTGCACGCCCAGCGCGCCGTTCGCGCGGACGAGCTCGCTGCCCTGCGCATTGTCCATCCAGGAGGGGAAGCCGAAGAAGTCGCTGGATAGCAGCTCGAAGACCGTCTCGCCGCTCACGACGTCGCTGACGCGGTTCTTGAAGTCGGCGCTGAAGGGCTCGTTGTTCATGAAGACCACGGGGTAGTGGAACCAGCGGTTGAAGTGGTCCTCGAGCGACTGCAGGGATGTGAGGGCGCTTTCGATATCTTCATTGCGAGCCAGCATGATGATCGCAGCGTTCTCGCGCGGGGCTCGGGTGTCGGGCTCTGCGCACCCTACTTGGAAGACTGCATCCAGGTCCTCCGACGGCCGCGGGACATGGTAGTGATACTGGTGGAGAAGCACTTCAAGAAGAAGGCCGAGGAGGATTACCCCTAGAATTTGGTACTTGGTAGAGCGCCATCGGTGGCTACCGATGCGCGGGAGCATAGTCTATCGGTCGTAGAGCCGTTGGTATCGCCAGCGCATCGTCGATTCCTGCCGTTGCCTGTGTAGGACAGGAGGGACAGATTTCGCAAACGCGTCCCCACACTTGGGGCGGTGTTCATCTTTTATGTTTGAGCTGCGCCCGCCGAAAGAGCCGAAATAGGGGATCATCGGAGGTTGAGTGCACGGACGGTGAGATTCTAAAACGAAGGTGATGCGAGGAAGATTGCTTTTCTTGACCTATCACACGATGGCGCCGTGCCTCATGCCCATGATGGCAATACTTCGCCGGGATCGCGTTCCCCTAGTATCGAAGGGTTCTTGTGCTTCATCAGCATGGAATCGTGATCTGTCTCATGTAGAGAATGGCGCTGGCCACGTAACACTGTCCTGAGGTGATGGGGCTGTCGGCACCGCGTTGGCACAGAGCCAAGCTAGACTGTCTCTAGACGCCTAGCAGACCCGCTTACCCGAACCTGTAACTTAGCCACAAGCATTATTGGATTACACATCACAAGCGCGTCCGCCTGAAATGCCACTGCGAAAGCTTGTGTCATTCAGCTAGGCAGGCATGTACAGGCGAATGGCTAGTTGTAGAAGCGTACGATATGTGACCTGGCAACACGTACGTCTATCCATATTCTTGTATTCACACTATGAGATACATAGACTTCCTGTGTAATTTGGTTTGGTTGGGCAGTTTGCGTACTGTATGTAAATCCTGTCAGTCCGGACAGTATATCTTCGGAGCATTTTGCCAACTATCTGGGGTTAGCAACCGTCGCGACGTGGACGGCATCCTTCAGAAATGGCATAAATAGCTGCCTCGATGTGGATTTAGCTTGTGTTGGTTGTGATCGTATGGGATCAAAATCATAGCATCCCTCATACTGGCAGAGGGCGAACAAGGGAGAAGCAGACAACGACACACCCTGGGCTGGGCGTTCTGCAGCGGCCTTTCATGCATTGGCCTGCGGTCTGTCGTCGCTCTTGTCAGAGCATCTCTTGTCAGAGGCATCGCCGTCGCCTGTCCACTCATTTCGAACTTTCCGGCGGAGCGGATACTGGGTGGTCTTGAGACTGCCACAGCGTATCGTCGGATATCAGACTGTAGTGAAAATACATGGCGAGTTCCTTTTGCGTTGAAATAGGAGGGCCGGAAATGGGAGGAAGCCATCGTTGTCATCCTGTCTTCAGGAACGTACTTGATATATCTCGACAATGCGTCGACTTGCAAGGCAGTGAGAGGAGCCTCCTGTCGGACCAATATCATCAAACCCATATGAAATTACCGTGCCTGGGAAGGCACGCCCAAACGATGTGTGTCGGACGGGCTATAGGTGTACCAAGGCATTCTGAAAGATCACGTCTTTTGGTAAGTTGCTTTGAAGGCGCGCCTGTTGCTACAATATCAGTTGTCGCCGGCATTCTCGCACTCGTATGGCGGGCTCTACGTTGTTCTATCGCGCCTTCTTCGGTGGGGAATGCGATCCCCTGCAACAAGAAGACGTGTCCATACATCTTTCATCATGTATTTGTCTTGCAAAGCGACAGCATTTCGTATCGATGAGGCTTAAACGCATTGCTGTTCTTGTCGTTGCACGTTTTCCCTCCCTTTCGTCCTTTCCTGGCAACACTTCCCGAAGTGGCACCGAACCCCGGCATGACAGCTCAGGTCGATCTACTGGTCATCGGAGATACTGCGAAGTCATTGGCGACCCTTTGCGCGCAAGTCTTGGGACGAGAAGACACTGCCTCCACCTGCGAGACGTGTTCAGGTTGGGCTGTATTGAATACAGACCGGTGACCAATGGCGCGAGTTTGAAACGCCCGATGCGAGGAATACGATGGCTTACTACGTTAGCTCGACCAAGCCCCCGCGCAAGTCAACCTCACGGCCGCCTCACACCTCCGCATGATACGGGAGAATGCGACATGGCGATTCTACGGCGTTTTCGTTGTCCCACCGACATGTATAAAGATGCGCATGATATGGCCATGTGATGATGATATACACTTACCTGCAGCACTTACGCATCGCAGATTGAGAGCAACATCTCCGGATTCGTTACTTCAAGCACGATGAGCACCATTACCCTCACAGCGCAGCAGCTAGACGAGAAGCCGCCTGTCGACATGTCGATGTTGAGCGACCAGGACAAGAAGGAGCTCGTTATCGCGGACACCGAGTCCGTTGTCAGCGGCATCACAATCGACGGCGCCGAGGCCGCCTTCACGGCGGCCAGATCGTACCACATCCACGCGAAAGGAGTTCCCGTCCTGCGCCTGCCCGCTCCGCCCTCGGAGCTCGTCACCACCGTCAGCAACTTGGACGGCAGCATCGCATACCAGTCTACACGCGAGCGGCGCAGCTCCGGCAACTGCGTGCTAACCGATGCCGAGGGCCACCCAAGCATTGCGACGCAGTACTTCTTCGGCCCCGGCAAGGACCCTGTTCTACGACGTGTCGACGTAGAGGACGGCGAAGATAATGTCATCAAAACCGTGTCCAAGTGGACGTCGCGGGCCCAGAAGTTTTTGCTGCGCGACGGCCGCACGTTCGATTGGGAGTACAAGAAGGAGAAGGGTTTTGGGGGACAAGGGACGAAGGGCACGGCGCTGGTCCTGACAATGAACGGTAGAAGGATAGCGGCGCTGATTAGAAACGAAGAGACAAGGACGCCTGGCAGCAAGAGTTGCAGCGCAGGGAATGGTGGCGAGCTCGTGCTGGGACAGGAGGTAGGCGGTAAGGAGGGCATCAGCGAGGAGCTTGTCATTGCGACAGTGCTGCTGATGCTGAAGAAGGAGATTGATCGCAGGAGAACGGTCCAGTTCATGATGATCGCGGCAGCCGTCTCCGGGTAGTCGGTCGTCGGCTTTCCCTTCGTCGCATTCAAGACTTGTTGATCCCTTTCGTTCTGACTGTGCATTTATTGGTACACCATTCTAGACAATTGACCTGTATCTATCGTCGCAAGTTACCAGCTCTCAGCTGTCAGTCCTAGCCTATCACCGCTTGTCCCCCTATTCCGTTGGCCAACGGTCGAGCACCGAAGGCTACCATGACATTCCACCCCACCAAGCTTGTCTGCGTATCCAGCATCCTAGGCCAACTCAGCCCCCAGTACACCAATTGACAGGCTACCAACTGACCAGACACTTCGCTAACCTAGATCCCTCTGTTATGTTGAGGACCGGCTCCATAGTGAACTCCGCATGAGCATCATCTGCAGAAACAGGCCACAGCGTCTGCATAGTTGTTCACTGAAATATACCTTTATATACTAAGAACAGATTGAGTAGCAGCCACGAAGGTCTCCTACTTTCCATGGGCTTCCGTATGTACGATCGAGCAGATTCTCAAGTCAAATATTGCCACGAAAACTACCTCTGTCATACTGCATATATCAATACACCCTCTTTGCACTGTGCAATTTGAACCCGAGGCCATGGTCACGTCACGTGATATACGGCAGGCCTTTGCATCTTGCACACGTGTGTACCAACTCCACCAATCCCAGTATACATGATGCAGGACCAAACCAGAGCATAGATGAAAGAGTGCATGTGCAGTTTTTTGTAGCGGAAATAATGCCTCCCCGTATCCTAACGGTCCGAAGGCAGGCACGATCCTGTACCCACTTCTTGGCAGCAGCCTCAACTGGTGTCGCACGCGTCAGCGCCAGCAGTCTTTCCCTTTCTATCTCAGTGAAAGTCCCAGTATTGGACGCAATGAAAGGCAGACACTTTATTGGCCGTGTCTTACACGTCCTCCTTGTTCTCTCGCTCATCTATACCCTCCTCCGTTTGCTTTACTGGAGTTTCTCGCGCTTAGCCGACGACGCGCAACAGGGCAACTTCGCACCGCATCCTGCGAGCGATGTTGATAGCGCTGAGCCGGAGAAGCTGAGTCCGCAGAAGATTGTACGCTCTCCTGCCGTGGGACGCGAGAGGAGATTTACTGACGCCATTAGGCTGAGTCCCTGAACACGCTCTGGCTATCTTACGACCTGGACCATTGCCGCAATGTATGCGAGGCGTCGAGAGTCGCTTGCCGATTGAGAGATTGCTGGTATGTGCAGGGTGTCAAGAGTTGGGATTGAGAGACGTGAAAGAACGAGATGTGTTATCGATACGCACGGCAAACGCCAATGCGATGCTGTTAGCGAAACGCGCGTGGACGACGCACGAAGGCGCACGTGGCGAGGATGCGATTGATGGGACTTGTCGCATTGAGTTATTGTCGCCTTTGGAAGGAACTCTTGGAGAGCGATTTTGAGGAGTCCGATCGAATTCCTTGTCCTGCTCTGCGGTCCGCCTGAAGGCACTCGGATGTGGTTCAAAATGTTGTTCCGGAAGGACAACAAGAAAGACGAACTTCTTTGAAGAGCATCGACCTCAGGGTGGGCATGGAACGCCCTACGCTTTGTTGTGCTATGGACAAAGTTGGCCACCGACTTCTTATCTAGGGCCGCACATGCGCTGCAAGTGCGACTGTTCTCGAACGACCATGGAAACGATTCAAGGAGCCGCCAGAAGGCTCTTATAACAGATGTCTAGATGCTGCAAGCATCATGATTTCGTGCTCTGGTCCTACCTCAGTCCAAACAGTGTGCCTTCCTTTTCCGGAAATACTCGTTAATTTTCCAGCCCTCAGCGTCAACAGGCCACGGGCCTGCACGCGTGTACTGTACAATCAGTATTTGACTACCAGAGATACCATTCTGGGTACCTGAGTGACCAAAGATCATCACAACAGTTCCAGACAAACACCCGTATTGTCACGCGTGGAGCGCAATTTCGCGGGCGAGAGCTTTATCATCAGTAATAGAAAATCTCCGCGTCACTAAACGAAAACGGCACACCACACACCGAATTGACTCACCCGAAACACCGGAACAAGAATCTATATACTAACTGAAGATGTGCAAACAAGCGAAGACTGGATACACCGATTGTGCCCACGTCTACACAGACGGCGATATCGAATTCTGTGCGCAAGCGCTTCACCCAGACATGTCTGCGACGAGGTGAAGATCTACTGGAACGACTTGAAGTTCCCCGGCAAGTGCATTTGGTGCCAACAGCACGACAGGGAGAAAGGGAGGATGAAGACACCGGGTGGGGGGAAGAGCAAGGCAAGGCCGGACTGGCTGAAGTGAGCGGCGCTGCTCGCTGTGTTTGTTTTGTTGTCCGGGTGCGTTGGCTCTATCATTCAGGCGTCTGCTGTAAACTTACCGCCACGTAGCATTGTTTGAGCTGTTGTTGAATAACGTTTCTGCTCCTGGGCAGGAGCAAGCTTTCGGGGATTAGCCTGACTTTGACACGAGTTCTATGGAAACCGACGATACCTCGACTTACCAGCACCGTTCTACAAGCTGGTACCGTTCATCTTCGCCTTCTCCTTTTGTATCGATCTCCCAATCCCCAATGTGTACACTACGATACGTCAAATGGCCAGACTGCCCGCATCGAGCATGTTCACACATCGCACCTTGCCCCGTTGTCAAAGAGGGCAAATTCTGCGAAACGTGTTTGACTGGAAAGCCGATACGTTATCAACGAATCAGTGTGCGGCATATAACGAACAACATTGGCGATGACAGCTTGGGTCAGCTTTGTTTCCCAGATGGCACCATTGTGGATAGGGGTAGCTTGCGATGCGAAGCATGTCGATTGGGTCGACCGCAAGTGGGTCGGTCCTTTACACACGGAAGCGAGCGTGAAGCTCTGCTGGGTAGCGAGGGTGCCGCTGGATCCGGAGATGCTACGGAAATTAATAGCGTTAGATATCTTGCAGGTGTTCGCAACTGGTTTGGAAGAGGGAAGTAATTGTGTACACGAAGCAATATCTGCATGCGATCTATTTCATTGAGTGTATCTGAAACGCAGTAAAGACCGGCTTGAATGCCAACAGGATCTCTCGACTTCACAAGATACCTTGCGTGACGACATCAAATGGACCTTCGACAATTACTCAATTCAAGTGGACTCCGAAAACATGTCCCACGGAGTAATAACGTAGAGTGAAACCACAGTGACATACCAATGTGAGTCCCCTCATTTGAAGCGACACATTACATCTGTGGAAAAGGCCAACAGCAGCGCACAAACCTACACCGTGCTGCAATCCTATTACTTTATTAAACCACACACAACTAATAACCATCAACAACCATCAAAGGACCATGCCCATTATTCAAAATGAGCGATCCTCCTTCCAGTCAATCGTGTCTGCACTCACGCCCACATCCGAACACCACACACTATATCCCCTACCTCCCGAGATCCGCCACATGATCTATGCCTCAGCCTACGCCCCCAATACCCGCTCCCGCTGCACATCCATCGCTCTCAACCTTGCAAACCCATCCCACTGGCTCCCGTCCATCTGCTCGCTGAATCGCGCAACATACATCGACGCCGGCCTGTGGTACATCTCTGCAGCCTGCTTCAACATCCCTCTCCCCTCCGCTTCCCAATCCCTGAAACAATTTTCCCGCTTCCTCTCAACATTCCCTGGCTCCTCCGGCTTCGACGCTGTCCGCCGTCTCGAGGTCGAGTACTTCGATCTCGACCTCCGGCGCCACGACCGCGTGCAGCGTGCCGCGCTGTGGAAGTTTCTGGGAGAGTGCGGGAGATTGAGGGAGTTGACGCTGCAGTTCCGCGTGATGAATTTGCTGGAAGCGAACGTGAGTTGTTACGATGTCGTTATGAGTGATCTCAGGCAGGAGGATGTGGATGGTATGTCACATCTGCGGTCGTTGAAGGATGTGGTCGAAGCGTGCGGGGTTGATAGGCTGTTTGAGGTTGAGCTTGGGGAGCTGAGGACAATGTATTTGGAAGTGTGGCCTACGACGTTGGCGGAAGGGGTGGAAGAGGTGACGGGGAGGAGCGCAGTTGTGTTGATGGCGATGCCGCTGATTGAGGAGTTGGTAGGGTACTTGAGGGAAGGATTTGTGGCGCGCGGGAGGGAGGTTGAAATTGTGATTCAAGATTTGTTCGCTTCGGGGATGAGGCGGAGGGAGAGTTGAGTGGTTGAATCTGAGTTTAGTTCGCCGCGGAATTAGGTTGTGTGATATTGTGACTTGCAAAAGTTTCTGTACCACCTTTCCATGGGTCGGAGGCACTTATCTATAGACTTCTAGCAATTCATGACTCGTAGATTGTTGATTCATCGCTCCTTATAGGTTAATTCACCGTAGTACGCTTATTTTGACACTTTGGTGCCCTGTATAGGCTAAAATAGAACTCAAAAAGGTTAAAACAAGCGTATCACAGTGAACTGACCTATAGGGAGCGATGTATCAACAGTCCACGAGTCATGAGCCGAGGGAAGCTCTAGATTTCCATGGTAAAGTGGTACAATTACTTTTGCAACGCACCGATAAAGTCAGCTAGCATGACCACGACCCCCACTTGTACGCGATTATCTCGGAACTTATAGTTCAGTCACATGGTGTGCTCTGGGACTGCCATTTATTCTCCGACATCGCTCGCACGCACGCACGCACACGCTTTCTTCAGCTGCTTCAGCTTTTTGAGATGCTGTCTCGGCTCGCCCCCTATATACAAACATCACACACTCAAAATCGAATATATGATACCCATTGCAAGGCCACACGCGCGAAAAGCTGTCTTGTCGACCCAGCTCGAGAGTGTAAGCTGAGCGGCGCCGGTCTCATCACTCCCGTGGTTCCAAGAATTGTATGCGATGGCAAGATTGCGAGCAGCAACATCGGTTGCTGCTGCTGCCATGATGAGTATTATCAGCGGCCTCACACTTGCTTCACTATATAAAGAAGTAGGTATGATCATGCGAAGGTAGGCAACCATAGGCCAGAAGGTTGTATTGATCTCGGTGATTGCAGGTATGAAGGGAAGATAGCCCATGCCGAAGATGAAGTAGCTCACTAGACGTGACTATCGCTTCCGCATGTTGAATAATTTGACATCCAGGATAATTTAGAGACCGAAGACTACGGACGGGACCGAAGGGTAACACCAAAGCATAGGAGCCCAGACTGGTCGCTCGATGTGATAGGTGTATTCGGTGTCGCACCATGCTTGCGTCGAAAGAAGCGACAATGCTGGATATTGAGTGAAGCCTGCAGCGATGACAATGTGAAATAGGACCACGTAGCAGGACATTTAGGTAGGGTTTTGTGGATTGTCCAACTCTTCTCCGGTTCTTTCCACCGTCAGACCGTTGTAATAGATACGCAGGCGTTGTTTGTGGTTGCGACTTGCTTTCTAAGGTAGCCTGCCGCTCCGGGTTGTGGTACCTAGAGTGCTGACCATGCGATTCTCTTGATGATAAAACTGTGGGTCGTCTAATCTTCAGGACAAGTGGTACAATGAACCGGAGGACAGATACATTGATGATGTTGATAATGAAGGTTTTTGGTCTCGTGAAGCCGAATCCGTAGGTGGGTTTCTCTTCTTACGTTTGGCTTGAGTGTTGATATTGACTTGTAGAGGTATGTGGTCTGGACAAGTGAAGTGAGATGGAAAATGTACGTATGTTTAGTACCAATTCAGTGAACATCAGCATGAAGTTGATGCCTATGTGGCCACGATGTGGTACCGTGGATGATCTACGGCAATTCAGCTGCAAACTACTCATCGTATACAAGCCTACGCAATTAAGCTGCACCGGAAGCATTAGACTTCGCAGAGATGTAGCATCTTCAGCAAACTAATTGGGAAATAGGATTTCCATATGTTCCCATATATCTTCGACACGAAAAGGCAGTACCAGATGGCAGAGCTAGCGGAATTGTGAACTGCGGCGACTAATGACAGCCAACTTCGATGATTCTACGTCCAGCTCCCTAGAGTATTGAGAGATTCCGCGGCAATAACGGAATCGAAATTTAGCCACAGAAGGTACTGTGGTGACGTGGTGATCTCAGAGTTTCCAAAGGATCCAGGTCACGTGTGCAGCCTGGGTCGAGGGTTAGCCGCGATGCCACTTGATGGCTGAGCATCTAGATGTGCGAACCAGACAGTCGCATCGGAACACTTCTTGCTTACTTCCGATGTCCAAATGTGCTTCGCCATGTGAATTCCATCGATTGAGGTGCAGAGGCATCGCACATCAGCGTTCGGGGCTGGTAAGCTCGCCGCAAAGTTGTTGAGGGATGGCTTGGCGCATTTCGGTTTCCAAGTGTTGATCTTCGCCTTGTCACGACAGAGTTGACATGTGGCTAGGTGGACGGGTGATGATACCAGGAGGTAGTGGAAGGTCGGAGCGATCGGATGTCACGCCACGTGCTTCTCAGTCGGAAGGCAGCTAGCGTTATGCATGTCAGCCAGTCCAAGACGGCAAGACCCCGCTTGTTCTTCCTCCCTAAAATATCAACTCTAATAGATGTCTCCTAACAGTAGTTGTGCCAACGTCAACGATTGTAGAATATAGCTTTCAACCGGATTGCATCGGAAATTCAATCCATTATATTAGGTACAGATTCAAAAATTAAAACAAGATGTTTCACATGTCCAGAACTAGGTCGAGATGCAGTCGAAGGAATTGACTACCCTTAATGAACACCCGCCCGAATGTTCCAATCGTTGCTTGCAAGTAGCTTGGAGGGGAATTATTTAATTGCCGCATTACACCTGCGGCACGGGCTGAGGATGAGATTCGGGATCGGTGGTGCTCGTTGAGTCGTGCTTCTTGTGGTGGAGAATCTTCTCTTTCATAGCACTACTGTACGTCAGAGGCGATGCGGAAACGATGGCAGTGTGCTGGCGCTGCTTACGTTGTTCTGTGAGTCTCGCTAACTTCACGACCCTTGCGGATTTCAGAGAAAACAAATGCTCCCTGTGCCGGCCAATTAGCATGATGGACATCTCTAATGCACCAAGCGGTACTGACAAGGATAGCGCTCAGCATCCAGCACATAGCGCCGATGAAGAGGAAAGCAAGAATAGTCCGCCAGGTTCGACATCCTGCAGATCCGATAGTGGCAACAGTCACGTTAGGAACCGTCCAGAATCGACCCCAATAGAAGCCCCAGTAGTTGTAGTACCATGCAGAGGAACAGGAACTGTTGAGCTGCGGAGAGAGTCAGCTACCTATGTTAAGTGGATAAGATGCTTCACCAGCACTTACGTTTGCTAAAAGCGCAAATGCTATGATTGAGCAGATGAAAAATATAATGTCAATAGGAAAAGCGTAGAAGGAGTATTTCGCGGGCACGATCAGAAGCAAAGCAAAAATAACTTCCAGGACAGAGATGACTTCGGCATAGATAAGACGACTATTCGCATGCGCGTTTGCGAGGTTCAGGTAATAAAAGAAGCGACCTAAACAGGCCACGACAATGACGCCACTGGCGAATGCACCAAAGCGAAGAATTACAGACGCGACTTTAGAACCAGTCCCCATGGCTGTGTGAAAGGAGTAAAGTAAGACTGTGGAGTAAAGTAAGACTGAGTGTTGCTTGATAGGTCCGTATGAGGATATGATGGCGTAGATTTTGGATCGTTACATCAGAGAATATCCCAGGTCTATATACAGCAATCCCAAAACCCTTCTGCGAAAAAGAATCCTAGATCGGTCATGATCACGCGCGACGGTCCAATGAGGCAAATCATGCGTGCGAGAGGGGGTAGTAGTGCTAATTGTGTTGAATTGTGAGCGTGGACTGGTTCTGTAGACGCACGAAAAGTTAGTGATCCACGGAATACATGCTCAGCTAAACGCATATTGGCTGATTAATAGACTCAGACCATACTCTCCAACAATTAAGCTGAGTTGTCATATGACAGTTGATAACCGTGGTCTGACGTTGCGTCATGTTTCACGTGCCCGAGCGAAAGAACAAAGGACCGAGAACTTTCCTCCACACAAAATGATGCACTAAATGTGTGGTATAGCTGAAACCGGAACTTCAGAATCCTGCGCAGGCCTAAATCGACTCTGAGCACCCCGCCTGTTTCAAAACATTGGCGAAACTAGAATTTTCGGCGTATATATCGACTTCACGTTCATGAGAGACGCACTGTTGGAAGCGAAGGGATGCCTAAGTACGCCGCTGAATCTGATCAACACGTGGAAATCGCCAAGTAGGGCGAGCGCGGGTGGCTAGTTTGGAAGCCTTGCATGGCAAGATGATTCGTGTCATTTGAAGAAGATGTGGTGATGTGCTCGGCAGGGATTACAGTTACAGTTTTCGTTCTTGGCATGTGACGAAGAAAATGGTGTTTCTCTTGAAGTGCATTGCTCGTAATTTCGCGCTTGATGTAGGAAAAGCTTTTGTGCTTGATGTAGACGGATTCCTCATATGCACTCACTTTTCAAACTTGCATCCATGTCATGCTCTCCATCCGATGGCTATAATATGTCCCCATGTTTTATCTACCAATACCATCATGTGTTAAACTTTTGGAGATGATGAATTCTCATCGATGGTTGCCATAATAATTGTCAGAAAACCCTTTGTAGTCGTCCATCCTATGGACATGGCATTCAGCGTAATTTCGGTCGTTAATAGTAAGATGTGTGTACCGGCAGAGTACACAGTAATACTCCTTTCCTTGAATACGCTCATATTGCGCATATGCCACTAGTCCCAATGATCGGCGGGCATGACTCCATCCCAAGACCGACACCAATTCATGTCCCAGAAATTCTTCTCCCAGTTGAGAACTTGGCCAATTTAACGTGTACGTGTAATCTTGTGAGAACGCAGTTAGCGAAGGCTCAGCGATCTATAAGAGGGTATCGCGTATAAGGTTGATCACATTGCTTATGTAAGTTCGCAATGTTGAGAAGCAAGAAGATAGCCTCATGGCCTGTCGAATGTTGGATTGGTCAGGAGGTAGTAAATATTTCCCTGAAAACTCATGTGGGCAAAGAAGAATTGGTTGGGGTGAACAGGAGTTGGAAGGGCCTCTGGATCGATATGATGGTGTACAAGTGATCCTATATCGATTGATATTGCTGTAATGATTCTTCTCTGGTTTGTCAATCATTCAGTACATATGTAGTTGAAGGAATGTAGAAGCCAAGTCATTAGCATGCTCATTCGCCCCGACCTCTTTACTGTTGTTTCTCTTTGTTTCCGTCAAATTATTAATAGATGGAAATGATACCCTTAGCATAGAAAATCAAAATAGGACCGAGAGATAAGATCTAGTCAGAACCAGCCAATCCTACAGCTCTGAGACGACTCGTTCTATCATTCTTACTTCTCATCTGCCATCTGGGGGAGGACTTTTGTGTGCAATCAAGTTATAATTACCGCTAGAGGCGTCGGGGACTGGGCTTCCATCGCCCATGGCCTAGAAAGATATCGATGATATGAGCGAGATGGTATGAGGCTGTAATAGGATGTAATTGTCAGTCTGAGTATCTTTTCTCCCCTACAAATGGATGTGGCCGAAAGCCTGCAGCGTCTCCCTGCATGCACAGTGAAGATACTTGCGGGATTGGACAAAGGAAAGAAGTGTAGCCGCGCTTATAATTGTGTGTAAGCGGAGAAGAAGAAAACACACGCATCTGCCTGTAGCTAGCATGCCTTATCCGTACGTCACGTGATACCAACTATTCCAAGCTTGGCCATGCGGCCTTCAGAGGTCTCCAAATACTGTGAAAGTAGAATATGGATACATTATCTCCACTGATAAACATATTGCCGCGATAATAGTATATGAATGCGAGCCCTCACGTGGTCCAGCACGACCCGCCGAATGCCACATACTGCAATTGGTAGCCTTCCACGGTACGGCACAATCCGATTTCATACAGTCAATCGCAGCATCTCGCGCTCTCAGGTGACCGAAAATGCTGTTCGGGTTCTAATGGCACAGACGGCACTCATGTACTGCTCATCCGTGCATCATGAAAACTCGATGCCGCAGTGCAGTCTCACAGTCCCGAAAGTCTTCTTGCAGACTGCAGCTGCAGCATTGCAGCCACAGCAACCGACCAATCGACTCCAACCAGAACCACGGATCGGACCCTTCTCCATGACTTTTACACTCGCGCACTAGTCCGAAGCGAGCACCCAGACAGCGGTTCCCCGCCGCCGTCCCGTTAGCGTAACCCCTCAACACATCCGTACGCTAATGGTAATCCTGGCCAACTGATTAGATCCGCACGTATGCTCTGACGACTACAGCTATGGGAAATCAATAACACACTCATGCAGGAACAGTGCGCTTCAGGCACTTGCCATTCCCCATTGGGTGGATGTATCAAGGATAGATCGTCACGGCGTCAGTGTCCCGGCAGCCTGGACGCGTCTACAGCTGGGGAAATAACCGCTAGGGCTGTTGAGACAACAGAGCGTAGGCCGGATTATGAAGGCCTGAGTGGCTTCGATGATGGCTTGTCTGGTGTTCGAGGGCAAAGATGCGGATATAAAGCCGGCTGAGAGCACTCGAGTTCCCCTTTTTCAAGATTTATTTTTCTTGCCTGCAACTTACTCGTTTTTCTCGTTGCAAACGAATTGTCCAAATCTTACGTCCGAAGCCACCATGAAGTTCTCCGTTGCTGCTATCCTCGCCACAGCTGCTCTTACTGCGGCACAGCGAACATACAATGTCACCTCTGCGCTCGCACCTGGCCAACTTGAAAAGTACAAGTGCTTGTGAGTAGCTCTCTACGGCGTTTGCAACTGTTCACCTACTGACGTGAGTCTGCAGGACCACCGAAAGATGGCTCAAGGATTTTGGCATCCCCGAGTGCATGCACGAATGCACTCGCGAAGCCAACAGCAAAGACGGCTGTGCATACGACGACTTCGCATGCCACAACATCAATTACCAAGTGTACTCTGATGTGAGCACTACGGACCAATGCCTGGAACTGACTGACACACAACAGATCATTGAGCCTTGTGCATTCCCTCCGCAGCTCGGAGGCAGCGGTACCTGCACACTCGAGGAGCTGGGCGCTATCCGACCCAAGGTCGCCGACGCGGGCAACTTCTTCAATGCGACACTGTATGCGGCGTATGCGGACAAGCACTGCGAAGTGCGACTGAGCATCTTAAAGACGTTGAAGATCATCGCGGATGAGGCCACGATTATATCAACGAAGTAGATGGGTTGAAGGATCTAATGTAAGGTTGAGGGTATCACAATGTTACAAGCATTCAGATAATTGTGAAGTCATTGATCAGGACGTCAGCTCTCCGTAGTTCATCCGTCATTTTGAAAGATCCCAGTGTTGGGCAGAATGATGCTCTCACTGATAGGCCATTCAGTTTCTCAGTTCAAACTATGCAACGTGGAGATTCCGCTGACCGACACCAAGAGTCACTCACAAACTCCACGCCGTCGGAATTTTTTTTGTCGACGAGTAGACGATGGAGAAACTGTGCCATCAGCTGCTCAAGCTCATTACGTATTTCCAACAGAATGAGTGAAGTCCACTCGCAATTGTCTGTGGCTGGGCTGACATGAACGCCTCCAAAGACCTGCGGATGGCTGTACAAACGACGGTCCCCCGCAGTATGTACCACGAAAGGCGATGCCATAGTCGCCCTCTGGAGCAATCTCTCGAACAACTTTGGCTACGGGCGGGAGCAGTGCGGATGCGAACTGGTCCAAAGCATTGGCCTGGTAAACCCTGAAAAGCGTTCGCTGTATTCGCAGGCATCCTGCTTGATCTCGCTTCTGCCGACAGACTCCAGGGCTCGAGCCATGTGGGAAAAAGCATAGCATTGCTTCTCCGGATCTGTTCGATGGGAGGCAAATCCTCTGATATCGCGTGTAGATTGCGTAGGAGAACTTCCCATTTCTCGCTGTGATCGTAAGTGCGATATCATTGGTTGCGAAGTTGCAGATCACGTCGCGCAAGTCTCTTGGGAGGTGGAGCAGTGGCGACTGATTCGCGTTCCGAGCGGTGCTGTTCCATTTGAGAGCGACGCGGAAGAAAGCTGGACCCAGCAATGCATAGGCTGGTAAGCAGCGAGAGGCTTACATGTCATCGCGGTCGATGCTTGTCGTGCTGCTGGGATTGGGCTCGGTAGGCCCCATTATGAACTCCAAGCCGGAAGGATAAAAGTGATCGCAGTTTGGCTGTGGGTAACCAAAAGGGTAGTCGACTGTGAGATCGATAAGTGGTGTGCTTATCATAGGTGAGTGACGCTAACCAGTCGCTCACTAGTATGTGATATCAGGCAGTCGCGTTATGGGCAAGTGCAGAGCGTCATGGCTATTCGTCTCGCAGAGACTGATCCGCGCTGACTCACATAGATTATACCAAAATTGAAACATTCGACATGAGAAAGACTACGAAGACACCCTAACCATGGATCATCAATGTTACGGAAGACCTTCACAACGTCCGTGACGCGAAGTGTCAATCTCTCGCTCACTTGGCCCATTTCGATACATGTAGCAAGCAAATTTGCCGCGCGAACGACCAGTAGCGTATCACGAATCGATTCAGAGCATTTGCCATAGACGTTCACGCCACTCCACGTTCTAGAGCCAGTAGGTAGCACAGCAGAGATCCACCTGGAATTCGGCATCCTGGCTGCTGATGTCGTCATGAACGTCACGCCAAAGGACCGAGTCGTGACCTTCGTATACGAATCTAGGAAGAAGAAAAGCTTAATGGTTCCCAGGTACTTCGCTGGCGTCTTCCACGAACATGTGTGAAGACTTATCGGACCGACAGAGCCGACCGGTAAGCCCCCCCCCCCCCCCCCCAAAAGTATTCGAGAACTTCAGACTGTGATGATCAAGTCCTTTGTTGCACAATGTTAACTGTGGAGTCGCAGTTCGCCGGGCAGTTGTAGGAGAGCCGATTGGTTTACATTGCGGGCGGAGCTTTCAATCGATCAGGAAGGTCAATTGGTAGGGATTGAAAGGAAACCTACGTTGTGCCGGTTTTATCAACACTTGCAAGTCCACCGAAGAAGAGCGTTTCCGAATCATGCGAACAGACAGATGGAGCTTGCTGTCAGTGCCAACGTCTCCGCCAGCGACACCTGCGTTCACTCTCGTGGTGCTGAGTTGGGCGGCGCCGATGTTGAGGATTTGCTTAAGAAAACAAATCCCACTTCATGACCAGTGAACGGTACGAGAGGTTCTGGTTGAATATGACGCTGTTCACCGCCGTCTGTGCAAGGTGAGAATACGAAATTGCGGCTGTTTCGCCATCCCGTCAGCTTCCAACAAGGATGGGACACAGAAACTGTCAGCTCGGCCGGGAGCCTGAGCAGCGGCCACTCGATGGCATTATGAGCGGTTCTGAATCGCAATAACAAGACAAAAATATCGTAACATCCTCTTACATGTTGCTGAGTGCAGGGCAACGCACTGATGTTGAATACGTACACAGATATTTTCATGTCCCGTGCAGAAAGTGCGCACCCACACTTTGAACGTTCTGTTGTACCCTCACTCCGTCCACTTCGCATTGCCGAGTGCCAGAAAAGGGCCAACCCATCCCGACGCACCATCCGGAACATACGCCTGGCGCTTGAATCGCCGATCACCCCCTTCATTACACTCCTTCCGACTATCGAAAATGACCTCTTCGCTGCTCAGCCTTTCCCCGTGCAGAAACGGCGTGAAGACTCCAGGAAGATGTCGCGTGCCTACGAGCTCCACGCTCGCCTTCCCATGGAGCCGCTTGACGATCTCGAGAAGTGCAACACCACTGCGCGGCCATATCTGTCTGTGGGCATTATATTCAAACTGCCAAGACATGCCCTGAAGGTGGCCCTCTGAACAGGATGGTGTTGTGTACAACCTCAGGTGCGAAAAGTTGGTTGTAGCTGATATGGCAGGAACGTAGGAGGCTAGGTGTTGCCACGTGTCTCCTCGACCGTAGTCGAGGGCGATGCCACTCAAACCCAGGGTGAGAAGATTTGGTGGCGCCAGCGATGCGTCGAGCAAGAGTTCGGCTAGATTGGTTCTGTAGCCTACATCCAAAGCATGGAGACGCTTGAAAGTGGACAGGCCGCCAGAGGACTGGCGTAGCACAGACAAGGAAGAGGTCATGTCGGTGCTGAAGTACTCAGGTGAACCGGGAACGATTCGGCTGGTCGGATGATGGGTGTAGCGGAGATATTCAAGAGAATCGCTCTGTTGCTGTAGGGCTTCAAGCAAACCCGGCATCTGGGCTCGAGATAGACTCGAATGGGATGTTTGGCGCACTTTTACAAGCTCCCGAGATAAACTTTGTGCATTGAGTGGCTCCTTGTATTGAGCGAAAATAACGTCAAGCAACAAAGTGAAAGAACGAAGAGCCCGTGGACGCGAGAGAATGGCCTGAAGTTCGAAGAGGCTCGACGATGGCTCGGTGCATCTTTCAAGGATCAAGGTTTCGAGCGGAGTACGCTCGCATGAAGCGCCGAGTGCCGCGAAGGTTTCGTTGGCACGTGATATGTCGAGGCATGACAGATGCAGGTATTTGAGCGTCGGCGACAGAAAGACTGGTAGTACTGATTTGATACTATAGTACCGATGGTGGGTGCCGTGGGAATGTAGTGTGACTGCGCTCAAGATTCCATAGTCAGCGCAGTACTCATACGGTGGATGTACGAGCACTGTACTCAGACCTTATTCAAGCCTTCATACCAACCGACTTACAAGACGTCAAACACCGCCAAGCACCCTTCATTCCCCTGTTTGACCTATCAAAAAGGTCCATATACTCCCGCATACACTCCTCCGTCCACCACGCATCCCTCGTCCCCGTATTGACCAAAGGACTCTCCACCTTCAGCCTCTTCAATCTTACCATCTTCCCTGCCAGCTCTGGCATGCGTTTGATCCCCCGCCACCCGAACGCCCATGGCGTAGCCTCCAAATTCTCAACCGCGAGAAGGCGTTCGGGAGGTTGCTCGAGAAGTTGGGCTAGCCGCGTGACAGAAGGTCCGTCGCGGATGTAGATGTTTTTGAAGAGCTGGGATTCGGCGAGTGTTTGGAGCATTTGGCATGTTTGTGCGAGGGCGATAAGGGTGACGCGGTCGGGGAGGTAGGAGATGATGGCGATGAGAAGTTCGTTGGGGAGTGAGAGAAAAGGGCTTGTGGACGGCGACGTGGGGCGTTGTGCACCATAGGGAGACATTTGTTCGGCTTCGCTATCGCTCTGGACACGTGCTGGTCCGGTAACACGCATGGGACTGCAGTGAGTCGAGGACATTTTGTGTTGAGTACGTAGGTAGTGCGGCCCGCGTCGGCCGCTGGTGAAAAATATGGTAATTGATCAGATGTCTGAGTACATTATTCTGCTCTAAGGGAAGCGATGCAATTCCAAGACCTGTGCTTGGGGGCAGTGTGGCAGGAGAGAGATAAGCTGTAGTCTGGTTGCAGGCAACGACGAGTAAGGCGTGCCGACCCCACCCCGCATTTGTGCGTTGCGAGCAGCACGCCATCTGATTGGTCTGCATAAGTGTGCTTACCAACTTCGTCCTCGACCATGTATCACGAAGCCGTGTCCACATATTGCAATTATATAATTGTTCGAGAGTTTTCTCTTCTTCTTCTATCGATAGGGGTCATTATGCAGTATCGCTTCGTCAGACGCCGAGTCGGCTTTAGGAGGCTGCTCCGGAATGCGCTCAGTCCATGCATTTTTCTCTTGCTCTCTATCCCGCCCCCCGTGCGGGTGCAAACCCCCTTCCGCAGCCGTTAGCACAGGGTGCAGCTCCATAACCGCGCTACCGTCCTCTGCATCCATAATTGAAGAGAGCTGCAAATGGGCTAACGTGTCGCGGGATGTGCCTCTGCTTACCTGCTGTGCGCTCCTAATCGTTTGGCTTGCGGTAGCATTGTTCTTGTTGTCTTGCAGGGACTTGTAGCTGCGTTTGCCGCTTGAGTCGAGGGTGCTCTCCTTGGCGTATGTGGAGGAGAATTTTCTCTCTTGCTTAAATCCGTTAGAGCAGAATCGTGTGAAGTTCTTGACTGTGGGGACGGCAGCGCATACATGCGCGACTCCGCTGCCAGCAAAGCCGAGAATCGATGTGGGTGTGACGGTGTAGGTCTGGTCATCGGTATCGACAACGCCTGGTAAAAACGGTACACGTGCGATTGCCATGGCGATAACACTGTGGGATCGTTAGACCGCATCGATTGAAGACGCAAGGGAAGACTTACCATATACCCATCCCAAAAAATACCATAAGCTGAATCTTCTTGGCAGTCTTCATCTGCAGCTTCAGCACGATTGGTATAGGAAGGCTAAAGAGCACAATCTCGGCGATGATCTCGTACACGACCGTCAGCCTTAACACGGCAATCCAGTCGATGCATTTCGCGGTCTTCTGCGCTTGGAGATCCCAGATCGCGTGGATTGGCGTACATTGGAAGGCAGCCAATCCGATGAGGGGAAGCGTAAAGGCAGCCGTGAAAGCCATAAACGCGAAGACAAAACGCTTCAACCAGACGTTCGGGAAGATACGTAGGTAGAGGCAGAGGATGCTGTACTTGAGCAAGATCATCTCGAGGCCCCAGAAGATAGTCGTAATGTAGGCTGCCCTCGCGTTAGCCAACTTTGCATGGTGCGCAAGGATGGCGCAGGTACGTACTCCATCTTCCGACTGCGACTACGCGTGCATACGTCAGGTCCCAGATATGATGTCCAATTCCTGCTTCGACATTCAAGAGGAGGAAGACAGTCATGGGGATGACCAAAATCTTGTCCAATCGTAAGTAGGTACGCATAGGCCCGGCGATGGAGCACTCACAACAGAAGCAAGATGTACCCAGTCATCCCACCAGAAATTGTTGCCGCCCAGATGTCGAGAGGCGAAGCGCATTGCAGTGACAATGATGGGTGCGATGCCGCTCACCCAGGCGGTGATGCGGATGCTATTCGACAGCGAGTCGTGCGGTCTATTACAAACCGAAGCCTGCGCGCGGAGTGTAGCTGCAGCGATGTTAAAACCACGTACCGATGCTGCGCTGATTCAATCCTACCAAAGGTCTCATCGTAAGTGCACGCGCTTTCAAAGCACGGTTGTAAGAGCTTGGTCGAGTTCCTGGAACTGCACTGGCACTCGATGTCGACACTGGCGAGGAGTATGAATGCGAGAACACGGCGCAAAGGCGGAACGGGCATATTTAGAAGGTTGCCTGGGACAGTCTGATCCGGCAATGCAGGTGGCTTATCATGTTCGAAAAGCCGTCAGATGCAGGACACTATCGCTCCGGTAGGTGTAAATTGGTTGCGACGAACTAGAGTGGCCATCCCAATAAGGCCGCCGTTGGTGAGTACGGGCAGAGATCGCTCTTAGAGCGTACACGACTCAGCGTTCAAGCGTGAGTCTGGAAAGCCGAATCACAATGGTTGGAAGTACTAGGACGGCATGATGGTGTCTCGTTCCACCATTTGCGCCGGGACGAGGCGCTCGGTTTCGTACTTAGGTCTTAGTGTCGCTACTACCGTCAAATAAACTCCACACCACCGTCGGTATTCGAGGACCTCTGAGCAAGTTGTGATAAAGGGCTGATTCGGCCAGGACCGGTGGGCTTGCATGGGTCACGGAGCACCTTGGAATTCGAAATAACATCTAGCCTCCTGTCAACGACGCGTAGAAGCGGCGGTCTCCATTTCTCAAACATCTGCTCCAGCAAACTTACACACTGACGCCGCAAGATTGTGCCAGTAGTAGTCCCTTGGGTGCGTACCCACAAACTGCCTTCGAGGCCTGGAGTTGAGTGTTTGTTGCCAGGCAAACCCAGCGGCCCGGCTCATAGCGCATCTGCCCCAAACATCGGGCGACGCGATCGGCTGGCCTGGCTCCGAGGAGATTGGCGAAGAGATGCACGCAGATCCGTGCCGGTGATCGTTATCACACCGAGCACAGAGCCAGCCTCAAATGCATCTACAAGGCCTGCGGGTCAAATTGCTGGCGACTTTTGTATACGCCCTAAATCTCTCACGTGGGAACGGCGGAAGGGAAAGAAAGTGCAACCCAGCGAGCGCGATCCGGTGCGCCACAGTGCAGCGCTTAACCTACCGTAGAGTAGCATCCGCTTCAATGATCGTGCGCATCAATTAATGCTACTTCGTGCTTGAACCGGCGAATTCTACGACCCCATGGAGCATTTCCTACTCCACCTCCACGAAACGCTTTTTGCCTGCAGCCAATCGACTGTTTGTGCGGCGCTCAAGTGACCAGCTAGCCACCTGTCGAGTCGGCGGATTTTAACCTTCCAACGGCATCTGCTAGCTCCTGTAATTCGTCGTGTTTAATCCTCGCGCACGCGCACTGGTGCAGTGTTTACGGCGATATTCTCCGACGGCGAGTGGGTGTAAGTGCTTCCGGGTCCTTCCGGCGCACAAGGTAGTCATCCATACACTGCATTGGTTCCCAGAACTGAAAGATGGGTGCCCCAAACGCACTGGCCTGCTCCATCGAAGAATCGGTGGCATTGACGCTCGCGGATCATTTGAGTTTGTGGCTGCGACCCTAAACTTTGCATGCTGCTGTTTGGACATGCATGCTTGGGTAGCGTCGGATCTCCTCCAGGATGGATCTACTGAGCCATCGAAAGATTACGCGCCTCGAATACAAGGGTTTTCCCTCCGGATCTTCACTACTTACACCCCTGCGGGACGCCTGGCTGGCAGCCTGCCAGCCACAGCCCTAAAATGCTATACGTGGATACAATGTGGCAGAGTGCCATCATACGAAGTGGCCGTTTACCTCCAGCTCTGCTTCGGGTGGCAAGGGGGAAAATCAATTTCGTGGATTAGAGGTCCGTCAATTTTGTTGAAGGAATCCAGCATCAGCAATGTCGGCCTCAGCTTCGTCCTGCGAGACTGGCAATGCACCGCTCATGAGGAACTCCTCGTCAGGCTGAGCGAATGCATGGCTGATTCCATTTGAGAGACTGCGTAGCTCGTACTCCTCGCCCATCTCGCCCACAGCTCGATGGCATGCCAGGCGTCGTCGTCGCTCCTGGGGCAGTATTAGTTGTGAAATTACCAAAAGGTATCAGCGACTACGTACGCTTTCCTGTCTGATTATATCCCAGCACACCGATATGAAGCTCGCGATGCCAATGATCAAAGGGATGTATTGGCCCGTGGATGTGATCGAATACACGCCCAGAACTCTGTTCCATCGGAGGCTCAGCTCGATGGCAATGACTGACAGGATACAAGCCAGCACCCCAGTAGTGGCCCAACGGATGCGGAGAAGTCTGATCTGGATTAGCTTCCTGTTGCTACAATAACACTTCTCGAAGCCACTCGGAGGGAATGCACCTCGCGGGAAGCGACGAAGGAGATGTTGGCAATTGAAGCGATTCAGGGTTTGGAGATGGGTAGGCGTACCTTCGATGCTTCAAGTCCACCGGCGTGACTAGACGAATGCCACCTCGGCGCTCTGTGGGCAAAGCACAGAACCTGCGGAGTGCGCCCAGCGCTCTTTTGATTAGGCTGCGGATGATCCGCCAAATCGAAGGCTCCGGTTCAGAGATCGTGGAATTAGCACGCTGATGTTCCGGTGCTCCTAGTTTGGACAAAAACAGTTGATACGCAGCCGACCCCTGCATAGAATGCTTTGCTTCCGGTAGCAAGAGCAGTGCGACTAGTGGGAATGCCGTCAGCAAGTGTGGAAACCACGGAGCCGCTGTTAGGGTCAGCAAGTCTCTCAGAACCCAGAAGCCCACACTCGGATCCAGTACTGGAATTAGGAAGAAGTGATATGTGCCGCATGGCATACGCGAGAACGCTTGGTCATAACCCCAGGTTATGAACCATATGCCGTGATACGTCATGATCCAGTGAGTAGTAAACAGTATTGCTCCGGTCCAGTCGGTCATGACCCATCGGCTCACAGTGCCAAGTCGAATAGAACAAGGGGCAGATCCAAATACGCAAACGTAGCCTCCCCAATACATCCAGTATAGGATTTCGATCTCGACGCTGAAGACACAGGACTTTCTGGTGCTTGCTATGAGTGTTGCCAGGCAAATAGCCAAGGAGAACACCAGGTACACCCTCTGAATCTCCTGCCGGGTGCTTGAGAGGAAATTGTTGGCCAGGAATGAGGACATCCACTGGAGATAGAGTCCAAGTCGTATTCCGAGTCCATAGAGATCAGCGTTCCCAAGAAACCCTTCCTCGCAAAGTGTTGCGTTTTTTCGAATTTTGAGAAACCGGTCCATGTCGAAAGCGGAGAGCACTCGGCTCTCGTAGTACCATAGGTTCCAATCGTATGGCAGTGACGAGTGGTGTTCGGAGACGGAGTACGTGCGAGCGAACTGAGCCTGGTAGTTCTCAGTAGAAAACAGCGGCGCTTGCTCCTGGCCTACGCGTTCTGCACATCCGTGGAAAGTCTGCGGCATGGGCCCTGTCCCCCATGCTTGTAGATCTCTTGCCGACGTGTCGGCAATATCCGCGTCTAATTTGACGTCGAGGACACAATAACCACAGATTATCAATCCGAGCAGAATAAGACAAACGAACCGGCTTGACCACAATGTAGCCCTTTTCAATTGTTCTTTTGCCAATTGCAAGGCAAATAGGGCAAAAATCGGCGACCAGATTAGGACACTTACAAACCAGGCGAGTATGTGGCTCGCGCCGAAATCAGCTTTGAGGTAGATTACCGTGTACCGAGACCCAGGTGAGAGTAGGGGAAGAATACAGAACATGGAAACCCAAAAGAAGCTCGTAAAACAACAAAATATCCCACCCCATAACAAAATGTATCGTGGAAGAAACCCGATGCCATTCTCGTTATAGGTCCAGGGCACGTATTCATCAGGGGCAATTTTTGGCATATCTGGAAGCTCAGCCGAAGCGTCGACGATTAAATTGTCGATATCGTCTCGTGCACCATCGCACCACGTTCCTCTATCGGTAGGTGCGTGTTCTTTGTTGATTGGTACATCATCGTGCAGCTCACAGGTGCCGGCTGCAGAAGCTGCGTGAATGTCGAACATGTGGTTCTTCCTGTATGTGGATGATGCTCGAGATGATGTCTGCAGGAGAGGCGCTGCGCGGAAGCTGGCGTGCCCGTGCCTGGGCTTCGTAGAAAGAGAAAATAGCTCCAACGTTCAGAGGGTGGAAGGCCAATACAAAGCAAGCAGATATGGGGAGATGTGGAATACTTGTAGATGAGTAGAGGGTCCAAATCCATCAGGCTGAGTCTGACAATGATGAACATAGAGGGGGCTGTGCGCTTGGAATTGAGAATCTCATATATACATCGATGATCATTGGCCCCAGCGGCACGGTCCGGCGTAATGTAAGAAGGCATTGCCGCCTTGGACGACTTCGAGGCACACATAGAATCTTGGGATACACGGTGCGATGCGATCATGTTGCGTAGACATGATAAGCACTCGAGGCCTTGGTGATGGAAAGTGGCATAGCATTTATGGTATCGTCCAAGCCAACGTGATGCGTGTTACCAGGCGAGGAGCTGGACGTATCGGTCGCGTGCCTGAGACAGTGGAATTCGTCGTAACAGCGGCCTAGCGACATGTCGGACATTTTCTATTGTACCGTGTAAACCAGCACTGGCGGCACCGGGGCAAACGTGAAAGCACGTGATCCTGGTTGCTCCAGGGCTGGTACGGGCTCTGCGACTTCTTCCGTTGAGCGCAACAAAAGCCACAGCGGTCGTTCACACGGCGCGGTGACGCCGAGTTGCAGCGAGGAACCAAGGCAAATGAGGTTTCGGCGTTTTGTTGCCTCGGGTCTTGTCATCATGCAAGGAGCGCAAGTTTCGGCTTGGAATTTGTGTTGCCATGGTCGCCATGTTTCGCGTGCTCAACCCTCGGCACAAGTTACATAAGCCGAGCTCTGATTCGCTGTCTGCTGGCGTTGGTGCCCACATCTGCATTCCTAACGCGGAAAGTGGGGGGCGTAAGGATGACCTCATCTGGGGAAGGCGCGGCGTTGGGAGCACCACTGCGAAGAGAATGCGTCGCTCCCTACAGTTGGGGAACCGACGGTAGACTGCCTCTTCTCGAAGCTGCGGAGCTGCGTGGCAAGGCCGTGTGTCTCCTGATGGTCGAGCGTCTGCGGCTGCGGATCCGCTAGACGCAGCTCGGGTCGTCGAGGTCATCAATCTGGGAGACAGCCGCATTGGCCAATAGGAGCTGCGGACATGGGCGGCTAGTCATCAAACACCACGCAAACAATGCGGGAAGCAGCGATTCGCCCCGCAACGCCGATGCTCCGCGCAGCAGCGGCAGAGCGCGTCGGGTACTGCAGGCATCGTCGCTGGCAGCAGCAAATGGCGGCCACCGCGTTTCATAAGCATGCGGCGTCTCGCCAGCGGAGGGCAGCGCCAACAGGGTGCGTTGTCCGAATCGCGTCTGGGAATGCGGGGCACGCTGCGAGCCCTCGGCGTGACGCGACGACGATGGCATGGCGCCTCGAACGGCCAGAAGCCGATCCGCTGATAAATGGCCGCTTGGTGGGGTCAGCGGGGTCTTTGTACATAATACAAGTCCCCCGCCCGCGCCGCTCCTGTGCTGTACACCCTTGCTCTCTTCTCCTCCCTCACAACAACCATGGCTGCTTCAGAGTGCCCCGTGAAGAAGGCCAACATCGGCGGCGGCGGAACCAGGAACCGCGACTGGTGGCCCAACGACCTGCGCCTCAACATCCTCCGCCAGCACACGGGCGTGACAAACCCCCAGAACAAGGAGTTCGAGTACGCTGCGGCGTTCAAGAGCCTCGACTACGATGCCATCAAGAAGGACCTCACCGACCTCATGACCAACTCGCAGGAGTGGTGGCCTGCTGACCACGGCCACTACGGTGGTCTGTTCATCCGAATGGCCTGGCACAGTGCCGGTACCTACCGCGTCACCGATGGCCGCGGTGGAGGTGGTGAGGGCCAGCAGCGCTTTGCGCCCCTCAACAGCTGGCCCGACAACGTCTCGCTCGACAAAGCCCGCCGCCTTCTCTGGCCCATCAAGCAAAAGTACGGCAGCAAGATCTCGTGGGCCGACTTGTACCTGCTCACCGGTAACGTCGCCCTTGAGTCCATGGGCTGCCCGACCTTCGGCTTCGCAGGCGGCCGTGCCGACACATACGAGGCCGACGAGTCGGTCTACTGGGGTGGTGAGACCACATGGCTGGGCAACGACATCCGCTACGACAGCGGCAGGGAGGGTCCCAGAGGCGGCGGCGGCGGTGTTGTCGATGGCGACGAGGGTCCCAAGAAAGACCACGCAGACATCCACTCGCGCAACCTCGAGGCGCCATTGGCCGCCGCCCACATGGGTCTCATCTACGTCAACCCAGAGGGCCCCGATGGAATCCCTGACCCCGTCGCTTCTGCCCGCGATATCCGCACCACCTTTGGCCGCATGGCCATGAACGACGAGGAGACCGCTGCCCTCATCGTCGGTGGACACACCTTCGGTAAGACGCACGGTGCTGCCAGCTCCGACAACATCGGCCCTGAGCCTAACGCTGCTCCTCTCCACCAGCAGGGTTTCGGCTGGAAGAACAAGCACGGCAGTGGCAAGGGCCCTGACACCATCACCTCCGGTCTTGAGGTCATCTGGACTTCTGAGCCCAACAAGTGGACCAACAAGTACCTTGAGTACCTCTACAAGTACGAGTGGGAGCTCACAAAGAGCCCAGCTGGCGCCAACCAGTGGGTGGCCAAGACCGATGACGAGATCATTCCGGACGCGTTTGACCCCAACAAGAAGCACAAGCCGCGAATGCTCACGTCTGACTTGGCCCTGCGCTTCGATCCTACCTACGAGAAGATCACCCGTAGGTGGCTCGATCATCCTGACGAGCTGCACGACGCCTTCACCCGTGCCTGGTTCAAGCTTCTTCACCGTGATATGGGCCCGCGATCGCGCTGGCTCGGCCCGGAGATTCCCAAGGAAGTGCTCATCTGGGAAGACCCCGTGCCGGACGTTGACCATCCGCTCATCAACGACACCGACATCACCGAGTTGAAGAAGGAGATTTTGGCCACCGATGTGGAGCCAACCAAATTCATCCGTGCTGCCTGGGCTTCCGCCTCCACTTTCCGCGGTGGTGACAAGCGCGGTGGTGCAAATGGCGCTCGCATCCGCCTCGACCCCCAGATCAACTGGAAGGTCAACAACCCTTCAGACCTCAAGAGTGTTCTTTCTGCTCTCGAGGGCGTTCAGAAGAAATTCAACGGCTCCGCACCTGGCGGTAAGAAGGTCTCATTGGCCGATTTGATCGTCCTCGGTGGTGTCGCTGCGCTCGAGAAGGCTTCCGGCCTGCCCGTGCCTTTCACCCCTGGCCGCACCGACGCTTCGCAAGAGCAGACCGACGCCCAGTCCTTCACACACCTCGAGCCCGTCGTCGACGGCTTCCGCAACTACGGCGTCGGCACCAACCGCGTCCGCACTGAAGCCTTCATCGTCGACAAGGCGCACCAGCTCACGCTCTCCGCTCCCCAGCTCACCACCCTCATCGGAGGTCTCCGCGCCCTCAACGCCAACTGGGACGGATCTTCCTACGGTATTCTCACCAAGCAGCCCGGCAAGCTCACTAACGACTTCTTCGTCGAGCTCCTCGATATGAGCACCGAATGGACCCCCACCGACGGCTCCGAAGAGTTCTTTGAGGGTAAGGACCGCAAGTCCGGCTCCAAGAAGTGGACTGCTACGCGCACCGATCTCATCATTGGCCACCACCCCGAGCTCCGCGCCGTTGCCGAGGTGTACGCCGCTGCTGACGCTGAGGAGAAGTTCAAGAAGGACTTCATCGCTGCGTGGGACAAGGTCATGAACCTGGACCGGTTCGATGTTAGGAGCACCGCCGGTGTCGAGAAGGCGAGATTGTAGATGCATGCATGTAGTTATGACTTCCACTGCGGGATACGACTAAAATGAATACAATTCCACTTCCAATCCACTGCGGTGCTTCTTTGTGATGTTGCAGGGAATAGCCAATCTCAATGTGCCACTACCAGTAAATGTGAAACTCGATGCCTGAGGTATTTTTCGTTTGTTGATAATCGTCTATACAACCTTACCTGCGCCCTCGTGTCTCTTCCAGCAACTAAAGAAATCAAAAGTTTGAATGCAGACACTGGCGCGCAAGAGCTTTGTAACCATGATCCTTTGAGCTTGAGTATCTCAACCCTATGACTCGGACCCTCACATCGTGCTGAAACCACGCTCAGCTCGCTCAACTGGCCGAGCTCTCATCAAAGCGTTCACCCGTGCACGGTCCATGCGCTAAACCCGCGACCAGGGGCGCACCATCCTGGACGGTTCGCCAGTTTTACACGGTCAAACAATACAGGGTCCAACCAAAGCCTTCTCGTCCCATTGCGAAGCCACGTGCGCATTGCACCTACGCATCCCACACGTAATTCAAGGCTGCACCCAAACGCACAACTTTGACACTCAGCAAAAGAATTGCTTATCGAGACGCCACGCGTGTCGACACGCCAGTATCGATAAAGAGTCTGATTCGGTCTCGTCAATTAAATATCAATCCTGCTGCGATGCCAGTATCATGCCTACAGATTCGTACGAGCACCAAAACCACGGGTGGTTCGCACAAAATGTGCGGCCATTTCTCATCTCAAGCTCAATAATAGGGACCACTGGGGAATATGAGTGGGTAGATGTGCCGCTGTACTACAGGGAGCCCTTTGGCTCATGGATCTTCCCTTGAAATTCAAAGGAATGATCTATCGTTACCTTGTTGATGACGTTGAGGAGATCAATGTCCCTGAGGACCTACGCAAACAGTTTCGTCGTGATAAGTGGGATTGGATGTGGGATGAGGACTATGCTTCGATCCCGCTGGATGCAGCACTCCCTGCACACTTGTGGATTGCATTGGCCAGGAATTTCTTTCCTTCGGGGGGCTTCGTGTTAAGCTCGACGAAGATCACATGCTATTCCGAGTCTCTAATTGGTCAGCTCCAAGAGGAACTGGAGAAGAGGGAGTCAGAGACCATCATCCGGTACAGGTCGAACTTACGAATTCCGCTTGAGACTTGAAGAGGGCTACTGTTTTGCTGTGGCTCTTGGAAAAGTCTCAGCTATTACTAAGCGCTGCACGGGAGAAAAAAGAACGTTCTAAACGTGCATGAAGTAGACGTGGCAAGCTCAGAAGCTCACTTCACCACGTTTTACTGTTTGCCATCATTCCAGTTTCCAACCTGCATAGTAGTTCTATCAATTAACTTTCCACGCAATCTATACAATGCACACTTATGTCATCTATCCCGAGCGTTTCCTGTTCCGAATGCCCTAAATCTGACGATTTACGACGAGAGGACAACTTGTCGCTAGAATCCCATGTGGTCTACACCTAATATGCAGTTGCAGAACTTGAAGCGCCCGCATACTGCTTTCCATTGTACACCCTTTCCACCCCCGCAGGCTGATGCGCAACCCGGCTCATATCAACCCCACTGCCAAACCGGCGTGACACACTGACCTGCTCCGGGCTCTGCAATTTTTTCTTACTCCCGCGATGCGATGTCGTCCGAATGAAGAACCATAGCACAAATCCGATTAGAATAGCAGCTCCAGACGCACCAACGCCAATACCTATCTTTGCACCTGTGTTCATCTTTGATTTGGGTGGTACCATGGGGTATTGCATGGTATACACGATGTTGACGATGGCGGACGTTGGCTTTTGCGACATCGTTAGCGCGGGGACGCGGCTCGAAGCAATGGTGGTCGTGAATACGCGTCCATCGCTAGCTGTCGTCGTTATCACCCTGTCCCTGGTGAGAGTTTCACGAGGACTGTCAGTGGCGTCGAGTTGATTTACCATCGTATCTGGTATGGGCGGGGGTGTCATGGCCGCTGCTAGGGAAGAGTAGCAGGGTACTTGGCCGCCGAGGTTGGTGCTCCAGAGCCAGTAGTTCCTGTGCGTCGTCAGCGATCGCATCTCTTTCACCGTGCAATGGATCTCTTACGAAGGACAGCACGCCGTTCCATCAACCGTGTGATAATCTCTTGGACACCCTGTCAGTGTGCCTTGACTCGGCAGTTGCGAGGCCAGAAACTGTCCTCCTTTCTTCATGTCTTGTGTGTGCCCTTCCTCACTTCCAACAGCATTGCCAACTGGAGGCGTTGGGCAACAGTCGCCTTTCGTGGACATACATCCCACGACCGGCATCCAAACCGCTGTTGGCCCATCAATTATGGTATATGCTGGCTCTGAGCAGTAACCTTGCAGGAATGTCACTTCGTCGGCTACGATACCGATGACGACCGGAGCATGAGTAGGTGCCGGTGGGATACTCGCTGCGGGTAAGACTTCCACTGGCTCGAATTGAGGCGCCGGTATGACCGCTGGTGGTTTATCGATAGCGTTCGCGTTTGGTAAGTATGGCGCTGGCGATGTGCGTGGTGGGGAGGTGTAGGTACCATCTGTGGAGACGTCAGTGTTGTTGATCTTGTTGCACATGTCGAGTCACCCACTGGCATATGGTGCTGCTGGCCATCTGCGCGAAATTGTTGGCGTAGGCACGAGCATTGCAGATGCTGGATGTATCAACAAGTTTACACGTAGTATATTCTAAGCTGGTTCAAGATCAAAGGTTCGCGGTACACATGCCGATCTATAGATCGAACTTCGGCGCCACATACAGCTCAGCCTTGGATGTTCTTTTTTTATACGACTACATCGCCGCTGGATCGTATTCGCAGGCAAAAGGCTGAGACGTGGTCGCAAGAAGGCTGCAAACTAGGTGCTTGATTTAGACCTCGCGAGAAGGCAGTAGCCAGTTTTAGATCGCCCCGGGCTTATGATAACGCATAGCTAAAGTGGCGAAGCTCGTGAAACACAGTTTTCAGGGTTTCTGAGAAATTCGCTAACTTCGAATGCGGATTGGGTCGTTGCAAAAAGGTCTTTTCAGCTGCATCACGCCACATCGGGAAGTTCCGAACGGTGCGTGTCCGACAAATTGGATTCTGCGGACAGAGAACTTTCGTGTTGGAGATCGCATGTATAAGGCGGTCTGATTATTGTTGCGCAAGCTGCTTAAGCATGATTTAGGCAACGCTCACTCGTATGCTGCGCTGATAGCCAAGGTTAAGGAGCTGATCCAAGCAATGCCGCGACCATGATATAAAGCTATCCATAGGAATTAGCTGGCAACTAAATACCTATGTACTGTAAACAGTGGTAGAAGCATATGAGCTCCGTCGTCCGTGTGTATCATCATGACAATCCTCATGCAATAACCTCATCCTATACATATGATTTCAGTCCCGTTGAGCAAGCTCAATTGGCATCTCCAAAATCGAAGTAGAGCCTACTACATCCATCTCTTGAGTGCCTAAGAACTCAACAGCTCTTGGTATGGTCCGTGCAACTGCCCTCATAATCAGAGGGCCACCCTCTGAACCGATATGCATGGCTGCAACTTAAGCTGCTCCGGCGTTTAATGGCACTATGAGGACGAAGAAAAACTTGTCTGCTCGATGTTCATCATTGTTCAACTTTCCATGCCTTCCCTCCCGTCAGTATCGCGAAAAGGATGTTTTTCATAATACTATTTCTTACTGGTAGCTTGCTTGGCGTAAAGGTGGACTTTCCAGATCTCTACCTCACCATGGCTGAGGTCCTCAGTTGTCAGATCCTGCGTTCCTCCGCTGTTTCGGATATTTACATGAGGGAGAATAACCAGGAGAGCTCCGCACCGTTGCTACATTCATTATATAGTTTCAGTTCTTTGATGAGCGGAACCTTGACGTGCCAGGTAAGAGCAGTCATTCTATAGACGGCTTTTAGACTGGGCCGTAGTAAAATGATTCTTGTTGATAATGGGCGAATTTGGATTTCACGGCTCTAATCAATTAGATTTAGATGTAGGTTCATGACTCATTTGTAGACAACAGTCTTGATGGAATGTAGATGTTGGGGATGCCGACCATTGAATAGTTTACTAGCAATGACGTAAGCGACAGGCTGTCTGATGGAAGTCACTCACAGAATAATGGACCTGTATTATAAGATGCCGAGTTACGCTTGAGAGGGTGACTACACATATGCAGCTGTCAGAATTGTGGTCCGTGGAAAAAATGTCCTTCAAACTGAACCTGTGCCTGTACCATTACGTGGGGTGGTGATTTTTCGCTGTCTCACTCTATGCTTGTGATTTTTATACATATGTGAAGTGGACTGCATGAACCAGGTCTGAGGCGTCTGCTTTCGCCAGCCTTTCCATAGCAAGCACCATCCTAAGCACTATATTCTCAGAAAACGACGAGTGAAATGGCCAAAAGCTCCACAGAACTCAGAGTACCGACTTATCATATCTCTATCTGTAGATCACCAGGCGCTCAGTACGCCCAATACTCTATCGACGTGCGCACAGAAGATGTGCCCTTAAATCCTCGCCCTTCCCTCCGCGACTTGTGGCGCAGTCGCCGCTCACGTCGACACCAACACCTAATCGATAAAATCATGGAGATTGATATCGCTAGCAGCGTCCTCACTGGCGCGAAGGAAAGAGACGATATGGTCCCTGGCCATCAATAGGCAATGGCCATGGGCACGCTCGGGAGGAACGCTAAGTTTGCAATTGATATGTGTAGGTGACTTCTTGTAGAAATTGGTATAGCGTGCTAAGGCATACAGATAATAAGGTGACAAGTGCGAATCTGCCATTGAGCTTCTACATTCTCGTGGACAAGCGTGTATATAGGGAGTTAGCCGACGCGCTTATGTACGTGAAAGACGATAAGAGACTCCTAGAAGTAGCAAGGCTTGAGGGACCGGATCTGATAGGTGCTGTTCGCGCGTTGAGAGAGCTATGGGTTACCTCCACACTTCGGGTGACTGACGCCGAGAACCTTTGAGTTATATATGCTTGCGTCTTCCCACGCGTATCTGGTGGACCAACGGGTCATCGTTCACTATCTGTCGGGAGGCATTCGAGACGACCCTGGAAGGCAATAAAGCGAGCGAATAGAAGACAGGGATATTGATGCGTGTGAGCCGTGGGGAGAATTGATTTTGTTGGCGACAAATGTGTTGGAGATGAAGGGCCTGAGCGAGATCACTAGAGTGCTTCTTGCTCTCAAGGCGTGTAGCTGCTTTTTCTTTCATCTCTTTCGTATGCATCTTGTAGAACTGGTCTTTTGCGATGTGTTCCGACTCCTCCACATAAGCACATTTTTGTCTTGTCTGACATTCAAAGATTCTTTGTCAATCTCTCGATGATGATGAGTGGTAGAAGCCCTGATATGCGGTATCGGCGCGGCTATTGTCAAATAGGGACTGATGTGCGAAGCCCAACGAAGCTGTTCGCTTTCGGCGACGATCTTAGGTTGCTCTCTGGCAACGCATTTTCCCTTTCGCGTTCCACCAGACGCCATACGTTCCAATCGGACCGAGCCAAGACAGCGGAGATCTTAGGCTGAGCATGTAGTCGTTGGTGATTTGCCTCTGCAGTGACTTGTAGCGTGAAGCTTCCAATGGTTGGAGGATCTTTTTCTAGAACTGCGGAGATAGAACAGTATGGCGTTTTTCGTGCGTGTCCATGACAGGGGTCGCTAACTATTATAGTCGAGAACCCCGATCGCCAAGGAATTGAATTGGCTCAAATTCAAAATCTAGATCTGTCCTGTGATGTTCTCTTGAACTGTACGAGGAGAAGAAATGGGGAACAACTAGCACGGCGCACAAAATCACGGTTACTGTCACAATGTTTTTGCAATTCGTTGTGTTCTGTCGCAACACGCTGCAATCAAGCGTTGCCAACACATCTCGCCTCTGCTTGTTTCCCAAACGCCATGTATCCTAGTCGGGCCGATCCAGACATCTTGGTATTCAGATTGAGCATGTCCTCGCTACGGCGCAGGGCGCCATTGGCCTCGGCTAACCCAGGCAAACATCAAAGCGCTTTGGACCGCGAATCGCGACACTGAGGGGTGCAGCGCCCAGAGATCAATGAAATAAAGGAAACAAAAGATCCCTGTGCTCAGCTGGACGTCATCGCCAGGGGTAAATACCTGGGGTCTAGAACTTGCTCGCGTGCTCCTTATACCATTGTCCCTCCGGCGCGCGGCTTGGGAGGTAATTCACACCATTGCAAAAGTACTATAAGCTCTGACAGGCTTGTTGCTATGGCGGAAAAGACAACCAGCGCGGAAAGTTCGCAGACACTGCCTCGTCAGAGACACACAGGAGTGCCACTGAAGAGAACAAAAAGCGACGATACGGACTTCGACGACTACTTTGTACGATACATCTAAAGACTGTCGCAAGTTGCTATGCGTTGCTAACGACAACAGGTCGGCCCTCGTGACCTTGACCATCATTCGAAATGGCCGACATTCCTACGCCTCCATGGGAGTATCACGCCCGAGATGATTCTCCCGCTCCTGTTTGTGGGCGGTTGGTCGACAATGATCACCTGTATTAGTAAATGGGTGCATGACCGTAGGCCGGCCGAGCTCCAGCTCTTCTATATTCACGCATACTAACAGCAAAAAGTCGGAATCAATCAGCTCCTCCTCACAGTCCTCGGTTTCGTCGTCGGTCTCGCGCTCAGCTTCCGCTCGTCGACCGCCTACGAGCGCTACAACGAAGGCCGCAAGTACTGGGCGCAGCTCGCATTCGTGTCACAGCATCTTGCACGCTTGATCTGGGTTCATGCTGAAGAGAGACACACGAAAGATCCGGTGGTGGGCAAGAAGGATCTGCTGGGAAAGATCAGCTGCCTCAACATGATCGTTGCATTCGCTATGGCGCTCAAACACAAGCTCCGTTTCGAACCGTACGCGCACTACGAGGATCTGCAGCACATTGTTGGACACTTGGACACGTATGCGAAGGCTGTAAGTAGCGGAGACTTCCATCAAGACGTCTAAAGAGTTAAGCACCTTGCTGACAATTTCTGAAGGCCGACCAGCCCACGCCTCCACGCAAGCAAAACATCTTCAAGACGGCCGGCCAGTTCCTCGGCCTCCCGTTTGCCGAGTCCAACCCGCGGAAGCTACTCAAGAAGTCAAACGTGCCCCTTGTAAGTCAATCCAGGATCGCAGGCACGAATAGTGTCTGGGATCTCGACATCGTGCTCTCCATTCCACCTAATCGTCCCTACGGACCCTCCCCAAAATCCTGACTGCACCCACTCACAACCTCAGGGTAACCTACCCCTCGAAATCCTCACCCACCTGTCCGCCTACATGAAATCCATCTATGACAACGAGACCCTCAAAGTCTCCGTCTACCAAACCCAATCCCTTGCCGCCCTACAGACAATGAACGACGTGCTCTCTGGTACCGACCGTATCCTCAGCACACCGCTGCCCATCGCGTACACCATCGCCATCAGCCAGATCACGTGGGTGTACATCTTGCTGCTCCCATTCCAGCTGTTCAAGAGTCTGGGCTGGGTGACGATCCCAGCGAGCGTGTTTGCAGCGTACATCATCCTGGGGATTGCGCTTATTGGTACGTTCGCTCGAACACCCTATTTTCTTCGCCTCCGTCAGGGACAAGGACAAAACGACGGAGTCGGATGACGAACTTGTACTGACCAACCCTTCAGGCCGCGAAATTGAGAACCCCTTCGGCTCCGACGTGAATGACCTCCCACTCGACGCCTTCTGCGGGCAGATCCGCGCCGACATCGACCTCATCATGTCGAAGCCCGCGCCTACGGTGGACGAATTTCTCATGAATGATGCCAATGAGATGCTGTACCCGCTCAGCAATCTCGGCGGCCGGGCTTTGGCTGAGCAGAGCGTCGAGGAAATTAGGGAAAAGTTGGCCCAGAAACCTCGGGTGCACTATAAACACACTGAATCCGAGGAGGGTGAGATGGTCAGGAACAGTGATAATGTGTAGATTGCGAGAAGCGACGAGCGTGGTGGTAGGGAGCCGAAGCTATTGATGGTGTGAGGAGTTCTATACCCTGAGGTTTGGATTCGAATGGTTGCAAGTGGAGCATTTGGTGATATTCCTCATAGCTAATCACACGTACAGTCGGATTAGCAGTGTCGATGTGAGTACTTGTAATCCGATTTTGTTTAGGAAATCAGGTATGAGGGGACCGTAAATTCAACCGTGGTTTCCATCTTACGTGCTTGTGCGCTTGTCTTCCTGTATCTCCTCGTAAATCATACCTCGCGGATCATAGGACTCTCCTCTTGTATCGTAAATCTCGTCGGGGTCTTTTCGCTGCAGGAACGGGGGTGGCTTCTTCATGCTCTTCCTCATGAGCAGCCAGCGCCCAACGAGCCACTTCAGCTCCTTCATTCCATAATTCACATAGTCCATCGTGCGATGATCAAAGACCTGGTCAAGCTCCTCCAGCGTCATGTCTTTCGTCTCAGGAACGAAGAAGAGGATCATGAAGAACCCTATGACGCACCACGCGGCGTACCAACCAAACGCACCGGATGTGCCGAAGGCGGAACTGAACTTGGGCCACGTAATCGAGATGAAGAAATTCCAGAACCAGTTGACAGACGTCACGATACCCATGCCGAAGTCGCGGTTGTACAGCGGCATAGACTCGGCGCTGTATACAAACGGGACTGGGCCCTCACCGGGAGAATATGCTACCCCGAAGAGGTACATGCCGAGGATGACCAAGACGTGCTGGGCCGAGGATCGGCCAGGTAAGGCGAACGCAATCACCATGATGATTTGGAACAAGGCCATAAATGGGAAAGTTGACAATAGAAGGTTGCGTCTGCCAAAGCTGTCAATTGTCCAGATGGCGGGGATGGCGAAAAGGAAGTTTATGATGCCAAAGCCCATGGAGATAAGCAACGCGTCTCGAGGTTGATAGCTGGCATGCTGAGGGTCTGCAAGGATGGTGCTGGAGTAATACGCCTGGTGCAAATCAGCGTTTCGATACAAGGCGAGTGAAAGTTGCTCGAAGCAGGTTGCGTACCGTAACATTAACACCACAGAATTGTTGGAGAAACATCGTGATAATAGACGCAGTCAGAGCTCTGCGGTTCCTGCCACGTGTGAACAGTTCGGAAAATGGCTTTTCCTGCTGCATGATTCGGTCTTCGGCTTCGAGTAGATGGTCGATAAGGAAGAGGTCGCGTCCAGCTTGCAACTTGGTGTACCGTAGCTTGCACAAGGAGTTAAAAGCTTCTTCGTACTTCTTTCGGTTGCCTTGTCTAGCTCTCATAAGAAGCCAACGAGGAGATTCTGGCAGAGTGTAGACGTAAGCTACCACGAAGAGGGGACTATCGATATCAGCTGGTAGTGATACGGAAGCTAGGGTGTACCTACAGGATCATAGGACTTGCAAGCATCAAGCGCCAATTCAAGCTGCACTGGGAGGACAGGAGGTTGTTCGCTGCTGTATTGCAGATGCTGGGATTACTGCCATCTCGAACGCCAGCCAGAGCGACACCAGCAATATAGCCTGCATACGTAAGCAAAGACACTCGAATGAGATTTGAGGCCGCAGCATACCGCACATGATACCAAAGGCAGTCCACATCTGCCACATCATGACTAGCGCCCCTCTGATGTTGGCAGGGGCTGCCTCGGCCGCATAGATGGGTATAGTTGCGCTTTTCGGTCCGATGCCTAAACCCAGAAGGAACCTCGCCGCAAAGAGCTGCTGCCATGTTTGTGGAAATGCTTGACCCAAGCAAGTGAGCGAGCTGATAAGACATGTAACAAATATGACTCCGCGTCGATCAAGCAGCCTGTTCAGTGGGTAGTTCAGCCAGCATGAGAAGGCACAGCACATGTACGGAGCGGAATTGACCAGACCCAACCAGCCGGGAGAGTCCATCAGGCCCAGGGCCTCGCGGTAGTAGACTTGGGCTGAGAAGTATTAGTTGTAGGCTCTGCAACCTTGGAGAACTGTCTTCCACGTGTCATACCTCCATTCACTGCAGTCTCATCCCTGCTTTACTGTCAGTCTACCATTACATGTTCCGAGAACACGCTTACCATCCTTGAACGGCAGCACCCAATGAACATACGCCGACCAGTGCGTACAGGCGCCACGGTTGCTTGAATTTGTCGATACGCCGTGGGCTGTCCTCCAGGTTCAGGTAGTCGCGTTCCTCGTCTTTCAAGGCGAGCCCGTCGCGTCGCGGCCGTCCGATGGGAAACGCTGCTTTGGACTGCGCGAGAAAGGCGCCCCTGCGGATGTACTTGTCGTAGTCCTCGAGGCCTGACACTGCAATAAACTTATCAACGCTCTCTGTCATTCTGGAAAAACGTGCGATTAGCGAATGGCCAGTGGGAACCATAGCCCAGGTAAACTGACTGCTGGTGGGACCATCCCGAAAATGGCTGAGCGAGGCGGCGATCAGGCTGATCCCCATCGCGTTTGGACATGCCAGGGGGAGCTGGTTCGCGCTTCATCGTGCCTATCTCTGGAGGAGTGCGCAGGAAGGTTTGGCGTGCGAGGAGGATTGCTCATATTCGCGTCACGCATGTATTAAGGCAGCCGGGCGGCCACATCAGGGCACATGCGTTGGGGCGATCATGTTGCACAAGCCAGGCAACGAGGCGCAGACAGCTGGCCTCTGATTGCTCGAAGACGGTGAGGTCGATACGAGAAGAACGCAAGCCTGACCGCGAGCTCAGCCTCCACCGCCGCGCCGAACTGTCTGCGACAACGCTCGTAACGTATGCCTAGCGCCAAAAACATGGTGAGGCTGCCGATGATGGTTCGCTCTCGCCCCATCTGCCGTTCACCGGGTCGGTGGTAGGAGCATGGGGGCGACGGGAGGTTAGCGGTGCGGAGTGTGGAGTGTGGCGGAGGCTGGGGAGGCCTGGCCTGCACCGTTACCTCATACCTACCGCGCCGACGTCCCGTCTTGCCCCAGACACTCAGCCTGCTGCCAACCGTATCACCTCTAAGCAGGCTGCACTTTTGACGTTGAAACTGCCAAACCGTGTGAAGTTAGCATCGCCGTCGTCCCTTCCTTGCTCCATGTCGTCGAAGACATCCAAGTGGGGCAGCCATCATGGACGCCTCGCGCGAAGAGCTCGAAGACGCCATCGCCCACATCGTCCCTGACAAACCCTTTCCCAAGTACATCGACGAGACCGTCTTCCTCGAGCTGCAGACTTTGCTGAACCAGCATCCCGATAGTGTTTTCAAAGTATGGGCGCACGAGAACCCGCGGCTCTTTCTCCTCCTTCGCATGCTAGGCTGCGACGACGATGCACTCTACCAGAGACTCGACAGCGAGAACATCGGTGACTTCTGGCTTCCTCTCGGATCTGCTACACTGAATCAGCTTTCGTCATACACGAACATCTCACCGCAAGACTGGCGCCGGGCACAACTCCATGTCCTATCGCAGTCTGACCAGATGAGCGAGCACAAGCTGACTTCGCCAATCCACGCGCACCGACACATCCAGCACGGCGATGCGCATTTCGAAGAGCTGGAGAAGATAGGCAAAGGAGGCTCGGCCGAGGTGGCCCGCGTGAGGCACAAGCTATCGGCGAGGGAGTATGCGTGCAAACGCATCAAGAGAGCCGCTGAGGTCAAGACCCAGCGCAACCAGCTCATTGAGTTCAAAGCTGAAGTCGGCGTGTTGAAACGTGTCAGCCACCACCATCTTGTCAGTTTCGTCGCAAGCTTTACCGATCTCTCCTCCTTCTCGCTGATCCTCAATCCTGTGGCGAAGGATGTACTGAAGAGCATGTTGGAGCGTCAGTCACGAGAGCAACCTCTGACCGAGCAAGACCTCTCTGTCCTGCGCCGCTCGTTCGGATGCCTTGCGACTGCGCTTGCCTATCTCCACGAAGAGGGCGTGCGTCATAAAGACATCAAGCCAGGAAACATCCTGCTAAGCGATGGACTCGTCTACCTATGTGATTTTGGCATATCACGCGACTGGTCCAAGGCCGAACACTCCACGACGGAAGATGAAGTCTTGAAACTGACGCCTCGCTACTGCGCGCCGGAAGTGTTTGGACGCGAACCTCGCAACACGAAAAGCGACGTCTGGAGTCTGGGCTGTGTGTTCTTCGAGATCATCAGTGTAGTCAAGGGCTATCCAATGGAAGAGTTGAACAGCTTCCTGCTTGACGCAAGCGAGGACCAAAGCAGCAGAGGACTCTGGTGTGCATTGGATGCCATGAACGCCTGGATGGAGAAGATTAGAAGCGAGAAGAACGACTCTGCAGACGACATACCATTAGGGTGGATCACCACCATGATTCGCATCGAGAAGGAGCATCGTGTCAAGGCCAGTGAGCTAGTCGAGATGATAATGAAAGCCTCCAGCGAGCTCGAAACTCCGGACTCGTACATCGGCCCATGTTGTACACGAAGCGACAGCGTGGCCCTGCCAAACCACGTGGACAGTCCCACGTTACATGACCTTGGGTTTCAGGGCTTAGGTGGGTCGGCCCAGGAAGCATCGTTAATCGCGACATCGACTAACGACTGTCGTGTCTCAGGCATACAAAACGCACCTACCTCCCCTCCCATGACGAACCGACTGCGTCTGCCGCATAGACCCAGCACCAATTCATCAAGAGGACGATCGAGCACCACACACTCGAGCCGGCATGGCTCTGAAGACCGTACTCGATCCGTCTCACCTCGCACGAAAAGTATCGGGCCGCGAGACAGCACTGAGACTGCCTCTTTCCATTCCGACTCTCTACATTCTCGATCAAGGGATCCATCTATTAGCAAGCCGCTTCAGCATATAGCATCGCGTACAGATAGTGTACGGACTTCGAGTCACTTCAGCCCGCCTCGCCCAGACTCGGAAGCTACTTCTGTGTCCACCTTTCGACCACGCACTCCAGTGGCCCCTCCAGCCCAATACGAAGTCAAATGTAGCTGTGCTGCACAGCCCCAAGAAAGGCACATCCTCAACATACCCTACGTCTCGACACCCAACACCGTGCTTTTCGATCCTGGTGTCCCAACCGTCCAGACCTGCGCAAAATGCGAGATCGGGGAAGACCGAATCCAGCTCTACGAAACCCCCCGCGTCGGGCCTGAGCACGCATCTACCTCCGCGATGCCCATGCTGTGGTGGACAACCCGCCGCCTGGTCCTCAGCTACGTCTCGGGCACGCCCAAGATGCGACACTGCAGCGCCTTCTGGCTGCCCCTCGCAGACATGCAGTTCGCGCTGCGCGATAGCACCGTCACGCTCAAGTGGTCTGACTGCAACCACATGACGGAGCGCCGGGCGGGGAACTACAGCACGCACTACGACTGGGTGTACGCGCCGGGCACACCCAACAACGCCGTCACCGTGCGCTTCCCTAGGCCCGCCGAGGCGCAGAAGTTCATCGACGTGCTCAGGCTGCCGTGGGAGGACGGCGAAAGTATCACAAACAAGCGGACCATCGATGTAGCGGAGAACACGGAGCTGACCATCTTCGACATTGGGCGCCCCGGCGTGCGCAACTACCGCGCGGCCACGCTCACCGTCGTCGCCGATGCGCTCGCCACGTCGAAGCTGTACATCCAGTGGCCCGAGGCGGACCTCGACATCCACATCCGGGACTCGTTCGATGCGCGGTCGGCGGCGGCAACGGGGTACGAGATGGTGGTCGAGATGAAGAACGTAAGCACGCCGACGTACCACAGCGACACGCGGGGGGAGCCGGCGGCCGACCTTCAAAGGGTGGCGAGGTTCGGCGAGGCAAGGCAGGTTAAGACGAGTCTGAAGGTGGCGTTTGGGATTGGGGTGCGGCATGGGCTGCCAAGGCCGCCGGAGGGTATGTCATTTCGTCCCTGCATCCATGTCTTCTTTTCTTCTTTTCCAGTGTTTTATCGAGCTTGATTGGGGGAATGCTATGCTAACAGATGTGTGACACAGGGGTGACGGACATGCTCTCCGCCCTCACTGGCTGGACGCTCCGCTACTTCGCTATCGTAACAAAGTTCCGCTCAAAGAACAAGCGGTTCGGGTCCAAGCGGTACGGCGCGGCTGACGTGCTGCTCTGGGAGAAGGAAGTCGACGAGCCTGCCACTGGCATCAAGCGGCGGGGGGCGAAAGTCGTATTTCGCCTGCACGAGGGCGAGGAGCTGTGGGTTAGCGGGAGCGTGACGGCGTCTACAAGCATCTCGACGAGCGCGGGGCAGGAGGCGACGGTGAGTGTGGAAAACAAGAGCAGGGGGCGGCTGCTGGATGTGAGTCGGATGGTTGCGATCAGCTCCGAGGCGGCGAGGCCAGCGGCGTCACATGTCCGCGGGCATTCGGACGCGTACGGGGACATGGCGGAGCTGGTGCTTTCGTTTGAGAACGAGCATTGTAAGTGCATGTCCTGCTTCCACTCTGGCACCCGGTGGGCTACTAACCACCGCTACGCAGACCGCCTCGCCTTTGTCAACCTCGTCACGCGCTTCAAGGCTGCCGCCGCCACTGCCGCCCCGTTGTCCCGCTCCGCGACGGGCGTGGACTCCCTGCGGCGCGTGAGCACGCGCGCTTCGAGCGAGGTGCATATGAATCCGCCGATGCGAGGAACATGATAACTGGCAGTTGAAACAGTTCCAAAACTGCCTTTTGGTATTTAAACGGTGAAGGTTGTGTTGTACGATTAGAGATAAGTCTGGAAGATTGGGAATGAAGTGCTTATGAGTGTGGGCCCGGGCCTTGTAATGTAGTAGTGGGCAGTGACTTTAGATTCGGTATGTGTGTGAATAATATCGGTGTAGCCAAGCTCGTTGTATGACTTGCAGTCCGTTTCTTTGCCTCGTTTCAGTACGCCGGTTCGCGAGTGTCAGCGAGCACATATTGGTGGTTCCAGCATGTACTGCAGCTCGGAGGCAGGGAGGGAAATATAAGTTTATGACAGACAGCGAGACGGGAGGGGTTCCTCAGAAGGCATTATTAGTGAAGTGAAAGAGTATCTGGTCACTGAAGGGGAGAGCGGTGGATGCATTGGCGTGCAGAGGATCGTGAGATGCCTGAGTTTTGCATTGCATTCGCGTTTGGTATGGACAACGTTTTCCTCTTTTCCCTGGTACAAAATTGCCCGCACTCTAGGCGTCATACGGTCTTCATTCGAAGATGACAACACATCTAACCTGTACACATCAAACGTCAGCCTCACCCCGCCACCCCAGACACACTCACATCACAGCTTCGAACCACGCGTACCGTTGAACGCCACACACTCAATCTCTACCGGCACGCCCTTGGGCAGCTGCTTCACCGCGACACAACTCCGTGCGGGCTTGTGCGCAAAAGCCTCCGCATACACGCCATTCATTTCGGCAAAGTCGGCCATATCGGTCAGAAAGACATTGACCTTGACGACGCGGCTGATGTCGGATCCCGCGGCGGCGAGAATGGCTTTGATGTTGTCGATGCAGGCTTGGGTTTGCGTGGCGATGGAGCCGGTGACCAGGGCGCCGGTCGCGTCGGCGGGGATGCAGCCCGAGACGTAGATGTTGGGGCCAGCGACTACGGCGTGGGACTGCGGGGGTCAGTGGGTGTTGGCGGCACTCGGGATTGCTGAAGGAGGTGGATGCTGCCCGCCTCACCCTCCAATAAGGGGCACCCAGGGTTGGCAAAGGAGGTAGGTGCATCTGATGGGATCGGAGCATACTGCGGGAGGAGAGGAAGGCAGAGGGACTGGCGGCGTGCAATTGGGACAGGCATGGCGCCATTGAACTGAGAAGAGGAAGGACATACGTAAGGTCCCGCCGCTGTGCCGAATTCACATCAGCATTCCCATCCTTCATCTCAGCGGGGACGTCAGAGCAACATACGGGGCATCGCATCCTTGGCGAAGATCTTCTTGATGTCGGACATGGCTGGTGCAGTGGTGCTCAATGGTCTCGCTGGAACACTGTCAAGTCTGCGGTTGGTCAACTGAGCAGCAGGACGCTTCAATGAAGAGAACGAGGACCGAGAGAAGTACAGCAACGCACGCATGTATGTGTCTGGGTCGGAGCTACGCTTCAGGAAAGAGGTGGCTATCGTCGGCGGAGGACATGCTGACTATGCACACGGCCCTCCGTTCTTCGCTCCGACGCGTTGGCGCTAGCCAGCAATGTGCGAAGAGGGAAGGTGGGGGTGGGCCGACAACAGCCAGCCCCTCCCGCAATCACGCAAGCCGAAAATTTCGCAACGCAGCAAGGAAGAGCACCGTGAAGAGCGCAGTGCTCGGTTCAATTCGCCTCCAATATCTCGATATGGTATTCATATACCACGTCGCCGTCTATCTACCGCGTGGAAATCATTTGCATTGCAGGGTTCGTAAATCGGAAACAGGACTGTACTCAGAAACGCATGAGTGAAGATTCAGCCGCTTGCCTCGCGTCGCCTCGGCTCGCGTGTCAGCACAGAGGATGGACATCCTGGCTGTTATGCGGTATTATTATCCAGGCGTTGCAGCGCGTCAAAAGTGGAAAAAGCCAGCCGACGCCTTTTCCATGCATGGGGTCTTCTATGGGTCGTGTTGAAATGTGAACGTATACTTTTGTTGTTGCGCAGAGGGTGCAACGGGTGGGTCCCGCCGTACGTCATAATTGGATGGTTGGCTTAGCAGTTGGAAGGGTTTATCATCTACTCCTGGCCGTGAAGGAGCGTGTAGACGGGGGCGTCGAGCTTGTCGCGGCCCTTGAGGAAGTCGAGCTCGAGGATGAAGACGTAGCCCAGGAGTGTGCCGCCGAGCTTCTTGACGAGGGAGCCTGCTGCTGCTGCGGAGCCGCCTGTATCGTTGTTAGCCAAGCCCAATCCAGTTCGTGGTGTTGGAGGGGCGGACGTACCAGTAGCAATGATGTCGTCGACCACGAGCACCTTCTGGCCCGGCTTGATCGCGTCGGCCTGCATCTGGAAGAAGTCGCTGCCGTACTCCTTCTCATACGAGGCCGTCTCACACGGGCCCGGCAGCTTGCCCTGCTTCCTGACGGGCGCAAAGCCAGCGCCCAGCCGCAGCGCCAGGCTGGGGCCGAACAGGAAGCCGCGCGCGTCCAGGCCTACGACGACGTCGGGCGTGTCGTAGTTCTGCGAGACGTGCAGCACGAGGGCGCGGACGAAGTCCTCGTGCAGCCCAGGGTCGGCGAAGAGGGGCATGATGTCCTCGAACAGGATGCCCGGGCTGGGGAAGTCGGGGAACTGGCGGAGCGAGCTCTTGAGCCTTAGCGTAAGACTGGAGAGTTCGGCGGCGGCGGCGGCACCGGCGGCGGGCTGTCCTCTTTGGGAGGCATGATGGTTGCTGGTGAGCGTGGGGTCGGGGTCGCTGGCGGGCGGGTGTGACGAGGTCGACGCCTTGTGCGGCGGGGCGGGGTGTTCTGCGCTGCTGGAGTTTGCGGGCACGGGTGTGTTGTCAGGTTGGACGCCGGACATGGTGAAGAAGAAGAGGAGGAGGAGCGCGCGGAGGCAAGATACGTCGGTGGGGGAGGATGCAAGGCGTGAGAATCTCGGATGCAGGCTTGACCGTAACACTGCTTCAGGCCCTGCAAACAAAAAAGGATGGAAACGGGCCGGTGCTCGCTCTGCGCCAATCACCACGCGCGCTGCCCGGCGGCTTGACCAGCATAGCGCCCGCCGCGCTGCTCCACCGCTCTGACTCCTCCTCCCTCAGCACCTGGGCTTCTAGAAGGCCTGCCGATAAAGCAGCCCGCCTGCGACCGTCCAAGGACGTGATTCAGCCCGGGGCGCGTCTCAGCGCCCATTCACCCCGGCGAATCACTGCGCCGGCCCTCGCGCACTGCACATTTGTTGGGAAGCCGTGCCCACATGCCAAACATCTGGATAGTGCGTCGTCGCGCGTCGCAGAGGCAGCAGCACGCAGCTTATCGGCCGCCGCCTGGCGCTCAGCTTCAGCCTGCGCGCTGCAAGCCCGCTGCATCCAGCGTCTGGCCTCCTCCAAGTCGTCGGCTGCCCTGGGCGCGCTCCACAATAAGCACGCCACCAGCCCGCCGCAGCCACACCACGATGTCTCGCTCGACGTCCCAACTCGCCTTGCATGCCTCCTTGTCGTCGTCTCCCGCGACCCGTCTCCAATCGCAGCGCCGCTTGCTCGGTCGGTGCTCTGTCAGACGGCCCTGCTAGCCTCGCTCCCACAAGCAATTAGCAGCCATGTTCGGCATCGGTGCGGTGAGTCGATGGTCTTTGCATGTGGTTGGCATTCGTATGGATATTGGAGCTACTCGATCGGGCAAGGCCGATGACGAGGTAGGGCATGCAGTCGGATTGGATGCTGCCGCGCCGTACCACACTCGCATCGTCCCACCCACACCCTAAACTCCCTGGCGACATAACCACGTTGGTGCAGCTAACGCCCGCAGCTATGTGGGTATGTATGAACCTGTCGTCATCTGCACGCCGTACGCATCTCGTGAAACATGCTGTCTTGTGTCTTGCCTGCCGCTGTACCGTCGAACCCGCTGCAAAAAGCTGGATACTCCGCGCTCCACCCACGGTCGAGACCGACCTGCTCGCGCCAGCCTTACATCTCAGACCTGCCGCTCCACCGCCCCACCGATCCCTTCACACATGTCTATGTTTCGGTGATCCACCGCATCCGCCCAGCGGCTTCACGCCGCGGCGAGCCTCCAACTGTGACAGCGGCCCGGCGAGCCCTAAATTCATCGCCAGACATCCATATTCTGCACAATGCACTCCTCGTCGGTCCTCTTGGTCAGCGCGCCTATCCTGTACACCTGCTCGCCGTGCTCCTGTAGTATTTCCGTCGCCGTGCGGACCTTGTCCTCGCTCACGACGAGGACCATGCCCAGTCCAGTATTGAACGTGCGGCAGAACTCTGCATCTTCGAGCCGTCCGGCTTCTTTGAGCCATTTGAAAACAGGGAGAACGGGCCAGCTTTTCGCATCGAGCTCTGCGGTAAGCGAGTCAGGCAACATGCGAGGGATGTTCTCCAGGAGACCCCCGCCAGTGATGTGGGCCATGCCCTTGATGAGGCCCCTCCGGGTTGCGGCGAGCAACGGCTTGACGTAGATGCGCGTTGGTGTGAGAAGACTGCCTCCAACTGTCTCATTCGCGCTCCAAGGTGCAGTGTCGTGGAACGAGAGTCCCTTCTTCTCGATGATCTTGCGGACCAGCGAGAATCCGTTCGAGTGCACGCCGCTAGATGAGAGACCTAAGAGGATATCGCCCGGCGCCATCGCAGCAGTGTCGGGCAGAATGGTAGCGCCCTTCTTGATAGCGCCGATTGCGCACCCTCCCGCGTCGTACTCGCCCTGCTGGTAGATTCCGGGCATCTCTGCGGTCTCGCCGCCAACGAGGGCTGCGCCAGATAGTCGGCAGCCGTTTGCTACGCCTTCTACAAACTTGACCGCGCTTTGGACGTCGAGCTTGCTGCATGCGTAGTAGTCGAGGAACATCAGCGGCTCGGCGCCTTGAACGACCAAGTCGTTGACGTTCATGGCGACAAGGTCGATTCCAACTGTGTCATGTTTGCCCATCTCAAAGGCAATCTTGACTTTGGTACCGATACCGTCAATCGCGCCGACCAGGATCGGCGGTTCGGTGTAACCTGCAGCCTCCAGATCAAGGAGCCCACCGAAACCACCGATCTTGCCGTCCGCGCCAGGACGTCTGGTGGCAGCCGTCAGGGCCTTGATTCCCTTGACGAGATCGTTGCCGGCATCGATGCTGACGCCAGATGACGCGTATGTAAGCGCCTCCTCGACCTGTGCAGGTGCTTGTGTAGATGCGCCTGCCGATGGCCTCTCCACTGTTGTTCCTTCTTCGGCGAGCTCGAGCAGCTTCCAGTCGCAGGTGATGCCCTCTTTCTTGAACTCAGCAAGCAGGTGGTCGGCTATCGATTCGAAGTTGCTCGTAGCCAGTGCTAATATGGTAGGGCCCGCACCCGATAGACATATGCCAAGAAGGCCAGGGTGGGAGTTGGGGGTCACGGACTGGAGGATCTCGGTGAGGCCCGGAATGAGGCCTCTCCGGTACGGCTGGTGAATCTTGTCCTGCATGGCTGTGTAGATCATGCTGGGATCGGGCGGCGACTGTCCGAGAGCCGTGGTCAGGACGGCCAATCTTTGCATGTTGAAGACGATGTCCTTGCGCGAGTAGCTATCGGGGAGCACTTCACGCGCCTTCGCGGTGGAGACCTCGAATTGTGGTATGATGCATATGCACTTGATCTCCGACGACCACTTGTACTTTGTGTAGTGGCCTATGTCCTTCGGCGGTTGCGGTGGCTGCAGTCCGGTGTCCTTGCCGCCTGCAGGCTCTGGGAGGACCTCGCTGAGAGGGATCTCCATGCGATCGAGGTCCTCGGGGGACAGCTCGTTGAGGTATGTCCCGACGAAGCCTCCGTACAGGGCGGCCGCAACGTTATCCGGATGGCGCTCTTCCATGAGGCAGAAGTCGAGCATGCGCGCCTTGGACAGCTGGAGGTTGCCCACCTCGTTGGCGAGACTCACGCCGGCCACAATGGCAGAGGCAGACGAGCCCAGCCCCCGGCCCAGCGGGATCGGGTTCTTGACGTGGACGTGCGTCTCGGCGGGAAATGCGCGGATGCCATGGCAGCGCAGGACGTATACGGCGGTGCGCGTGATGAGGTTGTCTTCGGCGACGAGGGGCACCGACTCGGCGTTGACGCCCTCGTAGGTGATGCGGCAGTTGAGCGAATGCGACGACGACTCCTGCTTGGAGACGGTAACGTGCAACTCGAGGTACATGGACAGCGCGAGGCCGATGACGTCGAAGCCCGGGCCAATGTTGGCCGACGAGCAGGGCACTCTGATGATGGTGGCCATGGTGGTGCGGGGCTGTCCTCAGCGTGCGGGCCGGCGACTGCGTGGAGTAGCAGTTATTCTCTTGCTCTGGCAGAGGCCTGCCGCAAAAGTGCAAAAATGCTCCCAATGTTTTTCTTAGCGGGGCACAACCGACGGACCGATGTCGCCCAGGCGCGGGGTGCTGCACCGCCACAGCGCCCCATCCCCTCTCCTTTGGGCCCGGAGCGGAACGTCACTCACGGACGGCGTCGGTCGAGGCCGTTGCATCGATATGTCCCATGGAAGACAATGCACGAGTTGCTGGATCTCCGCCCTCTCTTCACCAGGGCGGTCATTGAGCCTCGTCGGTATCATCGCCTGGATGACTCTGCCCGTCCCCAGGTCGACCCCACGACCAGCTGGTGCCTTGCGAATCAGCGCATCGACATGGGACATCAACATCTGGAATACCGGTACTATGACTGAGCCAACTTGATGACGAATGTGCCAGCCGCGGCGGTTGCCTGGTGTGCGTGACAGCCAAACGCTGTGCAACACGAGCACCGAGCCATATGGACGCCACAGCCTCGTCCATGGATCTCACACGTGCTTTAACCCGAGGGGTACATCTTGCCCTTCCCCAGACGGCGCTGCATCGCCCGCTTATCACACCGGACGTACCAGGCAGCAAGGCTGGCAACGCATAAAATAATCGTCCTTCACCTGTAGTAGCCTGCCTGAACAAACATCGCTTCACCGAGACAACCGAGCGTTTGCAGCTCAGCCCAGTCAAAAAGCGCATCTTCTCTCAACTCAACCTTTTCCCCCCCTCTCGATCCGGCACAACGCCATCCGCACTCGTCTCGCACTCGAAGTCGAGCCATTCCTTACAGTATTCCAGATCATGCCTGCGCGGGCGAGGTCCTCGTCAGCCTCGTCAGCCTCGTCAACTGACAGCTCGACGACGGCGGAAAAGCCAGTCAAGGCAAATGGCGTCAAGTCCACTTCAGACGCCATCAATGGCAACGGCGTCAAGGAGGGCGATGCAGCGAAGTCAGAGGAGCCAGAGGAGCCAGAGGAGCCAGAGGATCCGTGCGACCCAGGCATGAAGACAGGCGTCAAAGACCTTTATTCCGGCAAGGAAGACAAGAAGGGTCGATACCAATGGCAAGAGACCATCCCCGACGATTTGGGTGTCGCTGTCGAGAACGATAAGACTGCTAAATGTAAGCAACTGCCCACGTGTACCGCCGAATTGGAAAATTTCCCCGAGATAGTTCAAATCCTGCCTTAACTCGCACTGACTTTGTTAGGGGCGCTGCTGGTTCGCCATGTCAAGGTCTATGGTGACGCCTCAAAGGTCCTTGCTGTGCACTCCATCGTCGTGCAGAGCCCACTGCTGAAGAAGCTGCTTGGTGCTGTCTTGAAAGGCTACCCCGGCATCACCGCTGGCCTGAATCGCCTAGAGTTCTCCGGCAAGTTCGAACCACTCATCCACCGATGGGCAGAACTGCAGACTGCAATTTCCAAGATCGGTGACAAGACGGAGGAGGCGAAGACGACGAAGGAGCACGCGAACCTCCTGCTGGATATCGTCGTGAAGGAGTTCAAAGACCTTATCGACACCTCCCAGGATATGATTAACAAGCGAGTCATGACTTACGAGCATCTCTGGACCCTCTTCCAGCCGGGCTCGATTCTCTTCACTCGCCAGGATGGCCAAGAAACAGCGGTGCAGCTGCAGAGCACTCGCTACGGCCAGGACGCCGGAGGAAATCCTGTCTTCTGGGTGGTTGGAAAGTACGTTGACTGGGATGGGACCGCTTTTGGTACCGGCCTGCTCAACGTATCGATCTCGTACTATACTGGCACTCGACCGATAACTCAGCTCCGAGCTTTCCCGCTTGATTACCACCCGAAGGTAGAGGAGGTCAAGGAGAGGCTCATCGAGCGGGGAGCCAAGGTTGAAGAGCTGGCGGGCGTCAACTATAAAGCTTATGATGGTCTTGCATGGCATTTTGGCGAGTTCGGCAACAAGGACAAGTACCACGTGAAAGGCCGAGTAAGTTACAGTCCTGAACTGCTGTATTCAGATTGCTAATCATTCCCAGATCGTGATCGATACCTATGGCTGGAACCGCTTTGATCCTGGTCACGCCATATATACTACTCGTTTCTCGAACAAGAACCTAGTCGACTCTGATAGTGAAGAAGAGGACGACGAGGATCCAGATCACGAGTCTGAGCCTGAAGACGACGACGACTTCATCGAACCCGGTTATAGCGACGGCATGCCTCTGGACGGTCACTTCGCGGACGAGGAAGATGCTGCCAAGCGACCCCCGCTGACGGACCAGCAGAAGCTAATCTGTACACCCCTCTTACGAGGGTATAGTCTGAAGACGAAGGTGTGGCTTAACTTCTTCGTCAACTGCGTAAAGGAGATCGAGTGGCAGAAGGATGCGTTTGACCGTCTAGTATTGCCCAAGAACCAGAAGGAGCTCATTCTTGGATTCACGGAGTCGCAGCAGAAGCACCGAGCTGCATTCGACGATGTTATCGAAGGCAAAGGTCGTGGAATGATCATCTTGCTTTGCGGTCCTCCTGGCGTGGGAAAGACCCTTACCGCAGAGTCCGTTGCTGAGGAGATGAAGGTTCCCCTGTACATGATGAGCGCCGGCGACTTGGGTCTTGATCCACGCCGTATCGAGTCGAAGCTGCATGACATCCTCGAGATGTGTACGCGGTGGCACAGCGTCCTATTGCTTGACGAGGCCGATGTGTTCCTGGAAGAGCGCTCGCTACACGAGCTAGAGCGGAATAAGCTTGTCTCTATCTTCCTGCGAGGTATGTGCCCTCACGACTTCTATATGTACACTAGCTAACCTGGCATGATCTAGTGCTGGAGTACTTCGAGGGCACCATGTTCCTGACCACCAACCGCGTCAACACCTTCGATCCCGCCTTTGCCTCCCGCATCCACATTTCGCTGAACTACAAGGAGCTCTCGATCGCGTCGCGCCGCACCGTGTGGAAGAATTTCCTCGATAATTCTGCCCAAGAGCACGTCATCGACACCAAGCAGCTGGATGAATTGTCCCGCTTGGATATGAACGGCCGCCAAATCAAGAACATCCTCAAGATCGCGCGCCTGCTCGCTACTCGCCAGGATGCCAAGCTCAACCGTGAGCACATCATGACGACCTTGGAGGTGACGCAGCACTTGCACAACGAGAGCCAGCTCACCGAGCGCACAAAGGGAACGCTCTACGGTTAAATAGATGGATCGTGAGGTGACATGGACGAGTGAATCAAGTTAAGGCATGCGATGGCGAAATTCACTTCTTCGGTGTTCGAAGTGACTGTGTATCCTGGGTAGGATATGTTCATGTCTACACCCGAGTTTCTTACATATTGCATCTCTGGATACCCGAGTATGGCTGTGCGCGTCAGATGACTATCATAGGGTAGATATGGCTCCATGTATAGCCGTACTCAATCCGAAAACATCACCTGAATCATCAAGCTCCAACTGTTGGACGAACTACTACGCTGATCATACTGTGATTGTATATGTACCTATGCCCTTATGGTTACCTCTTGTACTAACACAGCAGGTCGTGCCTGCTACATCTCGGCCGATAAGGTCGCGCAGATCTACCCCGCAGCGAACGTTGCAATCTACCGCTCCGTGCAACCTCCACCCTTGCACGCTTGAGCATCGTCATATCTGCAACGACCTGGATCCAGTATATTAACGTTCCTGCGCCTCTTCTTTAATATGCACCTTCCCGCGGCCTCTCGCATGCAAGTGCAGTCCAGTGCACACACCTTCAAGCGCTCTCGGTCGAGACTTGGTTACATTCATCATCCTGAGCAATCGGTTCTCATATCCCCAAGATGAGAATCAAACACACATTCTTCTCCTTTGCGCTTTTGAAACTCTCCAGCCTTGTGAGATGTGAACCGCCTTTCAACAATCCTCCCGGCGTGGACGTCTGGTGCGGCAAGGCCTACCGCGAGACAAACTCGTCATTCGACCCTGGAGGCTGGCTGGAGCCGCCGGCACGCAACAATGGGTCAAGGCCTCTCCAGCTCAGACTCAACGTGTATCCGAGGTATAACTTCTATGTTGAAGGCGAGAAGCAGGGATCCTTTATTGTGGATACAAGGGTCTCGGACCAGGAGCAGTATGGTGGATCGTATATGAATGAAACGCACGGGGACGGGAATGGGACGGCGGCATTCACGAAGCTGGTACTGAATATATCGATTGGCGATACGGTTGTAGTGGACAACTTACAGATTCCGGTCAACACAACGGGAATCGAGATTCCGTTCGATTTGGACCTGGCGAAACTTACAGACGCGGACGGAACGGGAGTCTTCTTAGCACGAGGCAGCAGCCCCGACGGAAAGCAGCTGTACGAGGATCTTGCGCATGTCGTCTTATTCCCAGAGCGCTCGGACGGCGGCAGCATGGCGCGCCTTGATCGACTGAATGGCGGCATTCACGTTTCCTCTTCTCTTACCAATGGAGCCTGGAAATCGGTCTTGCCGATGGGGTTTTATACGCGATGGGACTGGATCTCGTGGCTCGTCGACCCAGAAAACAACCCCGAGCCAGATAACCTGGCCAGCAACGAAACAAAAAGCCTACAGCAATACAAAGACCGAGGCTACAACCTGATCCACCCGGTCCCACCAGGCGGCTGGGCCTCTTTTGACACAGGCACCTTCGAGAAATTCCTTACCATCTGTGACGAGCTAGAACTCTACGTTATGTACGACATGCGGCACACCTACTTAAATCTCTCCTCAATCTCCTACCAACTCCCGCGGCTGCAGTCTCATCCCAGCCTCCTCCTGTACTATACGGGTGACGAACCCGACGGATGGACAGACCCCCTCAACGGCACGCTTCTCGCCTACAAACACATAAAATCCATAGATCCATATCACCCTACCTCACTCGTGCTCAACTGCTATAATTTTTACTTCGAAGATTACACCTCGGGCGCCGACATCATCCTCGAAGATACCTACAACTTGATCAAATCCTCCACGTTCTCACCGGTCTACAACACAGTCTGCAACCGCACTTACGGCGACTGCGGCTGCGACTTCTGCCACGCAAACGACACTGCGTACCCCATGTTCGTGGAAAGACCATTCGAGGACATCGTCGAGCGCACGCGCAAAATGTACCAGTACCAGCGCTGGCTCGGGCAGAAAGAGACGAAGCCGGTCTGGGGTGTGCCGCAATGGTTCTACGATGCGGATAGCTTCTGGAGCCGCTGGGCGACGCGCGAGGAGGCGGTTGTGCTGGCGCTGCTTAGGATCAATCACGGCGCAATGGGCATTGTGGGATGGCTGTTTCCTACGTCGCCGGAGGTCGAGAGCGCGACGACGGATTTGGCGAAGGTGCTGGCCCGCGACGATGTTACGCGGCTTTTGGTGGATTGTACTGGACAGCGTGTCATGCCAGAGCCGCCGTTGGAGGACTCGAACCTAGATGTTGCAGCGTGGGTGGGTGGGGATGAGATACTTGTCGTTATCGTGTGGCCGCAGTATGAGCCGGGAGATGGTGCTATTCTCAAGCTACCGACGGGCGGAAAGCGTGTGACGGATTGGGAGGTGCTGTATGGTGCTAAGTGGATGGCGAACGGTAGGACGATATCGAAGGAGGGAACGGCGTCGCTGGAGGTTAGCATTTTAAAGGGAAGAATTCGTGGATACTAGCGTGACAAGATGCGCATGTGGGAATTGTGGGTCATCTCTATCCAGATTACGTTGCCGTCAATCTTATGCTATCTCAGGTGAGCGGAGTCTCATGTGCACGGCGAAGTACTAGCAAGCCCCACTCACTGCACTAGTGGCATGCATATCAACGTCTCAATAGTACTCTACTAGTCCTCTGTTAGAGCAATATTGCGGTATCGTCTCAACTCGTTTGTGCGTTTGGTACTTGATAAGTGTCGCCAACCAAGCTGCGCCCTCCGCGCCTGACTTCTTCCTTAGTCATTTTCACCCACCAGTCCAGTCATATCGTTAGTCAGCATAAAATATCATCTCTCGAACCTCGAAGGTGCCCCCGGGCTACATATATCCCCCGGAAGCTCCTTTGGCGGTCCCCTCGCACGCTTGTCAACAGCTTCATACGCAACTCTCGTTTGGGCACTTGAGCCTGGAGCTCATACGACTCGGTCAACAACAGCAGCAACTACAACTAGAACAATTGAGAGTACGTGCCCAATTATCTTCGAGGTCACCCGTGCGGAGTCTCCATACCAATTCAGCACCGCTTGTACATAAGCGTTCCAGTCATGGCACCGCCCGGCCAGAGGATTTGGGATTTCTCACCGCTGCAAGCTCAGCGGCATATCATCAGCATGTCAGAGCAGAACAGCCCAGCGCATTCTAAGAACCTGTGTGAGGGGACGAACAAATCCCCTTTCCGAGGCGGACAAGGGATTGGAAGATACTTTGCCACACCGGCCGATCTTGAACGCCAATTTGCCCTTATATCGCAGCGGAACATCCCCTCGAACCCACACGAGGCCGCTGGCCATATGCTGGATTACCAAGGACAGCTTCATACCTCATCATCGGTTCATGAATCTCCATATACTGTTCTGCGTCCAGGCCAACCTCGCATGCTGAGTCCCCCTCCAGGATTGAATGAAGGTCCCTCAACGCCATACCAGACCTTCTCTTCTGCGATCGACGCCTACCGAGCGGGCAGTCAAGGACGCGGCCAATCCCCCTCCGCCCCCTCCTTTCAAGGAGGCTCGCAACATGGTCCTCCAGAACAATGCATGGCACAACAAGCGCACCACCCCGAATTAGCAGAACTACCCGTTGACAGCCGCAAGCGTTATGCAGATAGACTAGAAGAAAACGATACAATGAATCACTTTTTATCTGCAACGGCTATACCTGCTCCCCTGCCTAAGAATCAGAGGAGGAAGTCGAACAAGCCGCCTGCTACCACAACAGCACAGGCCACAGGCGAATTTTCCACGGTTGATCTCGCATCCACGCATGAAAAGCGGACGAGCGCCCCGAAACAGCCATGTGTTGCGACAGCAGGACAAAATGGAGGTGAGATCATGTCCCCTCCCGCCCACAAGCGCCGAGCCTCCAACCGTCGTGAGACTTCTGAAGAGCGAGACGGGACCCCATCGTGACGAAATGACTGAGCAGGGCGAGGCAAGTAACCAGGACACCCCACTCCCGAGCATCGAAGGCGGTGACAAGAGTGCCGTCCAATCTCGTGCGGCCCGTACAACTCGTCGAGCGATGCAAACAGAGACCGCTACACCTGCAGCTCTCGCCCAAACCCAGGCTCAGTCTCAGGCCCGATCTCAGACTGCCTCAGTCCCTGCAGAAACCCCTGTGACGTGAAACGCCATTGGGCAGCTCCTCTGCGGAGCTCCCTTGTATGCTCGGAGAGCTTCCTGTACGTATATGGCTAGTTCTGCGCTTAGACTTGGCAATATCTCTCTATATATGGAGCTTGGGAGCTCTCTCCCACACTCCAGTGATAATACTATAGATCACCCTGAACTGCTTGCCAAGCTCCCTCCAACAACCCCAGCTCCAGATTCCCCGATCTACCGCCTTTCCGATCCCCTCCAAGGCCTCCGCAAGGTGCTCGGCGAGCCAAGATGGCAACAGTTCCTCCAACTCGTGGAGCAGTACGTGGGCGAGACTATTGACGAGCCTCGACTCATCCATGGCCAGCGGCGCATATTCCACGGCCAGAATCCGATGGTCGAGAAGAAGTGTCGACGTTTGACGGAAAAGATGGTTCGTGAGGCGCGAGAGGCACAGGGCGGCATGTAGATGGGCCCTCAAACGGGTGGTCGTACTGTCGGTCGAGGATATAAGGGTGTTGAAAGTTACCATGGAAAGTGACGTTGTGGATGGTTTGGATACGGACGGACTGACACCAAGGAAAGTGATTACGACATGGGGGAATGGTTTTGGGAGTAGCGATCACTGCATGGAGTCTCAGGTTTGGATACGACGATTATGAGAATGGAAATGATGACGGCATAGCATAGCGGAATGGTCATGGACAACGACAATTACGACTGCGAGAGGTATCTACGGGCGATTTGCTATCTGGCAGAGCGCTTTCGTCAGCAAGTGTGGCACAGTGCGCACCAACTTGCACGACTTGTGTATGTTCACACACAAGGCTTTTCCGTAGGGCCAAAGCACTCATTTTGTGCCTTCATTCTTGGACCAAAGTAGTAGCCGCGCGAAATGATGGTTCTTACACGACGGCTTGCATGCAAGCCAGTGACCACGCTCAGCTCAGCTCAGCCCTTTCCCTTTCCAAACGCATATCCTGCCGCTCGCTAATTTTCCAACTGTAGAAATGCCAGAACTAGCGAAGCTGTGGTGAATAGCCTGGCTCCCACCACCACCCAAACCACCCTAACAACCTCTCTGTCCAACATCCACCATCGACGGCGCCCGCTTATCTTGTACAGCCCAGGTCAGCTCATATCCGATGCAAACATGGCCTTCTCACTTACTTCGCTCTCAACCCCTAGTATCCAAACATCGTCTCTGTCACCCCTAGACCCTATCCCGTAGCCGGGAACATGACCCAGTCGTCGAAGTCAAACTCCATCAGGGGCGGCTGACGGGCGGACTCGGTGGGCTGAGCTGGCGCTGATTGTTGAGGGTCTGAAGGCGGTTGTTGGGGGGGGGAAGGTGTGGGGGCACGGATGGTGGCTGGGGAGTGGTCGGGCTGGGGTGGTGTTAGCTTGAGCACGTGTAGGTGAGTGTACCTAGGAGGGGAGGAGATGGAGATGTGGAAGGGAAGTGTGACTTACTGGGCGGGGTCCTTGCGTGGTTGGGGGGTGAGCTGGCTGCTCTTGGACAAACTGGGTAGTCTTCACCGTCGTGGCAGCTCGCGGCATCAGGAGTTGACTTGGCTGCTGCTGTGGCGGCTCCCCAGCCTCTGCACCCCTGCCCTGTCGCAGCATCGGGGATCGACCCGCCTCCTCCCGAACAAACCGTGTAGTTTGCACGCTCCTCCCCGCCGCCTCAGACGCCGCACTCGCCTCCGCCTTCCGTCGCTGGAACTCTGCAACTAGCTTCTCCCTCTGCTCCGGCGTGAAAACCCGCTGCATCACCTTGGTAAACTGCTCCTTCTTGAAAAGACACGAATGCATCCACATCAGCTGCTGCTCAACATCCGCCGTCCCGCACATCAACTGATGCGCGTACTGCTTGAAGTGCCGCACGAGGACCTCCAGAAAGAACAACCGCAGCCCAAACGGTATGACCGAGTTGGAACTGTCCGCCGGCGGCAGCGCAGAGGGCATGCGCCGCGCGCGCAGAGTGACGGCGCCAACAACGTGCAGGCTCATGCAGGCTTGCACGAGATTCCAGGATACCAACTCGACATCGGCTGAATTCCGCATCCACGCCCCGCCGGCCACGAAATGCTGGGCGGCATCCATGCTGTCGAGCACAAGCGAGGTGTCGAGGAACGCAGTGAAGAGGCGTATCACGTGGGGGATTTGTTCCTGGTCGGTGAGCGGGACACCTGCAGCACCAGAGGACGGACGCCAGCAGGGATTCCATTGGTGTGCGATTTGCGCGTTGAGCGCGGAGGTGTAGCGCAGGAGTGGGACGCGGTTTGGCTGAGCAGGCGAAGAATGAGGAGCTACGGTCGGCGTGAGGGCGAGCGCACGTGGAGTGGCTGGTCTGCCGTTTCTGGAGATGAAGGGGCGGGGAGTTACGGAAGGTTGGTAGGTCTGTTGTCGGCGGTCAGTCAGTGATGTTACACAGTGGGTTTGCGGTCCGAGGGCTCACCGCATTTTGGATAGTCTCCAAGTGTCGCTGCCGCTCTTGAGCGTGCCGCGCCGCGAGGAGCGCTTGTTGTGCTGTAACATGCCCTTGGTATTGCTGCATATTACGAGATGGCCGCCTCATTGAGGGCTGGTGTGGTGTTGCACTAATGGCCCCCATTGCGGGAGTACGGTGGTGAGAAGGAGCGTCCATGATTAGGACATCGACGAGTGGTTGATGTGTTGGGTGATTCGGAGTCGCGCAGTTGTCGATTTGAATGGAAATGCCAAGACAGAGGCCGTGAACGTGTAAGCCTCTTACTTCCACGTGAAAATTTGCAGAAAAACGCGTAAGACATCACGAAGATTCAACTGGAGGCACTATGGGGTTTATACAGTAATTCATTAAGACAGTATTTTCATCATTCAAGTTTGAATGGCTCGACCACCCAACATGTGGTATGCGTGGGACTGCCCCACCGCGAGCATGGGTCCATGCGGAGCACATCATTTATAACACTAATGTGACCCTTTCAATAGTATTCAGTCTCCTACCACTGATTGTACTTGATGTGCTGACTCGTGAATTTGAATATAAGGTATGAACCTTCGAGTCACGTGATCGTTCGACATCCACCGAAACATGTGGATCCATGTATACAACACGACCACATCCCCGCAGAGAATCTACCTAGATTCCAACAACTAGCCCTTCCTAGCCGCCGCAGAGCGCCGCTTGTTCCTCATGGTCTCCAAGTGCACCATCCAGAACGGATCAGGGTCGAAATAGGAAGCGCGATGCACGTCCGCCTCATTGGCTGAGCTTCTAGCACTTTTTCCATCTTTCATGGCATTGTGTGACTCCATATCAGCTCTTCCCTCACTCTCAGATATCTCAGTCAAATCGATGGCGGCGGCGTTATGCGGAACAGTGCGAGTAGGCAAGCCGGTGAGAGATTTCGTATGGGTTGGCACGTCTTCGAGCATGTTTACTTCTGCTTCTTTTAGTTTAATTACTCGTGTAAATACGGGTGCAACTGTGAGCGACTTACCATGACCCTCACGACGCTCTTGATCAGAGCCAACATCATCCTCGCTAGCATCGGTATCGTCACTCGTCTCGTCTTCATAAAGCTCCATGGTCAGGTCGATATACTTCGCCGTCGTCTCCTGCGCCTTTCTTGATTGTGGTATAGCGTCAACTTCAGGCGCGGTCGCAGCCGCGTTACTCCTCTTCACTCTTGCAATCTTCATCAACAGCCCTTCAGCGCTGTATCCGATCACGTCGCTCTTCACGCGTTGCTCGTCGACGAAGCGCAGCAGATCTTCGAAGTACTGCCCGAACGTCACGGTCTTCAGCTGCTCGACGATTGCCGAGGCGGCATTATCCCTAATTAGACCGACTGAGGGACCGTCACGGAAGAGGTTCTCAGTCGATTCCTGTCACGTTTTAGTTGGCACCGAACAAGCCAAGCTAGATGTTTTCGGAATCTTTGCTTACCAAGACCTCCCAGGCGGTAGTGCCAGCAGTCTCAGGACTGAGTCTTGGACCATTGAGCAGTGCAATGTATAATTTCCTAGCCCACGTCTCACGCTCCTTGTCGTCCTTTGGCAAAGTCGTGTCCACGATCTCCACAGGCTTTTGATCTTCATGGTCGCCATGGTCGATAAAGTCCCGGACGCTGGCTTTGGCTTGTGTAGAGCGCTTCCGAACGAAGGGAGTCACTCTCGGAACAGCAGGCTTCCGAGCTTGCTCGCTGACCCTGCAACTCCCCCGCTTCATATGAGGCGTCGCGGTCCCACGCGTTTTTCGAGCTGCGCCATAGTTCTTGTGCCGAGTCGATGGAGGCATTGCGTTGCGGGCGTGACGACGTACGAGTCGTGCTTTGAATGATTTGCGGCAATAGACTGATCGATACTGGCGATTTTATGGTGAGCTCGATGTGGAAATGTCGGCCAAAGTCGCAACGGGCGCGATTCTCTGGTTACTGTGACAATATGCCTAGGCAGGCGCGCGTTGGTGCCAATCGTTGGTGTGGTGAACATAACAAAACTTGCGCACGACCTTTCACTTCGTTATCACCCAATCCATAGAACGTTGGACTCAGCCTACTAATCTGCTCCGCAGTTCAAGAACAATCCTTTCCTCTCTTGCTGGGCCTATACTTTCAGCCACTCACCGGTATACACCTACTCTCAACCCCCGAAAAAAAGGCTATACAGCACTTCTTCAAGCCAACAACATGTATCTTGTTGTTATCATCGGCATCAACGGAAGACAGGGCTCCTCAGTCGCCGAGGCATTCATGGACGTACCTGGTGCTCGAATCCGCGGATTGACATCTTCTCCAAAATGTGCCGCAAGCGAACGTTGGAAACAGATGGGTGTCGAGATACGGGAGGAGACGTTTGGCGACATGGAGCACATCAAAAAGAGTTTCGAAGGAGCGACCTTCATATTCGCAATGACAAGCTACCACCAGTTACTCCAAGACCGGCGATCAAAATTGGCATGCGAGGTGGGATCTGTCTTCAGCGTGTATGATTTCGCCATGCGCCGCGAGGATAATGTGGGACGCATGCTGCTCGACGCAGCGGCGGCCACTCCAGGACTACAAAGGTTAGTGATGTCCACACTTCCAGTTGTCAACCCTGGCAACAAATATGCGTCGCATACAGCTGGGGCTACCTACCACGCCAAACGACACCACATTCGCTACATGGCGAGCTGCCTGCCGGCTTTGGCGGCTAAGACGATCTTGGTGAAGCCGTGCATGCGTATGGAAGATTACCGAGCGACGCTGCGAATGGTCAGTTCAGCTTGTGTATGATTTGAAAAAGGGACAAGGCGCTAATAATATCTGCAGGGCGCAGATGGGGCTCTGTCGTTTGGAACAACAGCACCGCCTCACGTACTCTTGCATTGGATCAACATGAAAGAGGACTTCGGTAAGAATCGTCCCGAGAGACTCAATTGTTTGTAGCATCATTGATGATTTACAAGGCAACCTCGTTCGTACTATTGTTCTCCAGTCGCCATCTGCTGGCTTTGCGGTCGCAGCCTATTCCGACCACGTATCTGGCGATGACATATGCGCCCTCATTTCCAAGATATCCGGACTTCTCTGTCAGTATCGGCAATTCACGATAGGCGAGATGGATGGGCTGGGAAAGACTCTTGTCTCGGACCTGCTCCCAGACCCGTCGGGCTCGATTTTGTACGATCCAAATGTCCTCACTCCCGCTGCTCTCAACGAATATCTCAAGACGTACAAAGTGTCGGTTCGCCAGACTCCTTTCGAGGAATATTTGAAGGCTGTACTTCCCGACCACATTGCTTCGCTGAAAGGCGGAGCCAGGGATGTATCAGAGGCTCCTCGACCCGTGGCTTCGCCAGCGCATGATGACGAAGACATGCTTTTGTTGATCTCAAAACAACCCGATGGAATACCAGATGCTGAGAGTGCTATCTTGCGGGACGTTTTCATGGGGTTCGACAGGAATTGGTATGGAGAGTGCACCTAAGCATGAACGAATTGCATCCGGAAACGTAAGAGCATATGAGAAGATGTTGCGAGCCTCGTGGCTAGATTTGTCAGTTGATGCATGTGTTGCCCGAGTAAAGGCACTATCAGCGAACAGTCAAGGGGACGGCAATGTTCACATTGCAGGGTTTCGCTTTGAAAGGAAGCTGCGCCAGCCTTTCTGCAATGCAAACAGAGGTCGATCGAATCACAATCGTGCCTAGAGATCCTCTCGGGTCGAGATGCCCAATGTGAGTGGTGTGTTGTGGTGCGCTGATGTCCCGAACGCCTTACTTCCTAAATTAGGGAAAGGAGAAAGGTTCTCGTGGCCATTCACACTCGGGGACACAGCACTCATGGTTCCCGCATTTGTGTGACATGCGCTTGGACTTGCAGTCCGCCTGATCGCATCATCAGCGTCTATGTCAATGCTTGATCTTTGCCACGAAGCACTGAGTTCGAACCTGCAGATGCCCACTTGTTGTCAGAAGGGCTTGCTGCGATCCTGGAGCCAGTCACCACTTGAATGTCCCGAGACATTTCGCCACCAAAGCAACCTTGTCTCACCCGACCGAATGGCACAAATATATCGTGCTTGTCACACGCGCCGATCAATCATTTCGTTGTAATACTCTTCACTTAAAAGCATGTACGCAGAGATCACAGTGGAGATCGCCTAATGGCGGTGCATACAAGCGAGAGGCGAGATACGAAGGCGCGATTGGTTTCTTTACAATGGGGCTGACAGTCTCATCGGGAAGTAAAATTACGCCGGGTATAAGTCCACCCAAATTTAGGCAATCTGATGGGAGAATTTCTGCACCCGTCCGCGTGTGCGTACAGCGTACATGCAAGTACCCACTACAGTTAGCGACCGGGAAATGCGGGCTCCTTATTCTCGGTCACATGACGGTCCCCCTAGAATTAAAAGTAGCGATCGAGGCAGGTCCTCACATGCCATCGAATCAAATGCTTACATCGGTGTGATGTGTCTCCCTTCGAAACTCGGTGTAAAAATTGATTGATATATGCTCATGTAAGATTTAATTTCGACACCCGCGGCCCCATTACAGGGCTGCAGCTATGAGCCGCGTCATCGAAAGCCATCACCCTTGACTGCATCACTAAGTGATGATGGAAACAAAACTGATAACAGAGCGCTCTGAGTCCGTGCAGTGGGACTTCACGGTCTTTCCGACTGCGATCTTGGCATTGTGCAAACGATGACCACGCTTGGACCTGAGTCCCGTAAGCTAGTTAAACACTCGAATTCTCTTATTTAGAAGCCCAAATCACTCGCACATCGGTTTGCGGACAACTCTCGAAGCAAACACGACTGTCTTTTCGCGCGTCACAAGCAAGATGCGCTTCTACGGTATCACCACCGCACTTGCCATTCTGAGCACCGGTGTCGGTAGGTAACTCCTCGTGGGAGATTCCAATCATCAAGATTACTAAACTTCATCCGCAGCTGCTGTGGTCGATGGCTCTCAGCCTGACCTCGGATATGCCGAGCTCTACAAGCTGACCCAGCAGTTCTATGACACCTTCCAGTATCCGAACAATGTGAAGGAGGCTGAGAAGATCAACTCGACCATCTGGGCCAAGAATGTGCGTCACAACTTAGCTTTTCAGCCTTTTCTTTCGAGGCCCTGTCTCTTGAGGGCATTGCTAATCGATCTGCAGGTCCAGGGTCGTGTCTCGGATACACGTAACTTCGAGGGTCGTGAACTCAACACCGAATACATCTTTGGCCTCTTCGTACCTTCCGAGTCTGTCTCCATCATCGGCAAGCCAGGACCGTTCGAGATTATTCAATTCGCCGCCAACCAGAACATCGCCTCGGCAACAACTCGCGTCAACTTCACTTTCCCATCATTCGGCAACATAACTTTGCCGATAGTAATCGGCACCTGGATGACGTACAACGAAGCCAAGGAGATCACTCAATACGATGTCGTCTTCAAATGGTTCGGCAACGTCTTGCAACTACTACTCTCCACGGTCGACAAAGATCCCGTCAAAGCCCAGGCGAAGGGCGCCATCGCCTTATCAAAATCGGTCTGCGCGTCTCACACCCAGTTTTGTACTGGCAAGAACATACAGTACGAGTCTGAGGAGGAGTGCATTCGCTTCATGACCAAAGACATCCGGTTCGGACAGAGCTTTGAGCTGGGTGCGAACACGCTCTTGTGCCGTAATGTGCATCAGAAGATGCTCCCCTTCCGACCAGATGTCCACTGTCCGCACATAGGGAAGTCGGGTGGCGGACAGTGCGCAGACGACATTACGTATGTGCAGAAGGTTACCGAGGACTACTTCAAGAATTCTGCATGGATCTCTACTCTTGAGCCGGCTCCGCCGAGTCCACCCTACAGGGGTCACTAGACTGTCGAGTTCCGGGGAAAAGCAACACATGGATGATGTTTCCTTCTCATGAAGCTTTGTCCCACGTTATCGGTATACTCAACGGTCACTGGGACAAAGCATGGTGCACGATCACTCTGTACAAGAGGTGGCCAGGATGCGGTAACACCGGTGGAGAATCATGGCTATGGTGCATTTGATGGGTAGGATACTGGAGACTATTAGCCCCGGGGACTGATGTACGCTGCTGCGCTTGCCTGCAATATGGTTCTTGAAGAATACACTTCATTTCCTTCCATCGATCCAAGCAATTGTATCTTGTCTTCCTCATCCCCGAACGCCCAGAGAGTCAGCGTTGCCAACGTACCGTACAGTTTGAGGCGTATCACCGTAACGTACAGCGGTTTTTTGGTGTTGGCCCGTACGTACGCACCTGCATGGCGACCCGTACAAAGCTCCGTACGTACTCATTTTGGATCGGGAAAGTACGGTAGTACGGTACTACGGAACGTCGGATTTGGCTGGGGATTTTGTTGCAATTGGTGGAGATTTCCTATGCCCTCTACTAGCCCTGTGCGCTGTCAGATATTGCCTTGTATAACAGTGTCGTAAGGAAGAAAAACTCTGATTTTCTTGTAGTGTTGCCCATCGTCCGAAGTACCTATCGCCATCGTCTGAACCTACCCATCGTCAGTATCTATCAACATGGATCGCTTTTTGACTCGCTCGCAGGCCTCGCAGGCCTCTCAGTCCACCCAGTCAACTCAGGTGGCATCTAGCAGCTCTGGCAGCTATCACTATGCCGGGTCGCGTACGGCAGCTGTCATGGCGATGACCGACAGCTTCGGGAGTGTAGACGACTCACTATCGGACGCTGATACCGCTGAGGTGTCAGCTGACCCACACGTGTGGCCGGGAGACCTAAGGGCAAATAGAGCCCAGTTTCCTATTGTATGGGGTCGCCTCTAGAGTGGTAATCATAAGCTTGACCCATTACGTGTTGGGTACAAGGTCAAGAGTAAGGCGCAGTTACTAGGTAAGTGGAGAGTTACAAGCTTCTAGTAATATAGTGCAGAGCTTAAGTACCTTAAGGATAATAAGTTAAAGTTGACGCTATTTCTCTATCAGATCTGCCACGAAGAGAAGAAAAACTAGTATTGTTGGACGTACAACGGCACCACTTATATCAAGAGGCACCTCTACAAGGCGCACCTATTGGATCCAGATACTGGCTTGCTGCCTGTCGCAGAGGCCCTATAGCCCAAGGATCCCTAGCAACACGCTGCTGCCGTCGCTGGGTCGTTAGGCTCTATTTCCCATAACCTTTGGCAGGAGGAGGAGCTGCAGAGGTCGTACGTAGACTAGGTGATTATTAACAACCTAAGCTTCAAAATGTGCATTAATCCGTCAACAAGGGGCTTACTAACATAGAACCAATCGTCGTTACTGCGCACCCTACCAGCAAGCCACTCTACACTATCAAAGTACGTGGTTTTGCAGCTAGCAGAGAGGAAAAAGGATATCCTAAAACTTCTAACTAAGTTAGATAGTAGGATTTCTATAAGTTACGATATCTAGACGTCGCTAAATAATTACGACTTTCTTAGAGTTATCGCTCACTTCGTCGGTAAGTTAGTGCCTAGCTGGAGATAGACGGAGTTACGCTTTTAGCATGTTTCTAGTAGAACACCAAACCTATCTATCACCAAATCTATTACTACTAACACCTCTACTAGACACTCTCTATCACCAACGCGACCTCCTTATTGCCTTTTAGCCTCTTTTCTATAATCATATAGGCACTACGCAGGCTTAGATTATTTTTGACGTCATTTATGAGTATGATTTTATTAGGAAACTACACTATTTTATAGGCGACAATGCAGCTAATAATGGTAACACCTTCATTAATACACTTAACTAGGTTACCCTAGAGGACCTCTATATCACTAGAAATCGTCAGATATGCTGTGCTAGCCATATTATCAACCTACTATTAAAAGCTCTTATCTATGGCGATAGTGTAAACAAGTTTAAATTAGAACTAGCAAAAGCGTCGCCCTAGAATTAGTATAAGATATTCCAGGCACGCGGTACTATTAGTAAGCTATATAACTTTATTAACGCTGTCTATAACTCCTATAAACGTTAACGCCTATTTTAATTAATATAGAAGATAGTACTTAATAAGGATAAGCTATTCAGCTTCTCTACACTGAACTTAGTTAGGGATAATGGGATCTAGTGGCATAGTGTCTATCTTATACTACTCCACTGCCTCGACCTTCGCGATAGTATCCAACGTTTCTTTAAGCTTACCCATGCCGACAGCTCCACCATGGGCGGTAAATACAACCCGATAACTAACAGCTTATTAGATAATGAGTAGGATGAGGTATGCATTATATACGAGGTCTTAGAGACTTTCTATAAGAATACTAAGTTGCTGGAGGGTAATGCGTCGCTCTCCAGCTTTAGGTCACTATAGTAGATAATTATTAACTTATAAGAAATCTACGCCTTTCTTAGCGGCAGCGATAAGGTGAGTGTCCATTAGATTAATGGCTTCTTATAGTCTAACTACATGGTCTCTAGCGTTAAGCTTACCCTCTAGAAGCTGATTATATACTTTAAAAAGCTAGTATTAACGTCCGACGGGCCATCTCTCTACTATGTAGTAATAGCCATGTACCCACTCCTCCGCCTCTCATGGTTCAAGACGTAGTGGTCTCGCTACGCTCTATGGCACAAGACCGCCAAGAAGTCTATCCGAGAGACCTTTGCCCAGTATATGGCCGCTGAGGGCACCACTAACGACAATGATGATGAGCTGCCAGAGCTCCCACGCACACGCAAGGTGCCTGGGGCGTACGCTAGCGACGACCAGAGACTCCGTATAATGTTTATAGACGATCACCTCCTCATAGGCAAGCGGAGCTTCAAGCGGCAGAAGCATACAACGTAGCTTAATGAGTATTTCGACAGCCTCTACGAGGACAAGCTGGCTGCCTCCGCGTCGCCAGACATGTCTAAACTGATGCAGGACCCACACCGCTGGTGGGTGAGCGTCGGCCAGAAACGTTTCCCAATCGTATACAAGATGGCCATGGATCACCTCTCTGTGCCAGCTACGTCGTGTGACTGTGAGCGGTGTTTCTCGTCCGCTAGGAGAACAATCACCTGCGATCGTAACTTACTCTCGCCAGCTACTGTTGAAGCTATACAGCTTCAGAAAAACTGGCTGCGGAGAGACGCCATATCAAGTCACCTAACAGCTCTCCAGCAACACGTTAAGAGGAGAGATACCCTCAACACCACAAACATTAGGCTTATGGATGAGATGCAATTCACCAACACTTCCTAATCAGGTAACGCACCCTGTACGGTACGGAACTACGGAGCGCACAGTCTGCATTTTGGCCCGTACAGTACGTACAGAGTTTACTATGTGGTCCGCACGTACGCACATGACCCCTGTGCGGAAGGTGGTGCGGTACGTTGGCAACGCTGCAGAGAGTGATTACTGGACTCGCTCCCCTCTATGTGCAGTTGAGTGCGAGTGTGTTTATGATTAACAAACTTCCCATTTGCAACCCAGCTCCATGCTCTTCGCACAACAGAGTACCGGATTTTCTCACCCTTGCAAACATGGTGGAGACATGGATACGGCTCGGAAAGCACAAAGGAACATGAATTCCACATATAGCATTTTGGCAGCGTTGAAGGACATCGGGATTTCCCCGATGCTAAGTTGGATATGCCCATATGTACACCAATTGATGGAAACACACCCCTTGGGCCGATTCGGTCGTTCAACGTTTTCGGCTCTTCGTCGAATGTACAATGACATGTTTCAACTTTTTCCGAACCATGATGACAAGTAGCTGACACAAGAAGTGGGTCTATCGAATCAAATCTGTGTTCGTGAAAGGATGGCATTCACCGCGTAGTTGACTCTATACAGCCAAGTCTTGATGTTTCGTAAAGCAGTCTTCCGCCAAGGACAATATTAACCATTCTGCCCAGTTACCTCCAGTCGTCAACCAAGATCCAGCAACCTTGTTTATAACATCCAAGCCCAGGATTCCTGAACTCCAGTATCCGCAAATCTCAATTTCGTGTCCTCCATTGCCGTGTTCAACAGCTATATTTCCACCAGTTTTTGCGATTAAATTTTGATGTTCGGGACTATTGCCAACAGTCCCATTCACTCTGGAAGGATATCCGGAAGGCAGAGACCATGCCTATTTGATACTAAATGAAGGAACGTGTCGAAGCCCACCCGCCTATCAACCTCCCAGGCACCGTTCAGCTTGTAGTATGCGATGCTGAGAGCAGCTTCGGGAAGAACACAATGAAGCTGCTCCAGGAGATTGGCGTTGGATGCGGAGATCCGCACGTTCCCATCGATATCTCCACGCTGGTCCTCATGGCAAAGGTGGGAAATTTCAATGATGACGAAGGATGTGGGCGATTGCTTGCTACGCATGCTAGCGGCCAGCTGTTCCAGAGCGGTCCAGATCTTGGCCTGGTGAGATCGCGCGGCGTACTCGTACCACTCAGGCAAGACCAGTTGAAGTCGGGAGATATCAGTGCCCTTAATTCCGTGCAGAAGGTGTACTGCCGCCGTTCGGAAGTCTCGTAACCCTTTGTGGGTCAGGGTCCGGGGCGTCAGATAGATGAGTCGCTCTGCCAGTATCAGGGGCAACACCTTGGCATGGAGGCAGTAGATGGAGTAATGTGCCACGGACCAGAAGGGAATGGTGATGGTCTTCAGGTAACGATCATTCCAGACACAGGTTGTGCCGAGGAAAGCGCAGATGATGGAGGTGCCATTGAGGCCTGAGAAGCGGAACTGAATCGCACCGTAGAACTTGGAGGTGGTCTTCTGACGAACCAGCTTGCAGGTGAGGAGAAATCTGACGGGTAGCTTGCCCTTCCGGATAAGATGCTGGCCTTGGAAGCCGACAAGGTACCTACCGCAGATGTCCGTTAATATGCTCACCAAAATCAGGCGCATGGACGAGTTGCCTTTGGGTACCTTTCTCAGGCCAAACCTCGATGGGCTGATCCAAGCACAGCACATACTTGTAGATAATGACACGAATCTCGGCGGGAAGGTCGAGGAGTCGGAAAGGGACCATGAGCTTTCTGACGTCAGCTTCAATAAATAGGGTAGCGAGACAAAACCTCTTATGACGGATACAAGCAGTGGATCACCAACTCAAAGTATGTCAACGCAGACCAAAGACTGTTGTGCGTAGACCGTAGAAGAAACTCGCCTCGATGCTACAGTAGAAACTAATTACGATACGTGTTTCTTGACAGTGTCTCACAGCTTCAACGCTCATATGTCATGACCCTGGAGCATTGGGAAAAATATTCGCGGTGCGCAAAAGCAGCTGTGCTCGAATTGGGAAATAGAATGACGCCCAACACGGTGAAAGCAGTGGAATCCTAGCAGCTGCCAAGGTGCTTGCATTTGGAGTTATTCACATCTATCATCACCATTGTGGTGTTTCGTTGCAAGAGACTTGTGTGGAAATAATCATTTCCGAGTTTAGTGAAGCAGGTCTGGGGAGAGAGATCCGTTGCATTAACGGACAAATATTACAGCACATCCTGTCAAACTGGAGTGCAATCCACTACTACTCAAAAATTGGCTGAGACCCGAGATAAGTAGGACATATTTGAACAGGAAAGAATGAGAGGAAGCAAGAAGAGGGTTATGGGGTGTGTGCAGACTGCTCCTAAATTTATCACTCGTAGACGGCACGGGCCTTTCTTCTTCACGTCAATATATAGAGCGCAGTATGCTAACCTCGCTTCTGAACTCAAAATAATTGCTTTAGTTGGGTGCATGAGAGTCAATTTTTCGCTCCTGCCTTGTCCTTAACCTGCCGTTGCCATGGCGGTGTTGGTTGCCAGGCGATGCGTACTTTCCGAACTCGTATTGCTATATGCAGTTTTTGCATCGTATCGACACTCGACACACCGTGACCTCAAAATCTCAAGTACATCAGCTTATATATAAATCTCACCCGAATGCTAGGCTCCAAGCCCCACTAACCATCCCGAATCTTTCATATCAACATTTTTAAGAGGTTCATGCACACCTATCGCTCCGCCTAAGGCATTAAAAGCAGAAGTATCCGTTACGAAGCTCTGGGATCAGCCATTTAACACACACCTCAGTCTCAAGCTACTTTAGATTCACGGGAACAGGCACCTCCGTGCCATGTATCTGAATTTTCTTTGCGTCCAGACGACACAGACATTGAGCTGGAGTTGATTAGGAATCCAATAGTAAAGTATGGCAATGCCCACTTGCATCAAGACGACTTGAAGATGATAGTTCATTATGCAACTGCCGATTCTCCCAACATAACATTGGCCAGACAGCCTGTATCCTGCATCTAGTACGTGCATATACACAAGCCTACAAGTGATAAGACAAAATCACCGGCTCTTCCAAAGCACACTCCAAAAGCTCCTTGGAGAACCGACAGGACTCGTATATGCGAGGAGATCGATCGTGCGATAGACTCTGACGTACATATCTTGAATATGTACTACAATGTCGACCGTGCTACACACCAAGTTCATGTCAAGACTCTTGAGTTAGGGAGGAGTCATGGTTAATAACCAAGGGTACACGAACATCGAGCGTAGTTGCAGCTCCTGTCTCAATGCGAACCGGAGGCAAAACAACCTGAGCCTCTACATCGGATCGAGGGTCATCGCTTATGGGTGTGACAGGTCGTCCCAATACATCTCCTGCTTCTAATCTTGAAGATTTCCGCGAGGGCGTTTCCGACTGTCCAGTTCTCATCCGCTTTCGAGATCGAGACAAGAAGCCGAGAGAGTCGCGCGCCCTGCGCCAGTGGTCACGGATCTTCATAAGATTCGCGGTTCGTCCTTGATCCAGCACAGAGACATGTGTCGCGTTGAACTTAAAGCTTCTACCCTGTACGGCTGACTTGACCATTTCTGCAACTTGCTTCGCATCCTCAGCGGTGATATCTTTTGTAAAGAAGAAGCGCAGATCAACGAAGGAACGTTCGACTGGGCCAACATGGGAAGTCGCTTTTGAGCTTGGACCTATCCCTTTGTTTGTACTCTTGTCTATTGGGGCCATCGAGATTGGTCCTGCGACATGATCCGGACGAGCGAAGACTAGCGGCCTCTGCTTGGTGGGAAAATCTTTGTATCGTTTGATCTGGTCCCTTAACTCTAGCATGGTGAAAGGAGCGACCGGTTTCAACTCCTTCAGTGCCCAGATGAGTGCTGTTGTGAACGAGTGGGGTCCAGGTTTGTGTGTTCGCTTTCTGCCCTCACACGCGACTAGGTACTCAAAGGCGTGGCGAGACCCACGTGTTGATAGAAAACCTCCATCACAGCAATCAAATATAACCAAATGATCGTGTTTGAACTCCTGTAGGATATGTTCAGCTCTATCCCACATGATGTAAGTGCCTTCGGGAAGCTTGGTGTCATCTCTTTGAGCCGCTTCGCTGTATTCTATGTGTCAGCAACTGGTCTCCCTCCTACAAAGTGATCTGGCTTACGGCATGAGATCCATCGCGTAGGCAGCTCGCGCAGGGTTATGATCTCTATTCCTCCAACCGTGGCCAGCATAGTAGATAATACTCAAATGGTGCTCCTTTTTAGCATGTTCTAACTCGAAAGCATATAAACACGAGCTAGCGTAGGCATTCGCGGTTTCGTCACAAGGGATGACCTTGCTTGTCACATCGAACTCATATTCTAAGAATACATCTCTCAGACTCTCAATCTGGCAGCAATATTAACTCCGAGTACCCCTTAGGCTGTGATGCTGTACATACCTCCTCACTGACGTCCATATTGCCCATGCCTCCCAACTCAGAAGTTGGGTCAAACGAGAGCAAAAGAACTCCAACATGGTCATATTCTTTTGGCTTTCGCGCTGATGGCATGTGCTTTTCGAAGTTCTCCTGGAACTGGCGAAAACGTGGGGTCTTGATCTCTTCCGGGGACATTTCCAATGCCACATCATGCTGAATGAGGCCGGACGTGTCTAAGTGGAGGGACATGATGAAGCGTTACAATGAGGTGGTGTGGTGTGACAGAGGCGTTTGGTGTAGCTACTCGGGCGGTGGAAACGATTTAAATTCCTCAGCCTGATGCGCCTGCGCCTCACCCCACGCAAGGGGCTCAGGCTTTGATACCTGAGTGTGGCAGCTGCGATAGAAAACGACCAACTCCGCCTCCTAATTCTGGGGAGACGGGGCTTTTTTGGCTTCTTCACAACAGTATCCTACACTCTGTTCACACAGGTCGTACTGCGGTTATGAACGATGGTGCGATGACCCGGCGGGGCTGCATGCTAAGCCATCGTCCCTCACAAATAATTCCGGTTGATTGGCCACATGCAGGGATGCTTTCCGACGGAGTGGTACTGCGATACGAGTTCACCGCACACCGTGCAATCACCAACAGTTCAGCCGGCCAGGTTTGCGCTTCAAGCGCATGATAGCAATCCGAGCCGAAGAAATGATGATTGTCCATCAGCCTGTACAGCGCGAATCTCCGCGTGTGACCTTGCCTTATTGCCTGGGCTGACACTACTTCTTGCCTCTTTTGACTGTCTCCAATCAGAAGATCCATTGCGGATTGAGCCTCACGGTGACCGGTCTATATCTAGTGTGTCTAACATCCAGCCTGCTCGGCTCACCGGTCCAGTACAACGTTGCCACTCACACAGCTCTCTCGGCTTGTGCTGCTAAAAATTACCAAGGATGTCAGAGCCCAATGAAACAGAAGAAAATCATTTTATCGTATGCGATAATCCGAACTAGCAAGTCTCAGAGTCTGACAGTGCCGTAGGAAGAAGCAACCTCTGACAATGGTCGTTCACATGTGCCTTCATATATACGACAACAGGGAATGGCGACACCGGTAGGTCGAGCTCAGTTTGGCTTTGCACTGTGGGCTAACAGCTCTGGCTATACAGGCAGTCGCAAGATTTGAGAAGGGGGATAACGCAGTACTTGAGGATAGTGATGATGAGCCTGACTGCAAAGTAAAGATCGAGGATCGTAGGGAAAGCCCTACGAGCGGAAGATGGGAGTACCAGGTGAAGGATAGGGCAAGCGGCAAATCGATTAGCAATGGGGAATGGTTTCCCGAAAGGAAGCTGCGGTCTCGGTAATTGTTACGCCCTGCTCAGGCGCTTAGGCTCGATGCATAAGGCATTTTGGGGCAGGGTTGCATGATACACACGTGTGACCCCCATTGGGTAGCTCATAGCCTTGCATATGTCCTGTTTTCTTGACGTAGACATTTAAGCACGCATGTCACCTCCTGGAACTATTGCAAGTGCCTAAGTCTACACTCAGTGAACGTGAGGGACGCAGAGCTAACTGGACAGAGAATTTACCGCAAGACTACCTTTGAACAGCACATGACTCAGTGATCAAGTCGATCAAGTTGCACCATGAATCCTGATGATGAGATTTCGAGAATGGAAAGAGGAGAAGCCGGAACCAGCTTCTCGACTGCAGCAACTGAAACTTCGGAAAAGTCCTACGAAAACGCCTCTACGAGCAAGACATTGAGCTTCCACTCTCCGAATGCCCGACGTAAAAACTTGCGTAAGTTATTAAACCTTACGTTTGAATTGGAAAATCAATTCTCACAAGTTAGGTACTCCTCGATGGATCAGGACCGCTCGAACGAGGCTGAGGAAAGGTTGGAACGGTCCTAGTCGACAGGCTTCAAATCCTCCTCAAAATGTCTCAAATCCTACAATCAGAACGCGTAAGTGGTCCAGGGCTCTTCGGAGACCATACTTCTACGTCTGTTTTCTAATTGGAACAGTCTCTGCAAGCCCTCAGGGGTACCCAAGGCTAGCCGCATTTCTTGATAGTGATGAGAGCTTCATGATTTATCGAAGATTTGGGTTTATACAGTCTCGTCTTATTCTTGATAAACAGGATGAACTGCGCGAGCTCGAAAAGAGGTTGGACAAATTGGACCGTGTCGAAGCGAAGATCGATGAGAGATGGCCAAGGACTAGAGATCTTCCAGATGAACACTTAGAGCGAAGGACGGAGCTTCTGAAAGAGGTCGAGGAAACGTTCTGCTCTTATGGTAAGTTTCGCTGGGAGGTAGGGTAATTAAGCCATCTTAACAAGCTACAGTGAATCTTCTCAATGCAGCCCGGAAGATGGTCGCAATGAATCACCCTTCCAAAGTAGACTACAACAGCGTGCGAAATTGGATGCGCCTTCGTAACCCGCTCATGGAGCGCGAGGCTTCCTGGATCGACCATGAAGAGGACATGGTAACTTTGCGTGCAGGCCGCGAACATGCTTGGCTAGACTCTAGCATTGAAACATTTCTACGATGGTTTCATTGCCCCCTTCTTGAGGTAAGTCTCTTCGGATAGATATCCTGGGTTGTGCTTATGTCCCTCGCAGCAAGTCTTCGGAGATGAGGTCAGTGACCCGCATTCGTTCACGTAGTCCAAATTTCTTACAGTCTGTCGAATGTTGCCGCCTTGACTAACTTCCTGAATAACAGCGATCTCGCACCAAGTCCTCCGGCACGAAGTCACCCGGCACGAAATCCTCCGATATCGAAGTATACTATTCCAGACAGCAAGTTACTCGTCTTGCGAACTGTATCATCACCGCGATGATTTTAATCCTTCTCATCGTTCCAATCTATATTCTCTATCATCTCATCAACGATGTCAAGACAGATAAAGCGTATGCAATATGTATAGGTGTTCTTGTCGTCGCGACTTTAGCATTTTCAGCAGTGCTGTCACTCTTCACGAAGGCCAAACGCCATGAAATCCTAGCCGCAGCCGCCGCGTAAGTATTGTTATCCCCAGATTGGTATAATTGATAACGATCTTCGACTGACGTGTGCCTTTACAGATACTGTGCGGTTTTGGTCGTGTTCTTGGGCAACGTTGGGCTAAACAGTCGGTAAACCCTCTGATTTCGCGTAAATTATTTTTCGTTGCTATCTCCCTTGACCTAGTACAATGAAAAGTGGACAAATTTGTTTGTATTTTCGTATTGCGGTTAGTATTACGCAAGTTATTTTCGTTTCAATGAAACGTACAGGACATGCAGGGGGAAGGAGGGAGGTAAAATGCGGCAGACACATCCTCTTGACCAAGGCATCGCTCTGTAGAATGCGACGTATTACCAGTAGTCCACGAGTTGCGTCTCATACATTAGGCAGCCCCGTCTCTTCCGGATCGTCCACAACCAGTCGCGGTAAATCAGCTCCAAATCAGCAATGATTCACTCAAACTTCCTCTGAAGATTTCTTTTGATAGAATATAGCGCACATAAGTTGATTCATGGCATTGGAAATTAGAAATCAAAGCCTTCCCTAAGGCGTACTAGCCCGGCGCTAACACGGATTCATCAACGGAGCTTCCGCGGGCTCAAGACGATATCTTACAAAACACCACAAGCCGCTGAATAACATCGCGCCTTTACGTCCGAGATGCGTGTAATCGGGAAGAGCACGGACTTGCGGAACGCAGATGTCAAGATAGTAAAAGCAAGTATAAGTAAGGGATCAGGCCGCTTCGTATCCAGTACAACAAGACAAATAGCTTTTCATCCTCCTTAAGAACCTCAAAGTCGAACACCAGAAATCTTCCATTAATCTCCCCCTTCTTTCTGAGACAAAATGTCGGCGCAGCTTGATCCAAACATGTTGACTGCTCCCTTTCAGCTCACGAAGGCAATGCATCGCGATGTATACCCAGCCGTCGATCCCAAGAGGCTTGCACCGCTTGCCTCGGACAAAGTCATTCTCATCACAGGGTCAGGTGGTGGTCTTGGATACGTCAGTTGGCCCTCATTATTGAATAGAAACATCCACTGACACTGTTCCCAGGCTGTCGCGAAGACCTGGACCCTTGCAAATGCTAAAGGCGTTGTCCTCGTCGGTCGTGATGAACAGAAGTTGGACAGCGTAGCGAAAGAGCTTAAGGGCAACATTTTGGTTGCTTCAGGCGATATCACGAAAGAAGATGACGTGAAAGCAATCTTCGAAAAAGCGATTGCAAAGTTTGGTGCCGTGGATGTTGTACTGAACGCTGCTGGTATCGTCAACTACGGCACCATCGGGGAGATGGAGCCTTCGCAGTGGTGGGCCGAGCATGTAAGCCTTCTTGGTGGCTTCCTTCATATGCAGACCATACTGCCTCTTATTACTCCCATCATAGCATGCTAATGACTGGTACGCAGGAGATCAATGTCAAAGCAACCTACATCCTTGCCCACTACCTCCACAATTTCAACAAAGATCGCACCACTACGTTCATCAACCTTGTCTCCCTCGGCGCCTCCATGACCAACCCCGGCCTATCCTCCCTCAGCACTTCTCAGCTTGCCGCTACCAAGCTCGGCGAACATCTCGACCTCGAACTCTCCAACGTTCGCGTGTTCTCCATCCATCCTGGGATTGTGGAAGCAAAGGACGGTCGTGGTACTGTCATCGATGCTATGACGCCGTTCGCAAAAGACCAGCCTGAGTTGACTGGCGCTTTCACTTTGTATTTACTCAAGCCGGAAGCGGATGTGCTCAGAGGCGGATATGTGAGTGTGAACTGGGATGTTGAGGAGATTGAAAAGCATGGAGATGAGATCAAGGCAGGGAGACTCTTGAGGCTGGGCCACATCAACGCGAAGGTCGGACCCGACGGTCATCCGTGGGCGCAGTAAGTACGCTCGCGACACAGGAGTGGAGCCATAGCGACATCCTGTCGAGTCCGGATGGCCACATTAGTGGAAACCTTCTAGAACATTGGGCGGTCTTGTTTGTACTTATCAGAACCTGCTGCTCAATGCAGTTTCTTTCGTAAGGTCAGTGCCAGATGGTTTTTTCAATTGTCAGATGACTTGGGATATTTTCTCGAAGCTGCCCCATCAAATCTACGACGTCTGCTCATTTGACCTACACAACTACAAACAACCTTCCCATGCACGACCTCTAGACAAGCTGCAAGCCTTCCCGCCTTCTTCATAACAGAGGGGCTGGCCTGCGTCAAGCTCATGCAACCAAGCCTCTTGACTTGATACAACTCATATTCATACTTGTACAAATTGCAATCGTGTTACACGGCTACTTCTTATCGAGAATTGCTGAGGGATGCTCAAAAAGCCGAGAGAGGATCAGGTGCATGCTTCCAGAATCAGCAAGCAAGGTCGATGATGACCTCCTTTCGGTGGCGTATCCCGCTCTTCACACGCTCTAGAACAGCCCGATGTACAGAGTAATGGCGCTACTAGAAAAGCGTCTGGTGGGTTTATATAACACTAGAATCCTACAAAATTCACTTGTATAGCTTTGGAGGATGACTTTGAATCTACATATGGCCCTTCCGTCTGTGGCAGAAAGTTGGGCACCGTAAATGGTCCTCGTGCGCTCTATTCATCCTCCTTACGGACTGAGCCTTAGCTTCTTGGCGTGTCTTCTTTTCTCGCGGAACGCTTTTTGTCTGTCGCGAAAACCCAGTTTCCGACTTCTACCACACGGAAACTTCATCAGTTCGACGGCCATACGCCACTTGCTCCGTCACATCCGACAACCTCCAACTATAACCTATATAGGCGCTCTCCTGTCTCAGAGCCGCAATCTAACTAGGATCTACGCCATGTCCGTCCCTCTGGAAGGTCTCGCTCTCTATGACATGGATGAACGCGTCCACCGCGCCCGTGTCATGGCCGAATACCGCAGACAGGCGCTTGAAGAGCTGAAACACATCCAAATTTTCCAGAAGCAGCATCCCCTCCATCAAAACGCCGAAACCGAGGGAGAACCGGCGAGACCAACAACTCCTAAGACCCCCGCAACGATTCAAGCCCCCGAAGCTGGCACGGAGAAGCGCGTGGGAAAGGGTGTCACAGACAAGCCCCTCAAGCGTGTAGCCGCCCGTGCGACACCGAATAAAACCACACAGACACCGCGGAAGCCCGGAAAGAAGATTAAGGGGATGTTCACATGGACGCCGAAGAAGAAGGTAACGCATTCCCAGCCCTTACTCCTCCGACCTATCAGTATTCAGCTGCCCATTGATTCTCTGTCACCCTGACTGTTCTAACCTGAAGTAGACTCAGGAAGACATCTCCGACATCCGCCGCGCCATGGGCCCAGAGAGCTACACTCCCCTCACACCCGGTCGCCCACGCACCACAGATCCCAGTGCCGGAGGGCAACTTCCTGGGGAGGACAGCTGGGAGTGGTATCAGCGGAACATGACCGCGCTCCCGCCGATGGCGTCGCTGCCACCTGTGCCGGCGCTTCCTTGCCCGAGATCGACGAAGCATGACGTTGTGCATCCATCGCTCAGAAAGGATCCTGCGGAGGAAGACTAGAACTAAGAGAACGACTGACCCATGAGCGTGGTGAGCGGATTGGAGTATTTGGAGAACTGCGAGTCGAGGCGAATTTCGCACCTGAAATGGTCTGGGAAACCTGTCTAAAAGAAGGCCTTCACACCCTTTGTGCGGACTCGAAGTTTTCCCACGACCCCACCATGTCTGCTCCGCTTGTGGAGCGAGCTGTAAACGATTGAGTTGACCCGCGATGCGTTTGGAAGCTACGACCTTTGGATCTCATCTCCCGTTTTCTCAACGGCTCTTCACGGCCTCTTCTTCCACCGCCTAAATCTCTATATAGTATCAGGATTAAATCCCCTGAAGCGGATGAGTTTTTCTGTTGTTTCCGTAAATGATAAAAAAGATAACAGTCCCATTTTACGGACTCTAGAGACAATATCGATACCGTAGTATGACTAAAAGAAGCACTGTTGGATACACATGCTTCTCGTCTCCCTTCCACTCTGGGCGTACGTAACGCCCTCTTTATGCACCGCAATAACCCTTCCTCTTATATACGAACTTTGAAAGGGGCAGACGAGGATGTCGATGTATGCCTCCTCTCGTCCTTTTCAAAACGATACTCTATCCGTCGGATGCGCTCTAGAATTGGCATTGATATCGACCGATGACTGGAAGACAGCAGCGGGCAAAGGCATGTCTCTCGCCGTTCCCTTTCTACAAGCATGCTCCCACCGCTCCAAGCGATCCCAGAGTCTTTCATCCTATATACCAAGACGAGAAAGCAGTGCCGGACGATCCGATGTATGTTGCCTCTCGCCGTCCACAAACCGCAATTGCTGGTCCAGAAACGCCCATATTTTCATCACATGATTAGAAACTGCACGATACCAACCCGATGCCTCTCGTCTTTGTTGCCTTTCCAAACAGCACAAGCTATCGATTCATGCGCTGCAGAAGCTCTTTCCTGTTATATAATGACTGGAAGGGTTGGAAGAAGATCAGAGGTCTGTCCCTGGCCTGCTAGATGATAATGCAAGCCCACTGCATGCGCCCGAGAAGTATCTCCGAGGACACGCCATGACCAGAAATTACGAAAGAGCCATTCAATGTCTTTCGTCCCTCGCGCTTTGAACAAGGTGCTCTTGACCATCGTATGTGCGCCGGGAACCCCTTGCGAAGGACTTTGTGACTTGAACAGAAAGAGAAGCGCAACAATGTCTTGTCTCCCCTCCTGGATCCGATTGACCTTCGTCCAATGCGGTCCAGAAATTGTGCCACTTCCTCTTCATAGCTAGAAGATGCCAGAAATCCTCATGATGTTTCGGGCTCCTCGCCTCTCCTCAATAACGAACCCTCCTTCTCTATATGCGGTCCAAAGACTTGGCTATTTCCTGTCCATGACTACAAGCCTCGAGACCATCCCAATGTCTCTCGCCTCCTCCTCTCCCAAAAATGTTCACGTCGCACCACATGTGCCCCAAAAGTTCCATTCCTGTCTCGCCATGACCACAGGCCACCCAGAATTCCGCTAGTATTTCTTCCCTTCCTCCCGCCACCCAGTTCAAAAACAGAACTACGCACCTCCCAATGACCTCTACAAACTTTTCGAGAAGCTCTCGATGGCTGCGACCATCATCCGACCCCCTAAATGACCTCCCGCCCCGCGCGTTTGGGCGGACTAAAACGTCATTGAGCAGCTCACAATGTCTTTTGGGATGAACCGAGTCGAGCCTGAGATGCAGCTATGGCCAGTGTGCTCTATAAGGATGTGGAGTACCGGCCAATGGTATGTAACGATGGCATATGGACATACATGGTCTTCGTCGTCCGGGAGCACAGTCCCGAGCAGGACCAGTTGCACCAGCACCAGAGCCCGAGCACATGGACTGGGACGGCCCGGAGGACGATAACCCCGCCCTCGGCAACCTGTACTAGGGGCGAGTGATGCCAGTCGGAGGCATGTTGGGAGCAAAGATTGGTAATGTGTGTCTCTGCAAGATTACCTATGTATGTACTATGGCTGACTTGTTGCGCGAGAGTGAGAAGCCCGATTTTTTTGGGGCATACGTATCATGGTGGAATTCTACCTTCTTGCATGACCTAGACCTTTCGTCCGGAACTCTGATGAGGAAGTTAGCCGCGACTTGGCACTCAGATGATGTTCCGGGTAGCAAAGTGATCAAGCTTTGTACTAGGCGTGAGTTCCCCCAGACAGGATTGTAGCGCTGGAGGATGGTAAGTGCATGAAGAACTACAAGCTTCCCCGTGAATGTAACATGTTTGTTGTGATGCTTCAGCAGAGCCTATACGATAGTGACTCCTGATAGAACTCCAAAAGCCGTCCTCCTTACGTCTACCGATTCGCTCTCCTTTTAATCTAATCTCCTGGTCTATTGTGTTCAACTCTTTCTATAGCCACAATCTATGCTGTCTTATACCGCGCCATCACCACCTTCCATCTTCGCCCCTCTACCCCTAGTCTGCACATCTAGGCTCACACCATTCTCGACCTTCTCGCCCGCAGCCAGCTTCTCAAAAGCCTGGACAAGGTCGTCCCGCAGGTCCTCCCAGCTCTCTACACCAACGCTCACGCGGAGGAGCCGCTCGTCGACGCCAGAGTCAGACATGCGGCGCCACTCGATCAAGCTCTCCACACCCCCTAGACTCGTCGCGTGGTGGAATAGGCGCAGGTGAGAGGGCAGTTGGCGCGCGAGGTCGGGTGTCTTCGTGTAGAAGGAAAACACAGGGCCGAAGCCGTTGGGCATCTGCTTCTTGAGCCAAGGGAAGTCGGAGGTTTGCAGACTCGCGTGCGTGACTTCCGATACCACTTCGCTCACCACGTCGCTACCTTCGCCGTTCCCTTTGAGCGCCTCGCTCAGCCACTCAACGAGCTTCGTCGCGTTCGATGACTGCCGCTGCACGCGCAGCTCCAGCGTCCGCAGACTCCTAACGCCGAGCCAGCCCTCCAGACTCCCCAGCACAGAGCCCATGAATAGCCGCTCCTCCCGCAGCTTCCCCGCCATCTTGTAGCCCTCCTCGCCCTTCTTAACCGCCAGAATGCCGCAGAGAATATCGCTGTGTCCGCCGATATACTTCGTCCCGCTGTGCATGACCACGTCCGCGCCCCACGCGAACGGATCCTGCAGCCCGGGCGGCCCAAACGTCGCGTCGACGCTGAGCAGCGCGCCCCTCTTGTGCGCGCGGTCGGCGTACTTCTGAATTGAGAAGGCCTCGCCCGTCGGGTTCAGCGGCGTCTCGAGGTGTACGATGTCGCCTTTTCCCAGCCCCGCGTCGTCCCACGCCTTCTCATCCGCGTGCAGGTCCACGGTCCGCACGCCATGCATCTTCTTGTGCAGACCAATCACGCCGTGGCACCCGTGGTATCCCTCGGATATGGCGATAACTTTGGGGACGACATTGACGAGGAGCGCGTGGAAGGCGCTAAGGCCGGAGCTGTAGCTCACGACATGGTTTGCGAGGTTTTCGAGCTCGGACTCGGGTGTGTTGGGGTAGATGAGGGGCGCGAGTACGGTCTCGAGGCGATTTATGTTGGCCGAGGCGAGGCGCGAGTAGACGAGGGGGGTTTGGAGGGCGGGGAAGGAGTGGGAGGAGCCCGTCTCCACGGGCTGGAGGTCGGCGTGGTTGCGGGGGTAGCGGAAGGTGGTTGAGGTGTGGATTGCGGGTGCGACCTGGAGAAGTCAGTACCGCAGCTCGAGGGTGCAATTGCCCGAGCTATGCAGCATAATCACTGACATCTGTTAGGACATTGATGTGGTCGTCCGCGTGCACAGCTGCCGTTGCGGCGGAGAGAGGCTTCGGCATTGTGAATTGGCTCGAAAAGTATAGAATTGATGGGAGTGAAGTGCAGATTACGACAGATTAGTAGGAGTATCAACGGGAGAGGAACGGCTAGGTTACAACAGATTAGTAGGAGTATCAACGGGAAAGGAACGGCTAGACATGGTACGGACTGAGTCACTTGAGCTCGCCATATTGACAACACGCCCTAAGTGACCCGCCATGCCGAAGAGAGCATCAGGCGCGGTAGCCAGGGCGCGGGTGATGTGATCTCGAGCGACAGGGGCGATGACGACAGCTGCGAATCGGGTAGTGCGGGGCTGCTGTCGAGGCGAGGCGGGGTGAAAAGCTGCCCCTCCTCTGCTGGAAAATTTGCAATGGGCCAGGAAGAATGCGAGAAACACTGAAGAGAACGATCACGGTGTGCACGGTGTGCACTCAGCTGAGAAGAGATGTAGATATATTGGTAGAGGCCTCAGTATCAAATTGGCGTTGGCCGTTCACAAATGCTACTAGATGGACCGTTCACAAGTGTTACTGATCCCGACTGCCGCTTTCCATGCCGTGAGCACCGCAAAGGTGCGAGACCATGCCGCAAGCTCGACTCCCTATCCCATGTTACCCGTCTAAGCCTGGCCAGAGCCGGTGATGGTGGGCGGCTTTGACGAGTACTTGACAGCACCCGAGTTGCTGCCAACGGCCTCGATGGCACGCACGATCTTCATCGACTCGACGTCACCAGCGGGGACGCGACCGAAGACGACGTGCTTGCCGTCGAGCCATGAGGTAACGACGGTCGTCACGAAGAACTGGGAGCCGTTGCTGTGTCGCGGTTAGCTGCGAGGCTGGAGAGCGCGGGACAGGTGGAAACTTACGTGTTGGGGCCGGCGTTGGCCATGGACAGCAAGAATGGCTTATCGTGCTTGAGCTTGAAGTTCTCGTCGGAGAACTTCTCGCCGTAGATGGACTTGCCACCGGTGCCCTGTTTTGGTCAGCTACTGCCCCGCCTCGTGCCGCGTCGGGAGGGGTTGTGAAACTCACGTTGCCACGGGTGAAGTCACCACCCTGGAGCATGAACTGGGGAATCACGCGGTGGAACTTGGAGCCAGAGTAGCCGAAGCCCTTCTCGCCAGTGCAGAGAGCACGGAAGTTCTCGGCCGTCTTGGGGACGACATCGTCGAAGAGCTCGAAGTTAATGCGACCGGACTGGTCTGGAAGGCAGCGTTAGCAATTGGCCTCGACGAGCATCGTAAAGATGAGGTATGGCGGCGTCGCCGTGATGGCGATGCAGTTTTGCTGTCGAAGGAGGGGCAGCTTACCCTTCTCGGCGCCCTTGGAAGTGACGTCGCCGTTGCTGTTCACCTGGACCTCAGGGCCGTACCAGGAGACATCGAAGTAAGTCTTGATGACCATGTTGGCGGTAGATGGAGAGAAGTTGCGTTTGTTGAGGGGTGCTCGGAGAGGGGATGATTGAGAAGAGCGGAAGGCAGAGAGCAAAGAAGTAGAAGTCCTGAGGGCGTGGTGGGGCATGGCGGGGTATTACTGCGAGCTTGTCAGTGGCTGTGAGAGACTTAGCGCCGACACCCCATGTCGTCAGACGCAGCCGCTCGGCGGTGAAAGCGTGCAGAAACGGCCATTCCAGAAGGCGATGTGCGCTGCAGTGATGGTCCACGGCGCCTGCGAGCGGGGACAAACGGGCACGCTCACCTGGCAACCCGGAAGCTGGGCTGCTTGACTTTGAGTGAAAGAGTGAAGCTAGGTGGAGCTTGCTTGGACAGCTCGGAGCAGCGGGCAAGGGCCAATTGGCTAGCTATGCAATACAATATACGAAGAGATGACTATGGTACACAGCAGAAGACGAGGTAAGCTGTCCTGCAGAGGGTGGCGATGGAAAGGGATGCAGGAGTCGAGGGTAATGATGATATTTTCCTAGAGCTTCTCCTGGAGCTTTGGGCGCTATCCTCCCTGTGCTAGTCGGCTTCATTGTCCACGATGATCGGACAAGCCCTGTCTGCGATTGACGAGCGGGTAGATTCTCTTGCTTGTCGAGCCAGTCGTTGGATTGTTAGGCACTCTATGAAAAGGCTGCAGCTTCTGCGCAAGACGCATCGCTCCTGTCGCCTTGAATCCTGCCAAGACTAGCTTCTGTCACGTGTCCTCTGCCCGCAACCACTAACCTTATACACAGTCGGCCTGAGCCAGGACACCCTGAGCATCACAGCTGGATCTCGCACTTCTCGTTAGCATCGATAGCCACAGGTCTCCAGCCTTTGTTGAGCGACCGGCACGTGGCGAAGTGCGGACCGCATCCCTGCCGAACCCTGGAACAGCCGCGCTCAATAATAAGCTGCCACTTCAACACCACCGCCATCCACACCAGCGCCGAATCACCCCGTCGTCGCGATGGACTTCGCAAGTCTGAAAGACCAAGTGAGCAATCTCACGCTCTACGACCTCAAAGCCGGCGTGCGCAAGGTTCAGAATGGTGCGTCTCCCCGGGATGCAGCTGGGTAGCCGAGCTAACACCATAGCAGCGGTGATGAACTTCACTGAGATGGAGGCGAAAGTGCGCGAGGCGACGAACAACGAACCATGGGGTACGCAAGCAGTCCTGCACCGCAGATTCCACCGCTGACTTCCGTAGGCGCTTCCTCAACGCTGATGCAGGAGATCGCAAATGCCACGTTCAATTAGTGGGTGTTGACAGATACACCCTGCCAGACCGCGCTGACCAGCCAGTCAATTGCTCAACGAGATTATGCCCATGATATACAAGCGATTCACCGAAAAGGCAGCTGAGGAGTGGAGGCAGATATACAAGGTCGGCGCACCATGCCTTCCTCCAATGCGGCGCTGACAGGTGCAGGCTCTACAACTTCTCGAGTTTCTTATCAAGAACGGCTCCGAGCGAGTGATCGATGATGCGCGCTCCCACGTTTCCCTCCTGAAGATGCTCCGGCAATTCCACTTCATCGATCAGAACGGCAAGGACCAGGGCATCAACGTGCGAAACCGAGCCAAGGAGCTGGCCGAGCTTTTGAGTGATGTCGACCGTATTCGCTCAGAGCGCAAGAAGGCACGCGCGAATAGAAACAAGTTTGGCGGTGTCGAGGGCGGCATGGGCATGGGCGGCTTCTCCAGCGGCGGTGGCAGCGGCAGCAGATACGGAGGCTTCGGGAGCGAGAGTGCCAACGCCGACTATGGAGGCTACAGCGGGGGTGTCTATGGCGACGGCGGCGGTTTCGGAGGAAACGAGTCTGGCTTCCAAGATACACAGCAACGTCGAGATAAGTTCGAAGAGTACGACGAGGGAGACGAAGCCGAGTCATCTGCGCCTCCTCCACGGCGGTCACAGCCATCGGCGACTCAGGTGCGGAAGGAAACAAAGAAAGAAGAACCGAAGCCAAAGGCACCAGAACCTGTGGTGGATCTGCTGGCATGGGACGACGAGCCAGCGCCTGCTTCGTCTTCAGCCGGCAAACAGCCCGTTGCTGCTAACGATGACTTTGGAGACGATGACGACTTCGATGACTTCCAGTCAGCCGCACCCTCAGCGCCAGCAGCTAAATCCACTGCAGCCTCTTTCATTGCCCCCCCTGCTTCTACGTCGACCATTGGCGCTTCCACGCAATTCGCGGCTCCTCAACCCCAGTCAGCCGCGCAGAACAACAACTTGAACGACCTCTTCGCTACGGTTTCCCCACCGCCCGCGAGCAATAACTTCGCCTCGCCCGCTGTTGCTACACCTGCGTCGGCTACGTCGAGCATGAACCAGCCATACCGTCCTGCTGGTTACCAGGCCACAGGGCCGAACTACTTTACGTCTGTGCCCAAACCATCGATTGCCTCCACGCCTTCCGTTGCATCTCCTGGAATTGGCGGGAAGATTGGCTCTGGGGCCCCTAAGCAAGCTGGAGGCGACGCGTTTGCGTCTTTGCTGGGCGGAGCTGGGCCCAAGAAGGCGGCTACGCCCACGCAGAGGGTCACGATGGCGGACATGGCCAAGCAAAAGACAAGCCAAGGGCTGTGGGGAGCCCCTGCTTCTGGGCAGAGCACTCCTACTTCGCAACCTCAGGGTGGAGCTAAGCCTGGTGGTGCTTTGGGCGATCTACTTGGATAGTGGGAGCGTTGGCGACCCATGTGATGGCTATGTGTTTGTGATGTACTTTGCGCATGGAGTCCAGGATAAAAGAAGGCTATCCTTGATGGTAACAGCTGCTCTTGATAAGTGAATTGGTCGGTATGAATTTGAGAGGGCCATTCTTCAGCGTCCTTGAATTATCTAGTTCTTCGGGTACTGCGTAGCCCCTCCACGTGTAGCAGGTAGCGCGCCGGCGCAACTCCGCAAACGCACCTTCCTGATTGGCCGCCCCTTGCGACCTCGAACAACTCAAGGCGACCGTGCACTCGATTTCATCTCAATGTGGGCCAGTCCTCGCGTGTCTCGGGCGCTCTCTCTGCGCTCCTTCTTTCCTGTACATTCGCTGCGCTGACGAGAATGCTTCAATGCAGCTCTCGCGCCTCTTCTTCCTGCTCGCGCTGGTCCTGGCCCCGATAGCCCTGCTTGGCACAACATGGCTCTATCTCTACCCGCTCTTCGACGCCGGCTGCGCGTTCCCGTCCCCGCCTGGGTCCACTGTCCCCGCGCCGTTCCGCTTGCTCGCCCTCGGTGATCCGCAGCTCGAGGGGAATACGGCGCTGCGCAAGGCGCGCGCCAAGGTGTTCCGCTCGTTTGACAATATCGTGGATCATGTGCGCGATGCGGAGACTATACTCGAGAAGTGGGAGCTCGTGCGGGACGCGGTGAAGGACATACCGAAGGATATACTCAGGGCGCTGGAGGGGTATGTCCGGAAGCCGATTGATATCTGGGGCAACGACCGGTATCTTGCGCATATTGTGCGCACGTTGAGGAGGTGGACAGCGCCGAGCCATGTGGCTGTTCTTGGGGATTTGCTGGGGAGCCAGTGGATTAATGATGAGGAGTTCGCGAGGAGGAGTCGGAGGTATTGGGATGTGGTGTTTAGCGGGTTGGAGAGGGTGCCCGAGCGGATTATGACGGGGTATGAGGAAGAAGAGCTAGATGAGAAAGAAGTTGTGGGAGAGGAGCAAGAGGGCGAGGAGAGACAAGAAAGAGAGAAGAGATGGGGCGGCACCGTCGAGGTACTGGGGCAAGATGCGTCCTGGGCGAACAGAGCCATCAACATCGCCGGGAACCACGACATCGGCTACGCGGGCGACATCGATATCAACCGCATCGAGCGTTTCGAGCGCACATACGGCAAAGTCAACTGGGACATCGTCTTCACCCTGCCCAATACCACACTCCCGGATGCCGACGCCCCAGCCCTCCGCCTCGTCATCCTCAACACCATGAACCTCGACACCCCCGCCTTCGACACTGACCTCCAGCGCGAGACCTACGACTTCATAAACCACGTCGTCACCACGGCTCGCTCTGTTAACGACAAGACCCACGCAACCGTCCTGCTCACACATATCCCGCTGCACAAAGAACCTGGTATCTGCGTCGACAGCCCGTTTTTCGACTTCTTTGACGGTGGCAGCGGCGTCAAGGAGCAGAACATGCTCTCGGAGCATGCGTCGAAGATCATACTGGAGAGCACGTTCGGCCTGAGCAGTAATCAGTATGCAGATGGGCAGGGTTTTGGGCGAAGGGGTATTATTGTCAACGGACATGATCACGCGGGGTGCGATGTACTGCATTATACTACCCAGCCAGGTGTGGACAGTGGATGTCCAGAAGATGTCAAGGAGCGCGGGGAACACCTTACATCCGCGATTTCAAACACCAGCACCTTGCAGTCCCCCGAGGAGGCTGTCCTCGAAGACAGCATCACGTTCAACGACACCCTCGCCCACGACAACGTCGATCTCCCACCGCAGGACCACGACTCCCCCTCCGACTCTGAACCCGAGCCCGATGCCACACTCCCAGAAGACGAACAGCGTACATGGCACGCCCAACGCTTCCCTACACCTCGCCACGTACACCATCAAGACGGCACCTGCACCTCCCTCACGGCCGTCCCATCCCTCCGCGAAGTCACCCTGCGCAGCATGATGGGCGAGTTCTCGGGCTACGCGGGTTTTCTGTCTGCGTGGTTCGATACCAGTGCTGGTGAAAAGGGAGAGTGGATTATTGAGGTGAATACGTGTGGAGTGGGCGTGCAGCATTGGTGGTGGGCGGTGCATATCGTCGACGTTATTTTAGTGGTCGCGGTTGTGCTAGGGTGCGTGTTGGCGGTTGGTCAGAAGAAAATGGGTGGAGAGAAGGTGAAGACGGGAGGGGTCGGGGCTGGAGAGGTCAGAGGGTCGAAGAAGAGCGATGAGAAAGTGGGGCGAGGTATATCAGGGACTGCTGTTGGTCATGGGAAAGGAGAGGATGGCAAGATACCATGAGATATAGTACATGAGAGAATATACCATGGCGCTTTATCAACAAAACTGCGGTGAGTACACCCGGGCTCTACGATCGTACAAGTCCGGCATGAGCGACAGACAGTATGTCTGCCAATTTGCAGTTCCTCAGTCATCCACAACCCTCCATGACCATAACCCATCCTACGGGAACTCACTCATGGGCTTGGGCCTTGCACATGTTTGTAGAACGAGTATTAGACATTAAGGGCTCTTTACACGACTCTGGTGAGTGTACCCTGGCGCTACTATCGTACAGCCTCCTCAAAACCCAGCAAAGGGACTTTAAGTATGCATAAGAATTTTTGGACAGCCATTACTTCCCCACGCCAGGCTCCTTCCCGCCATATCTCAAGTCTAGTAGAAATCCTGCTGGTCGGTGCGGTCCACCGCCCGGTCAAGCTGGTTGCGCCTCATTGACCGCCCCCTCACGGCGCGAGCAGCTTCTGCTGGGGATGGAGCTGGTGCTAGATCTGGTGCTGGAGCATATGCTCCCACTTGGGGCGGTGCCGCCGGCGGGGGATCCGCAGGTCGAGCGGAGAGCGAAGGAGGAGGAGCAGGGAGCGTAAGTGCGCCCCCAGCAGCACCGGAGCCAGCCGGTGTCACCAGAGACGGCATGCAGTTCAGACGGCGCCACACCTCGCGCCCGACGTCGGCATCGGTCACCAGGCCCGTCCTCCGCGTCTAGGGTGGGGGCTGACCAGAGGGGTTCGGAAGGTAGGTGTTGCGGTCGCGCGTTCTCTGCTCGGTCCAGGTAGTCTGTCCTGGGCTTCGGACCATCGTTCGTCCCGTGTCGTGTCGGATGAAGGTCTCCAGCTGGTCCTCGTGGAGTTGAGCCCTCCCAAACGTCACGATGTGATTGCTGTGCGTTGTAAGGTTAACTAGTATTTCCGGATGACACAAATTGAAAGCAAGCAAGCACGCACGCAAAATCAAGAACGCAACACCACATTACCTCCGCTCATCCATCCACTCCAGCTGGACCGTGGTGTGCCGATTCTGGTTCCAGCGGGCGTTGGCCTCGTGCCAGGGTTTATCTACCGTGGCTTCTGTGTTCGCCGCGCCGGCAGGGGAGGGCAGCAGGTTGCAGGCGCCACGCGCGAATTGCCCAACGATGGACTCGTGCGGGAGGCGTCTGATGGCGTCCAAAACAGACGGACGCTCCGCGAGCGGGAAGTTGCGGCCCCAGAACAGACCGGGAAATTCCTGCGGCACGGAAGGGGCAAAGTCGTCGGGCGTGGGCGCCGGGAAGTCCACACGAACTGACCCGGGACGGGACGACCGCTCAGAGACATGGGGGTCGGCTTCTGGAGCTCCATCTAGAGCTGGAGCGCCGAGAGGTGACGGTGCCGCACGAGAGGTCGCGGCACTGTGTGCCTGTCGGTCACCCGGTCCTAGATCCCACCGGATACGGTGTCCGGACATACTTGGGATGGTTCTGAGATGTTTGGAGTGCAAAGATGTGTGTGTAGAAGGTGTAGACGTCCCGCCTGGTGTGTCTCTTGGCTGAACGTCGACGAGTAGAAAGATGTCTATATACTTGAGTTCGAGCAAACGGAAGGCGCAGTCTCCTAGCAGCCTCCATAGTAACGGCGAGTGGATGAGGCAGGAGCGGCCGACCCAGCTGCCAATGCCCACTAGCTGTTGAATTGGCTGTTCTACAGTGAGCGGTTGATGAGATTTATACCTTTGAGGTATTCGCGGTGAAGCTCGCTTTCTGGCAGGTGAGCTGCTCAGGTGCGGTTTGCCTGCGTAGATGACCTGTTTCGTGACCTCTGCAGAGGCCAGAAAGTCTAGCCACGTTGACCGCTACACCACAGGGAGATGGTTCTATCCCGTTGCTGGAAACATATAATATCCCACTACGCGACCTGCTCAAGGTAAAGTCTGCCCGCGTTAATGACCTCCCCAATTGCGTCTGTAAAAGTAAGGACTTCTGTTCCTACTGTGCTGTAAGAAAGCAATGACAGCCCAGTGTCATGATTCATCGGTTCCGTGTTTCTGGTATGTGGTCTGCCCGAGAGAAATTTCCATATGACCATGATTCCCAGTTGCCAGCATGTGCGTGAGGGAGTCTAGCCACGGTGGTAGATCAGTGAAATCGGTCTCTTCAGATTTGGAAGGAATGTCCAAGTCTTATCACAACTGCTTGACAATGTGAGGGATTATTGGAGAGAGAGAAATGACCGCATGATATGCAGGTCGAAGCTCGACTCAAACTTGATTGGATGTGGGGTCGCTCATTGGGTCTTGTGTATGTCGTAAAGTAGATACAGGAGGGAGATTTGCTTCTGCATCTTCAGCTGTAACACTACGAGACGTACAGCTACTCTGTTTTGTAGCGTGCCATTTCCGCTCAACCCAATCTACTGCCTGCTCGAGTAGATCGACAGGTAGCATCCTCTTCAGTGTGTGAGTTGATCCAGGAAGAGCGGCGCAGCAGATGGTGGTGCTGAGGTCAATCATCTGCCACAGAGTCGGCTCAGCCAAGGTGAAAGTCAGATCGTCCACGTTCGTCTTCAGCTGCACGATAAAACGTTTGATGGATATACAGCAAGTGCTGCACTTTGTTAGATGGCATTATGTCAGGGAAGGGGGTACTTACACAATCCCCAGCCCAAATAGAGTTAAAAGCCCAACCTGCGTTGCTCGTGACCTTCTGGTATCGATATTCTTCCATAGAACCGGCAATGGAGTGAGGAGGATTAGCCAGTCTGTCACGATCCATGGAATCGGGAGTATGAGGTACGTTCTCAGGCTGTGTTTGCCCTTGCAGGTGCCTTTCCATCTTGTTTCGACAGGATAGCAGATGCGAACTTCCTGCACAATGCTTGCGACCCACCAGGCGACGACCACCCCGGCAAGCACTCGTACGACATTCCGAAACCACGAATGGGCGAAAATTCTGTGGAGAAGCCAGAGCAGTGATAGCTTTGCAGTTGCAAAACAGGTCGGTATCAACAGTGCCGCCGCGAAATAAAACTTGAACAAGTACACAAGCTGTGCACGAGACACATTGCCTATATGATGTCCGAGCCCACCACTATCAACGACTGCGGTGTGTCAGCCATAGATATTAGTCAAATCTATAGACGTCGCGACTCACCAAAAATACTCGCGCCGTTCAGAGCCAGACTGCCTGCGGTCGCAAAAAGAAGAAGGTATTCGGGAACTGACAGGCGCTTCCATTGCAACAAGCTTGACGCTATCCTGATTGTTACGATACACACGACAAGTGCCGATAAGAGAGCTGCGTGTTGTATGATCTTCCATTTATTGTCGAGTTCCTCGCGGCTATGCGGACGCATGGCAGGGTTGTGTGGTATGCGTCAAAAATCGTGGTGTGCCCGAACACGCAAGTATCCCAAGAGGGCGGCGCACTACCATTTACAAGTATAGAATGATAGTGTCGCGCAAGACATGCGCACAACTCTGGGGTCTGGGGTGCCTACAAACACCGGTCACTGTAATCCACGTGCGCTGTGGGGCTCCAGGTCGAGCTTCTGGAACATCAATGAACAACCCTTGTTCCCCGGGTCTTGAAGCCATGGCAAAGAGACGTGACTTGATAGGTGGAATGTTGACGTGATTGTATGCAGTTGACGCCACGGTACGGAACAGCGGAGCGGTCGGGCCGGCATTGAAGCGCTCCGATGCAGGTCGAAGTGCTTGTCTTGTGTCGCTGTGTCTGCTTGTAAATTCCAATTCGCATATAAGAAGAGATAAATAGCTCTAGAATATAGGACTGTGTTTTGAATGAGCTACGTGTTCAAGCAGTCAAGATAAACTAAGAAAGAGGCTTGACAGACCCTAGGTCAACGGCAAAGCGTGCAGGATCCAACACGCCACTGGACGAAAGGAGTTTTGGCGTCCCTGGGCGCCATGCAACTTCCAAGTTGCCTCTTTGTGCATCCACACTTTCGCAATGCCTGATCAACGGCAATAGATTACGGGAAGTACCGATTGATTTATGTCTCAGGGAATATGCTCGGTAATCCACCATCACAGAGGTGCATGCGGACCCAGAAACTATCATCACTATCAATGTTGCATTATTCGCAAATGTACCCAAGCCATCATGCAAAGCCAAGTTGTCCGCTTGAAGCTCAAGTGCGATCAAGCTTTGTTGTGATGCGCGACTTCCTATGATGGCGACGCGCTTTTAAGTTCAGCACTGAACATTTACACTAGATGTCATGCAGAACCAAGCCCCATCCGTATGATCCGATCTCTGCGGTGTGTGATACAAAGCCTCCGGGTAGCGCATACTGTTAGTCGTGTTGTAAGTAATAAGCAGAGGTAGAATGAGCGCATATACGTGAAATTTACTCCGCATGTGGGTGAGACCGAACCTGATGCGTACACAGGCATTTCCCAAGCTGCGTCTTTGTTACCTACAGCTCTCAAGGGAGACACATCATTGGTCCATTTGTGGACAGAACCGGAGCACCAATTATCGCTCAATGTTTACCATATGTGTAAGTGTAAATGGACCCAGTGCATTCTATTTACCCTTTTCTGCTTAGCGCCAATAGTACCGATACAAGGTTGCTAGACTCGGTTGCATTCGCAGTCGCTTCCATATATCTGGGTGAACTTGCGGACTTTGAACACAGATGGGGATATCTCGAAGTGGATGCGATTAACTTGCGACGATCAAACGACCAACGCCAGCCCCATTGTCGCACGCAGCTACCGGAGGGACACAATTTTTTAGTCAGTTCTATCCACATAAGACTGTGGTTTCAAGAGAGGAAAAACGATGGCGCAAATGTTCTGCACTGCACGATTGTGGAGCACTTGCGGTAATTCAAGAAGTCGTGTCGTTCTATTCTAAAAGTCTAATGGTATCTTATATCAAAAAAGGCTCAACTCCAGGCTAATAAGTCCAATCTAGTTCTGCAACACATAGCGGTACCTGGGCTTACCGTCCTCAAAGTCAATGAGGACTTGGTTGGCCTCGCTCATCGGTCTGACCTGAACCCAGGACTTAACATCCTCCTTCGCTGCCAACTCAAACATGTCCTTGATGTGCTGCCTGGTTCCAATCAAGCTACCGCCGAGCTTCAAGTTCTTAAGAATGAGCGAGAAAGCCTTGAAGGATGGCAGAGCATCCTCAGGCGCACCGACCTGGACGAGAATGCCACCAACGTCGAGCAGGTTGAGGTACTTGTCAACCTGGAAACCGGGGCCGGAAACGGTGGAGATGAGGATATCAACGCAGTCGGTGTTGTTGGCAGACCAGTTCTCGTCCTCGCCGGTGGCAATGAACTCGTCGGCACCCATCTTCATAGCCTCCTCCTTCTTGCTGGAGGAGCGCGAGATGGCAACAACCTTGTCGCACTTGAGCGCCTTGGCGAAAAGGAGGGCGAAGTGACCGAGACCACCAATGCCAATGACACCGACGCGCTTGCCGGGACCAGCACCGTTGGCGACCAGGGGGTTGTAAACGGTAACACCACCGCAGAGCATAGGAGCTGCAATCTCTGAGGGGATGGATTCAGGGATGGGCACAGCGAAGGCTCCGGCACCACGCCACATCTTTGCGTAGCCACCGAACGACTTTCCACCCTTCTCGGTGTGGTAGCGGGAGTTGTAGGTACCAGTCATCTTCTTGCACTGGGTCTCCTGGCCGTTCTTGCAGCGCTTGCACTCCTGGCAGCTGTTGCTCTGGGCACCAACGCCGACACGGTCACCCTCCTTTATATCCGTGACCTTGCTTCCGACGCGGGTGACCTTGCCGATGATCTCATGACCAACGACGAGGGGATAGTCTGAGGGGCCCCATCCGCTGGAAAGAGTGTGCAAGTCGCTGCCGCAAACGCCGCAGTGAGTGATTTCCATCTCAATGTCCGTCTCCTCGAACGGCTTGGGCTCGAAGTCACCCCACTTCATGTTTCCCTGGGCGGCTGAGGGGTCGTGGGCGACCCATCCCTCGAAGGTTTTGGCAGGAGCAGATGCCATGATGTACGTTGGGGTATTGCGTAGATCGTTAAATTGAATATTACTAGTGCTGACAGGTACGAGTATGAATAGCGTAGGAATGTGTAGGCGTTGGTAATTTAGATTGGGACCTTGATGGCGGCTTGCGCGTCTTAAATGTGCTGCTCGCCGCGCGTTCGCCGATGTTTCGACCCGCCATGATCAGATAGAATGCTGGGGAATCTGAATTTCGAATCTTGCCGCTTTGCTCCGATAAATTTGATGGGTTTGCAGGGTTCAACGACGTCACGCAAGCTAAACTCCGATAATCCCCCTAGTGTGCCGGTAAATGTGGGTATCAAGATCCACTTTTTTGAGCCTCATGTTGACAACGAGCATCACAGTAATGTGCAGCAAGTGCCGTAATATAGCTCAAAGACAGTGCGGAATGCTCCTATCTGACTGCTGGCAACCTTTGGAAGCTACCCGCATGAGCAAGAACCACCTTAGATTGGCCTTATGCCGATCAATGAGCAGATAGAGCAGGAACCTTGCACTGTAGCCCATCATGGGTGGAAGTAGTATCAGTAAACAGAGAATCTACCTCACCGACATCCTGAGAATGTCACTCCTAAAATGGCTGGGTGCGAGCACGTGGCAGCTGGGTCTAGACCAATCGTGGAGAAGTCTTCGGTCTATAATAGTTAGCGTTTCCGGCCACGAAATTCCTCACCGATAACGCCGATCGACAGGTGCAATGCACTGACATTGTAGATGCAAAGTACCTCGGCAGTTGCCCCAGTTCTCAAAGCTTTCGCGGAGTTAATGGTTCTGGGATCTTTATTCCGTGCAAAAATTGTGCAAATCCTGGGCCGACACATTTCGGGTGGCGAGATCCCCGGAAAACTCTGTGTGCACGTACACAAACGTCACGAGGTCCTGTGTAATCGCACACTGATAGCGACTGATATGTCGGGTTTTCGGTGGTTTCGCAGTCCAGCCTTTACAACAAACATAATCATAGACTTACCAAGCTGCGGTCAGTGTCAGCATCGATTTCGGATCCTTTACCCGCGAAAGATCGTTCAACCTTCAGCATATAATCCCTGTTGGTTGCTTCTAGACGGGTTGCTGCGGTCTTGTCACGGCCTCCTCGATCTCGCACCACAATATGAAATGTTATTCGACAGAGGATACGGCTTCCGCTCCGGTCACAATCCTGGTCGGATCCATGAATCACGAACCACTCGAAGCATTAATCACATTCAAAGATCACACCTTAGGTGTTGTGGAACGGTGCAGAGTCATTACGCTTGTCAAATCTGGTACTGTCATCGGTTACCAGATCTGGAAACATCATTGCTGGTACAAGTAGCATAGAAGAGCTGTAAGATGTGCCGAAGATTTCGACTGGCCAAGCTTTATGCCTGTAGAATAGCCTTGTGTGTGAAAATCAAGTGTAACAGCTCATTCTGGTGGCATAGGGCCGTGACCGATCAATTGATGAAAATATCATGGACTCAAAACATGTTACGGAAGAGAACCCGAACATGGCGAAGCAAGACAACTGTTAGGTGCCACTGGAATTTAGGAGCTGCATTGAACCCTCTCATGCTGGCGCCAGAATCATATGGCTGAAATGACAAACGTTTTGCGGGATCGCTGTATCACAAACATTTCGAAACAAGTTACAAGTGAGCAATCTCGCTTTGGCCTCGAGACCCCAATTTTGCTTCTGTGAGCTATTATAACCCGTCTAGTTTTCGGCATCCCTGTTAGTACAACATGGACTCTGAACCAGCTTCAACAGGAGAGGATCAATACCACTCGTAAGATGTTGGGTCTTCTTTACGAAGGGCCTTATTGATACCTTCGGTACCTGAGTATCTATTATGTGAGATACGTGCAAGAGTGGAGCAGATTGCTTCAATGAACGATGTCCTTCACCAGTATCTTATCTGACGCTAAGCCGTTCCGGGAAACTAAGTGGGACTATATGTATCTCTCGGCCCGGCAAAGTAGCGCTTCATGATGACCCGATACTGAGTATCATATAGCCTCACTTTCAGCATGACTTCTGAGTGCGTATATCTTAGGTATCGACATGGCGGACTTCATGTACGCGTATGGAGCGCAGCTTTGTCCATCCATTGCGCGGCCAATATCGATGTTAGTCCTGTTTCACGTTGCTTTATCGCAAAGACCGTTCTTTCAGTCTCTGTCATTGGAAGTGGGTATTCTGGAAGTTCAACAAAGACCTTGTAACTCCTTGGCAAACAAGACTGACGTTACCGAAGCCGAGCATGGGCCATCACTTCTTCTTCTTCTTCTTCTTCTTCTTCTTTCTTCATCTCTTCGACACAGTATCATTACTGCTACACTACTGTGGGCCATGGCCAACTTATCTTAGCTTGGCTCAAACTTCCGGAAGCATCAAGTTGAAATAGAAAATACGTGTAGGTCGAGTGTGGCGGTGGTTGTGGCTACAACGCTTTCGAGTGTAAAAAATGACTTCTTCAGCAGTACCAGGATATTGATGGAAGGCTATGTTGTGAGCGCCAACGATATGGTTAAAGCAGCATATGGCCAGGTTAACTTCTTTTCATGCAGGTTACTACGTGAGTCAGGAGTATCCAACAACTCACACTTCGACCTCTTCGCCAACAACTTCCAGATGCGCACAGATTGGGGGCATGTCGCCACTTATCTCGCAGCTGTGATATCAAAAAAACATCGTTACCGAATACTACACAGCGGATACCAAGTACGCATATCTTTTGCGGTTCTCGACTGGAGGCCGACAGTCACTGCTCGAAGCCCAGCGCTATCCAGAAGACTTCAACGGGAGATACGCAACAGAACCTGCGCTCAACGAGACTGGAGTGACCACCTACGCTATCACGAGCAACGTTTGCGCTGTGCTGCTGGATAAGACCAACTTCACGCAAGCTGTCACGGTCAATGATGTTCAAGTTACTGAAGAGGCGGTTTTAGGTGCTTGTGGCGACCTTGGCGGCGTGGAAGATGGAGTAATAGGATTCCTACGTTCGTATCATTTCAAGCTCGACAATCTCGCCTGCTCTGCGCCCCAACCCACAAATTCGGCGTGTCTGTCTGCGACTGCCCTCAGGGCTGCCGAGCTGCTCTATACTGACTCTATCAGTAGCATAACGAATCAACAACTTAATGTGAAAGGTGTTTTACCTGGCTCTGAATCGTCGTGGCCTGGCACATATGTCGCAACAACTGAAGGCGGGAAACTTGGCTATTACGCCTTTGCTCTCAGAATTTTGTCGCATTATGCCATAATCATGACACAAGACATGAGCGATATTTCCGTTGCACCGAACTTCGCACTCGATCTCTATCGTCGCTCCGAGAAACTGTGTGGTGCTACCACCATAGGCGAATGGTTTCGCTTCTTTGAGATACCCGGTGTAACGCATGGTCGTGGGAGTGTTGATGCTGAGACGTTCTTTGAGCTGGATTATTTGGTGAAATGGGTTGAGGAAGGCGAAGCACCGAACACCATCGTAATAAGGCTTCAAATGCCGAGATCAAGGGTTGGTGGAAACTTTGACCCTAGCTATCGAGTCTAAGCTGAAGCCCAAACAATCGGCCGACAGTCTAACTAACTAAGCTAAACCAAATGTGTGCCGGAAGACGACTTTGCCTGCTCTGGTTCTCATTATGGCTTGTATGATATCTACTCATCTTTGAACACTTCTTTCTCTATATTGCTCGTAAGCTTACACTCCCTCCAGAGCCACACAAGCCCGAAACTCCCTCCAGTACCCGAAATACATGCCAGCAAGACCCCCGCCAATAGAATCTCAACGCCGCTGGAAATTCGATTGCGACGCATGTCCATTGCGACCCACAACACCGAGCTTCCCCATATGAACAATTGATCGAACTGTAAGATGCGCCTCATACGCAAAACCCATGTGTCTTCCGTCAGTGAATGTGGGTAGAAAACGGTAGAAAGTGAATGTGGGCAGCACAGTATAGTATACGTCCATAACCCCACTGCGATTGCGATGAAAGGTGCCAACACGAGTGCTGTCTTCGTTCGGTAGCTCATGGGGCAGTGAAGCCTTGGAACATTGACGAAATTGCCAATAGATTTTATGATGTACCACGCCATCGTGATTCTTACGGTGTAGAGTTGCCAGAACCATGTCCACCAGTGGCGCGCTTTCAGGGTAGTGTCAAACATTATTCCTACTACAGGGACGACATGGAACAAGACGATGAGAATTGACCAGACTGAAGCACCAATTATGTCGATTTTGCGTTCAGAAAGGGGACGGGATCGAATCGGTGGAGTGAAGGCCAGGTGGGAGAAGTAATAGATGGGGATGATAACTCCTCCGCCGCCGAACTGTGCAATGAGACCAAAGACTCCAGGGCTAGGCCTGTGTTATTCTTGACCCGTACTAAGCTATACAAGCTCAACATTGAGAGAGAAATGCTTACTAGAACGCCGGCCCGTCCCTGACCCCTTTTCTCAGACTCTCGAATCCCCAAATCGCGTAGAACATCCCGGGATCTGATATGATGAAGTTCATCATCTGCCACCTGCTGACATCGTCGTAGCCGAAGCTACTAGGTGCAAAGCCAGGTGTGATCTCGCGGATTATAGGGTCCAAAGGGCGAAGCCAATGGAACTTGTCCAAGATTGGCAATGTACCATTGCCCCATTTGATGAATCCGGAAGCTGTGGGAGAGGGGAATTTGACGATCAGACTGATCATGTCCATGAGGAAAAAGCATAATACGCTAAGTATTATAAAGATTGAAGCCGGAAGAACCCGGGAAACCCAGGAAGGAGACGACATGATTTTCAGTGAAAAAGGTGACGCAGACATGATGATTGATTGAGTGAAGATGGTTTTTAAAGAACATAAGATGAGAAGGAAGGCATTGCCATTTTGGCTAACCTATACAAGTTTAGTGGTCGAAGGATTCCGCAATTCAAACTCTTAGGGGGCTAGTCTCCGTCACATCTATCAACCTCGTAGCTATTTGATGCAGAATACTCGTGCACTCTTGCGTATAAGTGTCGATGATAGTGTCCGGAACAATCGCGTTCACGATATTCTGACGTGAATTTAAGAGCGGTGATGTACACTTGAAGAGTTGGTCTTGAGAGGAGTACGGGGTCACATTACAACTCTTCAGCCATCCGTGGATCCAAAAGACCTTGGTATATTTACCTCGAATGGTTCGTCATGCATTGGGCGCTGTGCGTCGTCCAGGCTTTCGAACACTCGAAGTTGTATCTGGATAGTCGTCGACTGAGCGATCGTGAATACCAATTATCCTAATCATGAGGTCTGTATGTAGTTGAAGTGAGCATGCAAAATCGAGCGGTATTTGGAAGATGTTAGCTGATGGGCTTCAGGCGATGAAGACATGATATGAAGACATGATATGAAACAAGGTGCGAGTGGCGAGCGCAGAGGGACGAGGCTATACCACATTCGGCATGTCAACGCTAACGTAACACTGAGCTGTCTTTTCCATCCCGGCGCGACGTTCTCTCATCTTCATTGACACCTTAACTATCCCATCTCGTATCTTGGCCGTCGTATTCGCCTGATCTGCGCACATAACCTCTTCCAGCTCATCTATACGAGGTTGCCTGTCATTACCCGGTTGCCCATATTGCGTTCCATCTATGCGCACTCCACCATTCGATCAAGAGGCGCGTCTTGGAACGCCGTCATTGCTTAATCGCATCCGATTAAGCAATGCATCCGTTCCGAGCATGGATCGCCATGCGGGCTGAAGATGTCCCGCTTAATACACGTCTCATAGTTACATCCTTTGGTAGGTCTGTTAATTGACTGCGCAAGATTCTATTTAAACAGACATCGATTCCGAGGCGACGTCGAATAGAGGCGGATGTATAGACTGCTGTGTTACTTCGCTAATTACTTCCACACCTCCTTCGGGTGGTTTACCAAGCGATCTTCGCGCCGGAGCGACCTTCCGACAGAACGATGGATCATGTACATTAATGGGAGATATCTAAATAGCAATGCCTTCGCATCATTTCGGCCAGCTCGTCCACCTAACCCCCGTTTCACTAATATTTCTCACCCGGTTTCGCGATGGCTACGTTCCTCAAGGTATTCCTCAGTGTAGGGACTCTGGCGACTACTTTGCTCCCATACGTCAACGCAGCTGTTACTGTCAACAGCACACTCTTAATTCTCGCTCGAGATAAGAATGCCACGCTACCCGGAACTCTTGTACTGCAAGGCTACAGCATACCCTACCAGGTTGTCGACCTCTCGCTGTCCGCAGCAGGAATTCCGCAATTGAACTCTACACCAGATGCCGGAAACTTTGGTGGTATTGTTGCTGTGAGCGCTCGAGACTACAAAAATGGGGACGACTGGAAAACCATACTGAACGAGAAACAATGGCAAGAAATATACAAATACCAGGAAGCGTTCGGGGTACGATTGGTGCGGCTGAATGCATGGCCAAGCGCAGATTTCGGCGTACAGAGCTCTGGTGGCGTTATTACTGTAGACCAGCCTATTGCCGTTACGGATACGAGTAGCTTTACCACTGCAAACCTGAGAGCGTAAGTTGACCTCAAGTTGTACCCGTTCCCGCTGAACCCCTGCAGGAATGCTCAGACGAGCACTCTCAACCTGACGAAGTACCCCGCAAAGATTACGAACACCTCGCTTGCAACAGAGATTGCGCAGTTCAGCAGTGGTAGCTCAAAGACAACAGCCGCTGTAAACAACAGGTTTCCTAGTGGACGTGAGCAGCAAGTTTGGTTCTCGGCCTTTGACCCCAACTTGACGTCATCCACATTGTTGTCGCACGCTTGGATCCACTGGATTACCAGGGGACTGTTCATGGGCTATCGACGCGTATACTTGAACACGCAAGTCGACGATGTGTTTGTGGAGACCGAGCTATATCAGACGAACAAGCCATATCGCATTCTTCCTGCAGACTTCCAGGAGCACGTCGCTTGGACGAAGGAATTGAATTCAAAGCTTCCGGCCGGATCAAACTACATCATAGAGCTTGGACACAATGGCAACGGGAATATTGAAGCGGCGGTTGAAAGTGACTACAACAACGAGCCTGCGCAATGCGATCCTCAGGAAGGTGTTGAATACGAGACCCAAATCGACGGACCTCCGGAGTATGTGAAACCAATCGGAACCGGCAAGGATTTGTGGAACAAGAAGTTCAAAAGCTATTCTTGGTCACTCAAATGCTCGCAGTTGGATCCCTTAGAGGTCTACTTCGCGAACAAAACTAACATGCACTCGTTCTTTCATGTGTCGCACACATTCACCCACGAGGATGAAACCAACGCAACATACGCTGATGTGACGAAAGAAATATCCTGGAATCAAGCTTGGTTCAAGGCAATCGGGTTTACTGACTCTGAATCCAAACCTTACTTTTCTAACATGGGCCTCATACCGCCCGGCATCACTGGTCTGCACAACGGCGACGCACTGCGCGCCTGGAGTGAGTACGGGGTATGTAAGCTCGAGTTACAAGTTCTGTATGCTAGGCGTAAACAGTATCAGAATTTCTCTGCTATCGTTACTTCACCTTACGCCCAAAACCTATTTCCTTACCCTACTTCATCAATTGTTCGCAAAATGCGCGTATCACTGACTTCACCCCCGACTCTAGATACGATATGCAGTCGGCGATAATTCTCGACCTATTCTCATGAATGTTCCAAGCCGCAAATCGGAGTATCATCCAGTGATAAGTAATGTCAAGGAAAACGGATACGACGGCATCTACATCGTCGGTCGATATGGTTCTTCGATATATTACAATTGCGACACCCCAAGCTGTGTAAACAGTGAGTGGAAAGCAATTGCAGGCGGATCGGGCGACTTTAATGCGCAACTGGAGTATGAAAAGACTGTCAATACCAAGTATCTGCTTGGGTTGCGCTGGGATCCGTACATGTTCCACCAAGCCAACCTTCGTGTGAGCGATACCAAGGCCACTACGCTGCTGGGGAAAAACAAGAAGTGGAGTCTGCTAATGGCTTGGACTGAAGCTGTTGTTTACGAGTTTGCAAGGCTGTAAGTGATGATATCGCATTCATTACTACCGACTGCCAAACTAACACCGTCAGCGTTGAATGGCCTGTGATCACGCTCAAGCACGATGACACGGCGAAAGCTATCATTGCTAGAAAGCTGCGTGACGAGTGCCGGCCAAGTCTCGTATATCGACTCTCCAGCGATAGGAAATCGATCACTGGCATATCACTGAGCACCTTACAACCAGAATGCATTAATGACATCCCTGTAACGGTTCCCACTGATGTCAAGGACTCAGCAGATGCCAACAGGGAGCAGAGGGGCAAGGACCCGCTAACGCTTTGGATCACTGCTGGTATCAACAGCCCCAGGTTGTTCGACTTGTCTACTGCATTGAAATTTTGATGCCTCCGTCTCACAAAGTATCCATAGCTCGGAGTGTAGATCGAGGAGTCATGAATAATACTATCATTTTGACTTCGTAATCCTTCCATATCCAGTCCTCATAAAAGAACTTCTGGCGGACCATCCTCGCTGGGCAAGGTACATGCAAGGAACAGACCATCTAACACAGTGGCAAACCGAATACAATTGGATTCTTTGGGACAATCCTACTGTGAGCATCTAAGCCAATTGTTCATACTATCAGGTCACAAACATATGATCGGGTGATTTAGGGCAGGGTAAGGTGCGCGCAGTTTTACTTGTTTTGGTGTCTACCGCCGTGTTAGCAAAGTACAGATGCCTCGCAAACTGTGTTGCCTTGACTTTTACAAAGTAGGGTTTACAAATGTAACTTCAGAACCACTTCTCAGTTCTTGGCTATCTCAGCGAGGATCTCTTCTAATCTTCCATAACCTCTCAGCTTCTCCTTCGTCTGCTGCCAGTCCGACCACCTCCCTCACCGCGCCGTAAGGGACGACAAACGCGCCGTTGAATTCATTTTCTCTCATCCTAACCTCCGGATGCGCCGCGCACTATATCTCGGTTAACGCCCACTCGTACGCGATAACGCAAACCAAATACTCCTCACTATCCTATCCAAGTGATTTTTCTGACCTGGGAGTGGCGACTACACCAGGTTGCACCGCAGCAACCAGGATACGAGAGCTTTCTTGATCAAGTTGACGCTGCAGCTCTGTAGTACAGAGAACGTTCGCGACTTTTGAGTGTCCATACCGATGCAGGAATCGAAGGGGGCTACATTCGCCACCGGAATCGTTATTCCAGGCTTCCAGCAAGGAAAATGAATGACCTGATGGGACGAGGTCGATCGCGGTCCTCGATACATTGATCACCCGGACGTCGGAGTCTCGGGACGCAACCGATATGCTCTGGAGCAAAGGTAGAAGAATATTGGCGACAAGGAAAGGACCCAGGTGGTCTGTCGCAGTGGGTTTGTTCATATTTCACTGGTCGCATTCTAAGGATAGCAGGAAGATGTCTGCGTCGTTGACTAAAATGTCTAGTCTGGTCTCGGGTTGCAAGAATGCATCAGCCGCCGCTTTGACTGCAGTATATTCATCCATCGCAGCGAAGAATAGCTTAAGGTTTCAAGTGTTTATGGAAGGCGATAGGGTGAGTATGTCCTTCATGCCTGCCTTTGCCTTCATAAGGTTGCGAGCACCGATGTACACTCTCGCATATTTGAGGGCGATTTTATGAGCAGTATTGCCTCCGATAGACAATAAAACGGTTGGCACCGGTGACTATAGCAAAATTTCCTGCAAAGGATGGTAGGAATTCAGGAAGCTCGGAAACCAATCGAGGTTCCGTGCAATGTCGCGATCTCTGGGTTGGTATTTGTCATTTTGAAATGTTATCGGATTCTTGATGGGACAAAGTGAATCGATGAAGACCTGCGATACTGCGTACTCTCTAAGAAACTGCGGCTTAGGCATAATAGGCTGGCACAGTGCTTTGTCAGTGATACCGCCAAACTCTAGTCTTCGAGTTGGTAAGGGCATGGGCTGCGGAAACATTAGTAACTGTTCACTGGCCGTCGGAATCTATAGATAACTTATGATCGGCCATAAACTGATGAACAAATACTACCTGGTGAATTCGCGACGATGCTTGCATTAATAGCTTGTCAGCAGCATTTTCAGTTTTCAGGTAATCTTGGACTACAAACACAGCGAAAGTGAACGTGTTCGATCCGGACTGTACACAGTGGCCTAAACACGCTCAGCAGTTCCTGATCATCATAGTATCTGCTTTTCCGATATGGTAGCACCATTTGCGTCCATCTATATATAAGACCCCGAGGCAAAGGTAAGTGCAACTAAAGATTTGATATATGCATTCTATAGTATGATTCTACAAAGCGCATCGGAGAAAATATATCGACCACGCAAAACAATACAGGAGACAATCTACTCACTGCACCGATTGAAGCTTCCCCTCCCTGTACTCTAGCGGTCGATCCACTAAATACTCCGTCGCCGCCGCTAAGGTCCCCGCAATCCCCACATTAGCGGCAAGATCCTTTGCCGGCGCGTTCCAACCTCCCATATCCACAAGTCCTTGCTTCATATCTTCCAGGCGTTCATCTGCAGTTGGGATATGATGGTCTTGCTGGAATATCTCCACTGGGGCTTGAATGAGCTTGTTTGCTTCTCCAATTCCAGGGACTTCAAGTAGTGCCGCATGTGCCGCGACCGCCGTTGACATCGTCCCTTGCGGCACCGCTAGCAAAAAGTCATCGTGTCCGAGCGTAATCGGGACCAGTATCGCTTTCTCGACCAGCGCCCGCCCTATTCCCCTCGCGACGTCTCTTTTCCGGACAGTCGCCCCCTTCTCCTTCATATACGCGTTCAACTTTCTCCAATCGTCTTTCGCCCTCTTGAAGAGATATACATTCATGCCCGCAGGTAACACCATGTGCGGTAGCACATGGCTGAGCGACGCAGCGAGCGTGCCACCAACGGTACTGCGAGTAAAGTGGCGTGTTACTTGACGGACGTCTGAGTTTATGCTTTGGGTTTCGGCGGCGGTGAGTGCATTTTGTTTTCGGGCTTCTTTCTCACGATGGTGCTTCTTCGCTTTGCGAATCGCTTTGTAGCCCAGACCTATAGCTCCGGCTCCGAGGGCGAGTGTTATGGGCTCGGGCATTTTGGTGTTGGTTGCACGGTGCCGCTTTTGATGAAACCCTAGGGTATCGGGGTGTGAGGTAGTAGTGAAGCGGATGTGAGTTACGATGCATTTTAGACATTTAATATAATAGTCGAATACAGTCATTGTGTAGCCAGCGCAGTCTAACAGCGCCTCGTTGTGTCCCTATAGCTATGTGGCAGTGCTCATGGGTCGCAATAGTCTGCTGAAATAGGCAATCTTGTTGCGAGCACAGCCTCCCACACTAGCCGCAGCAATGGTGGGGGCCGGACCTGGTGTTCGCCTGGCCCCATATGGCGCTCGAATACCACCCAAGACTAACCCATACCAATGTGAATACGCGAGTAATACGTGAAGTGCGATCATTTGCGAAGATTCGTGGCTGTACTTGCGGATGATGATATGTGGTATGTTGCCTTGGCTGCCAGCCGAGGTAGGCGCAATATGAACGCTTTGCAATCAAAGTTTCGATCGAACATCTGCATCTGTTTCACGGGGCAGAGCCTCAATTCAATGAGGAATTGAATTGGGTTCAAGAAATTGTAGCTCGCAGATTTCGTGTGGTGGCACGGGTCGGATCTTTCATTCCTCGTTTGTTTCAGCCTCGCAGCCTTGCAGCTTGACGTCTAAACAAGATACCCAGGAATAATATCTATCAAACTGCGACTTCATATTCCATTTGCCGCAAACTGAAATGGTAAAGGTGACTTAGATACGGGCTCACAGCTGTATAAGTCACGTCCGAAGAGGTGGACGTGTGATGCGCCCTGTGTACCAGACACTGCATATTTCCTATGACCAGGATGAGGCACAGCAAGCATTCTGCTACAAATTTCGTTTTTGACGCATGCTTCACCACGACAGCTTTGAGCCTCCTATAGCCATTTTTACTCATTTCTCAGCATAGCGTAGTACAGCCATCCAGACGCTCAGAAACATTCTTTTTCCAACGATCTGCTTATTAGATCTTCGCGATAATAACTGGGGCATACTGGAAGTCCTATTATAGTCATGAAATCGGAAGGATATCGCCTGAACGGAGTATATCTCCGCCGGGCCCGCATATACATATGTTACCAATGCGGAGACGCCGCATAGGTCAGAGCATCAAACCCTCGGCGTCGGGCTGTATGTGGTTAATGAAGGGGAGTCAATCTTACGTTACGTGCCCAAGCTTCCATTACTGTTCTGCCCTACGCACCTCAGAGTCGACATCCTGCTGGGCTCCACGGTCCCAGCCATCCCAACGTGCATGCTCTGGCATTCTTCAATATTCGCGCCTTGAGCCGCAGGGTTATTCAACGGCAAGGGGAAACACAACGAAAGTTCAGGACATTGAGCGACATTCTTTGTTGCAACAGGAGCGGCACAGCGCGTATTGAGCCGCATATCGAGATCTCCATATTTTTCCCTTCACAACATGGTATTGGTGCAGATACGGCGACTGATGATTTCTAGATCGAAACCTTATCATTGTACTCTCACGGTCGGATTAGCTTTAGACACCAGGTACGCGGTTGGTTTGCAAGGGCATCACGGTCGGCCACGTCACATACTGTCTTCGCTCGGCTTGATGTATGGTTGATGCCAACTTTGACGGTCAAGGTCAGGCGTTCAAGATTGTGTTGCAGCTTTTAGACATACGTGATCGCCTACCCTTGGGTATACTTGCGCGGTGTTACGTCCGAACGCGGATACTACAATCATCCTCCTGGGGTAACAAGAGTTACTCAATCGCTCATGAGGTACTACATAGACCTTTTCACGTTGTCGCGAATACATTACTTGCCTGCAGGAAGCACATTGGACATGCATCGTTCGGAGGTGAGACAATGTCCATAGCGATGGGTAGAATTAGACGAGACTACTCAGGGTTCCCAATCATTGAGAGCTCACTTAGAGTGTATCGAAAGCATCTTGGCTATTTCGATGGGCCGATCCGACGCGAATCGTGATAAGTTGGATTTCTGCCGGGGTCTGGCGACAGATTTGAATGCGCGGCGATGCGTGGCTCTTCTATCGCTTTAGATATCCGGAATTGCATGGTAGCTGGAGTCCAAATCATACTGGGAATCCGGAACATCAAATCTAAACGCTTCGTAGCAAACTGGTGGACTTTCTGTGCATGGTCCTGAGTAGCTGCACGTGACCGCGCGTTAAGCAAGCGCGCGCTACGTCACGCCTCACCCACACCTGCATATAAGCCCGCGCTTCCCCACAAACCTCGACGCCTTGCCTTCTTTCCCTGGTTTACGACTGCGCACCTCGCAACTCTCATCGCAAGTCAGCCGCAACAATGGCTTTAACGTGAGCACCTCGTTGATGTCGCAAGTATGCATACTGATAGCCTCCAGACGAGCCAGAAAGAAGCGCGAACTTGGCTCCCCCGCTCCCAGCAGTGACAAGGGCCAAGCTGCGAAGAAAACCAAGAAATCCACCAAGACGAACAACTCGAAGGCGGGAAGCACCGCGCCGGAGGAGAAAAAGCCCAAAGGCCTGATGGACATGCCGCCCGGTACGTTTGAACTGCGGACCTGTTTGCTACATGTACCAATGCGCCGTGTGCAGAGATTCGCAATCGCATCTACCATTTCGCCTCTGAGCGCGAGGACTTCTTCGAGGGCTGGGACTTCGCTGTGCCTCTGGTCGACCCGTACGCCGGACACAGCTGCAGCCAGAGCCAGTGGCCGATGTCGATATTGGATCGCTCTCTCTCTGCACGCAACTTCCTTGGCCTCACGCAGACCTGCAAGCTCATCCGAAAGGAATACCGACCCATCTGGTTGCGCAATTCGAGCATTCGCGTGCGACCCCGCTATCTCCCATTGTACATCCACACCTTCTATGGCTGCGCGACAGACTACTCCACCAACATGCCAAAGTCGATTCAGATCTCACATAATCAGGATGCTCCTGGACAAGACGTCATCGACCTCACCCTGATGCTTCGCATGCGCGCAGCTTCTCCTGATATCAAGTTCGAGTTCATTCCACATGAGCTCACCCAGGACGAGGGACTGTGGACCCTGGACTGGTCCGAATGCGATATTTGCCAGGACCTTTCAGACACAGGCTCCGACGATGAAGACTCCGAGATGTTTATCTGCCCTCACAATGACATCCATCGTGAGGGCTATGCTGATTACTTGCTGGACGAAGAGTATCCCTACCTTGGCGCCTTGAACAAGTTCATTGCGCACGACAACCTCAAATGGCTCAAGGATATCCGCGACCGCCAAGTCACCCGCGTGAAGCTGGATCTATCAGACGGCAACCGCTACGCTCCAGAGATTGCCATCCGCCTCTCAAATGGTAGCGATGTCGTTGCGACGGAGCTCTCTAAGAAAAGCATGTTGGGTGCCGCTTCCGCTTACGTCGAAGACCGCGACCTTAGAAGTGCAAATACTCACGAGGCGTCATTGCACTTCATGGTCCAGGTCTGTGGTGGAGCTCAATGATGATCTGGGCACAGCGCAGGCACTTGCGACAACAGTGTCGGCTCAGCCTAGACTGAGGGTGTGTTGTCTGAATACTTCAAAGTTGTTGTCCAGATATGAACCAGGCGTTTTTCCAATGTTCACAAAGCTTTTCTCTGACAATTCAAAGGGAGGAGTCACGATGCACAAGCTTCTTTTTGTCTTCAAGCGGATGATTTTAATCGCGAATGATCGATTTACTACAGGGCGATGCAACACGATTTCACGAGTATTTCCAATTTCTTCATGCGGATAATTTTCAAGGCACATCAGGGTTGGTGTACAATATGGGCATATAGCAGTAGCACAGCGTATTAGTGGGATGGTGTACTATGCAAGCAACTGCCTACTTGAACTGCCTCCCACTGTACTTACTCGGAAGTAAGCCTGACCAAAACTGAGCGATTTCATGCTGCAGGTATCCGTACACAAATCACGTTGAAATCGCTGCATCTATGTCTCTACCGCCGCCATACCCACGACCCCAGTAATGTCCCACCCCCGGCGTGCCATGCGTAACCGGGACGCCCAACGGCCTCTTCACATCCTCTCCTTCCTTTGCCTCCACCTTCCCCGCACCTGTAGCAAAACACCTCACCCCTCTCACGCCACCCGGCACCACCGCCCCACCAATCCGAGGACACACAACACTTCCCTTCGTCTCGTCCGTTTGTCCCGCGCCCGCTGCATCCTCGGGCACACCAAGGACAGACTCAGGCGCACACGCGGGAGACGAGTACAGTAGGCACTGCCCGCCGGCGTCGGGGCCAATGAGAGTCGGTGGACCTGAGACGGAGGTCTCGAGGGTGATGCAGGCCGGGGAGGACGACGGAGGGTGCCAGGTACAAGCGCTAGGGATTGGGCATATGTAGGCTGTGCAGGGAAACTCAGTGGGTGTAGGAAGAATAGAGGAGGGGGATGACATACCGCCGCCCGGGACGCCGAGTGTAGGGCTACACTTTGCTGTGTCTGGCGTGAAGGGGCTGGTGCGGAGGGCGATGGCGTGGGCTAGGTAGCTGAGAGCGCGCATGCTGAGTGTTACTTAGTCGAGTGTTTGTGTGTATTCGAACATGCTAAGGGAGAGTGTTCGTAGATATGGGGGCCGATGAGCGTTCACTCGTATTTGGCTGTAGCAGCCATAGTGCGTGAAGCAATGCAAAGCACACCTTGAAGTGCTATTCGCCTCATCAATTTACTTCCACCACGATGAAGAAAGTACAGAATCGACGTGGCATCCATGCCTTACTTCCATTGCTACATCTCCTGCAGCTAACGCGCGCTTCATATCTATTACCCCTGAGGACGATCCTCACACAATTCCATCACACAACTCAATCACTGGCCCCTCCCTACTTCTACACCTCCAATCCACACGCGCTTGATATCTCTCGTGTTCCCAATGTCCGCCAACGGATCACCTCCCACGAGCACCAGATCCGCCCGCATACCCGCCTGAATTGTGCCTCTATCCCACAGGCCAAACGCGCGCGCGGGCTTCACGGTCGCAGCAAGTAGTGCCTCGAGGGGCGACATGCCTGCGTCGACGAGATTCTGCAGCTCGTCGTGCAGGGAGCTTCCAAAAGGAACCATTGCGGGAACGCCCGGCTGCAAATTTGCATCCGTGCCGGCGAGCATAGTGACGCCGGATTTGTGGAGCAGCGAGGTCGTCGCAAGCGCGGCGGTGAAATTGGCACCAGCTGTGCTCGTGCCAGCGAGAGCGATGGCGCGCATCATGGTAAGCGTCGGAGTGGACATTTGGCCTTGCTGCAGCATCTTGTGTGCAAGAGCGAGAGGGATCACCGTGTCGAGCGGCGCGTGGTGGACGTGGTCTGTTCGCGACAGTGTGGCCTGGGTGTAGGCCTCGAACGTGGCGGCGTGGGTAACGCTTTGCTTGCCATGATGATGTGCTTCGCTGACGAGCAGGTTGAGGGTCGCTTGATCGAGGCCAGGCGCTTCGGCAACGAGCTTGAAGTAGTCTAGGTCCTGACCCGCGAGCTGACGGTTTATCCAGCCGGGCACAGCGCCAGTGCCGTTAATCAGGATCGAAGGGTCGCGCGTGGCAGCGATGCTGATGTTGCCGTGAGCACTTCCTGGCGCAGAGGCTGGGACGCTGGACCGCAAGACAGAGGGAAGACCGGTGTGGTTGCTGAGCGAGGAGCAGAGCTCCTGTGAGAAGCACGCCATCACGAATGCGCTTGTGACGCCCCATTTGGCGAGCTCCTGCATATGTGTGATGTTCGTAGGGTGGCAGTGAGCGTCGATGAGGCCCGGCAAAAGCACGCCTCCCTTGCCGTCGACATGCTCAGCACCAGTTGCATCAGTGCCGATGAAAGGGCCATCGATGACGATGGTCGAAGGGGGGAGTATGCATGTGCCATCAAAGACCCGGACGTTGTTTAGTGCGATCTTCTTGTGGAGTGTAGTGCCATTGAGGCGTGCGAGGTTGTTGGCCGTGATCAGATTAGGTATGTCTAGAGAAGCGGCGTGATCTGGATGCGGTCCGCAGCCGAGGGCCAGAGGCGCCAGTAATGCGGAAGGATAGATGTATTCGAGGCGCATCGCTAAATGTTTGAAGTATGGAGCTGCTACAACAATGTAAATGGGGCACCAAGTTCCCCATGGAGGGCCAGTTTATGTAGGTACAATCGGTTCCTAGGAATCACCGAAGGCCAAGTCGTCGGCGAGGCGGATGCATTAAATCGTGCCCTGTCAGCAAGAACATTGTGACGGTGTGATCATCTGGAGGCGGTGCGATGGTGGAGCAGCTCTAAGCTACCAATGAAATGGCCCTAAAGCAATATGATTCGTCAGAAGACGACGTCCCACCATACCTGACAGGGCTAGTTCTGCGCTTCTGTGCACTGACGGTGAGCGCCCTCTCACGAGAACCTGGAGACCGGAAATGAATTTTCTTGTAGGCCGTTCCTCGATAGCCAACCCCAGGTTTACTTGAGATACTATAAGTATCTAGAATTTGGACGTGATATTGTATCGCCATTGTTCACCTTTACGCGAGAGGCGCCTCTCTCGAGTCTCTTAAACACCCAGTCACAATCGATCAGGATGCTGAGCAAGCCACTTGTCCCGTCGGTTTGATGCTGTCTTGATGCCAAATTCAGATCCAATGCGCCCCAGGAGATGAAGGAGCTTCCGCGATTGTGGCTGCGTCAGGGTATCCACGGACAGCGCCACATAGACGCTTCGCAGCAGGAAGAAGGCCCCCAGAGCTCTCCTTTCGTTCGTTGCGTTAAGCTGTCCATTGGAAGTGACGTCGCCGAGCATGAACGGGCTGGTGCCGAATATATCGTCGACGGCAGAGTTCAATGTCTCCAACACCTCACCTTGGGACGGTTCGAAATTGCTGTCGAAGAGTTGACGAGGTTGTTGATGGATGAAACGATATGCCTTTCGTAAGCTCTGACATATGTTAATACGGCTGCACTGATATGCTCCATACACAGCGCCGTGTTGTAAGCTCGAGAAGGCATACACCTGACCCTCACGATTTGTTAGTCCGTCAATATGCGACGGCGTCATTGGAAAGACATAAGCTTTCATCTTCCATGCAGGCGGTACAGTCGATGGCCAAAGTATAAGGTGGTTGTAGACCTCTACCGCAAACTTCCACGCTTCTGTGAAAGCCGTCATGTGTGAGCCAGTCGCAATGTCCTGTGCCTCAGTACAGACTTCAAGTCCTCTTGAGGCAATAAACACATCCCGCAGCAACATTCGGAGACCGGACCCTACTGTCTGCTTCGTGTCGACGTAGCGTTCCCCAACTTCCATATTACTATCTGTACGGTCCGTCATTGCCTTGATTTCTTTCCGAATGAGCACAACTCTGGAAAGACTGCTTGACCTGTTAGAGAGGGACTCATGATCTGGGCGCCGGAGCCGCATCATCGCGGTAGTGGCTTTCTCGTGTGGATCCTTTTCCAAGTCGACATTACCAGTGATCGTCTGCTACCATTAGCCCGCGATCTTGACATGGATATTGAACACCCACTTCATATTTCTGAAGAAGTACAACCGCAAGTAGGGTGTGATCGTCAGTCGCAGTGGCCTTGTCACTAAGTGCAGTATGAAGCGATCGCAATGCGCGCCCGTATTGAATCCTCGACTCTGTGTGCAGCTGTTCCATTCCCGATACGTTCGCCAAGTTTGCAAGTGAAGCAGCCAACAACGACGTTTGCAGACTGCTGTCTGCAGAGTTGAGCATAGTGGGAAGGAACTCAAGGTAGCCAGGCAAACCATATTCCGACGGTGGCTCCACATAGTGATAGACGAAATGCGATATAGCGAATTGAGCCCAATCAGTCGAGGGCTGAATAAAGAATGGATTGTAGCCACCCGAAATTGTAGCCAGCATGGTGGGCTTGTTAGCTCGGGCCATAGCGGATTCGTTCATCGACCTGAACATGACCTGCTGCGCGGACCGATAGCCGGGGCATTCTCTTCCAGCCTTCTTGCACCTCACGCATCCTGGTTTGGCGCCATCACACTATAGTGACTTAGCGAAGTAGCTCGACAACAAGGACACTCAGCGATGTACCTTCTTCTTCATCTTCCTGCAGGCATGGCAGCCTGTACTCCATATTGGACGCGACATTGGTCCCAATTCGCAGATTCGTGATGCTGGAAAGGCGCGTTGTCCAAGATGTACGCGTCGGTCACATTGCACCAGGAGTGAGATGGGACGAAAATAGAATGTCCTGAGGTGATGTTCAGGAAGATGTCACTGGTGGGGCGGTTTCCGAGGTCTATCTTAGGAGGCTAGGCTCTTTTTGACTTTAGTCGATTTTGCGTTTAGTGTAAATGGAGTGTTCATAAATGTTAATAACACCTTTCGATCACCGAACATCAAATCATCTCTGGTATCATATATCCAGTAATAAAATTTCTCGGGAAAGCAGAATATCGTACGAATTTATTCGATGTGTCCACAGGTGCCATCGATTGCTCAGAAATTTCTCGCGTACCTTCCTTGGTATAGTGTTTACATGCGTACGCAAGAACATTCACAGTAGCTGACACAAATAACAGAACCTCAGGAGCACCCCTTATCTTATAAGAACTCATAGTATATCAAGTTGTGAGACTATTGTTTACCAGTTAATCCCGGATTTCTACAGCTAACAAAGTTCAGTTTCAACTGTCGGCCACAGTGATTGCTCACAAGAATCTCCACAAACGCTTCTTTCACCCCCGTAACAAATGCAGACTTGACATATCTGAAACAATCCTGAGCTTTTCGATGTCCGCATTCCCAGTTCCCAGACCCAAAACACAACGAAAAGGAACCCAAAAAAAAAACCGACTAATCTCCACGTGTAGAAGGAAACTTAGCTGCATGCTCCGGCATCAACCTCTTCACGGGCGATGGAGTAACAACAACCGTGTTTATTGTCGTAGTCTTGCCCGCTCTAACCGCAGGATCATAAACGGCGGTTGAAGCAAAAAACTTCATCGCAAACGTCCTATCCAGCGCAGGATTCGGCGTCAACCCTTTCTCAGGGCATGCGATACTCCTGTTCATATGTCAGCTCATAGTTCCTGCACGCTCTTTTTTTTGTGGCGCACTTACTTTTCACCCGCGCCCTCCCCAACAGCCACTTCACTCCCCGCGTCACAACCCAGCGTGCTATACGGACTACACGTCCCGCCAAAGTCCGGCCCCATGGACCACATCCTGCCAATGGGCATCTCCAACTTGCGGCACGTCGTTGGAAGTTGGGTTTCGTACCACTGACACACCTCCCTGGGGGCGGGCTCCATGTTTGGGTCTTGCTAGCAGAGATACACAGCGCCAGGGTGGCCGGCGCCGGGGACGCATTTGCAGGGGTCAGAGGTTGAGTCGTTTTGGCGGATAGCAAGAGCGGTATCTGAACCAGCAGTTGGCGGGGTGCAGCCTGGTGGGGGCGTGTTTGCTGGTGATGGTGTCTGCGCTGCGGGTGTTGCGATAGCGGCGGAGCTGGGATCTGGGCTTAGACTTGAGCTTGGTGTCCCAGAGGAAGCAGAAGGATGGTCCATCACGTTGAAGCACTTGGTCGCTCTGACGACGCTGGAAGGAACCACTGAAATATTCATCCCTTTGAAGCCAGGGTAGACAATCTTCCTGCAGGGCTATGTCAGTCGCACCTTCACTGCTGACCACTATGGAACGCCAGCTTGCTTCACGACTTACTTAGGACTGTCCGGCACGGGAAGCGGCGCATCCGGCTACGGTAGAAGCTCCATCTCGTCCCCATCTTTACACCCAGTGCTTTTGTACAGATGGCAGTGGCCTCGAAAGTTAGGCCCGGTCAACGAGGGATTTGCGAGACCGCCCTGAATATCTCGGCATTCTTTGGTCATCTTGGAGTACTCCCACCACTCGCAACTCCGCGGGCTCTGACCGCAGATGTACAGCGAACCTGGGTCCCGATGCGGGGCTTGCATGTCGTGTTATTCAAGGGAGGTAAACCGGCGTTTGTGGTTGGTGGCGGGGTCGGTGGTTGCGTTGGAGCCTGCCGCAAGGCCAGAGCGTGGGAGATTATGGCGCGCATTACTGGCCCTCGATGTTCAAAAGGCTCGTAGAGGTAGTCAAGGTAGAATGAAGAAGATATGGTCGTCAAGAATCGCGCTCGTCAATGGAACTTGAGGCGTAAGTGTTGGTTTTGAGGGGTGATGGTACGGAAAGCTGATACGAAGTTCTGGCGCCTGGGTAGCGCATACTGGCCCCCTATATACAGTACCTCGCGCGCGAAGGGTGTCGATACGGCATCTCGTCGGTCAGTATGTCACTGCTTCTCACATTGCGTTGAAAGGATCATTGAAGAAATGGCCGGCGATCAGAAATCTTAGAAGCATCAACTGAATTACATACTCAACCAGGCGAACTCGATACACAAACAGAACCATACATTACAGAAATTGAAATGTAGGCGCGCAGCTCATAGAGTGTTTAGCCACTCTACTATACAGTTATTGACTAGTTTTATGAGCTGTCAGCGTAAAATTCATAGTAGGGTCTCAAGGATTCCTCTTTTTATCTTCAGCCGCTGTGGGCAGTGGTACGAGAACACACCTTTCGTTTAACAAGCATGGGTACATTTCCTTCCACTATTTCTGCCCAAAAATTACCCCGGGATTCTGCTGCGCGAGCTTCATCTGCTCCCGGTGCTTGTGGAATTTGAACCAAATGCCAAACACCAAGCCCAAGACCGAGCAGCTCGCAGATACGACGACGCCTATAAAAGCACCCTTGCTGAGACCGGCAATCTTGTCATCGGAAGGCTTTTCTTGGGAACTAGAGGACTCGATGGGAGAGGGCTGTGAAGCAGCAGCGTTGGTAGACGTCTGTTTCGCAATGGTAGACGTAGGACGGGACGTTGCAACCGTGCCAGTGCCTGGAGACAATTATTCACTGCAGAGTCGAGTCACATCCCAGGCTTACTTATCACTTCACTCGCTGCCGTCAAGGTCGCCGGTGCCTGCTCCACACCCTCAGGCGTGTACGCCGCCCCGAGTGCCTGGCTACAGTAGCTGTCATACACTTGCGTCCCTGCGTCGACGTCGCTCTGCTGGGGCGTCGAGCATAGGTATGTCGCGCAGCTTGAGATGAAAGCATGTGCGACGGTTGCAGATTGTGGCCGGCAGTAGCAGCCATTAATCCAGGGCGCGGAACAGGAGAGATGGATGGCGACGTCGCCGCCTATGTCGGGGGTGTCGTTGTCGCCAACTGTGCATGGTGAGAATCCGTAGCTGTGAAAGTGGAAAGCGAAGCGTACTGTCCCAGACGCACTGATTAATGCACGCTGGTAGGAGAGAATATCCCTTCTCAAACTTTATCGAGGCTCCGAGGGTTGCTGGGTCATTTGCTTGCGCGGCGAGAGCAGCTGCGAACAAAATGACGGCTAGATTCAAAGAAAGCATTCTGCCTCCACATAGACGTCTGATACTTGTTGGAGGCCTGATCATCGCGAGGTAGGACACATCTCAGAGCGGAGGCCACCCGCTGTATATGCGGTTACCAGCCCACGTCCTTGTGGCTGACAGTAGAACGGTCCAGTCCAGCTCGAAAAGCAACTATGCATAGCTACATTGCGTGGTCTTGGCGATCAAACAGACAGCTATATTTTCGCTGTTGTGGCTCACAGATAGGCGATGCTGCCTGGGGCCAGCTGAAATGTAATGACCAATGATCACGAAGGCACGCCGATAGGGCTGCAGGTTGTTCCAATTGCCAAGCAGCCAAAAGGCAAAGCCCATCGAGGCTCGACTCGGGGAAGAACTGGCATAGGCCGGGGAGGGCGTCGTTGGTGGTACAGCGATTTCAGCGGAGACGGAACTTACCGCATAGAAAGGAGCTGAATCGTATCTAGCATATCCATACCGAAGACCCTCGACCACCCACGACCACCAAGAGCACCAAGACAGGCAAATTGGTATTGTGAAGCATGCGCGGGACAGAAGGTGTGGAACAGGTTGGAGGCGGCTTACAATGGGTGCGCGAACAGAGAAAGGCGTGCCAAGTTACTATGAGCAGGAACCTCACCTGACCGAAGCCTTGTACAGGACATCTGGACCCAAGGTCGCAACCTCGAACATGATGCCGAGAAATAACAAATTGCACAGCCTACATCCTTCCGAGAGAGATCGTTCCTATAGCCCTTCGTAGCTTTGTTGACATGCACATTGTGGCATCACGCGCTCCAGAAGACAAGATGTCTCGACACCACGGAACCGTTCTCGCTATCGAAAGGAAGCTCGGCGGTTCTTGGGAGCATCGATGTTCGTTCTCCCCAGCTAATACAACCACAGCCCGATACAGGACGAACTGCAGTCAAATTATCCTGGGTGCAACTTTCTGAGGAGCAGAAGGGGAGCGGGAGCGCGCAGAGTTTTATTGGGGAAAGGCCGATGAGTCAGCGCTTGGTCAGCGTGCGGCGGCTCGTCTCGGGCGGAACGACTGAGCGGTGCCGAGTGGCAATCGCATTCCGACTGCGCTGCGCCGCCAACATTGGTTCTTTCTCACGCCTCCAGCGACGACGTCGGCGTTGCCTCTAGGTCTCCTGCCGTCACGATGGATGCATAGACGCCTCTAAAGCGACGCTTCGCTGCGCGCTTTAGAGCGCTCGAAATCACCCACACGCCCCACCAAAGGCGTCCTGCCAACCCATTCCATTTGCAGCCATGGGGAAAGGCAGGAAAGCCAGCACGGTGCCAGTCACTTCGGGCGCGAGGCGCTACGGCGCATCCCGCATCAGAACCAACGACATCGACGCGCTCGTGGACCAACTCGACACGCTCAACCTCTCCCAGCACACCGACGATGCCTCCGATTACGACTCCGACTACGAGCCCAGACCTAAGCCGAAACCCCGCCAGCCCTTCCGCTTCTTCGCGCTCCCCTCGGAGCTCCGCATCCGTGTCCTCGAGCTCCTCCTCACCCAGACCAAGACAGTCGACCTCGACCCCGCAAACAGCCGCACCCTGCTCCCCGCGCTGCGCCTCTTCTTCGTCTCCCGCCGCATGCACGACGAGGCCTCGCACGTCTTCTACGCGACAAACACCTTCCGCGTCTTCGCCATCAGCGGCCGGTTTTTTCATACGAAGAAGCAGCTCCTCACGCGCCTGCCGCAGCATTACATCGCGCGGATGCGCAGCCTGGAGCTCCGCCTCGGCCCAGGCTTTAACAAGCCGCCGAAAGGCTGGGTCGTGGATGGGCGGCTCCAGCTACATGCTGCGACCAACGTGCGCACGCTCAAGGTGTTTGTCGAGCTGGATCCTGCGAGCCATCCGAGCTTCGAGGCGTTCCGGAAGGAAACGTGTGCCGAGGCGGAGCAGTTCTTTACCGTCTTTAGCGCGGGGCTGCTGGGATGTTTGTTTGGGGAGCTGAGCCAGCTGAGGAAGGTCGAGTTCGATGCGTATCCGGGCATCTCGAGGAGCAGTCCGCTGATGAGGGCGTTGGTGGAGCAGACGAGGGTTGGCGGCAAGGAGGTCGCCTGGGGTCCCGAGAGAGGGTGGGATAAGATTGTGGACACGGACTTGGGAGGGATGCTGCAGAAGTTGGGGATTGGGATGTGATGTCTTCGTGGCTATTCAATTGTCCATAAGCGGCAGCAGTCTCGAACAGCTCCATCTGCGATCAAAGTTCGCCGAGTTATCCCAGGATGCGTATTGCGAACCACAAACAAAAATCGTGATGAGTATTAGTAACTATCAACAAGACGTTGCACGACAAATCTCCTTCTCTCCGTATCGAACTTTCCCTAACCAAGAACCGTCGCGGTCGGCAGTGGTACAATGAATGGACCTTGTGGAGATTGTCAGAAGGCACCGAGACGCTTCATCTACAGGGCCTAATGTCTGCTCGCTTCGTCCACCAAGACCACACGCGCAGAAGGCTCACGCAAGTGGCACTTGATATCACACAAGCATGCCCGCGGCAGCGAAACTACGCGCAACACCAGGGACGCGCCATGCTCATCCATCTGAACTTCGGCTTCAACTTCACTTCCAACTATCAATCCGCTTTCCTCGTCTTTCGCCCTAGTCAACGTCGTCCGCACGCTCAGTTGCACCGCATGCGATCACACGCCAACATGGCGACGCCTTCCTCCTCGACAACAACATCCTGCCTCCTGCGCCGCGGCTTCGGCACCAGCGCCTCCGCCCACCGCTTGACCACCATGCTCTCCACGCCCCGCTTCCTCCGCCCCGCCGCAAACTGCAGCTTCTCGTTGCCCACCACCCCAGTCAGCACGTTGCCGTTGCTCGGCGCGCCCAGGCCAGCGACCACCCCGTCTCCGCCCTGCACCACGTTCGAGAAGCTCGTCAGCATCGTCTGCACGCCGCTGACAAAGTCCTTCCCGTCGAACTCGCAGTGCCCGCCCGCCGGCGTGTTGTCAACCGTCTGCAGCGCGTTAATTTGGGCTGCACCTAGGCCGGCGTTCGCGGCGAGCTGCTCGTACGCGACGACGGCCTGCGGGATGGCGTCTTGGAGGAGTGTGAGCTCCGACTGGGTCGACTGGTAGTGGATGCGGAGCGTGCTCATGACGGCGGCGGCGTTGGCGAAGTTGACCTGCGGGGGCATGGCGCCGCAGTTGAGCTCGACGGCCGAGTTGGCAAAGTTCTGCATCTGCGCCGGGATGAAGAAGCCGCTCATGAGCAAGCTACCTCCACTGACGCCGGTGAATTTGACGTTGGCGGCATCGAAGGCGACGAGCTGCGGCATGGCTTTTGTGACGAAGTCGGACACGGCCTGCGCGTGGGCGACGCCGTCGGTGCGGTCGAGGCCCGAGCCGCCGCCCCAGAAGAGGTTGGCGTTGGGCGCGAGGAGCGCGACGCCCATGGTGTTGGCTTGGAGGTTTTGGTTGGGGAAATCGAAGAAGGATTGGCCGCCGTCGCCGTGGAGGAGCACGTTGACACCTGCATACTTTATTAGCATACAGCCCAATTGCAAGAATTGAATGGAGCAGAATGAAAGGAAGGAACGTACCCATCGTGCCATTCGCACCGCTCGCCGCCGCCGCACCAGGCACGCCACTCGCAGCCGTGAACTGGTCCGCCGGCGCCGCAATCTTGAACCGGATGGGCAGCTGGTTGATGTTGACGGTGGCATCCAGGATCATCGAACCGTCCGTCGCCTGCGAGATGCCCTGCGGGATCTGCGCCGCTTGCTGCTGAGCCGTGGCCCGCTGTCTGCCGCCTCGCTGCGGCGCACACGCCGCGAGGGCGACCAGCGATGCAAACGCGAATCCGTACATCTTGTCTGTCGAACTGAACTATGAACAAAAACAGTGCACAGCACTAGGGAATAGAAATTATGAAGAAGTGAACGAAAAAGCGGACCGGCCGGGACACAAGAATCGAAACACAACACACGACAACCCTACGGTAGACAGGACAGCTCTCAATCACGACAGGACGGACGGGAGGTGAGGAAGGAGATCTCTTTGCTGTGGGGAACGCTCCATGCTATGTACACTTACATGTCGTGGGTCAAACGCCGCCTAGCAGCCAAGGCAGCGCGCACCGACAGTGCGCAGGTTTGCCGCTCTTCATCGAGCTTGACATGGTGCGCGTGCTAGCCGGTTTGGGCGGGATATGTTTGATGTGCGAGGTGTGGCACGCAGAGGGTGTCGCATTGGAGGCGTGCATGTTTCGGGGCGGGCTTGGCGGGAACTTGTCTCGTTGTGTCTTTGGGGTGAGCGGGTTAATTCTAGGGGCAAGTGATCTTCCAGATGTGCTTCAGAGGGACTATGCATATTATCAGTAGCTTATAGCGGAGAGTGATGGATATGCGAGCAGTAGTCGAGAGGTGAATGCGGGTGTTGATGGAGTTCGCGGCGAGGCTCGGCTCTTGTAGCCTGAGGCATGAGCGACCCGCCTGTTATTGCCTACCTCAGAGGTGCACGATGAAACACCACCATCAGGCCAGACGGTTCGCAGGCCCCCAAGACTTCTCAGGCCAGGCTGATTAAAGATGGCCACTCTTTCAAGGAAATGCGGAGGAAGTTCTCCGCCCGCATTCTAAACCTCCGCCATGCACATGCTCGGTGCACTGAGATACAGGCATGCATATTCGTTCAAGTCGCTGCACAGGGGAACGATCTCGCAGTGTTGGCAGACGGTTGCGAGGTTTCAGCCTATGTCAAGGTTGGGAATAGCAGTTAGCATACGCGTACATCCTCATTACGTTCTTCGAACAGTCTCGCTCTGACGTGTGGTTTGGTCAATTGGTATCATCATTTGTGGTCTGTTCGAGTGTGACATAGTTCGGCCGGCCCCGCTCGTGTGCAAAGGATGCTCGCAACTGGTCTCGAGTTGTCGTTTTGAGGATCATTCCATTGCTAGCTTTTTGCAATGTCTACCTCCAAGTGTTCGCCCCATAAATGCATTTCGCCATTTCCGTAACCCATGAATGTTGGAGAAGAGCTAGAAAAGGAACACCTCACATCACGACGCCGGAGTTGGACGCGATACGCTGTGCGATCGTTAGCGATAGTGCAGGCAAAGTTTTCGGCGCTACTCACCGGCCAGAGCTCAGCGGCCTCCTTTCCGACGGGGCCAGTGATGGCAGAGCCCTTCATTTCACCCTTGGGGTTGACAATCTGCGCGAAATCAGCTCATTGTCCATGGGAAAGTTGTTCCGCGCCACTCACAACACCAGCGTTGTCCTCGAAGTACAGGAAGACACCGTCACCCCGTCTCCAGGGCTTGCTCTGTCGGACAATGACGGCGGGCATGACCTTCTTTCGGAGCTCAGGCTTTCCCTTCTTGACGGTCGCCATGACCATGTCACCGACACCGCCAGCGGGCAGGCGGTTGAGACGCGCACCGATACCCTTGACGGAGATGATGTAGAGGTTACGGGCGCCGGAGTTGTCGCAGCAGTTCATGACGGCACCGCTATGTCCCAATTAGCCCATGTCCTTCAGCATCCCCAGCATTCTGTTCGAGCGTCGCATTCGGTGTTCGAGGAGCGTGATTGCGTCGCAGAGGGTACGTACACAGGCAGACCGAGGGTCATCTTGAGCTTGTTTCCGGAGGAACCACGACTGCATCTCAGTTAGCGGAATGCCCAGCCTGCGTTGCCTGCGCTGCGGGTGCAGCGTGTGTGTGTGACATACCCGCGCTTGGAAGCCATTGTATCGGATTACGGGGAGGATAAGTCGTGGGGTGGATCGGGTGCGTCGTCGCGGGTTGTCGATGTCGATGGTCGCTGCCAAAAACGCAAAGTCGAAATGGCGTTGTGCGGGACCTCGCTTCAACGAAATTCCGACGACGCTATCCCGCCACCGGCTAGCGCAATGATGAGGACCCCACCTTCTCTTCCGTTCAAAGCTTCTCTCGTTATACAGCACATGATTTCTATAAGGAAGGTGTAGAGGCGAGCATATTTTAGGATGTAACTCCAGTCCTTGTCAGCACGTAGGTGGGCCCTCTGCCCTGGCATGAATTTCTTCAGGGACCATGACCTCACGGATATATGATGTGATCTTTTCTGTTCAATCGCACGATGCACGTGTGGAGGACGGGTTGATCATTTGCACATAAACGAGGCTTGAGGTTTGCTACACGGCCGCGAATTCGAAGACACGTAGCCTCGATGGCCACCGTGAGTCGGCTATTTGGGTAATGCTGGCAATACTCGCGTGGCTGTCTGAGCCATTCGCATTGAGATGCTCCCCGCAGTCGGATTGCTATCGAAGGGAAGGGTTGCATTGCCTGAGTCAATTTATCAACAAACTGATATTGAAGCGTTCCAATCCAACCCTGGCGTCTTCCATCCAGTCCCAAGGAGACCTTTCTTTAGTTGGGTCAAGCTCGAAACATTCCCCAAGACGAAACGCAATTTGAATTTCGCGGAGAGAGGCGTTCCTTTGCTTAGCAAGTTCAGCGACTCTTTGCAGCCATTCTACCTCAGCAGGTCCAAAATCCTCCCAAGCAGTGCAGTGGCCGATTTGCTCATCCCATTGATGAAAGTCCCAGACGAGATTACGAAGTCTTGGTGCGGCAAGGATTTTGTTGCATAGCTCCTCTGGCTCCCACTTGTGAGACATTGTCCTCGAGAAGAGATGAAGGGATTCAAGACTAGTGAACTCTGAGAGGTCAAGCGGTCCTGCTTCTGGAACGTTGCCAATGTGCAGAAACCTCAACGTCTCTCTATGGCGATACAGAATGGATCGAAAGTCATGAAAATATCCGCGATTCGGGTACCAGTAGATCTCGTAGACGGTAAGACTTTCGAGCCCAAAAGGCCATTTCATCAGTTCAGCAAGAGCGGAAGGGCTTGCGTTACAGTGAGTAATGCTGAGAGTGGTAAATGTAGCAACGCCCTCCAATTCCTGGTGGCATCAAAACTCATGATCGATTAAGAAGGGTGCGTGAGCAAATACCTCTGGAAGTACAAATGCACTGTCAGGACCTACTTTTGCTATTCCATACAACCGCAAAGATCTGAGAGTCGGAACATGTTTAATGGCGAAGAGAAGGGCACCTGGCAATCCAATGACTGCCTCCGCGCATGGCCACCGGTTCCGGATGGATAGCTCCTTGACTCTACTTGTGTGTTGTAATATATGTTGGACGAAGGCCCAAAGACTCTTGCGACTTCCCAGCCCATCAGTTCCAAACGTGTTGTTGAAGTTACCACCGACTCTCAAACGATTGACATTTGGGAAGTGTGGGAAACCCACAGTGGTGGCGTCGACGCCTTCAGGCCACTCCCACCGGAAACTGATATCAAGTTCTCTACAGTGCTCTGCAATAGATCCGTCTGTTCGAAGCTTTCGGTAAAGTTTATCGTGTGCCTCACCAGATGAGATATCCTCACCAGAAAGCTTAATCCCCATATAATAGAATAGCAGCGGATACGCGAGCCTTCGAAAAGCTCTGCAGACAGCGCACAGAGACAGAGGTACACTATACATCTTTCCGGAAGGTGGTCTTTGTGCTCTTTGGTATCCAATGTCAACGGTATTGGTGAGGATCTTCAACACTAGCTCCTCCGGGAGACGAAGAACCGGGAAAGGTGGGCGTAAAGCGATGGCCAATTCGAACTCGGAGAGCTCGTAGAATGGTAGCTGGTTGAACAATTCAGGGTCGGCTTCATAGGGCACAGCTGGCCTTGGTGATTTCTTGAAAACCCTCTCAAGGATCAGTTCATTGCCATCCGTAACATGGAGCCGGAGCTGTCTGAAACGCCTCTTTCGTCTCTTGTTGTTCGACGGCATGTTCTTTGTGGGCCGCTAATGTAAGCATCTGAAGATGCCAAGGAAACAACAAAGTGTGGCATATGCAATGTTGTGATGGGCAAATACATGTGGAAACTTATCATGCCAAGGCCCACGTCACACATTGAAACCAAAAATAGCACATATCCCTACTGTAACATCGCGACCAAACCCTTTTAGGACATACGACTGCTCCACATCCTACGAATGAGCCGACAGCAAACTACCTATGCATTGGGACATGTCACATTGCTCAATTTTCTTCGATTTCATTGTCTCGAATCCAAGCTCAAATTCTAAGCAGGTTGTGGATTTGTTCATGTCCCCGAGGTTTGTGGGATCATCAGAGTGCTAATTTCTTGAGCACCTTGGAACGAACATGAAAGCGTGTCCAATGAGTCTTACAAGCTCCAAAGTAGCTGCCCGTTCACCCTAGTTTATATATGTACGTCATCGCCCAAAAAAAAGAGGGCTTTGGGTCTATTCTCTACTATACTGGACAGACAATAGACAAAGTCGCCTATACAACGAGACAGTAGAAGCGGATGTGTCATCCAGAACCGAGAGCTTGAATGGAATAGAAGACCCTTTCTGGGATCTACTCCGCGCTCAGTTCTCGCACAAAGCCAAATAAAATCGCATACCTTAACATGTGATTTCTTGTGTCCTGTTCCAGGACATGAAACTAGCGGAAAAATCCAAATCCTCAACCCTACGTCTGATGCGGGAATAGTGGAAACTTCATCTCCAGACTGCCAGTTCTTGAGACCATTAGTACTAGTACTTCTCCAGCGCTAGATTCCGGTAACAGCTCAGCGGACGCAAGCCATCAGAAAGCGCAGCTCCTGATAGTCCACTCTATCTCATCTGCAATTAGCCAATGTTGTCGCTATGAGGTTTACATTACGCGATATAATCGAATATCTTAGTATTATATAATAACTACTATAATTAAGCTTCTAATGTGAGTATCTGATTAAGACTACTCATCTCGTGCTTTGCAGCCTCCTTTCAGTGCCATTTACGACCTAACAGACTTCTACTTCAATGATAACGCCTAAATGTCTATCTCTTGCGTGAGTGCAGTAATGGTAAGCGGATTTGGTTTGAAGCGTATCTATGAAAGTCAAGTCTTGAACCCGGCCCTGGTCGCCTCAAACACATTAACAGAAGATATATCGCATATCTTCGACTAGACCGCGGCTGTTATCTTTGTTACAAAGGTGTCCTCACATGTCAAGATATCTGCAACTGCAGAACCGAACGAGCCATTTAAAATCTTACTATGATTCAACCAAACGCTGAAATATCGAAAAACAAGCGCAAAAAACGAAATCAATGCCGAAGTATTCATTACATTCGATTGGGGAACCCTTGAAAGATACTAAAAACTCAATATGCCAGTGAAGGCTCCTTCTTGCAGGAGATACATTTTACATGGTCGCATCGATGCAGGTGATCCTTGCCAACACAGACTGGCCGACTCTGATCGTTGTTCTTGTTACCAAGCCCGAAGGACTGGTTCCACGTTTGACCTACTCGAGTGAGTCAAAGGGCCCACACGCACGATTAAAATGAGACTGGACGTACATTCGCAGCACCGCCAGGCAGTCGTAACTTCAAAAAATTTGGCTCGATTCATTTCGGAAGAGTGGTAGGATAACTGCTTGGGGTGTCGATAAAGTAATTATGGATTGATCGTCGATTTTGATTGCAGAGAGTGAGTGTTTTTGTCGTTGACCCTGGGAATATATGTTTCTTGAAAGTAAATAGAGTTCGGGGTAGGGGGTTATATGTACACGGTTCCTCGTGATTGATCGCATAATTGGAGGGTGGGCTACATTAGCTCTCCACAGAGTGATGTGAATTATATATAGATCTTAGTCGTATTCCCACGTACAGATCCGCGGCACATCCATCATCTTTCGTTATTTACCCAATCAAGGCTCTCCTGTAGACCCTAGGAGCAGGTCACTATTCGTTATTTTACACCTTCGGAAACAGTTGTTACAGGTGGAGTCGTCGCCAGAAAGAATACTGCCACCTAATTCACTCGATCATTGAATCGAACTAATAGCAGCTTCTACTGAGTACTCACATACCCAGGAAGTGCATTCACAGAGTACACGAGTGCAACGTGTAGAATTTGACATAATTAACGAGCATGAGTGGAGCCTGGAGTGTTATTTTCCATACGATGGAATATGTTAACGGATGCGCACCCAAGGAAGATAGATGTGATTGTGTGAAAGGAAGCAAAGATGAAGGAGCTCCGTGGCAGGCCGTGTCGGCGTTTGTTCGATAAGCCAACATATAGCCACGCTTGTTAAGGTGTAGGGGTTATTAGGATCGGGACTTGTTCACTGTTACGCCTTCACAAAGACGAACGGGGCAATGAGGGCAACGAGGGCAACGCCTCGCCCTGTCCGCGAGATCGCTCCCGTTCAATCCACACCGATTGTATCTAGAGCTACGATTAGTATCTATCTACTGCCGACATCTCCACTCAAGGAGCCAACTGTACGACAAAGATGTTAGAGCCTCTTCCAGCATTGCATCGAGGAATGGGCGTGTCGATCGAGCTTTGCTGTGATATCTATCTCCAGGAGATTTCATGAGTGGCTTGATCCAGAGCTCCGTTCAGTCTATGTGCTGGTATTGATACCTCGTAGTCATGGCCAGTGGACTATGTACGCATAAAGCAGGCGGAAATTATGCAAGGGGAATGCTGTGTAGACATATGCTAAGAATAAATGAATGAGGCTACAAACTGTACAGTTTGCCCGGACTAGATCGAGCGCAAGCAGCAGAGCGGGTGTCTGGTGTTATATTAGGAGTATTGTATTATCTGCGATCTGAGCCCAGTTGCGCGATGACGTAGGAAATACTCCGCCCGCGCGAAGGTGGGGCAATTACAACCACAGACAAATCGGACCGTCTCCTCTTCCCCCACAAAGGCAAACACTAGGAGGTAGACTTGGCCTCGAACATAACAGTGGGTCTAAACTACGTGATCAAGCATCTTAATTCAAAACCAACTCCATCGCTACAACAATGTCATTTCATCTACTTCCTACCACAACTCCACCATGCAGACGCAGAAAGTACCCCTCTCTCCCCCAACCCTCAGAGAGATAGCCGTAGCCCTCCAGTTCCCCCTCGCCGCCAACTATAGCCACTCCACCGTCGACGTAGTGCAGTGCCCAGACCTTCGGAAAGCGCCTTTCTACCTCGCAACCGCCGGCCTCTCCGGGGCCGAAAAGATATCAGATGTAGGCGGCCAGCCCAATCTCTTCCCTACGCCCCGACTGGACTGCAAATGGAACCTCCTCGACATCGCACGCGCTATGGAGATGGCTCCCCACGGCGGCGGTCTTCTCGGCGCGGGAGCTGGTCCGTTCCACATCGTAGGGCATAATTGCGAGCTTGTTCCGAACATCGCGTGGAACGATGGTTTCGAGAATGCGACCAACAGTACCTATCTCGCGCAGATTAGACAAGGCGAGCCTAGTGTAGAGAAGAGTCCGAGTCTCGACTGCGCTCTCATGATTAACCTGTATGGCTCTCTCGGCCATTCTGGCCCCGTGATCAAGATCACCGCGCGGGGACGTGTAGGCGATGAGAAGAGTATTACAGAGCTTATGAGGAAGGCGCTCGCGAATGCCTACGGTGATCGCATGGTCAGCTTGGGCGGTGTGTTCGCCGTGAAGAAGGGAACGTCAAAGTACCACATCATGCCGGATTTCCCACCGGAGGAAGAACTGCCATTCAAAAACGCGAAGCAATTGAATGATTGGTTAACGTACCACGAATTTGAGGCGCCGGTTGTGTGTTTGAGTGTGCTGCATTCGGCAGACCCAGGGAAGAAGCTGGGGCTGAGGATGGAGGTAAGTCGTCTGTTTGATCATGACGTTTGGGTTTCTAATGTGTGAAAAGCATACGCATTGTGCGTCCATGGATGGAAGAGATGTCGGAGGCCATTACCATGGGGATATCAACGGGGAAGAAGTTGAGTACGAGGGGTACTTCAATGTGGCGAAGACGCTGTATCGGATAGAGAAGCCGGAGGTGACGCTGGAGAGGGACTTGCATGAGTAGTGAGCATTGTTCCGAGTAATCGATATCTGCCACGCATTGTTCTATAGTGATGGGATGTATAGCAAATTTTGCATCGTCGGGGATCACGATCTGGATGGAACTGAGCTACACTGATTGCAACGAGGACAACTGAAACACTCCAATTCCGGAAGATAGACCCAGAATACGATATCTTGCTCTGATCAAGTGTCAGCTAATTATTGGAAGAGTTCTCTCATTATTTCCTCTTATAACATTGCCGCTCTTCGCCTCGTGGACTGATAGTAATGTAAAAAAGGGCGCAGAACGAGGATGGCACCTACGGTAGGAAAAGGGCTAAGAAGAATACGCGATACTTATCACATTATTTCCATGCTTTTACGCCCAGCTGGCCAGCTCTTGCCTAGATCTGGTCGCACCCAACAGGAAGGCAAGCGCCAATCATGCTTTACACCTTGAGAAGTGGACGCAAACATCGCGCATCGTCGTCTACGTCGATCACAGACTTAAAACAGGTACTACCTCGTCATCGTACAGTGTCAGTCAGAGTGCCGTTCCCGGCACGCTTACTGTGGGAGGTTCAATTTTGCGACACACAACTAACGACAACTTCAGCGGGTGAACATAAGCACACAACCCAACTGCAGAGCATATAAAATCTCAGCTCGTCCATTTTGCATCAAAGTGTAATCGCACAATGGGAGCAGTCGACGCGAGAACAGCGTGTACGCCGGAAACAAGCCGGGTAAACAAGGATCCCCGCAGCCACGCCGCAACAAGTCGGAGCTTAATCAACTCCGTATGTAAGGGTGTGCAAGTCGCAGCCTCGGTTGCGCGCCATATCCAATGAGCTGGATGTAAACAAAGCGAACTGCTTTATCCGTACACGCCAAGACCGCCTCTCATCTATATGTCGGTGTTTGCGCTGCTTGTCTCATCGTCAGCTCTTCTTCCGCCGCGAAATGGTGAAGCAACTCGCGATAAGTGCGACAGACAAAGAATCGAGGACTGAGGTGCCGACGAATATGGTCGAGAAAGAGGTCGAGAATGATCAGGCTGTGGCGATCGAGGAGGATGGGAGAACCGTGCAGGGTGATGTGGTCGATTGGGCTGGCGAGGACGATGTCGAAAAGCCGCTGAACTGGACGAACAAGCGGAAGGCTAAGCAGATTGTTGTGATATGCTACAACACGTTCCTCACGTACGCAACGAGCTTGTACTTTTGCAGTCTGAGCACAAGCTGACAGCCTCCGAGGCCATTAGGCTCCACAATGTTTGCGCCCGCAATCCAGCAAGTCATGACAACGTTCCAGTCCTCAAACCCACTGCTTGCCAGTTTTGTCGTCTCGGTCTGGGTTCTTGGGTATTTCTTCGGACCACTTGTCATCGGGCCATTGTCGGAGCTCTACGGTCGACTGCCCATATATGCCATATGCAGCGTATTGTTCGTACTTGCCAACGTTGCTACGGCACTTGCGCCTTCGCTAGGATCTTTGATCTTCTTTCGGTTTCTGGCTGGCACTTTTGGAGCGTCGCCCATCACCATTGGCGCAGGCACGTTTGGGGATCTGATCAAGCCGCAGCATCGAGGAGGCATCATCGCGATTTGGTCTCTTGGACCGTTGCTAGGCCCTATCCTCGGACCAATTGCGGGCGGATATCTTGGTGAGGATGCAGGATGGAGGTGGATCTGTTGGGTACGTCGTATTGTCTTACTGAGTTTTCAAATTGGCTGACTGGATTCCAGGTTCTCGCAATCGCCGCTGGCGTCGGCAGTGTCGCCACCATTGTCTTCCAGGAGGAAACCTACCCGGTCGTATTACTAGAACGCAAAGCAGCAAGACTACGGAAAGAGACCGGGAACGAAAATCTGACTTCCGCTCTAGCTGGCGCAAAGATGAAACCGCGCGAGGTCTTCGCACGAGGAATCATTCGGCCCATGAGACTTTTGATCTTTAGTCCCATCGTAGCATCTCTGAGTATCTACCAAGGCCTCGTGTATGGCTTCATGTACTTACTTTTCACGACGTTCCCCATCGTCTTCCAATACCAGTACGGCTTCAGCACTGGAACGATTGGGCTGACGTATCTCGGAATGGGTGTCGGTTCATTAATTGGCCTCACGTGGGGCGGTGTATGGTCGGATGCCTTGTACAAAAAGAAGTCCAAAGAGGGAGCAGGAAGATGGAAACCAGAATATCGTCTGCTGCCGTTGGTGCCGGGTTGCCTATTTATCCCGATAGGACTGTTCTGGTATGGCTGGTCTGCGCAAGCTAAAGTACACTGGATTGTCCCAATTGTGGGCACGATGTTCATGGGGGTTGGCGTGAACATGGTTATGGTATTAAATCTCTCCCCTCTCCGACGCAACACACTGACCAAGCGCCAGATGTGCATTGTCACATATATCATTGATTCGTACCCTTTGTATGAAGCGTCTGCTTCTGGGGCTCTGACGGCGGTCCGATCTCTCATCGGCGCCCTCGTACCTCTATTCGGTCGCTCAATGTACCAAGCTCTGAATCTGGGTTGGGGCAACAGTTTATTGGGGTTTCTAGCGCTAGCTATGTGCCCTTTACCATGGCTCTTCCTAATGTACGGAGAAAGAATACGGACGAACCCAAGGTTCCAGGTAAAGATGTAAATGGTTCCGGTTCCGAGTGTTTTATTTACACTCTCCACTTCGACGCGTTCGGCCTTCCAGATCAATAGCATATGTCGTGTTGCGGGTCAACATCAGGGGCGGAGATGCATCCTCTGCAACCCACAGCCTTGCAGTCATCATCGTTGAAGCAGATGTTGCCGAAGCCGAAGCAGTAGTTTTGGCGTGGATCTAACCCCGTGATGGGGTCGCGTTTGGCCGAGACGGGTTTGGCCTGCAACTTACACGGATTAATCGCTGCTATAAGCCTTGTAAGGTTTGTATAAACTCACGACTTCGGTAGGGAGGGCTAGTACGGCTGTAAGGGTGGCGAGGAGGGTGAGGACGTGGAGACGCATAGTGACTTCTGGTTTCTCAAGTGAAGAAATCGGGACTGAGGCTGGATGATGCAAAATACAACCGTGTTCTGCACGCCTTATATACACTTCTTCCATCGGCACTGTCTATTGTGCGGCTCCCCTAGCCAAATCCTCTACGACTAGTTAGGTCTTCTTCTTACGCCGGGTAACATGGTAATCCTTCGAGGACACCAAAACAGACCCAATGCAGTATCTGCTCTCATAAACCAACGCAGAAGGCTTGCCCGCACAGATGTTGTTGGTGTGACTTTCAGTTTTCACTCGCGCGAGACAAGCAAGTATTGGTTTCTTGGAGAGCATCCACTTGGTGTTGTAGTACTTGAGTAGCCTAATGAGGCATCGATCAATCCTTGCTTGCGGTAATGTCAAGAGTATACCGAACAGCACAGTCCTAGTTCTCAGCACTAGAGACTTAGTTTATCTTGGCTTTAGAGAAGGATCGCGGGGTAGATAAACTGGCACCCATTGGGGTTTTTCAGTGTCCGAGATTCTCTTCTTCTCAGAATGCTAGCATAACCTCAGCCTTGTTCTTCACCCTAGCGACATTACTGTACCGGTAATTGCACGTATGTATGATGTGCCAGGGCCAAATAAACACATTTTTCAATATTGTTTGGGCCTACTCAATCTTGCTGCCTGACAAGTACTATGCGCAAAATCCCCAATTCAGTTCGAAGCTCAGGCTCCAGACAAAATATGGTTGCGTCACGGTCCCAGGAAATCGGGTTTAAACGTTGTGAAAAAGTAGGTCCGCGCTCTGCACACGTGATGATGCCACAGCCCTAAATAATAAAGGTGCTAGAGGGCAAGCTGAACAACCGCGACTGTGGCATGACGTAAGTTATCGCGTATTGAACTTAGCTATCTATTCGACAACGTGGAAAAGCGGGCTTATTTCCGCACATGTAGTTTTCCCAGATGTTTCGTTCCGCGGTCGAGGAGCTTATGCCACATAGTGTCACTCTGTACCCGTCAACCGCTAAGGAAAGACGACAGCTGCAGCCCTAGAGGCATTCAAGTGCCGTCGGCACTTCTGTCGGCGCCACATAAACGTTGCGCAATGGCAGTTGGTATCTTCCCGCGGAACGGACCGATGAAATTCTAAGCGAAGTGATAGGCCAAATTCACGTGACGCACGCAGGCAATTTTTGCCGAGGGCACGACACGCGTTGAGATAGCCCCCAAGCCTTTCGTCTACAGGAGCAGTGGATTGGCTGTTCATTCTACCTCCTCACGCTACTGCAAGGAAAGCCTTTGACCTTCCCCGTGCTATCCAATACAGTGTGATTCAGGGCCGCTGGAGCTCGGATGTTCACGGCGTATTGCGTTTCTCGGGCAGCACTCACAGGTGCTATTCTTTGCATACGCGCCTCACGCCTGCATCACGCTCGACGTGAGGCCACACAGGAACATTTCAATGACTCGAGGCCGGGATTTGTTCACAGTGACAGGTGGCAGGCGCGGCGTGGGCCCACTCTGGTGCTTCGAACCGCGCCCGACCTCGCACTCTTCCTTGTCGACGATCTCATAACGTCTGCCAGTGGCAGCAAAGACAGCTTAGCGCCTGTGAGAGATCTACCAGCCAATAATTTGAGGGGGATTCCTCTGAAAGACTGCTGCTCTGGCTCTGCACCCCCTCCGGCCCGTACTCCAGCTCGGATTCGCATTCTCACCTCTTCCCCCAACCGGCGGCCACGGCACAAGCGCAAGTCTAACGGTCAAGCCGGTGGCTACCAAACGCCTCAGGTGCCCTTCTATTCGTTGCAGCTCCCGAGATCTAGGCCCGATGCCGCGGTTGGGCCACAAGAAGTCAAGAACGGGGTGTCGCCAATGCAAAGCGAGGCATGTCAAGGTACGCATAAAGGAAGCGTTGCGCGATCAACACCGTAATCTCCGACGATACTCGAGATCTCGCTACCGGATTCTTGGATGGCTCGTTCGCTGACAACTTGGCACAGTGCGATGAACTCAAACCGTGCTCCAACTGCGCAAGACACGGTGTTCTGTGTAGCCTGATAGATCCGAACGCGCCCCCGCCTGTCCCAACTTTAGCAAGCAGCAGTAGCAGCAGCAGCAGCGCGCTGAAAAAGACTGCGAAGCCCAAGACCGTAAGGCTTGTACTACTGTGGCCGAAAATGGTGAATTTAAGTATATATACAGGAACTTGAAGACGGCAGTGTACTGTCAGCGATACCTTCGAAGAATGTCGACCAATCAACAGTTACGGAACCATCAGATGGGGACTCGCCTAGATCAGGGTCGGATCATTTCCCTTTCATCACAAACTTTGTGAAACGACGTGAGATTAGCGAGGCAGATCTATGGCTTTACGATTTGGAAGCAATGTAGGTGTAGACGCGGATCGGATCTTTAAAGAACGCTGCTCATTCGACGATAGGCATCACTGGATGACCGATGGCGTCGAAACGTTGTCGCTATCACCACACAGCACACACATCTGGAGGACTGTAGTCTCGAAAGAAGGCCTCAAGCAGACATTTCTGCTACACGAGATCCTCGCATTGTCGTCGTTCCAGTTGGCTCACAACAAGCCAGAACGACGAGCGGACTACTATGCGGCCGGTACACATCATCAAGACCACGCCCTTCGTGGCATGCGAAAGCTGCTTCAGAACATCACAGAGGAGAACGCACCGTCGGCATTCGCTGCTTCTACACTGATCCCAATATCGGTCTTTGCATCGAGAGGATTAGACGCAGTAGATCCAGATGCCCAGCCTCACAACGCACTTGACGATCTCGCCGATATCTTCAACTTGATTCAGGGCATCGGTCGGGTGATGGCCGCCGCACAGATGGGCATCATGATGAGCGGGCCCTTCCAGCACCTCTTCAGAGACCCTGTCCACGAGACCGCCCCGCAGCCCCTCTTCCAAAAGATCCTCGAGCGCATCCCCATCCTCACCGCTCTCTTCGACGAGGACGAGTCCCTCGACGAAGACTCGAGTCGCGACCTCCTCGGGTTCGTCACGGGCATGCGCGAAAACCTGCTGCGCTGCAGCAAGCCCTGCATGGAGAATCGCGACATGCGCTTCCTCTTCTACTGGCCGTTCCACCTCAGTCCGAACTTCATGTTCGGGCTACGCCAGCGCTCCCCCGGCGCCCTCGTCATCATCATGCACTGGACCATCATCGTGGCCTTCGCGGCTCGCACATACTGGTTCCTGCGGGGTTGGGCGGACCGCATCGTCAAAGCCGTGACAGACGAATTGACCGAAGAGCCCTGGCGCGAGGCGATTGAGTGGCCGCTGATGCATATCGACGCGCAGCGGGTGGTGCCGCCGCCTGCGATCCCCGAGGTCGAGAACCTGGAGATCTAAGCCGCGAGATGGCATGCAATATGCGATGTATCGATTATGTCTATCCTTGATGGTTGTTTGTTCCCGCGAGATGCATCGCGCGGCCGGGTACATGCATAGGCGCCCGGGCCTCGCGATCGCAGCATGCGACGGGAACGGAGGCGCGAGGCCCCGCCCATGGGTGTCTGGATGGATGTTGGAAGTTATTGCGGCGCGGGTCGCGGGCGTGAGCGTTGGTGGAGCGACGGCAACGGCCAGTCGTGCTCAGGAGGATAGATGAGCCGCAGCGCAGGCACAGCACCCGCGTGCTTACATGGGCTTCGGAGGCGAGCCTCCGCTGGGGAGCAAGCGTCGCCGATATTGTCGGCACGATGCTTACGGTACATATGAGCATATGAAGAAGACGAGCTATGAATTTCCAGATCTGGTCACATTCGGTGCCAGACGCACACAGGCACGGCCCATCTGATCAGTAATGCATCGCATTCGCAACGTCCTCCCCGCACCACTTCATCTTCCTCGCTTCGCGCAACAGTTTGCCTGATTTCTTCCTGAACGCCCAGCCTCGCCGGCACGACGCGGTTCTCCTTCCCGATCTGCTCAAAGTGCTCACCAGAATCTAGACCACGGCCTCGCAGCATCGACTGGCTGACTTGCACATCCATCTCACCGGCGGGCTCCACAGGCACAGGCCCTGGCCCCTGCAAAGGCTGCTTACGCCGATGGCTTCGCAGCATCGTCAGATGTTGGAAGGTGGTTGTGCTTACTACGGTGTTAGGGCTGAGAGGATGCGCTCGGGGCGTTGATCACGCGTTTGCTGGGAGAATCCTTCGCGCCTTGTCGCTGTGCTGTCGAGCCGTGGACTGCCGCGCTCGCATCGCCGGCTGCGATGCGAGAAAGCGTTCTCGGACACGCTCCCCAATCCAGAACCCGCACGGCGCGCCATCCGAGTCCAAAGCGCTGCCATCGCCGCGTCAGCCTCGCCACGGTCACGCACCTTGTGTGTGCGCAATACATGTACCAGGGTGCGGCTGCGTTGCGCAACCGCGCCGCACACGTGCAGCCCAGGTACTTAACCGTCTGCTGGCCCGGGCGGCTGCGGCCATGATCTATCTGGCTGGCATGGCGGCGACTGCGTACGCGCGCCGCATAGTATGTGCCACACCTCGCCCACCGCGGCGGGCTATTCACCGCCTGTGCTGTGCGGTGCTGCGTGCGGTGCAGCGTACATCGTTGCTGTATGGGGTTTGCGCTGGGAGCGCAGTGCGACGAGTTGAGGTGGGATGCGCGGAGGAGGGCGTGCGTGTGTTTTCAGCTGCGCGGGCAGGTGTTCGGCGTGCGTTCATTCGGCGCTGGACGATGGCCTCTGCTTGCGCTGGGTGTAGCGAGCGAGAATGGATGTGCGACGCCGGGACGTTTGCGGGCGCACCTGCGCACACGCGCGCGAGAGAATAGCACTCGAGCAAGTCGCGCCAGCAAGCATGGACTAGAATTACATTATCGTAGTAGTGAGCGTAGCGGGGCGTCAAGATCGTCAGAGTCCCCTTAAACTCCAATATGTTGTGTATACCCCATCCCTTCGCTGCAAACGACACGCAAGAAGGAAGCACAAGCAAAGCCCGCCGAGACGCAATCTATCCTTTTTCTGATCATCGATTTTCCGTTCGGCCTACTCAGACAGCGGCCGACGAGGGTGCTCGTCATCCGCGTGCCGCCACGACTCCAGCTCCTCGGGCGTTGGCTGCGACACGACGGTAGTGTCGCTCTGCACGGTCGCATCGCTCGCCCCACGCGTGTGCGACGGGCGGCGCTCGCCTTCTGCCACTGCGTCTCCCTCCTTCTTGTCTGCCCCTTCGGAGGTGGGCACGTCCTCGGGCGGTGGCACAGGCGAAGGCTCGCGCTTCATGACTTCATCAATGTTGCTCTGCGAGCGCGTCGCGCTGGGGTCGCGCTTGGAAAGGGAGCCGCTCGCGAGCTTGGGGGTCCCCTTCGCGCTGGGGATGGGAGACACATCGCCGGCGGGGAGTTCTGCTATCGGGGTGAAAGGCGGTGGCGTCCCGGGTGTGTTCGCCGCCGAGGATTCGCGTGTTGCGCCGCGGCGACCCAACTTGGCGCCCGCCGTGAAGTAGTCGGGGCCGCTACCTTCGCTATGAGGTGTAGCTGCGACTGCCGGCGGGCTGTAAAGTTCTGCGGGAGGACTGTCCATCTCGCTGATCGGCGGGAAGGGACTGAGGTCCTTGCGCTCGGTGCCTTCGCCATAGAAGCCTCCGAGAGGTGACTTTGGCGCGCCTGGAACCTGTGTGTCGAGCTCCGAGATGCGGCGGTGCTTCACTTCGTTGCCGGCGGCCGAGGTGTCGATTTCGGTGGCTTCTTTGTACGTTGGTGGTGTATTCTTGCGCGCCCTGCGTTTCTTCCACCAGATGAAGATGCCAAACGCGACCCCGAGAGCCACGGCCAGAACGCCGATGACAATACCCGCAATGGCGCCACCAGAGAGCCCCTTACTACCCCCTCCAGTCGGTATGGGAGTTGGGCTAGGTGGGACGTAATCTCGGTCGTATATAGGAACTATCTTGGCTTCGGGCAATGAATCTAGAGCAGGGACCTGCGCGACAGTGAAGTTACGGCGTCCGTAGTCAGTCACGATGTAAGCCTCTTGAAGAAAGGTCCGACCGAGGACAAACATTCCGTTCGTTGAATTTCTGATCGGAAAATATTTGATGGTGTTGTCTCGATTTCCTGGGTTGAATTGTTCCAGCTCGAAGGCCGAGTAGGGTAGGCGGATGGATGCAAAATTGGCATCACTGCCAGACGGGTCGCTGCCAATGTTGAAAGTCACCTCGGCGTTTTGCTGGTCGTTGTTCTGCGCGCCGGAAGCGTTCTCAACATAATAGAAGTTTGTTGCGTTATCGTACCTCAAATGGAACTTTTCGGCGAACTTATCGCAGATGTCGTGAGGAAGCCACAGATACGGAAATGTCGAGTCGATTGTCGCACGGAAACCTTTGCCATTCGTACTGGTGATGCCCTCGACATTTTGTTCGACGTGAACGTCTGGCTTATAGGATATGCTTTGCACTGCGACTACCAAGGAAGTATTCTTATCGCCGAGCATTGAGATAGTGACGCGATTGTCCATGTTGATTCGGGACTCATCGTAGCCACCAAGGACAAAGCTTCCAAGGATTCCATTGCCGACGCTCTTCCCTGTGACATTGTCAGCACGTTCAATAGTTTTGGGGCTATTGTGGAAAACTAAAGGCTCATGACGTCTGGGTTATCGAAACAGGGTAGCTGCTTGAAGGGCGACACATGCACATCCATACCTCTACAAGGCTACGAACACCTTTGTAAGTCGCATGCGCGTCTGAGCGTATACCGATTGAGCTGCTAGGATGTAGATAGATTGACAGAATAGAATATAAACTTACTGTACTTGGCGCCCGCAGTGTACCCGTAAGAGACACTTGGAATGATCCTGTGCTGCTTTAAGAATGTAATTATCGAGTCAACAGGAGTACCAGTACCGCCCCCTAGATTGGAAGCGCCGGGTCCCAGGCCGAATTGTCCGATGTAAAAGTCCTTAGACGTGGTAGCCGCAACATACATCTGTGGCGCTTTATAACTCTTACTCGAAGCCGGACCAATTCCTACATAATCGAGTCCATAATAGCCTGCTGGTCCGGCTCCGGCCGTGTTGTTACCCTGCCACCAGTATGGCAGATCTAGATCGTAGGTGCCCCGCGTCTTCCATGTCGTGGTATCATCTGTGTCCAGGCCATTTGTCTGATTTCCGTTGACAGTGCCTATGCCGCGATTCTCAGCGCAATCAGTAGAGCACCAGCTAGATGGATAAGGTAGAACGGTTACACCGAAGTGTGTAGAAGGCAGTATTTCAAAGTTTTGGCCACTACCGTTATTGTCCCCGTCTCCAACGTTGATGTAGAAGGTTGACCATGATCCGTCATTTCCTCTCCATTTTCCAGTGGTGCTGACGACCAAGGGTGCGAATGGCTCTGCCGCTGTGCTGTTCACAGTCTCTGCGCGTTTTCTGGCGAACATTTTGGGATAAAGAGCATGACGAGCAGGACAAGAGCGATAGTGCGATGCAAACGGCGGCGGGAAGACAGGTAAAGGCCAAGGAAAGATCAGACGGGGAAGGGAGTGACGAAGACAAAGGCTGGGACAGCCTTGCAGGCGGCAGAGGGCGGCTGATGTGCACAAAGAAGTACAGAAGCGCGGTAATGCACGAACCCTCAGTGCTCAGCAAGAGTTGAAAGCCATCGTGGCAAGCTGCAACACGGCGCTTCGACCACAGCCAGACTGCTTTCTTTTGACAGGGCGCCGTGCCACGGCGGGGCCTGCTATCGATAGGGCAGCCGGGCCATTGGAGCAATCAGCGTACGGGTGAGATCACCTGCAGCACAGCCGGCACTTTCTACTAGGCTATGTGCCTCGCCGGTGCAGCCGCACGGTCGGGGCTGGGCGGGAACTGAGAGACACGGGTTCAGAAGAGTTGGGACGCGGGCGGGCTCTGCACGATCACGCCTGCGCAGCGAGGTTGCATGCGAGGGTGAATGGATTGGCGCGGCCGCCGTGGAGCTAGGCTAGAGAAGTTCTCCCGCGTTAGTGCTGGCTACGGTTACGCACGGATCCGGCAAGGACGTTCTGACTCAGCGGCCCGTGCGCCAATAAGCTCGCGCCTCTGCCCCGCTTTTGCGCCTCACGTGCAGTTTTCCTACGACAACCACCTCACCTCCAGCATTACCATCGACACTGTGTGGACCCTCTGCACGCCCAAACAGCGCTCTGTGCGACTGCACTGCGACAACAGCTCTTCTCGCCATGGAGGACCACGGTGGACCAAGGAGGCCCGGCGGACGGTGGGCCAGCCTTCCCGGCCCATGGCGAAAGCGCCTTGCTCTCTCCACCGCTTGGCCCCCAGAATACGATGTATGCTGTGCCGCGTCCATCAGAAGTAGCTCGAGTGTCCAGGACTGCGCGGTGCTGCAGCCTCTAACCCCGCTCAGTGCATCTCTAGCCAGAAGCGGCCGTCATATGGATCCTTGTCAGCAATCGCCATGGGTTTTCTACATGGGTATTCACCAAGCGCTTTCTAGACCAACCGTGCAAACGCACACATGCCGATGCGACGACTCTACCTTCCGCCCGTGCCTGCCCAGCACTGGACCGATGCGACGCCGTATCCAGCACCCATGCCGTGCTGCTTGGCCCCGCCGTCGTTGCCTTGCCATGCTCTCATCATCTGGTGGCGCTGTTACCATTTTCTTTTGCCGGCTTCGCAGATGCATCGATCCGGCCTAGTGAGGCCACTGGCCGCTGCCATGGCCGCTCGAGGCGGCCCCCGCCGCGTGGAACGACCGCCGGGTAGTTACCGGATGGCTCGTTGCCTCTCAGTTGCATGTCTTCGCTCGGGCCATGCACCATCGTTGTTTACCTGGCCCTGGCTAACAGGAATATTGGAAGAGCTTGACCGAGAGGCCCAGCCCCGCCAGCTCACACTCACTACCCAATTCGTAAGCCCACCTTAGTACATACATAGTCACGCCTCGTGCCGCTGCGCTGCGTCCTGCGTTTGTTTGAGTCCAGCCTTTGCTTTGCTCGAGGTAAGTGAGTTCCCTTTCACGACGTGCTTAGCTCTAGACGAGCTTGGAAAACTGCCAAATGCACCAACTGTGCCACCAATTTTCTTCGCTTTATCTCGTACCACCGCGTTACGCCCACTCTACCCTTTGTCCGACCCCAAAACAGCTATATTTCCCCTCCGATCCAGCTTCCCTCTACGCCATGTCTTCCATCACGTGCTATGCTGATTACCTTCAGCTCCAGGCTACGTAGCATTCGTTCAACCTGCGTAGCGTTCCTTCGCTTTTAACTATGCGGAACGTTTGGTCATTGCTGGCCGTTGCCGGCTTGGTCGTTGCTCAAGGTGAATACGGAGGCTCATCATCTACCATTGCTTCCTCGCCTGATGGCTACGTGGTGCCTTCTTCAACGCCCAGTGCCAGTGCGACGCCGTCGCCAACCTCACAACCTCCCCCGAATGTATCTTACTCTGAGGGAGGCTACGCGACCGAGGCTACGACTCCTGGATATGTCGCTTCTCCTCCCCCTGGGTACGAGACGTGCGCGCCGGTGACAATTATTACTACAACCACAAGGACACCCAAGCCTGTCACCATCACTTCCACGACAACGAGGACTCCAAAGCCAGTGACCAACACCGTCACAACCACCCAAACACCGAAGCCGGTCACAATAACGACTACAAAGACGAAGCCGGTCCTTAGTACTCTTACCCAGACCAAGTGGAGCACAACGACTTTCTTCGATACCGTCACTTTCTGGAGAAACTCCACCACGACCTCGACCGAAACTACTGTAAGTCATTGCAATGCCCTTGGGGCTTGAACATAACTGGCCAGCAATTGGTTCCTCATTCCCATGCTTGAGCAATTGACTAATACTTGGTAGACATGCACTGAGACTGAAACGACGACTGTTGATCACACAACGGTGGACCTCGCGACGTCCGTCTTCACTAGCTTTAGCTACATTACGTCAACCTCCACCTCGTATATCACCTCGTGGTACTCAACGACATTCTCTGAGACCATCACCTCGTGGATCTCCACTGTCATCACAGTCCCAGTGACAATTGTAGAGACCCTCAGTATCCCATACACTGTAACCGACGTGCACACCACTTCGGTGCCTGTAAGTGCTTGCCTTATGCAACCCACAGTACACTTTCTCATCTCCTTAGTACACTGTCGAGACTACCGTACCCGGACCTACCCTGACGGTTCCTGGCCCTACTGAGACCGTCGTTGGACCTACACAGACCGTTCCTGGGCCTACTTCTTTCGTCACTGACGTCGAAACTTCAATCATCACAGACGTTGTGACTTCAATTGTTACTGATGTATCTACCGAAACCGTCACTAGCACGACGATCAGCACGATCCTGAGCACGATCACGCTCCCGCCCGAGACAGTGACGACGACCTTCACTCTCCCCGGTACCACGGAAACCATCACTCTCCCCGGCACCACGGAGACCATCACGCTCCCCCCTACCACGGAGACCGTCACTACGACCTTGTGAGTACACGAACGCCAAATTGCAAACAGAGCGATATCTAATAGCCTTATAGGCCAGCTGTCACCACTGTGTCGACCATCTTCTCGACTGTCACGTTCACCTCCCTGCAGCCAACAACTGTCCTCGTCCCGACAACGTTTGTCACTACGAGCCCGACAACAATTATCACAACAGTTCCGACTACGATTGACCGTACCATCACACCGTCATCGTCCTCCCCAGGATCTGTCTTGTGCTCCAGGCAATGTCTCATCGATGTCACAGCTAGTTTGGTGGCCTACCCATTCGCTGTCACCACTCAGACGTCGCTCGTCACCCTCACCACTGTGAACTACTACACAGATGAAGGTGGCTCGCTAGTAGGCTCATCTACGACTATAGGCCAGCTTGGGCCGACCTCGGAATTGACATGGACGCACAAGGGGAACACCCTTACTTATCCGACTACGTACGCTGCCTACGAGACGTTCTCGCATCTGGAGGTCACTGCCATTGCCTCGACCTGCTTTACTCAAACCTCGATCTTGTCTGGCATAGAAACTACTGCTAACCCCACTTTGCTTGTGCCCATTGCACAGATCACCGACTCTTCCTCTGTTCCGCCGATTGTCGTGGATTATCTGAATTCCAACACTGCTGTCGCTTCACAAATTGGTCAGACTATCGACACTGGGGCTTGTGATCCTATTGTTGGAGGCCCTGCGACTCCGACACCCACCGTTACTGGTACTATTACCACCTACGCATCCCGAGACTCTTTGGAGACTGAGGTCAATACTGTACCGGCCTTCTCACAAATTGTCACCTCAACCGCATCCCAAGCTCCTCCCACGACTATTATCTCGACTGCGCCAGCACCGCCTCAATCGACAGTCGTATCAGTGGAACAGCCAACTGTCACCGTCACACCCACGGTCGTGACCTCCACCGCGGAGCCTACAACGGTCACCGCACCGGTCCCCAGCAGCTCCGGTAACCCTCCCAGCTCTTCTCCTGAACCCACGAGTAGCGAAACAACTGCTCTTTCTGGTTCGCCCTCCTCCAGTGTAATTCCCTCAAGTAGCGCTGCTGACTCCACGCCTGTAGTGTCATCGTTTTCGGAGGCCCCCTCCGAATCCCCTTCAGAGACTCCCGAATCCTCCACGCAGGCGCCAAGCACCTCGGAGGTCATTCCCTCGAGCACAGAAGAGATTTCTTCTCCTCCGGCGTACACGCCTCCGCAGTATACAACGAGCTTCTCCAAGACAACAACCGCCGCAAACACCACCAGCTACGGCACCGCGCCGCAGTCCAGCGCAAGCCAGCCGGCGTACTTCCCTGGCGCCGCAGCCAAGATTTCCAATGGGTTGGGTAGCGTGGCAGCCGGGTTGCTCGGTGCCGCGGGTGTCGGGTTGGGACTGATATGATGAGGAGGGTGTGGGATTCGGATAATTTTAATGTTTGATGCTTTAATGAAAAGGAAATGGAATCGACGGCAATGTATGCTACGCTTCTGATGGTGGGCTTAATGATATTCCGAGAGAGTTGGAGAGTGATCTCATCGCTTTGTTCGTTCAACGCTGACTGCAATCGATCGTGCCGTGAATGTTCTACGTCTGCTAACTAACAGTTCATTCCTCGCGTCGCATCGCATCGCATCAGCGCTTCGACATCGCAGCATGTGCGTACGCATCCTGTTCCCATGCATAGGTTTGATCGCGCATATCGCGTGCTGCTATGATCGCCCGTAGCGCACCTCATAGACGCTGTTCGCGCGAGCACTGGAGGCATACACATGGTACCTGCCCTGCCCTGCAGAGCTAGCCGCCGGCCTGGCCCCCACTACACTCGACCCACCACACACCCTTCACCTCGGCACGGTGCCAGCTCCGCACCACTCAACTAGCTCCCATCTGCGAACAAAAGCCCACGGCGATAACGTTGCGTCCTTCCGCAGCCTCGCCATCGCAGAACAAGGCAACTAAGGCCTCCAGCACGGCCAGACGTTCAAGCAAGCTATGCATGCTGCAGCCACGACGCAATGCACAAACTATCGATTGCTGCTCGTCCCGCGCTCCCGAGCGTTGTCGCGCGGGACGACGTTCTGGATGGCGAGAGTGCAGGCCGTGGGTCTGAGTGGCCCAACGCGCGCGCCTCTGCTCCGAGTGGACGGAAAAATCGACGTGGCTGGGCGACAAGGCGGGTGGTTGGGCGGTGGGGCGGGGTAGGAGAGGCCGTGTGGGAGAACGCCGAGCGTGAGCGAGGTGTGTGCGGAACGATTCGGTTGGCGAGTGTTTAGGCTAGCGGGTCGTGTGCGTGTTCCTGGTGGGCCGCAGCGGAGGCCGGATCCGGTGTGGAATACGCAATGCGGTGCGGGTGGGGAGGGCCTGGGGTGGAGGAGGGAGGGTGGGAAGGCTGCAAGTGGGCGCGGATTCGCGAGCTGTACGAACTGTGTGGATGGGCTTTTCTGCCGTTCTTTGTTGGGTGCTTTCTGGGAGGAAGACTGACGGAGACTAATCGACGGATCGGTCTGGATTCCTGTCGTCACAGTCGTGGTTTGAGTCTCATGTTGTTTGTTGCCAGCGGGGAAAAATCCCGTGCGCACGGAGAGCCCCAGAAGTATAGTCCATGTTGAAAGCGCACGGAAAGTAAGACTAAGTAGTACTAACGTACTTTCTGTTCTGACTGCTCATCATTGGCTGCATCAGAGTCATATTATACATTCATACTCATCGAACTCACCACCGTATCAAACTTCACCATTACCAGGTCCATAGACAACCCCGCCACATGCACATCTCGGTATCGCGAATCTGTTCCGTGGTCCCGACGTGTTCTCGCTCTCAAACTAGGGGCATATGCCCCTCATCAATGAATCGCATGCACTTGATCATTCCCCGTATCTTGCGCTTGATGTACCACCTGCTCGCCATCCAAACAGGCTCTTCTCCGCACATCTCCTTGCGACGCTGCTCTTGCTCCCACAATACCGCCCTGTCGCATGTTGTCGTCGCTGTTGTCTTTGTCTACGCGGTGTAGGATATGGGTCTCGAAGAGTACCTTCTGACTTGTCGTGCAGCAGGTGGGGGCATATGAGACGAGGGAGTGAGCCTGCTGTGGGTTACGCAGTCAAGCTACGGTGCTGGAGGGATCTGCTTGGCCGCGTTCAACATTCGAGGGTGGATACTCTAGGAGCAGCATGTTTTGCGGCGGGGAGCAAGATCTCGACAGTATCGCAGCCGTGGAGCCCTGGGCGAGAGCGAGAGTGAGAGCGAAGTCGTCCTCTCGACCGTGAGCGAAAACGTCCTATCGGCGGCCGCGGAGGCTAGGAAGAGGTGTACGAGTATTTCGGACGTGTGTCTGGTCTTCCGCGGTCCTCTTCGCTCTCTGGCTCCCGATGGTCTGTATCGTGCATTCCCGGTCATGGAGGTAAACGACAAATTCGGGTGCGTTTGCTAATATAGGTACGCTTGTGCTCTGTGATATCAGGCTCTGTGTGGCCACCCGAAGGCCGGCACTTATCTCGGGCATTTGTTCGATGGCAGTGCGACAAACTCAGTGTAGGCACGAAGGTTTCCGTATCAGCCTTGCCCACGAGGAAAAACTTCCAGCACAAGACGCCGCCTTGACTAAATGAACAACCACTCGCCACTTCTCTACCGAGCAGGAGATGGGCTAGGAACGGACGTCAAGGCGAGCCAATATCCTATTTCGAGCTGCCTTATGATCTTACACAGCCTTCGACCCCAAGCCCACGTGGCTGCACGATGTATATGCCCGTTCAGCGAGTTCGCGAGCGTAGAGTTGTACTCTGACCAATGTGGAGCTGGTGATTTATTTCATCTATGGCTACGTGTGTGTGGGCGTTGCCTTGTGCGCGTATATCTATCTCGACGAAGCAGAGGTGCATGTGCAGCCACATTATCACAGCCTCGCCCATGTATCACCACTTAGATGGAGCTCGCAAAGCCTCATTACTGGAGGGTCTATGATGAACGCCTTCGAGCTGGCGAAATCAACAGTACGATAAATGACGTGCCTTACAAGGCAGATGCAGCATACAGAGATACATGCAGGTGCCGTAGGCTAGTCTTGCTGATTACGAGCTTTGTTGTGAGCCTGTCTCCTACCCTAGATGCCTAGATACTGATAAGCAGATAATCTCATCGGAATAATTGAAGACAAGGCGACGGTTACTTGTTGAGCTGACGACGCCCGACACCGGAACTGCCATGAGTGGCTTCTCGTTGGCCTTCGACGTCGTTGATTTCGGCTCGGGGAATCCAATGTTGAAGCCGGCCATTCAACTGTACAGCTGAGGCTTCTGGAGTTGCGATACTCTCGGTGCGCGAAAGCCTTCTTGGTCTTAAGCGGCATCCAAATCACGGTGATGGGCACATCATACAACAGTCACTAGAAGCACATTAACAGATGCTGAAAAGGCCCAAACATTCGTGCTGAATTTGAGAACCGGCGAGCTCACGGACCGGACCGAGCTGACCGCTGTGGATTGAACCGTCGATAACATTCTGCATGAACGAGAACAAGTCCGTCGCGATTCAGGCGTGGGCGCGAATCGAAGCGCATCATCAGGAAGGCCTCCTGCGCGGAGCCTGAGCATTGGTGGGGAGATCGGACGGGTTTCTGTTCAGGCGCGAGCGTAAGTCCCGAGGTGTAGACGTGGTCTCTCTGTCATACGGTGACACTGATGGCCTGTAGATTTCCAAGGCTGGATCACAGCCCTCACGCGCCACATCGAGCAGCCCGAGCGCCCTTTTCCCAACGAGCAGACTCATGAAGGCCCGTGGGACCACCTCCGTCGCCGAGAGGTACAGATCCTACCGCGGGCATTGACTCCGGAAAACAGAGCACCCCTTGAAGCACTCCAAGCCGAGCGAAACGTCCACCCGGACCTGTCGAGCGACTAAGACAAGACAATGGTCCAATGGCAGACATCCGGGGAAACACATGGAGCAGAAACAAGACTTACTGTCAAGAGTCTAGGGCGTCAGAGAAACGGTAATGTGCTTGGCGCGAAGGCGGTCCTGAGATCGAGAAACAACTAGTGGGAGCTGAACGTGGTATCTGGCAGGGGCAGGCAACACAACGGAAGCTCGATTGCGCGAGGCCCAGATAGCTTCTGAGAGTAATGCACCAGAAGCGGAGGATGAGCGAAATACTGGGTCTGATGGCTTGTACGATACGAAAAGGCCAAGGATGCAGCGGCCCTTCAAGCAGCGGACCCTCGTGCATCTCGACAGAGTTCAAACGAGCGACATTGTCGACCAGATTGCAGCACAAACTTTCCCTACCCACACCATCCCCCTCCATCCACCGCGCCACCCTCACTTCTTCACCCCCTGGTTGCCCGATGCCGCGCCCGCACCCGCCTGGTTGGCGTTTTTGGCGGCGCCCGCATTCGCTCGCGCGGGGAACGAGCCCTTGCCCGTGTCCTGCCCGCTCTTCGCCTGCGCATTCGTGGTCAGCGAGCTGGCACCCTCGCAGGATGACCTTGCCAGGAACATTGGCAGAGTTGATGGCGGACGCGCGGTCCTGGGTCATGGGGGTCTTTTTCTTGTTTCCGGGCATGTCGGACGCTGGGGTGGGTACGGCAGCTGGTCTGACGGGACGATGATGTGTTGCGAAAGGGTTGCTTGAAACGGTCGATTGGATGTCTGGACGGGACGGGACGGCGCAGGGGACGCTGCGACCGGACAGGCGTGCTTTTGTATTGCGCTTCGCTCACGTGCTTGCCTTTCTCGTCGGACTACACCATGTCGCATGTAGCGATGCCGGGAAGGGGAGACGTCCTTTGCCACTGTCCATGCGCACGGGAGCGGTCGGAGACGCGTCCGTGGGCGTGTCCAGGTATTGCCCTGGCACGACGAATGCTGCGGCTTCTGCTGTGCTTGTATCGTGTCGTGTCTGGGAGCCCTGCATGGTACGACTTCCGAGGACCATACACAGCCAGTAGAATGATACATGGAATTCCGAGGACTATCACAAGTACGAGGGGGAAGGCGTGCGTGGTGGGTGGCATTGGGCGTGGGATGGTTGGGTGGTGTGTTGGCTCGGGATAGGGTCGATGGTGCAGTGCTGTGTGAATGGCCTGATGGAAGACAAGGAGAGTGCTGCCTAAGGTTTCGTAAAGGCACTGCTAGGTGGGCATAGATGTACACTGGCGCGCGGTACATGAAGTATGGCACGAGGGAGGGAGGAGTGGAAAGGCACGCGCCCCGAAGCCCACCGCCACATCACGTTGACAGTGGAAGCCGTGAAGCGAGAATGCCGACGATGGATTGGTTCTGATGCTGAATATGCCATGTCATGCCATGCTGCCCCTCAGGGTATACCTCTCTATACGTAGCCCTCCATGCCTGACCCTAGATTTGAGCCATGTTCCCCGAACCGTGTACATGCCCTTCCCTCTCCCATACTTTAAGATAACAACTCCTTGATATCCTCAATCCGATTCGCCTTCTTCTCCTCCTCACTCATCATCCCCAGACTGCTCGCCAGAAACTTCTTCCGCTCCTGGATGCGCAACATCTTTTCCTCGATACTGCCCTTCACCACGAACCGCGTGACTTTGACCTCGGAATCCTGCCCCATCCGATGCACGCGGTCAATCGCCTGCGCCTCGACCGCAAAGCTCCACCACGGGTCCATCATGAACACGCGCTTTGCGCAGGTGAGGTTGAGGCCTACGCCGCCGGCGCGCAGAGACAAAAGGAGGACGTAGGGTTTAGGCGAGGTGTTAAACTCTGTGAGCGTGGTGGCGCGCAGCTTCTGGTTCATGGAGCCGTCGAAGCGCAGGAAGGGGATGTGGTCACGCGCGAGCGCGGGCTCGATGAGGTCTAGGAAGGAGGTAAACTGCGAGAAGACCACACTCTTCATGCCCTTGTCGAGCTTGCGGATGCCTTTCAGATGTGTGAGGAGGGCCTGCGTCTTGGCGGAGCCGCTGAGGCCGATGCGGCGTAGGCTGACTTTTGGCGTCTGTACAGGAGCGGGTGCGTCCGAGGAGTCGTGGTCGTGGCGGACGACCTCGAAGACATCGCGCGTGTTGACGGGTTCGCGGCAGTTGAAGCAGCGCGGTAGATCGCCCTTGTCGCGCTGGTGGTTGATGTAGTTTACGAGGCACTCCTTGCACGCGGAGTGCCAGCAGCTGGTGACGGCCTGCTCGTTCATGGGCTCCTCGGAGCAGATCGGACACTCCGATTCAGCCTCGTCCTGGATCTGCTTGAGCACGGTGGCGCCATATCGATTGACGTCCTCATCTCCCTCGCTGGTGAAGCGTTCGATGAGGCTGTCGAGGTCCATGTCGTCGGCGAGTCCGTTGGCGACATCGGATGCTAATGCCGCGTCTTCCTCGTCAGCAACCAGGTGCGCTTTCCTGGTGAGTACAGGATGGCAGCACGACTGCCGCAGCCGCAGGATTTGCGCAAAGATGGTCGTGTACTGCTTGAGCAGCGTTCCCTTCTCTGCATTGGCGTTGAAGACGGATCGCGCGTGGAGGTAGATGTGGTCGTACACGTTGCGCTCGTCCTCGGAGAGCGTGATCTCCTCGACTTCAATCGTCCGCTTGGGCAGTGGCACGAGGGCTTCGCCGTCTGGGGTCTTCATATCTTTTGTACGTCGGAGGACGAGCGGTTCCAGCACGGTCTGGACAACGTCAAGCGCGCGAATGAATTCTCCTGATTCGAAAGGAACGGTGATGAAGGTCTTCCAGAAGGAAAAGTTGGCCCACGGCTCCACTTTCAGGAAGCGCACGAGACTGAACAGATCTTCCAGGCGGTTGACAATGGGTGTGCCCGTAAGGACCCACCGATGCTTCGCCGTGAGCTCATAGCAGGCTTTTGCGGTTTTCGATTGCCGATTCTTGATGTAATGTGCCTCGTCGAGGATGATGCGGAAGTAGTCGAGCGAAAATATGCCACCGTGGGAGCCGACGTTTCCATCTTGCTTCGCCACTTGGCCATACTCAGCCAGGACAGTACCATAGCTTGTGATGATGACGTTGGGAGCGTTTGCGCCGTTGGACGCAGAACAGAGCTTCTGGAGGTTGACAGCCTTTTCTGTCCCATAGTAGAGCATGACTTTGAGCGTTCCTTCCTTGGAAGCCTTTTCAGCTTCACTCTGCCACTGCGCCAGAAGCGACATGGGTGCTATGACGAGCGTGGTGTATGGTGCAGGCTCGACGACGGTACTGCTCTTTGGAAGTCGGGGCAGGCTCTTGGGAACGGAAGGATCGCTCTTGGGGATCTGATTCCGGTTGGTGTGGATCAAGCTCAGCATCTCAATCGTCTTTCCGAGACCCATTTCTGCTACGAGTTAGCTTTGTTACCGTGACGCACGAGCGGTTACGTACCGTCTGCCAAAACACCGCCCAGGCAGTTCTGCTCCTGCTTCGGGAACTCAAGCGAGAGCTGGCCGGAATAAGGGTTCACATAGAACATGTTTTGGTCCTCGATGACGGGCATGGCTTGGTTGTCCGCATCCTGTGTCGGCCACGCATACTCTTCCCAAAGAGGATGCATCGACTCTTCCGTGTCATTGCGCGCTTCGTCGCGCTCCTTCCCAACCATCCAATGGAGGGCCTGCTTTTGATACTTGCGCAGATCCATGACAAAAGTATCGGCGGGTTGCATCTCGGGGGTGTTGAAGTCGAAGGACTGGGCTTTCCTGTAGAGCGCATCCAACTGATCTTGCTCTAGCTCTTCTCCGTCCTCGGCTTCTTCTGACGGCGGCGATGAGCCCGGTTCAGGAGCGCTTCCGTTCTTGGGCTTGGGCTTCTCTTTTTCTTCCTCTCTTTCTGCCGCCTGCAGCAGGCCCTGGCGCTTGTGCTTTGCTGTCGTCGCGTTCTGGCGCGTTGGCTCCAGGTTGATGGCTTCAAACAGCTTTACCAAGGCAACCTGCCGGCGCCGCAGATCGCGCTCGTCGGAGCTCTCCTTCTCTTCGAACAAGTTCACCTCGCGGTTATCCTCGGGCTTGACAAACTTTCTGCTGTCGAATGCGCTGCGTAGGAAGAAAGCGCGGAGCTGCAGAAAGACATTGTCGCCCGTTCTGAGTCTGTCTGGCGTGTACACAACGGTGCCCTGGAAGGTGCAGACCTTCTGGTCGAGCAGTGCGGATATCCACGTAGCAGACTCATTTTCCAGCCGCCCTACTTCCTCTCCGCGGCTGTTGACGAAGCGGACGATGACGTCGACCTTCTTGAGACCGACGACGCGCTTGATGCCCTTCTTCACCTTGGGCATATCCTTTTGCCGCTCTATGCTGACTTGCTCCTCGTGCTTGAGCAGACCACTCCCGCTCTTGGTAGCCCAGCCCGTCACGCCAAAGGAGCCGACATAGCGCTTCCCGGGCATCTGCTCGAGTATGGGTGCGATTGGGGTCGAGGAGCCGGAGTCCGGCGTCGACGCAACGGAGGCTTCGGAGTCGTTCCGTCGGAGGGCGGCCGCGAGGGTTTGCTGCACGGCGGGCGCCCGAGGCTGCGGTGCGGCGGGAGCGGCGTATGAAGGTGCAGAGCTCCACGAGCCGTCGAGGTACAGATTGATAGCTGCATCGCGTCAGCCAGAGCAGTCGTTTCGGTTCATCGCACGCACCACGCTGCACATCGCTGCCGCTCGCATCCTTGAGCCTCAGCAGACTCGCATGCGGCAGCTCGCCCACGACAGCCTGGAGCATGGCGACATCGAAGCCCTCCAAGCCGCTGCCCTGGTCCGCATTGCCGAGGGACACATCAGGCAGGCTCGGGGCACTGTCAAACGAATCGTGCAGTGCCGACGGCGCTGCAATCGCGGCGGGCGAAGAGTCCTCCTCGAAGAACCTGCGCTTCTTCAGCGGGCGCTCGTCGGGGTGCGGCGACTCCATGGCGGTGTTGCAGCGCGCGTGCGGGGCGACGTGCGCGTGGTGCTGCGTCGCGTCGGCGGCGAGACGCGCTGTCACGGCCGCGCCGGCCCATCGGGCGCCGCTCAGAGCGTCATCCACTCGCAGCAACTTTTTGTCGCCCCGTCCAGAGCGCAATCGGCCGTGAGTGTGCACGACTTGCATCGCAGTTCGCTGGGTCGTTGATGGCACCCTGACCATACGCCAATTGCACCGTCCCGTCCTCCCCGCGCAATGCGCCTCCCTCCGCCCCGCGCCGCCTTCCTCCAGCGCATGCCCGCAGCAAGCGCACCCCAGCGCCGCTGCCTCGAGTCGCAATGCTTCACGCCGTCCGCCAGCCAGCCGTCGGCTGACGAAGTCGCCAAAGCACGCGCCTACTGCGCCCACCTCGTCCGGACCCACGACGCGCCCTCGCACGTGCTGCAGACCTTCATCCCCCCCGCCGCCCGCGATGCCCACCTCGCCCTCCGCGCCTTCAACATCGACGTCGCCCAGGTCGCAGACACCACGTCGACCCCCACGGTCGGCATGATGCGCATGCAGTTCTGGCGCGACGCCATCGCAAAGGCGCTGGCAGGCACCCCGCCCAAAGAGCCCGTCGCCATTCTGCTGGCCAACGCCGCAGCCGACCTGCACGCCCGCTCGCATGGCAAGGCGAAGCTGTCCAAGAACTGGTTCCACCGCGTCATCAACACGCGCGAGCAGCACCTCGGCAACCCGCCCTATCCCACCCTCAGCAGCCTCGAGTCGTACGCCGAAAACACATACTCCACGCTCATGTACCTCACGCTGTCCGCGCTCCCCCAGGCCTCGCTGACCGCTGACCACATCGCCTCGCACATTGGCAAAGCCGCCGGCATCGCCGCCGTGCTGCGCGGCATCCCCTTCGTCGCCTTCCCCCCGCAGCAGCCCACCATCAGCGGCACCGCGGGCCAAGCGCAGGGCGCCGTGCTGCTGCCTCTAGACGTCATGGCCGACGCCGGCGTGAAGGAGGAAGCCGTCTTCCGGGAAGGCGCCGCCGCCCCCGGCCTCCGCGACGCCGTCTTCGCCGTCGCCACGCGCGCAAATGACCACCTCATCACCGCCCGCGAGATGCTGTCCAAGCTGCGGTCCGAAGGCTCCGTGGGGCACGACTTCGAGCACGGCGACGACGCGGAGCGGGGGTTCGAGTATAGCAGCGAAGCTACGGGCCAGGAGAAGCAGTTGGCCGAGGTGGAGCAGGCGTTTGGCGTCTTCATGCCCGCGATTGCGACGCAGAGCTGGCTGGATCGCCTGCAGAAGGCCGACTTTGATCTGTTCGACCCCGAGCTGAGGAAGGTGGACTGGAAGCTGCCCTGGAAAGCGTACTGGGCCTACAGTCGGCGGAAGTTGTGACACTGTATACTGCATGTAACATATCAAATGATACCCTGTACAAGTACAAACACTTGACATGACTGTTTTTCTCACGTCGCGTAGTTCCTTCCTTCCACCTTCCCTCTTGCAAACTTTCACAATCTATCCGACAAGATGATGACTTGAACTCAGAACAGGCGTTGTGACTGTACACAAAAGGAAAATGAGAAACAAACGAGAATGTGAGAAGATGCATGCAGTGATCCCATACTGGCATCTGTACAGAAGACCAGAGAAGAAGAAAGACGAGATGTTGTGAGCAGGCGCCCGCAGCTTAGTAAGACTTCAGGGGCAGCGTGCGGAAGCTGTACCACGCCGAAATCCACCTCGAGAGCAGGCTTCCTCAGACCCTGAACATCACCTTGCGAAGGTAACATTCAATGTTCCAGAAACAGAAAACAGAATCCGCAATGAGAGATACACGGACAAAATTGAAGGAAGACCGGAGCTGCGGCGTACAAGAGGCATGTCCAGCGCGCGACGACGACGGCCATGTTGTGCAATTTCTTTACCGCGTTAGCTACCATCCCAGTTCCTTGGCCAGACTTGGCCGCTTGCTTGTGGGTATCTTCACCGCCATTCGCCACTGCAGCAGGTAGCCTGGGAGGGGGTGGACGGAGAGGTCTTGACGCTCAGGGTACACGAGTTCCTCGGACGCGTGCCAGTTATCGACCGGATTAACCTTGTGCTTCCTAGGTGGTCAGCCGAGGTTACACTCCTCGTGCGCTTGCCGCTTCACAGCGTCAGAAAGTATCTTGTGCGCGTCGATTATCATCCCGAATCGCTCAGGCCTCATTGATTGGCTTATGTATGAATTGTCCTCATGGTCATGATGATGATCAGGATAGTAGAGTTTCACTAGCTGAGCGAACACCTCTTGTTGTAATGACTATATTTTCTTGAAAGAGGACGTCGTATGGTGAAGGATTCCACGTCCTATTCCACTCTTGAACGGGATGCCTCGACTCGCCCGTACTGATTGGTGCAAGATTCCGGTGATAAGACGAGAATCATCTCGAGCAGAGCGTCTTCTCGGAGCGCCTCGATGTGGCGACTCTTCCCATTGGAAGGGGGGTAGGATAAGATGCATGGATGCTTGCATCGGCCATTCTCATGGGTAACTAGGTGGCTTGGATTGAATGCCATGCACTGACTCTTTCGGGGGACATCCAACTTATTGCGTTCTGTCATGGTACTAGTGCGCCGGTTTGCTCCTGTTTAGTCAGGTGCTCATGACATTCCATCCTATTATTCTGCACTCAGTTTGATATACTTCATATCGAGTGGTGGTTCGCAACATCGTGGACATGGTACATGTGGAACTGATGCATATCCGACGTAGTGTTGCCCTGCGCACATTTGCGTCTGTAAAATACGACAGCGCACTTGTACCATCCGCATGACCTCGACCGTAACTCGGGATTAGTATCCGACTTGGTCTTGATCGACGGAGCACTGTGTGCCGTCACCATGAATTGGATGGATATGTAGTATTGCAAGCAATGAATTTCGCTCTTCATATGGAAGACCCGACTAATGAGACAAACGAACAGCCGTCGTAGCTGTAAGCTGCACCAAAGTGTGAGGCTGTCTCCCAGACCGTGAATCCAGTGCACCCAAAGGAAGCTGCTATGCTGAAATGGCCTGCTTCCATACTTGGTCACATTCATACAGTTATGATGCGAAGAAGAAACCCATCTCAAAGCCCAATCCCAGCAAGGGCTGCGACAAAGATACCAGCGACTCCACTACAAGAGATATCAGCTCGAACCAAGTACAGGACTCAATACACTAATGCTTACATTTGAGTGGGTACACTGGTTGGGTGCGCTAGACCTGAGGCCGATGTTGACGAGCCCGCAGCGGCCGTAGCTGACGAGTGTTCACTAGCGGTGGCGGTCATCTCCATAGTGGTCGTCATGCCGTCCATGACCATGACAGTAGTGTATACGACCGCAGAATGGCCATCGTCGTGTCCTTCGTGTCCGGCAACAAGAACAGCGACGAGACCAAGAGTAAGGATGATCGAACGAAACATCGTGAAATGTCGACGAGAAAAAGACTCTGAAGGACTTGGGGAGCAGAATAGGCAGGCAGGAGCAGACTATTTGACTTTGAGTGACATGTGGCGTGCACCCCTGTCCAATGCTAACCTAAAGCGGTTACCCGCACCGCAGCCTCGTGAATACTCGCGCATGCTGCAAATCAAGGGCAACAGTTAATTGCGATGCTTGGGGGAAGTGTAAGGCGCCCATACAACTATAATTTGCGACTTTCCGCGTATCAAGGCTCCTTCTCTTTTAGACACTTTCTTTAAGGGCCTTTGGACCAAGTGTTCCATGTCAGTGCTGGATGAGCAAGTTTGAGCACGTATACAATCTTACTTGGCCGCGGTCCTGCTGTACGCGTACCGCGTAGAGGCTCCAGCGCCGTGTATAACCTCTCATACCAATACGCTGCCGATCTGCCTTTACCGCTGCAATCCCAGGAACCGTGATCGTCGCCTGTCAATCAACCATCGGAGTCTTTACTACCTATGGTGCCAGAATAACCCACCAAGATGGACCACATGATAAATACGGGCGACGTGGGCCACAGGAACATGAGTACAATGGGCGCCAACAATTCTACGGTGTCGAGTACGTCGATGGGCGGCATGATAGGAACCTTTTCAACGTCGACCAGGGTCACCCTCTTTTTCTCAGACTGGACGACCGACACACCTGCAAAGTACTTTGGGACACTGATTTTTCTCTTCGTCGTCACACTTTTGAATCGCTTCCTAGGCGCCTGGAGAAGCCAGCTCGGTCACAAGTGGGCAAACGATGCTGCCGATGCGCGGCGCAAAGTGGAGCAGCGGCGCGCGTACAAGCACGCCTTCAGTAGGGCCAAGGTTGAGCGGCAGTCCTCAGAGACGTGTTTCGATGAAGAAGGGGCAGAATCCTCGACGGAAAAGGCGCCGCTTTCACCTTATCCGCTCGGAGTGGACGTCGAAGCTGGTGAGAAGAAGCGCGATGGAACACCCATGTACATGGCCGTCTTTGGGGGACGCTGGCGAGCAGGGAACCCGTGGAGGGTAAACATCGATGTTCCGCGAGCTTTGCTGGAGGGCATCAGGGCGCTGATAGGGTATCTTCTGTAAGCTTAAATTCGACTCGCCGTTGATTGGCAATACTGACCATCATCAGGATGCTTGCTGTGATGACGTTCAACCTCGGATTCCTACTTGTGGTGATACTTGGCATTGTGGCAGGCGAGCTCATTCTTGGTCGCTACATATCTGGCACGGGGTGGGAAGAAGGTGGGTGTCACGATGGCTGAGAGGAATGAGAACATGGTCTGCATCTTTCGTCAAACAAGTTTGAGTCTAGTGATTTTGCATAGCATGGAGCTTTTCCTGCGAGCGCGTTCGGTTTGCTGGATGCAGCTCCAGTTCATACGCACAGAATGGGCGGCAACCCCTTGTGATTCCGAGGCATATCAGACACTGCGCAACCACAGGTCGTTAGTCTGACAGGGAAGTGTTTATCGCTAGCGAAGCTATCGTTGCGTACACCTTGCGCTATTCTGATTAGACTACACTATGGATATTTTCCCTCTTGGAAGATGTTCCAAGAATTTGGCCATAGCTTTGCTAGCGACTCTATCAGCTTCACATCGTGCTTTTGCTTCCTTAGCATTCGAATCTTCGGAGTAGTCCCAAATTAGGCTGGAACTTCCTAAGTGCGTATAGATATTTTTAGTCCCTGTTTCCTGGAGTCTATGCCCGTAAATCGATGCCCAAGAACCATCTCGCGGTTTTTGGTCGCGAGAGAGATCCTTGGTGTGACTCTCTAGCAAGGCTATGATCAAAATGTGAGGGCTCAGATAAGTTGACTCTATATCAATTTTAAGACCCAGTTGATATCCTGGCTCTTCGGGTGAATTGGCCTGTCGGTTTCCCCAAGGTAAAGATCCTCTGCAACGGGGCTCTTAGAAAAAAACTTTCGAGTATGACAGTCGATTCCTAAATTGATCCGACCATGCGCGGACCCTGATCATGATACCGAACGTCGAGACACGGGGTAAAGGGACGCCCGAAGTTGGCAATGACGAACCACTTCACTTTGCTTCCAGGGCTGGCCAGATACTGCCTGCACTGGTACGAACACGCCGGAACGAACGTGCAGGAACGAACGTGCAAGAACATCTTCTTTCATGATCAAAATTTTACTGCGGAAATCTCACTCCTTCTCGATCAAATCTGCCATCGAACAAAAAATCAGCATGCAGCTCGGTCTCACCTCATTCGAACATGCGAAGCTTCGCTCTACCGCAACGTTCCACACGTGCCTCTTCAAACACTTGCCCGAATTTCAAGGCACTACAGTGGCATAACAGGGATCAATATCATAAGGAGGTATATAGTTGGTATTTACGAGTCATGCATCAACATTGAAGACCTCTGTTCCTTGGAGAAGGGACTTGTTGCAGGCACCGCTGAGATAAACAATGGGAACCGCGTCCGTATGGGGGTATGAGCGAGTGCTTTCAAGGAACAACCACTCTGAGTGTAATAGAAGAATGTCCATTGCTGTTCCAGCACCGGAAAGATCTTCTGTGGCCCAATCACTTGTGTGGGCGCAGCGTTCTCGAACCGCGCGACCGGTTCCGGTGAGCTGTATCTCTACACCAATCACACGTGCATCGACTTTGCATTTCTCCAATCCGCTTCTAGGTTCGTAATTTGTCTTACTGGCTGAAAGGCAGCCAGAATCAGAGAACAGCCTTTATAACTGCTTCGTAGCCTCGCACACGGAGGTCACTAACTTGGCATGTTCACTACAATACGGACGCATCGTGTCCGGGCGCTTCTCCAATTCGATACTTCGCACACTAAACCCAACACCTGTCGCTAGACATGGCCAACGCGCTGACTCAAGAACACATCGCCCTCATAACATGGCACTCCCTAGTCTCCCGCAGCATAAAAGCCTGGGACTCTCTCCACCTGTCCGCCCTCGCCACCAAACCCCAGCCCGCCGCAATCCTCCAAATGTGCACCACCCTCGACGACTTCCTAGACCAGTCTTCCGGCGTTGGGTTACACTTCTGGTTCGTGCAGCTTCGCTCCGCCTTCCTCAGACAATCCAAAATCCCAAAATGGAGCCGCGACCGGTTGAACGAATACGTCCTTCTCCCCGCCTCTCCTGGCTTCGTCAGCAGACAAGACGTCTTCTTCGCAAGCCATTACTGGACCCGGCCAGACGATCCAGACCCCGACAGAACGTACCTACAGTTCGTCCAGCACGAGCTCGCGCAGCAGCAATGGTCGTACATCTGGGTGGACTGGACGTGTGCGCCGCAGGCACCGCGCACACCCAGCGAGGAAAAGTACTTTGGAAAAGCGTTGGGGATGATGAGCGGGTTGATACGCAATTGCGGGTTCATGTATTATTACGAGGGTTGGCGGCCGCGGCTGTGGGTGCTGTATGAGATTGCCGAGTACCTCTTGACCGCGACCGACAGCTACGGTGCAGAGACGGAGGATATCCAGGTGTTCGCGCAGCATGTGTGCGAGATGAAAGAGGGCAGTGTCAAAGACCTGATTGAGAAGTACGGCTACGCATGCGAGGTTCCGGGAGATAGGGTGTTTCTGCTGGCGTGGCTCGAGTTCCTCGTCCTCCTGCACAAGCTGCGCCTCGGCCTCGTAAAGATCCGCTCGATCATGGACCTTTTGACATGGCAGCCCACCGTCGAGGCCCACAAATTCGCGATGCCGGGGGGTTGGCTTGAGCTGAGAAAGTTCGAGGGTGTGTTGGTGTATCGCGGGCACGAGTACTGCTTCACGCCGTTTCCGCATTGGGTAGGTACGAATAAATTAGAGTGGGTTTTCGCTAATGAGTCGTCTTGTACACAGGGTATGCATCGACCTTTGAGAAAGTATCCACAGGGTGTAGAGTGAGGGAAACGCTCTGAGAGCAGGACATCGTAGGAGGCGGGGAAGGTTGCATTTTTAGAAGAAATGGCGCAAATGCAAGACATGCATTAGATCTGGATAGTGCGCTTGCCAGCGCATCACGGTATGGTACGGGAAGAACTGAACGTTGTTACGCAAGCCCGATCTACAACCCTAACCCCCTAAAGTCTCGACGCCTTCCCATCCTTCCCGAGAATCCTTCCTCTTTCCACAACCCTTACATCTCTCGGTCCCTCTTTCTTGAACTTTGTAGTGACAACCCACTTTGTCATCGTCCCTTTCACACCCGCTTTATCAAGCTCTGGCCCCGGATAATCCAGCCGCAACACCGCGGTGTCTTTGGTAACGCCACCGACCCCATCTTGCTTGTCCTCGCCGTAGTCTCCCTTCCCCAAGGCTACGGGACTGATGATCGCCTTGCTGAACTCGTCGCCAGCCTCAGATTGTAGGAAGGCTGTAAGACGGTCCCGCTCAGCCTGGAGCTCTGCGATTGACGGGCTGGGGGAAGAAGGCGATGTCACAGTTGGCGCGAGGAACGGAGCTAGGTGCCACGCAAGGAAATACTGCGGAGGGAACAGGATGATGCGGTTCTGGTTTGCGAGATTGATCCACTTGTTCGGCGGGAGGAAGCGCGCAGCCGTGTGTTCGATGCCGCCGTCGTGCGTAGGGTGCGGGATGACAATGTCTGCAGCCTCGACATCATCCAGCCTAGCTGCATCTCCGCTTGCTTGCGATTTGGAATTGCCTGGCAAGGTGGAGCCCAATGGGAGGAAGTAGATGTACATCTGCGTCGAGAAGCGCTTTTTCACGTTCGGCGGCGTGATCCAGCGCGTGAACGGGATTAGTCCCTCCACATCTGGCTCGCAGCCCCATTTCGATAAGAGATCTGCAAAGAGAGTCGTACCAGCGTGCACAGCCTTGCGGCCTTCTTCGCGCTCTGCATCGCCAATATCGGTGAACAGCTTGCCGTTCTTCTTGGCGAGAAGAATCCCACTTTCTTCGAAGGTTTCGCGGATGGCGGCAAGGCGATATGCGGGCTGATTGGGGTTTGTATCTGTAATGTTGGGTATCGGACCGTCGTGTTCGGGCGATATGGCACCGCCGGGGAAGACGTGGGCTGTATGGTGGATGAATAGTTAGTCTGATTCTTTTGCATGAGCATGGGGGGCAACGTCTTAAGAGGCAGCTCTTTGATGATTTGGGGACAATTCATTTTCATGGCTACGTTCAAAGCTATACATACCACTGCTGAACGCGCTCGCGGTCCTCACCCGATGCAGCAACAACACCTGATTCGTCGGCGAAATCACCAGCACCGACGCACTGGGGACAGGCATAGGCGGCGTCTTCGGCGGTTTATCGAGAGGCTTATGATCTGCCGGACTAGACATGTTTCTCCTCTGGACAATTGAAATTGTTGGAGCTGTTTCTCGGCCGGGGTTTTGACCTAAAGATACACGTTCCCGCCGTGTATGAAGATGGAGCGCTCGACAAGTAGACCCTTGGAGCGATGCAGCGACCGGTTGTAATGCTACTGCAGTAGTCGTATGTTTTGGAACACTGGATCTGAGTATTGCGCGAGAGGGTATATAAAGTACGCGCATAGCTAGCAGCAATGCGCGGTGTTAGACACGCGAGGTACCTGGACGTTGGAGCTAAGCATCGGCTCTGGCGGGGAACTTGGGGAAAATGCCGAGGTCCACCTGGGAGGATGATTTCATCCCGAGCGACGACACGAGATCCCGAGTCAACGAGGAAACGAGAAGAAAGCAAACAAAAACTTAAAAAAAAACTTGCAGCATGCACCACCATGTGAGTTTAATGAAAGATAGTCATGTCGCAAGAGAAAAAGAACATTCATGGTATCATTGCTTTTGTACCTAACCCAACATAAGCCATCAGTCATCTCCATATTCTATATAACAATGCCAACAAACGCCCTTCAGATGCATGCTTCCTTCTTCAGGTCTACGAGTAGAGCTTCTTGTCGAAGCTGTGCAGACCGTGCACATTGCCCTCGGCCTGTGCACTCGCGGTTCGGAGTTCGAACCTGACCGTGCCGTTCACGACACCCTCCTGCAGCTCCTTCAGGCTCTTCACACCAATGTCTTGCAGAGAGTGCTGCACACCGGCCATGAGGTACGGCACGAACTTGGTGACGGAGCCACGGTCACGGACAGAGCCCGAAACGCCCTGCGCGACCAGGACGCGGTCGCCCTCGGAAAAGTAGCGAGCAGTTCCAGCGTTGCTGGCCTTGGCGTCCTTGCTGCCGGCTCCGGCCTTCTTGTCCTCCATAGCGTCGATGCTGCCCATGCCACGGTAGGCCTTGACGAGCTGACCGTCGTTGCTGACATAGTACTGACCGGGTGATTCGGTCGTGCCAGCAAGCAGACCGCCCATCATGACGGTCGTGGCGCCCAGCGCAAGACCCTTGACGATGTGCCCAACGTTTTGGATGCCACCGTCAGCAATGCAAGGAACGCCGAAGCGCCTAGCGAACTGAGTGACGTTGTAGACCGAGGTAGCTTGGGGACGTCCCACGGCCATAACCTCCTGAGTAATGCAGGCACTTCCACTGCCCATACCGATACGAAGACCATCGGCTCCAGCAGCAATCAGAGCAGCAGCTTGCTCGCGAGTGACCACGTTTCCAGCAATCACATCGAGGCCGGGGTACTTCTCTTTGATGTGCTTTACCATCTCAATCATGTACATGGAGTTACCCTGGGAGCTGTCGAGCACGACAATGTCGAGGCCTGCATCGACAAGCTTCTGCAGACGGTTCTTGTCCTCCGGTCGGGTGCCGATGGCGGCGGCAGCGATAAGCTGCTTCGAGTGAGGAAGCTTGGAGGCGAGAGGGTAGTGGAGGTTCTTCATAAGATCGGAGCGAGAGAGAAGAGCGATAAGGTTGCCCTCCTCGTCGACAATGGGTAGCTTGCCCTTCTTCGACTTGCTGAGGATGTCGTTCGCCTGGCGCAGATCAATGCCCAGATTAGCAGTAACAAGCTCGGTGGACATGACGGCGGAGACCGGGTCGTCCAATTTGTCATGGAACTGCACATCACGAGGAGTGATGATACCGACAAGCTTGGAGCGGAGCTTTCCGTCCTCTAAGTTACTCGTCAGTCTTTTTGTTGCGCCAAACCAGTCAAAATGTTGGGATTGGAAGAGCGCGATCAGGTAAATCAAATTTCCACAGTTGGCGGAACCGTTGCGGATGAACGAAAGTTAAAATAAAATGAAATCATCATATGCGGGGTGAGAAAAAGATGTAATGACTCACCAGTGACTGGAAAGCCGCCGAAACCCCAAGACTCCTTGAGCGCCTTTGCCTCGCGCACAGTGGTGCTGGGCGAGATGACAACGGGGTCAAGGATGAAACCGTTCTCGAATCGCTTGACCTTGCGCACCATCTCGGCCTGGTCCTCTTGAGAGCAATTGTGGTGAATTATGCCCAAGCCACCCAGGAGAGCAATATGAATGGCCATGTTATGTTCCGTCACAGTATCCATGGGCGAGGAGACGAAGGGCGTCTTGAGTGTGATGCGCTTCGTAATAGGAGTATCGAGTGTGACATCGGCGGCAGGGAAGCCTGGGTCGCGACATCAGCTTGAGGCGTGCTGCTAGGCGGTGAGACCGGACATACCGATGTAGCCAGGAAGCATAAGGAAGTCGTTGTAGGTCAGGCCGCCGTTCTTCTTGGAGTCGATGAGGGTCTTGACATCGATTCCGTCGCGCTCGGGGTACTCGTTCTTGAGCACCTCGAGGGCTGTGGTGAAGTCCAAGGCATCGGATGCGGACTTCGCCATGGCGTCACCGTTGGTGATGGGCATAACGTGGAAAAAGCGACTTCTCAGGAATAGAAAAGTATAAAGGTGAGAAAGACTGAAGGAGATAGACCGTAGTTCGTAGAAGATCTATGGCCGGGCAAAAGCGAGGACTTTTCCCAAGAGAAGAAAGAAAAGAGAAGAAGCGAAGTCGCAGCACTTTTTTTCTGTGGGAGGAGCGGAAGATGGCGCTAAGATAAAGAGGGGTCATCACGTGCGGCTTATCTTAGCGCGCTGCTCGGCTGGGCGAGAAAAAGGCCTCGACGCGCCCGAGAGAAGCGACGGCATCGTGAGTCCTCGGGGCGCATCGGACAGTGGCGTCAAGAATGCGGTGCTAGATGTCAGAAGCCGGAGGACTGCGGATATCTGCATCGAGATGCTGCAGAGGACACGTGCAGCGCTAGGAAGGGGCGAGCTGGCCTACCTGGCAAATGCAAAAGAGGGTGACGATCTGCAGCACGACAGAAGTTGGCAGCTTGGGTGGACGAACAGAGCGATGAGCAGCACTGTGTGCTCAGTGGCTTGTTTCGCGCCGGCTGGCGTGTGACGGAGGGCGAGTGGGGAGTTCTGGGAGAGGCCGGTAGATGTCGTGGTCGTTGTCAAGGGCAACGGGCAACCACAAGCGTCGACCCCAGCAGCGGTAAACAAGAACTTCACCGCCGGCGCTGCCCAGTTCCAGCCTCCACGCCGAAGCGTTCCCAGCCCGCGCTGCCATTTCGCATTCCTCATTACTTTCTTTGGCCCTGCAGCGCGTGTGCCGACTGCTGGCCTGGTCCCCCGACCCTTTAGACACATTAATCGCGAGCGCGCTGTGCTTGTTGTGCACGCCGGCGCCTCCATCCGGCTTGCATTCTCACGGCCGCCAGAACGGCCTCAAAACCCTCGACCGACTGCGACCAACACACAACCACCGTCCAGCAGTGTGCGACATATGCATCGCCGCCATATTCTTGACATCTGCTCCCGACATATGTGCTCGCCATGAGCTATTCGTACTCCCCGCGCACCCGCCTCGGCCACCAGGCCGCGCTGCCATCACCCCTCCGCCAGACATCCATAGCCTCGAACGGCTCCTCAGCATCCTCGCGCGACTCGGACCGGTTCCCTCCCAGCCGGTCAAGCACCCTGTCCAGCAATGGATCCACTCCGTCCCAGCCCGTGACGCTGGGGCACCGCCGCGGTAAGAGCGACGGCACGGCACTCACTCGATCGCAGACCGACTACTTTGCCACCGAGGTGAAGGAAAGCAATGCGCTCGACTACACAAGCATGCGAAAAGCGCTGCGGCCGCTGCAACAGGTCCCGCAGAGCCCGCAGAGCTCACCCATACCCGAAAAGCCACCTCGTGTAACAAATAGTCTTACAAACAGTCCTACAAACAGTCCTACAAACAGTCCCGCCCGCACCCACACGCGCGCGCAGAGCGTCGACCCGGCACGCTTCACCTCGTACGACGGCTCTGTCTCGCCTCCCGCCAAACTGCGTCTCAACTCGTTCGATGGCTCCGTCTCCCCTCCTGCGAAACCGCGTCCCCTGTCCATGGCCGTCTCGCGCGCTGACTCGATACGAGCACCCGCCCGCGACCGTCCTCTCAGCACCGCTCACCTTGACAGACCTGAGCTGCAACGGTTCCAAAAGTCATCGACCGGCCACCTGCGGACGCTGTCGAAATTTGCAGAGTCTGCCTCGGAAGATGATTTCACCATCAAGTCACCAGACCAGGAGGTTGTTGGTCTTCACGGGCGCAGAAGGCTGCAGCGGACCGACTCTGCGCGTGGAAAGAAGGAGACCTCTAGCTGGTCGAGCCGGAACTGGATGGACCAACAACGGCAATTCTTGCAGGCATATGAATATCTGTGTCACATTGGAGAGGCCAAGGAGTGGATAGAAGACATTATCCACAAAGACATCCCGCCCATCGTCGAACTAGAAGAAGCACTAAGAGACGGAGTGACACTGGCCGAAGTGGTTGAGTCTATACAAGGACGAGCACTCCGCATATTCCGCGACCCAAAGCTCCAGTGGAGGCATTCGAACAACTATGCCCACTTTTTCAAGTTTCTCTCCGATATAGAGCTGCCAGATCTGTTCCGGTTCGAGCTGGTCGATCTTTACGAGAAGAAGAACATTCCAAAGGTCATCCACTGCATCCACGCCTTGTCTTGGCTTTTGTTCCGCAAAGGCATGGTCGATTTTCGCATCGGTAACTTGGTCGGAAAACTTCAGTTCGAGGACCATGAACTGGAAGCTATGCAGAAGGGCCTGGACAAGTCTGGAGTCAGCATGCCCAACTTCTCTGGCATGTCCGCAAAATTCGCAGTAGAGCCGGAACCAGAACCAGAACCTGTGGAGTCGGAGGAAGATCGCATCGACCGCGAGCTCTCTGAAAACGAAGCCATCATCTTGGATCTCCAAGCCCAAATGCGTGGAGCGTTGGTGCGCATACGCCTCGGCAACATGATGCAGCATCTTTGGGACAACGAGGAGCTCATTGCTGACCTCCAGTCGCGCATTCGCGGAGACTGGGCTCGCCAAATCGCCTACTACCGATTGGATATGCGACGCTTTGCGATTACGCTACAAAGCGCCGCCCGTGGTTTCCTCATCCGATCACGGTTACGAGGCGAAGAGGAATATTGGCGTGACAAGCAGCCGCAGGTGCTCCTGGTTCAGAATCTGTTCCGTGGACGCAAGGCCAGAGCAGAGGTCCAATATACGAAGTCGAAGATGCAGCGACATGAAAACGGCATTCGGGAATTCCAGGCTGCTATCCGAGGTGCACTCCAGCGACTCCGGGTTTGCGACCGTTATGAGCAGACACGCGACGCAGAGCCGGCTGTTCTGCATATCCAGTCAATGATCCGCGGTGCATTAGTCCGCCACCAAGTCGATCGAGACTATACCGAGCTCAAGGAGAACGAGAGCCACATCATCGGCCTACAGGCTCTTGCCAGGGCGACATTCATCCGAAACTCAATGCATGCAACTCAGGAAAGTCTTCGCCAGCAGGAATCAATGATTACACTACTACAAGCCGCCGCCCGTGGCGCAATCTCAAGAAAGCAAAATGCGGAAGTGCAGGAGAAGCTGGTAAGCACCGATGTCAATTGGTCCGATCTGCAATCACAAGCTCGTGGCAACTTCTTGAGAAGCCTTCTTACACAACAGCGGGATGCACTCCAAGCGGAGTTGCCTCAGATCATTGATTTCCAGGCTGTCGCAAGGGGAGGCCAACTCCGCTCGGAGATGGCGAACACCCTCGCGCAGCTCAATGACCAAGAGCCCACTGTCATCTCTCTTCAATCTTATATGCGTGGTTTCCTGTCACGGCAGGGGCACTTCTCTAATCTCAAGGCTCTACAGGCTCAGACCCCAACAATCCTCGATCTCCAGTCAGCATGTCGGGGTTTCATGCAACGACAGCGCACTTACGAAACTCTCTGTGCACTTAACAACGAGGAGGCCGAGATCACACAAATGCAGGCCTGCGCCCGCGCGGTGAACCTACGGATGCACATTGGTTTGATCCTTGCTCAAGTCGAGGAGCACGAAGACGCCATTATCGAACTCCAGTCCCTAGCACGGGGGATGATCATACGACAGAAGTTCGTTCAGAAGAAGAAGTTCTACAAGGAAAACATGGAGAAGGTCATCAAGATCCAGAGTTTTGTGCGTGGCCGCCAGCAGGGTGAAGCATACAAAAGCTTGACTACTGGCAAGAACCCACCTGTCTCCACCGTGAAGAACTTCGTCCACTTGCTGAATGACAGCGACATTGATTTCGATGAGGAAATCGGTATGTTGAATAGTCCGTGTTTCTGGACATTATTGACCCATCACAGAGTTCGAACGTCTCCGCAAGACCGTTGTTCAGCACGTGCGACAGAATGAGCTTGCCGAGCAGTACATCGACCAGCTTGACATCAAGATTGCATTGCTCGTCAAGAACAAGATTACATTAGACGAGGTTGTCAAGCACCAAAAGCACTTCGGCGGCCACGTAGGAACACTCCTCAGCAGCAAGGACATTTCCTCCAAGGATCCCTTCGATCTCAAAGCGCTGAACAAGAATTCGAGAAGAAAGCTCGAGCACTATCAAGAGCTTTTCTTTGTCCTCCAGACTCAGCCGCAATATATGGCACGCCTCTTCAAGCGTCTTCGCGAGCAAGGCCTTGCGGACAAGGACACGAAGCGCATCGAGCAGCTCACCATGAGTTTGTTCGGTCTTGCACAAAAGCGAAGAGAGGAATACTATCTACTAAAGCTCATGTCGCGCTCCTTGAAAGAAGAAGTCGATGGCTGCGCTACCGTGCAGGAATTCGTTCGAGGCAACTTTTTCTGGTCCAAGCTCTTCAACAGCTATGTGCGCTCCCCCCGCGATCGCAAGTTTTTGAAAGACCTATTTGGTCCATTGATCAAGGAGAACATCATCGACAACGAGCACCTCGACCTTGAGAGCGACCCAATGCAAATCTACCGCTCATCCATCAATAACGAGGAGCTATCTACAGGCCAGCGAAGTCGTCGCGATCCCAACGTATCGCGAGACCAAGCGATCAAAGACCCAGAGACTAGGGAGATGTTCATCCACCACCTTCAAGATCTCCGCGACATAGCCGATCAATTTTTCGCCATCACAGAGGAGGTCTTGCACAGGATGCCTTTCGGTATTCGATACATGGCTCAGCAGATGTTCGAAGAGCTTCGCCAGAAGTTTCCCTACGAACCACAAGAGCAACTGCTTCAGATAGCCGGCCACTGGGTATGGCGGTCGTACATGCAACCTGCACTCCTGCAGCCGCAACATTGGGGTGTTGTCGATCGAGGCTTGTCGCCTCTCATGAACAGGAATCTCGGGGAGGTTGCCAAGGTTTTGGGCCAAGTAGCAGCTGGACGACTTTTTGGCGGAGAGAACATCTACCTGCAGCCCCTCAACAGCTACATCACAGAAGCTATTGACCGGTTGCAGGATGTATGGTCAAATTGCAAGTCTCTTCGATCGATCTTCATCTGATAACGTCAACTAACAAGCCGGCAGTGATCAACGTTCGCGATGCTGAAGCCCAATTCGAAATCGACGAATTCAATGACTTGTTTGCTCGCGTGAAGCCGACACTCTACATCAAGCTCTCCGACGTCTTCGCCATTCACAACCTTGTTATCGATGACCTACCCACGCTCTGCCCCAGCCAAGATGATCCTCTTCGCGAGGTCATTCGCGAACTCGGCAGCGCCAAGAACAACGAGAACGAGCTTTTGCACGTCAGCTCGACCGAGATCACCTTGACCCTCAATCCCAAGTTCCACGAGCAAGAAGGTGAGCCAAACCTATTCGCAGTGCTCATCAATCGCTGACCATCCCAGATCCCGAGGCTGATATCAAGGCACTCTTCATGGAGACGAAGCGCTACATTCTATATATCATCCGCATCCAGACGGGCGCTAACCTTACTGAAATCATGTGCAAGCCCGTCACACCGGACGACGAGGATCGATGGGAAACCCTTATTCGCGACGAAATCGCCGCCCAGATGAAAGATCGCAATCGGAAGCTCCGCTCTTCCGCCGCCTCCACCTACACGACTGACATGGGATCTACCACCGTGCACGATCTGGACTATCCGTCCCTCAAGCGCTGCGCTCTAGAAAACATACTGCAATTACAGCGCGCTGGCCGCATCTCTCCCCACAATCACTACCAAGACTTACTTAACGCTATTGCCGTCGACATCCGCACCAAGCACCGTCGGCGCATTCAACGCGCGAAGGAACTCGAAGGGGTGAAGTCTACACTAGGCGCCCTGGACGACAAAGCGCACTTCCTCGAATCCCAACTCAAGTCCTACAATGACTACATCGAGCAAGCCATGATAACGCTGCAGAATAAGCGCGGGAAGAAGAAGTTCCTCCTTCCCTTCACCCGCCAGTACAACCATATGCGCGAGCTTCAACGCTCAGGCCGTGAATACCGCTTCGGCTCGTTCAAGTACTCCGCCCGCAACCTCGCCGACAAGGGCATCCTCGTCTCATGGAACGGGTTTCCTGAGCGCTCCTGGGACCGCCTCGACATCACCATCTCCTCCAACAGCACGGGAATTTTCGAAATTCAGGGCTCCCAGGGCAGCATGATGATCCCTGGTGCGTTCGCAGAGGTTCCGCTAGATGGATTGCTGCAGGCGCAGTTCGACAACCACCAGTTTATGAATTTGTTCTGTGGAGAGAACGCGGGTGCACCGGGTGTGCATGGGCGGAAGAAGAGCGAGGCTACAGGCGGGGAGGGCGTGGCAAGGGTTAATGTTAATTTGTTTTTGCATCTAATTTTCAAGAAGTTTTACCGGGATGAGTAGGCGGGGCCTGGTGTGGAATAGCGGGATTGGGTCGGATGGAGTGCAGGTGCCTGGGTTGGATACCTCTTGCTTATGCTCGTCTTGGTGTTTTCTGCTTGTTGCATAGCTTGGGCATGGGTCGGGTCGGGTGTTCTGTGGATACGATTCGATGCGATACGTATGCATTTATGGCATTATTGATGACCTGCTTTGCTCCACCACTCTACTTTTCTTTTCTTTGGGCAGGTATAATTAGGTGGAGTATGCATGTATATATATTGAGGGAAGGAATGAACAGTTGAGGCAATGCTACGCAACAAAACCGAGAATCAATGGTGGTGGCGTGATCATGTTGGCTTATTAGATAAGGTTACTTGACTTTATCTATAAGATCCTCCCAACAGGCAATCATTTTCTGGTCCGAGAGGATCCGGATACCTACTGATGGCGAGTGGGTCAGTACGTCAAATAAATACAAGAACATTTCACGCCACGACTTGGAAAATCCACAATCCAATCTCTGTGCTCGGCACAAAGACGTTCATTTTCTGCTCTAGCCCAAATCCTCCTGCCTATCGATTGTTGGTCCGGCTCGCGTTACCGTCCGTCCGTTGCCGCATACACCGCGCTAAAAAACCGCGACCGTAAACTAGCAGTATTATTTGCGCGCATGTACCCCGCTCCAGTACCGCACGCTCATCTACACCTGACCTCACCTCTGCGGCGCTGGGTTCTGTTAAAGCGACATAGACTTCGCATCTCGAAGCCATGGCTGCTAGCAGTTCAGCCTGTGCGCAGCCCGGGCAGGCTGAAGACAATCGCGAACGCGTGCGAGCCTATGAAGTTGCTGCGTAAGAAGAAGTGTACCATGTGCATACTCGTTCTATGCTAAGGGCACTTCTGTAGATATCTCTCCGCAGCCTCGTTTCCCTTCGAAATCGCAGACGGGCCGCCACTAAACCCCTTACCTAGCCGTGACCTCACGCTTAACGCTCTCGTCCAGCACGGTGTCCACCGGATGGACTGCGACCGTGCTTTTCTCTCCCTGATCGATAATCGCAACCAGTTCGTATGCGCTGAGATGACCAAGAGCCAGCCACTCGACGGTGGGGACCTAACACAACCTCTTCTTTTAGGTGCTTCTAGGATTCCTTTAGAATGGGGAGTCTGTCCTTATACCATGTCTGTCTTCCGTGGCATGCCTGTCGACATACCAGAAACCCCATATATCGTTGCTGACCCATCTTTCTTTTGCATCAAAGACTTCCGCCAAATTCCCTTGTTCGCACGTCGACCCTACGTCGCTGGATATCCGCACATGATTTCCTACATCGAGATTCCTCTACGCTCACTCTCTGGTCACATTATAGGTAGCTACTGCGTCGTGGACGACAAAGCAAGAGACTTTCTACGCCCCGACGCTTTGAAGACTTTGCGTGAAGTCACTTCAGCCATTGGCTCATATTTAAACATGAAAAGAATGGAAGGAAGCCGAACACGATCCGAGAGGATGATGGAAGGATTGCGCCAATTCATCGAGGCAAAACAAGAGATTGCTTCAGGACGTGACACCATTGAGGCAATCGGATATCGGACAGGTCCTTTTGACCTTGGAATCTCTAAAAAGACGTTCCCGACAAGCCTTCCCTCGAGCCAGACGAACATTTTGGACTCCAATCAATCGCTGGAAGTACGTGCCGGCCGATTAATGCTATCTGGCGTTCCTGACGAGTCTTCCTAGTGCCCGCCCAGTCTCATCCCTCTTGCTTTGCAAGATGTTTCATTGGACACACATGGCGCTATGCCCAATCTATCCAATGCGACGTCTCTTGCAAGCCCACAAGGTTCATCGAATCACGCAACTGGAGGCCGATTAGAACCCCAAAGTCCGCATCAACGAGATGCGTCGAGGTCGCTCACATCGGATCTAGCAACCCGTATCAACAACTTGTTTGTAGCAGCCGCGAACACGGCCGGCCATGCTATGGACCTAGATGGCTTAGCGTTCTTCGACGCAATTACTACTGGAGATCACAGTCCAGGCGATAGTTACTTGCGGCCAAACGCTGACGAAGAGGAACCCTTGGCGACGCCGCTTGCGGAGTACCGTGGAGACGATACAACCCGAGTGCAATCGGCTCAGCAGCCTCGGCAATCAGTTATCAGGCGTTTGACCGCTGAATACCCTCGAGGACATCTTTTCGTGGTCGATGAGCATGGTGTTCTTGATTGCGAAAGTAACCGAACTGCAAACACCGATAAACACTCCCGTGAGGACTTAGCTGCCTCTGCACAATGGGATAGCCTTCTCAACTGCATTCCAAATGCACGAATTGCAATATTCCTACCTTTATGGCATTACCAAAGAGAAGTTTGCTTTGCCACATGCTTGGCCTGGGTCAACGTCACCGCCAAAACCCTGGACACTGGTGATCTCAATTCGCTCACGGCATTTGGGAATTCTTTGATGGCAGAAGTGTTTCGCCTGGAAGCTTTGACGAATACCCAAGCAAAATCAGACTTTGTATCTTCTATAAGCCACGAGTTACGAAGTCCACTCCATGGAATACAAGCAACGACCGAGCTCATACAAGGCAGCATCAAAGATCCGGTCCTACTCTCTCTGGCAGACATGATTGAGTCATGCAGCAACACTCTGCTGGAGACTTTTGACCATCTTTTGGAATTTTCGAATATAAACAGCCGCGCAAGGGATGCACCCCTTGCCGAGGAAACTACTCCAACGCGTGGTGAATCTACCAATGTACACAAAAAGAAGGAAGCAATAGACATGAGAGCGCTGGTCGAAGATGTCGTCGACGCGGGATCACTACGTCATCTTTCCGACGTGGGACTGAACCACGGCCTCACGAAGAAGCGACGTGAAGCCACGGGAGGTCGAGAAGAACCCTTTCCGTGTGATTCTGTAATGATCACGACGAACATTGAGAACAACCATGACTGGGTCATATGTACAGACACAGAGTCTTGGAAACGGATACTGTTTAACGTTGTCGGCAATGCTCTCAAATTCACAACCTCAGGACACATCGAAGTGGCGTTGAAGATGCTAGAGCAAACTCATGCTGATTCCCCATGTATCAGTCTCTCCGTCACCGACACCGGCATAGGAATGAGTCCAGAGTTCCTCAAGTATCATCTCTTTGCGCCATTCATGCAGGAGAACAATCTATCCTCTGGAACCGGACTGGGCTTAAGCATAGTCAAGAGTATTGTTGACTCACTCAGTGGTAGAATCTACGTCGAAAGTCGCCTGCATCAAGGTACTCGGATCACGGTCAATGTTCCCTTCGAACGAGAGTCCGATTCTTTGAGTCGGTTGCACGTAGGCAGAACCCTCGCACAGCAGGATCGGTTGCAGGGGCTATCGCTAGGGTTGCTTAGTATAGCCCTACCCTATTCACCAGTTACCGAGCCCATCCTACGCATCGTGTCTCCGCCTATGGTATTACTGCGATCCATCCGTAACATCTGCGAGGGCCGGATTGGTATGACAGTGACGGACGTTTCAGAAAACGTGTCGCCGAACGTTGAGGTTCTCGTCATTGATGCGCATGCACTGCTCTCGGCTGACAGACTCGACTACGAAATCAATCCCTCTAACTTTGCCCCAGAGGCTACTCCACGTGCGATAGTGTTCCTGGGGGTCCCCGTGAAAGCCATCGCGAGAAGGTTCGGCAAAGGACACGCCGTTTGTGTGAATCCACCGATAACTGGACAAAAGGTCCTCGCTGGGCTTCTCTCGGCTCTGAACGAGGCTACTCCCCGAGGGCCAAAGTCTGCAATCTCCTCTTCGATCCCAGTCGAAGAAATGACATCTCCTGGACTCGACCAGGTGTATATCGAAGACCTGCTAGGAGGGAACAGATATGCCATGCCCCAACTCAAAGAAACAAATCGGTCTTGGAGTGGTGAGTTGGACCAAAATACCTTAGGTGTCACTGCCACCACACCCCAGCAGCCAGGATCGCCAAAGATGACAACTCACCAAACGGAGAGCACACGTCAAGCCACTTCAGACTCGGCCACCTCTTGTCGTTTCAAACGCCTTTTACTGGTCGACGATAATCCCATCAACCTAAAGGTCCTGGCTGCATTTGCCACACGGTTGGGCCTGACATTTTCCACTGCAGCGGACGGTGCCGAAGCAGTGCGCCTTTACCGCACAGCAGTACTCGAGGACGCAGATCCTTACGACTGCATATTCATGGACATCAGTATGCCAATCATGAATGGGTTCCAAGCAGTGAGGGCTATTCGTGATTTCGAAATACAGCAGGGAAATCTGTACAGCCATGAACCTGGTCCTGAAAGAAGCAAGGGCACATCACCCTTTCGCGCCTATGTTTTCGCGCTGACTGGACTTGGCAGCGATGCTTCCCGTAATTCGGCGAGAGCAGCCGGCTTTGATAAGTTTCTTTTGAAGCCCGTGAAGTTTAGGGATGTAGTCCCTTTGCTGAGTGCGATCCCGGCGGGGTAATTCAGACGTCTAGGTGATTGAGATTGTAAGCATTGAGATTCCCCTATCCTAGATATACCATCCACTTTACTTCATAAGCTATGATAATTGTCATGTTCAATACCAGCTCGGTATCTACCTTCTCACCTGTTGGATCGAAGGAACCTTGAAATCGTGCTCAACCCATACCCAAAGTTACGCTCGATGTATGATTGCACGGACGGCCAGATGTCGGTGTGAACGTCAAAAGTGAGATTGGACGCAATTCGTAGACCTAAGGCCTTAGCTGGACACTGTGCACAGGCTTTCATTTCTCACTACAACGAAAAAGACCGAATTAAGGCGATATCCATAACCAAAAACCAGTAGCAATTCCTAGGGTAACTTGACCTACTAGAAATTCCTATGTTATCCAGCTAATATTGTACGCCGGTGTTTATATCGTCGCGCGCAAGACCGTTGAATAGGCTCGGGGTCCGACCGGTCGGGCGAACTCTGAGGCTTACCGGTAAGTCTTGCAAGCAAATATCAGTGTAAATGAAACAACAGTTGTGAAAACCGGACCGCGATATCGTTTGCTCGCACGGACGGGCTTTGGCAGAGTAGAACAGTTCTGACTGGAACCCCGAGGCCCGCCTCCGCCCTAGCCTCACAAACTGTCGGTATCCTCCTCGTGATCTAATCCGCAGCCACGATTCTCCGACTCTATCATATGCTGGTTGATTGGCCTCATCTTCCCTCTGTGGTAGGGCGCACTTCATTGAAATTCAGAATCACTAGTATCCAGGGAGCCTCATGAGTTGTATCCAAGCCTTCCCGGTAGCTGGGTGAATTCAGTCGCCAGTATCAGCAATGAACAATTAGTTTTGGCGTGGAGTAATTTTTCGCCACTGCGTAGGATTGAGGCAGTGAATAGAGGGCTGTGCAATTGTAGTCAGCCACACGCGTCGAACAGCGCGGCAGCTGAAGTACGGATACCCCGCGCAGTAGGCCGCTAGTGCTGCCCACCACTTCAACCTTCGAATTTACTTCTCAGACCCATACAAAAGTGTGTTCAGAAATATCTAGTGAGAAATATTTGTTACGTCGATCGTTCCACTTCAAACAAAAGAGACACTGCGTCGCCGCCTGTGTCACGTGACGCAGCTTAGGTGGAAGATGCCACATCAAGCCGACAGGATACCCAGAGCCGCGCCGACAGGTGCTCTCGCTGAAGCAGAGTCGGACATCTGTGTTCGTCCCTTGCCCGTTGCGAGCCACCTCTGTGAAGACTGTAAAACCATGGGCGTTGAAATCAGAATGCTTTGTGAGGTAAAAGATTTCACGGTCTCCAGGTCTTGGGCTTCACTCCAGAAGGGTATGCAAGTTTGTGCATTCTGTAAGACGATAGCTTCTCCCTGGTGGCCAGGAGATAATATCGAAGGAGATGTCACTATCAGCAACAGGACGGGCCATTACGAATTCATCCCTCCTCCAACCAACGGTATCGATATGTTACACGTGAACAAAAAGCATGCGCACGAGATGGAGCTCGCAGTTTTTACACATGAAGGTTAAGATCCCCTACATTTTGTGGTGATTAGGATGAAATATCCAGGGCTGATCATGCACCTAGGAAGCCTCCCTGCTACCGCGCAACACGTCTCGGGTAGATGCATCAAAGCCGCTTCGGACCTCAGTCGAGCCAGTATTTGGCTGGATGAGTGCCTTCATAGCCATAACCACGGTTCGAGCACAGGTTTGTCTCGTCCATCAAGATTGGTGGCAGTCGGTACTGCAGATGGCACCGAGCCTATCAAGATCGTCGATGACTCAGATCCTGGCCACGAATATCTGACTCTCAGCTACTGCTGGGGTAGGACAGGCAACTTGTGCACCACTGCTGAGACTTATGAGACATTTTGCACATATATACCTTGGGCGAAGCTCCCCAAAACATTCCAAGATGCTATTCAAATTGCACGCAACCTGGGGGTTGGACATATCTGGATCGACTCCTTGTGTATCGTACAGGGTGACTTGCATGATTGGGAAACAGAATCTGCCAAGATGGCAGACATCTACAGCGGTTCACTTATGACCATCATGGCCGCCGCTGCCTCTGACAGTCACGGCGGATGCTTCCAAGATCGCTTTGCTATCCAAAACACGGTAGCCCTACCTTACACAGACGAGAGTGGGATCACAGAGTTCAGTGTCTATGTCGGTCATCCCCTACCCGGCCACGAAGAGACTGTGCAGTACAGCCCACTATTTCAGCGCGGGTGGGTGTTTCAGGAGCGACTGATGTCAAAAAGGAAGTTAATTTTTGGCGACGACCAGACCTATTGGGAGTGCAACACTATAGTTCTCTCAGAGTCGGATATCCGACGTCGGGACAAATTTGCAAAGTACAACCGTGTGCGCAACGATGCTTTCCGAATCTTCTCCGACCCGTCATATAGATTAAATTGTCCAAGATCACGGGCGAGGCTGTGGATGGATTTGGTCGCGGACTATTCTCGTTGCTTGTTGACGTACTACACAGACAGACTACCTTCGCTAAGCGGACTTTCACGATCTTTTGCTCAGCAATCTGGCGAATCTTATGTTGCTGGACTGTGGAGAGAGCAGATGCCTCACTCACTCTGTTGGCGTGTATACTACAGAATGTCCGAAGAGAGTTGCGAACAAGATTACTGCGCACCGTCATGGTCATGGGCTTCTGTGCCAGGCCAAGTCACTTTCCTTCCTGATTCTCACAACTGCGAGCTAGAGATAGTCAGTACAAACATACAACTAGCTAGTCAGGACCTGTACGGTGCATTGAGAACCGGCAGTAGTATCTGCGTGCGAGGCAGATTACGGGCTGCAACCCTGGTCAAGATGGAAAAAGGTCGACCTTTATTCTCCGAAATCGAGGAAGGACCCGTAAGTTGCAGATTCATGGATAGAGGAGATAGGAACCTGCCTCTCGAGCTTTTCTACCTAGAGATCTCACATACTTGTTGTCTCTTGCTGGAAGAAACAGCAATAGAGAAACAGTTTCGGAGACTCGGTCTGTCTGTTCTTTCAGAAGTTAGCCAAGAGAAGGACTATCTCTTTCATGGCCTTGAGAAACAGACACTTACCCTAGTTTGATCCAATCAGATCTTCCTGGGTCTACTCAGTCATCCATACTATTTTTTATCACTAGAATTGATATAGATGGGTACCCAAATGTCGTGGCAAATTTGTATAAGCTGCTACTACTTACATTGAATTGTCACCTTGGCTGCACAGCAGCACTAAGGCGTTCTTCCAGTCATCGAAAGTTATCGTTAACTCAGGAAATCTGAATTGCTTTCCACATTGAACATACCACATGCCCGGCTCAGTGCTCGTATTTACAGAGAATGACTGCGTTAACAGAGCATCATTGCCCGGAGTTCTCGCCTGTATCACGGACTAAGCTGAAGTTTTTTTCTTCTTCGGTGATCAGCAATATATACATGATTACTCGCTGACGCACTAAAGTAAACGATATGTCCAAAAGTAGTCGCACCAAACGAAGGCTGTATCGTTGGCCATTCTCCAATCTGGCGCATTGACATAGACGGAGCTGCCCAAAATGTTGCTTACTAGCGCAAAACCTCAATGACACCGAAACACCGCAATTGTAACCGCCCACCATTATTGCGCTCATAATCCAGACCATCAATCATTACGCTTTCGTTGGGAGAAATTTGCAAAATCATAATACCCCGTTTTCCAGGCTGATTTCGAGCACAAACGCGCATGCCGTCGACACCATGTACTTTACCTCCTCCTGTTCCAGCCCATTCGTCTGATCCGACCCATCCCATTTGATGCCAACAATCTTGCCGGCACCCTCTCCTTTCAGATCGATCACCACAAAGAGCTCAGCAATCTTCATTCCCGTCCAGCTGCGGTGGAAGTGCACTTTCAGCTTGCCGGAGTGGTCAGGCCCTTCCGAATATATAAACCATTTGTCGTCCGTTTCTCTTGGACGGAAACCCATGACCAGGCTGTACGCTTGCTCCGGTGTCAAAAACACATTCCACGCGACGGTTTGTACGCAAGGCGAGGCGGGGAAAGGCATTGTGCGCATGTCGGATGCTAACACTCTTCTTCGCAGTTCAACCTCTCGCCTGGGGGATCCGACGGCAGGTGCTTTTTCGGAAAACTCGATCGTTTGGAGGTGGGTGATCATCTTCGCGGTTGGGTCCTTGTTCGTGGGTCGTCGTTGCAGCTTGCGGGGCGATGGAAGGGGCGATGGCCCTGGAGAGACTGGCAAGACCGGCCTACTTTCTCGTTTTGAAAAGCGTCTGAACATGGACGTCGATCGCTTCAGGAGCGAAGGCGACTGCGGTTGCTCTACGGCTATCATTGTGTCGAAAAGAAAGAAAGCGCTACTTTCGTGAAAGAATGTGAGAATGGAAAGGGAACACTGAAAAGTCGTGGGTGCGGCGAAGTTGTGCAAAGAACGAAGAGGGTTGAAGAGGGTCGAGAAGGTGGGCCAGAGGCGCAAGACCATTTGTGAGCACTGCGAGGAAGCTCAGCCGCACCAGCTCCACGCGCTTCTGTTTTAAGACATTCCAATACGCCGGCCAAGCCCACAGCGGCCGCGACACAGGACTGGGGCCAGGAACTAGCGGAGGATTGTCCAATGGCGCGGGGCTTACGCCACCCCGGTGCGGTCGAGGTTACCACGCGTCGTCGCGATTCTCGAAAGCGCAGAGATCGTGGAGGGGCTGGATTAACGTCACCAGCCAGGGCGCCCGCAGGCACCGCGCGCCCCTTTCTCGCGATTTCACGTTCCTCAGCGCGACTTACGCTCCCTTTTCAAGCCTTTTCAAGGCGACAATGTAGGAATGGGCTGCGGCCAGTGCTACTTTGGTCCCAAGTCCAAGGACCGTATTCGGACGACGGCGTGGTTCGTATCATCGCTGCGGGAGCGGAGGGGAACGACGTAGCCGACCCCTCCCTGAGCGTTCGCTAATGGGTCGTTAGTGTTCAGCCAGGATCTCCGCCTCAAAACCAGACCCTGGATCTCGGCCCCCTGTACGTCAGTCCGATGCATTCGCAATATCGACATGCTGCAGCGCTTATCCTACTTGTTCAATGCGTTATCATGCTTATCTTCAGTGTTGATGTTCACGGAGGCTCTTCGCGCCATGAAAATTCGATTCCATCGCACGGGAGGAGCACGGGGACACACGTTTCACCAGTTGCCAGTTGAAGTGGGGTCTCCCGATAGTTCGTCTCCACAAGCATGGTCGCGCTGCTGGACCGTTGTCGGACCACCGATCGACTGTGCGTTAGATATCGTTGGCGCTTCAACGTTCACAACGACTGCACGTTACCATAGTAAGGGGGCACACATGACGATATGAAACGACAAAACTGTAGCACGACAGACAGGTACCTGGCCTTACTTTGGAGCAATCACTAAAGCGGGAGAAGCTCCGCCAAACACGTCATGTGGAGCATCAACAGAAAAGGCTTGCAGGATACGTACGACTAGCAGAGTGCCCATTCTATTCCATCATCACCGAGTACTCGTTATTTGTGTGCAAAGTCAATGGCTACATACCAGGCCATTGTGTCCAAAGGACATCTTCCGGCACAATCGCCAGCTGTTTCGTGCCGCTATGGCCTGGTACGCTGATTGAAAGGAAACCGGTCTCCTGGTGGCACGCCTCCGTCCTACTGGGCGACTGTAGTTTCGCTCCAAACCTTGACGCCCAGACGGCCAGCCTCTCGAATTGACATGACTCTCCATCCCCAAGATGCTCCCAGCCACGATGATACCAAACCAAAGTTGGCATGCGGTGGCGCCAACCTAGATGGATCAACCATCCGGCCACAAACGCATACAAGACGGCGTGTAGGACGAACGGTGTCAAGAGAAAATATATCGAGGCCTTGATGCCTGACTCCACATGCATTGCCTTCGCATTCGCTGTCAACCACAACTCGAAAGCCATGCCACATATCAACACGCAGGGCTGAACGGCACGTTCGAGGTGCGGCGCGAGAATGCGACTGTTCTTCCAGTAACCAAGAACTGTAGCCGCGATTCCGGTGGCCCCGCCGACCAAGCAGCCGAGAACGTAGTCATGTAATTCGGGGCAGGGCAGACTGTCAGGGTGATACTCTTCCAGATCGTAAACCCGAGCGCGAGCCGAAACCACATTCGAACGCCGAATGAGCTCACAAACGCGCACGTGACCGTCGTCAGGTACATGAAGAGAAACTTGAGATGGGTAAACCAGAGTGAAAAAGCCTCGCGCTTGGTGTAAGCTCCGCGATTGAAGAGCTGGGCTTGCATGTCAGAAACCCCATTTGCGATGAGATGTTCGTGGATTGCCAGGAAATCATCTCTGCGGAAGTACAGCCAGGAATAAGAGAAACGAGGCGCGTCGCTCAGCAGTCCAACGGGAGAGACATGGCTGAGGTGGTCCATCTTGCAAATGATAGATAGCATCTTCAAGACCGGTGTGGTGTACGTGACCAGGCTTGTGGAGAGCAGGCAGTCGCCCTGGTGGTGAGAATCGAGCTTCGCATGACATCTGTCACCGACGAGATGTCCACACGGATGCAGCTGCATTGGCTTGCACGGCGGCTCGTTATCTGCTAGGTCCGGTGGGTCATCAAAGTCGCGGAGACAGATGCAGCAGCGCTCGTTAGAGGGGACCGGATCCACCTTGGTGAGACATGGCTTTCACATAAGCTGAATGATATTGTGGAGATCGTCAGACTGGGGAGGTGCCATGGCTAGTCAAAAGACGCTTCTATGCTTTGGGTACGTATGCGAGTTGCTGGCAAAGGTTGACCACATGGTCTGGATGTCGAGCGAATTGCTTTGCCCAAGAGAAATCTCTAAGCATCTCTTCATATCGGCATGGTCAAGGTCAACTGAGCTTTGGCCTCAGTGAATTCGGCGATGGCGCACCGACCGTTGGAGGACATACACACACCTTTTCACGCTTGTGCTCAATCGCATGCATGGCAGCTTATGACTGAATACGAAACAGTAATTGTACCGAAGCATTATTGAGGATAATTCATCATTCTGAATCACTCTGACATACAATGGAGTATACCAAGATTTTATAAACGATATCCTTAAAGAGAGCGTACTTGAGGAAGATGGATAGGCCGCTCTCTTGGTTCAAGTCTGCTTTTATAGACATATCTGACTAGATTGTATGAGATTGTCACGCAGTGTTTGCAATAGAAACGGACTCATAGATCCTCTTGTCTGATTCTACAAACAAATCAGAGCTTCTATACCTGCTTCCAATCCGACAGCCTATCTGACACCACCAGTCCCAATTACATTACAAGTCAAGGGCCATTCCGCCGCTGATCACCGCCTCAAGAGGGCGTCCGGGGAGGGGACTTCTGTGCATGCGTGAGTACTCTGGACGTGGGGCTGTGTGTTTTTGTGTATGGGCAGTATTGGTAGAAGAAAAGAAGGAGAATGCTAGCTCCAGGGGTCAGACATAATCCAGCCATCGTAATACAACGTTCAGTCAGTACAAGACGCAACTAGGCGGACTCATCACCACAAAGACTCAGTTCGGACTCTACGTGTTTAGCCTAGTTTTGTCGCGAGGAGCTATCGCACCCTTGCCTACAATTGGTCTCAAATTTGTTCCTGAATAAACATCGTTTGAGAGTAAGCGCGAGGTGCCTTATTGATGAGCAGTCTTTCAAGAGTGCAGCAAATGGGACGTTATAAATTCTCGTTCGACATTATCATCTTCTTTACAATGACAAGGCGCAGCAGTAAGTGCAAAAGATTCTTATTCACGGACTTGATACACCATAGGCACGATAATCACTGGGCTCGATGAACTATTCTTTCAATCAAGCTTGTCAACATGATCCACTCCGCACTCCCATTGCTTTTAGGAAGTGCGCGTCCTGTCGTTTTATTGGTCGTGATTCTCAAACAAAGCGATGTATTTATGCCACCGAGAAGGGGCGTACAGGCTGCCACTCAATAGATGTTAGTTGGTAAGTAAAGTTTGATTGATCTTTCCAGCTTGTCCCATTTCAATCCCGGAGACATCATATGGCGGCGGGGACCGTCGAAAAACCTCAATCCCTATTCTACGGTGCTCTCATACATGCAGTGCCACATTAGAAGGCAATCTTGCTACCATCCCACTTTAGAAAGCTGGTACTGTCATGACGCAGGCCTTCGATAAAATTGACCATTCCGGCAATGCAAGTATCCATGTCATACACACCATCCCAAACGGTCAGGCGTGTCGCAACAAGACCTGGCCTCATGCGTATGATGGTCACGTTACGATTCTCTTTCTCCCATTGGCGAGCGAGTGTGACTATTATCTGATTGGCGGCTGCTTTCGATCGGAGTAGACGAGGATATCACCGTTGCTTATTGGGTTTTTCACCACATCAAGCAATTCGATGAAAACAGGAGAATATCAAATCAGAATGCATCAAAGCCGGAACTCCGAAAGAGCCTCAGGTCAACTACTCAGTATGGGCCGGATTGACAGAAAACGACGACGAGACCAACACTCGGGTCCAAACAGCGTTCGATGACTTCTTCGGAAGTAGCTCGGTCCCGATGAAGTTTACTAGAGCTTGCGAGGACTCCCCGCCGGCCCGAGGACGTAATGTACCGTACACTTACTGGAACTTTGGAGGCAGCACCAAGACTGGCGGAGAGATTCCTACGAATCACTCGCCGGTCTTCGCGCCGGCTATACAACCGACTCTCGAGGCAGGCGTGAGTGCCATGGCATTGGCAGCGCTCACGATCAGTGCTAGCTAGCATCAGCGAGTATCGGCGTACGACGGGCGGCATATATACTCGAAGAGCTACTGAGCTCGAGCACAAGACATTTGCATTGTGGGTGCGGAGGATCGAATAGGCAGAGGTAACGTATCACTATGGCTATCTCGTTGAATTCTGCTGGATATACCAGCGACTATACACCACGTGCTGGGGTGGAATGCAGACTTATTTCCGCCAATAGTACGTATAATTTCCCGCACTAATCTCAGGTTTAGATACGCTCGCTCGGCGCTAAACTTCGTTTATATCCACCTACATCCACATTTACATGCCGTCCCCGTCTATAGCCCAAAGCAATTGGCATAATACGTCACGCTCGCGGGCCAATCCGCGAACATGCCCCTAATCTTGACTTGCTGCGCCAGCACATCCAGCACAGTGTACATATCACCGTCGTTGTTGATCACGTCCTTGACATACTGGTAGTAGTAGTCCCCACCCCGGTTGAGCCACCCGCTCCGCTCAAACGACCACGTGATAATGTCCATGCCAGCCTTCTTGACCGCAATTGCATATTCCGAGGGCACAACCTTTTTCGTCACTGGATCAACCTTTGTCAGCGCGAAGAACGCCGGCGCCATAATCTTCACGCCCTTCTTCGCGAGGTCCGGGATCGACGCTGTCGCGTTAGCGTAACCCGCTGGCGTGTCGACACGGCTGTCCAGATACACCGCCTGCTTTCCGAACTCGGGCTCGTGCTTGATCCAGTAGAAGATGTCGTCGGGAAGGAAGCTCTGCGCATAGACGCGCTCGGGGTCGATTTTCGCCTTTTTGAACGCGTCGATCATGTCCTGCGCGTACTGCGTCTGGGTGTAGCCATCGTACGGCATGGGGATCTCGGGGGTCTTGAGCTCCGGCGTGAACTTCAGACCATAGCTGTCGACGATGCTGATGTACTCGTTAAGTGTCATGAGCGTGCCGCATGTCGCGTACAGGTCGGTGCGGAAGTAGGGGGTGCCGTCCATGTACGAGGCCACTGTGGTACCGTTGGGGTTGAAGCCATCCATCTTTGCGCAGAGTGTCTTGAATTCGGCTTGTGTGATGTCCGAGGTGCAGCATTTCGCCTTTGCAGGCTGGCCGTTGGCGGCGGGCTGGAAAGGCGTGGTGCACTTTGATGCGAGCGTGGTGTTGAGGATGTTGGTGGTCGTGTGCAGGTCGCATTGCGCGTGGCGGCACACAAGCTTCTTGTCTTTGGTGAAGGCAACGTCGCATTCGAGAATGCCGGCGCCCTGCCTCCTGGCTGCGGCGAGGCCTTCTGTTGTGTGCTCGGGAAATTGGAGGGAGGCGCCGCGGTGGGACACGACGAAGTCAGATGGCTTGAAGGGGCCTTCAGAGCAAGACTGGAGCTTCGTCTTCAAGGGACCGTCGTCCATGTTGTTTATGAGGTAGTACGGGCGATCACCGACCTGGATATTGAGCTTGGAACTGCCATGACCGGTGCTGTAGCCATTGGAGGGAAACGCGATGGCAGAAGTTGCCAGCAGCGTAAGAGCAACGACGGAGTGCATCTTGAGCGATTGAATAAGCTCGCGTGTTCTTATAATGACGGGAAACCAGACGAATGCGTTCCTGCAGCGCGCACTGCATCTCCCGGGGCCATGGCCCTTTTTATCTCTGGTGTCCAGATCCGAGCTATGCGGTAGCTCTCCCAGGGCCGCGGAACCAGAGACCAGGGAAGCTCCAGAGGTCCTGCACGTGGGAAAATTTCTGTCTTCTTCGGCTCATGGTAGTATGCAAGAGTGCGGGAGCAAGTGCTAAGGCAGGAACGCCGAACCGGGATGTAGCTAGGCTGCCTAGCATGCCAAGCGCACGTGGGCTTCTACTGGCTGGTGGACGGTTGCGAGATCTGGGAGCGACTGTAAGTGGCGCACATACCGCGCGGAGGTACTGGGATGCTGGATGTTGCGAGAACGGGTTCGTGGGAAATCAACACCTCACAATCCCAACGAGTTGCCTGATTGGGAAATTAGCTTACAGCTTTTCGTCTACACTAAGTCGTGGCTGGTGAAAACTCGAGTCCAGGTCAGGCTTTACTGCTAAAATTGTAAAGCTCTCCGCTTGTAAATTCGTGTTCAGATGCCTACATGCCCCATCACCGTCATTACTGCCACAATGCCACGAAAGTCACCATGTGTTGCCGGCTAACGGCACTCCACATGCCCTAACGAATGGCGCACAAGGCCGTGGTATGTTCTATATCGCTGTCAAGAGCCCGCAAAACGTGAGAAGGGCTCGCAGAGCGCCAAAAGGCATCAAAAAGGCACCAAAAGCTTGTCGCTGGATTTACGAAATCGCATCATGGAATTGCTCCTCCTCCTCCGTCTCCGAGTCCAGCCTTCGTAACGCGTGGCCCTGTCCGGGCTCACCCTTGACAGAGTTCAGCAGTTTGCTAGGGGGCAGATCTTCCGGAAACTCCTCTTGAGATTTCTTCCCCAAGTGGAGGTGCTCGAACTGGGAGGTCGCCTTGTCGAGTGGGGCTTGACGAGGTTTGGCCGCAATCACGTCTGCATCCTTGTTAGGAGTAGGGTCGCTGAGATCAATGAGGTCGCCGAAGGTTTCTTGCTTTGGCTGAGTGTCGGGATTTGAGTTACTGACAGCTAGGTTGGCGTTGCCTTGGACCGGGTGGCTTGGCTGAATGATGTGGTTACCTGCTGCAGCTGGGTCATTGGTATTGGCCCGAGATAAAGCAGGAATGCTAAATTTACGGTGAGGTGCTTGGCCAGGGAGAATGGCTGCGATATCGAGAATCTGTTTCACCTGCTCTTCAGGGGTTTTGGCGTCCCTACGTTAGTGTCAGCTGAGTGCTTAGTGAAGACTCATGGCGATACTAACACTTTAGCATTGATGATCCAGTCGAGATCCTCCTCGCCCTCCTCGCTTCCACCGTGGCCGCCTTGTACACGGCGAAATAGCTGTGGATGCCAGTCCACGCCCTCGTTCATCCGCTTCGCAGCCTCTTCTCTTTGCCGATCCTCGATTCGTGCCTTTTCGGTGGTTGCTGTATCTTGGTCCTTCTGCTTGACGGCCTCAGTTACCAAATGCCATAGCTTTTGCGATTCCCGCTCGTCCTGCTCCTCGAGTGGTCGGGCTTTCGGGTACGAGGGTTTGGCGTACGATGCGTCGAAAAGGAGCTGTTTTTTGCCAGTCTACGACAGGAATCAGCTGAAATCTCTTACATGGACGACTTGCAAATAACAACAGCTGGAGGTTGGTTGTCCTACCGTCAAGTCCTTGATCCACATCTCCTCGTTCCAAAGGCCCGAGAGCTCAAAGAGCTGCTTGCCACTCTTATCCTTGATGAAGCCGCCAATCGCGTTGTAGGTGCCACCAAAATATCCCTTGGTCTTGAACTCAATGTCGGCTTCCATGCCTGTCTCTGGGCACCGAATGTAGCTGTGGTCGCCAAGCTCATACTTCATCTTGCCGAAAAGGATGCCTCGCGCATACATGTTCGGCTGCGTAACGAAGCTGCAAAACGGTCAGCTCCGCGCCAAAGCGGTTCTGTCAAACCTACAATCTCTCGCCCGTATTCAAAAACCGCATCACTGCGATGCCTTCCATCATACTAGCTGCCGAGTTTCCCAGGAACTTGCTCCTCGGCTTCAACGTGCCATCTATACGGATGTGGTGTTCGGGTGCCATGAAAAAGTAGCTGGACTTGGGCGGGTGGTGCGACGTTTGTTCTGAGATGTAGTAACCTCGTGTGCCGTCGGCATAGTCCCAGTATCCTGTGAATATCTCACCAAGGATCGGGTTCAGCGGCTTCTTTACGCCTCTGCCATGATATCAGCTGGTGCTTGTGGGTCAAACTGGCGCGCATACGGAGGTTTGATGTGCCAGCCGCTCAAGTAGAACTTGGTCACTGCTACGAATCGATCGATGGGGTCCTCGATCTGGGTCATGGGCAGAAGCGTCTCGGGGTGGGCCATGAAGCTACATGGACTGTCAGCACTTGACCACTGGTATCATCTATGAACCTCAAACCCACTTGGTTATCCTCTCCAGCATGGACCTCGGTTCCAAGATGAATGTAGGCAGCGTTACTCGACTTAGGTCCGCGCCGGGCCGCAGCTGCGATATGATGTGGGTGAGCACTGCAATTAGTTCCTGTTAGCCAATCTTCGCGAGGACCCAGAAAGCGGAGGCGCTGCGTTGCAGACATACTGTTGCCCTGGTCCGCGTCTACCACTGTTTCGTCCTCCTTTGTGACTTCATCGCCTCTGGTCTCGTCTGTGGACGAGCGGTTGCCTGGAACACGGTGTTAGGGGCTGAATCGGTGGACCCTCGCCGTAAACCACGCGAGAACGGAGGCAGTAAGCGGTGCAGAGACTCACTTTGCAGCGAGTGCCGCCTGTGTCCGTGGCCTAGTACCATGCTGGGTATCGCTATGAACAAAACCGCTGCAAAAGATAGTTATGAAAGGGCTGTGCAAAGGCAGACAGCAAATGGAGCAATTCCGGGCAGCTCAGGCAACACTAGACTCGCCGTTGTTGGTGGACGAGAGCAGCGCTGCACAGCCAACGAGTGCGACCCTGTCAGTGAGCGATGACGGAACGCGTGGGCGCGGGGGAAAAAATTGGCGGCCCGGGCTCTCGTCCCCGCCTCGTCACGCCGTGGTGTTGTTTGGGAGCGCAGCTTGACAGCACAAAAGACGCCTTGACACCTGCTGTGCGGGGTGTCGTCTCTGCGCATATATACAGTGAGGCGGCGTCTGCGTCCACTCACGTCACTCTGCAAACGACGGAGCGCAGCTGACCGGCCGCAGACTCGGCATCGTCGGAATCGCGACGCTCCATCGGAGGAAAGGCAGCGACCCGTTCAGCAAACATGCGACGCACGGAGCGCTCATCGTGATTTGGTGCCTGGCCCAGTCTACATACATATACGCGCGTGCTTGGCCAACAGTGAACAAGGCCAAGCGCGCAAAGGAAACCGGGTATCTTCCATGACCGAGCTCCGCTGCTACCAAGATATCCGCCTGATCCCGATCCTAATACTGGGATTGAGCATGGCTGCCAACGCTGCGCCCTCACCAGCTGAGCGACTCGTCGTCCTTTTCGATGACAGTCACGCCAGCCTCGTCGTACTCTTTCAGTACCGAGTCCATGCTGGAAGGGTCAACCGCCCTGGTCGCCTCCCCAATGACACGCGTCTTGAAACCTTCCCTCGCTGCGTCCAGTGCCGTATATCGCACGCAGTAGTCTGCGGCGAGCCCAGCAACAAACACATCTGTGATCTCTGCGTCGTGGAGCAACTTCGCAAGCCTGCTCTTGCTCACGCATGGGCTCTTGAAGGGGTCTGCGAACGCAGAGTACATCTCCACGCGTGTATCCTGACCCTTCTCCACAATCTCGTGCACCTTCGTGACGTTCAGCTCGGGAAGCAGTTCAGCCCCCTTGGTACCCTGTACGCAGTGATCCGGCCATAAGCGCGTTTCCTGGGTCTCAGATGGGTTGAGCGGATTTGCGATGGTGATTGTGGATTCGAACGGCTTGTTGTTGGGCGCGTCGTGGTTGGAGGCAAAGGAGATGTGGTCCGGCGGATGGAAGTCCTTGGTGGCTACCTTGATGGCGAAGGGGCGGTCGAGCAGCTCATTGAGCAGAGGAACGATGTCGCGTCCTCCCTGTACAGCCAGCGAGCCATTCTTCACACTACCCATCAGCGACCCTCAGGTATTGCGTGCATACGACTCACGGGCGGGCAGAAATCCTCTTGCACGTCTACCAGGACGAGCGCGGGCTTGAACCGTGACGACATTGCTTCAGGCAGGTGCGAGTGTAGTGCTGGCGATAGGGAAGGCGCAGATGGCTGGGCGACCGCGACAGAGCGTCCTTTCACGCTATATATGCGGCGGCATCTACAAAGCAGCAAACGGCGTCGTGCTCCGCCAGCTTGCTGTGCCAGCTAATCTTCATGGCGGCGGCGAGCACCGAACCATGTTGCAGGCGCAGCACGGCAGGCAACGGCGTAGCGCACAATCAGGCGGCTGAGTCATCCGAGCTTCTCGCCAAGCTCGCATGGCACGATCGCTGGTAGGACCTCACGCCAACTTTGCAGCTTCGCACCACCACGTCCCTCTCCGCTCCACCCCCAATTGCGCCCGCCATGTTTGTCCAGCGCTCTGCCTTTGCCGTCGCCCGACGAGCTGCCCCCCGCGCCCTCGCCCGCCGCACCTTCACCACCTCCTTCATCCGCCGTGAGTCGCGCAGGGAGCTCCGTCATACGATGCACTTCTGACGTCCATTGCAGGCGATGCGAACAAGGAAGCCGGCCACTCCGCGGACGCTCCTAGCGTCGTAGAGGGCTACAAGAAGCTCGACCGTACGTGCTGCCCGCCGGCTGCCCGACAATCGCGCTACCGAGCTGCGACCCGGGATGCCGCGACTCCCTGAGGAAAACGCCAATTGCTAACCGCCACTGGTGCATCTAGAGATCAAGACCGAGGCCGACCTCCTCCCCCCAGGTGCCAAGCCCGGTACCGTCCCCACCGACCTCGAGCAGGCCACCGGTCTGGAGCGTCTCGAAATTTTGGGAAAGATGCAGGGCATCGACATCTTCGACATGAGGCCATTGGATGCTAGCCGCGTCGGTACGTGCTCAGGGAAGCGCTGAGAATGAGGCGCGGAAGCTTTGGGGATAGCGCTGATGGATTCTAGGCACCCCCGAGGACCCCATTGTTGTCAACTCGGCTGGCAACGAGCAGTACGTCGGCTGCACTGGCTGCCCCGCCGACTCCCACAACGTTCTGTGGATCACCGTAAGGACATCGTCTGCTACAAGCACCCAGGAAAGAGTGCTAACGCTGGCCAGTTGACCCGCGAGGAGCCCCAGGCCCGCTGCATGGAGTGCGGCTCGACCTACAAGATGCACTACGTGGGCCCGGCTGAGGACCCGCACGCGCACGGCCACGACGACCACCACCCCGTGAACCTGCACCCTAGGCCCAAGGACATGTCGGATTTCATCAAGCCCGAGTACCTCCACTCATAAGCGGGATGCGATCATGTTATAGAATCGGCGGTGTATCTATAAACTATGGAGACGTTTCCCGTTACCTCCTGCAACCTTGTAGCATAGTCAAACTGGAGGCTTTCCTTTGTTCCTATATTTGCACTCTGACATGTGATGCTCCTACTAATTGGATCGTATGCGATCCCCCTGGCTCGGTGCAATTCGTGCCTTGGGCACTTCTTATAGCAGACGGGAACGCCAATATTCCTTCACGACCCCTTCAGCGCCATCGTCCCTAAAATCACACTCTCCATGTCCTTTCGCTCATCCCGTGCCGTCCCGTCCCCATTCACATCCGTCCCCTTCTTCCCCTTTCCCTTGGCCCCGCCCTCGCCCAGCTTATATATCTTCCGAATCTTGCCCACATCCGCAAACATACCCACCTCCCCCATCTCCTCTGCAATCTCTACACTTTCGCCCTCAACCACCATCCCCAAATGCTTCGCTACACTCTCTGCGGTGACATCCTCCTCCAGCCCGCCAAACTTGACAACCAACACGTGCCCACTCTCATCGCCCATGCCAACCTTGCGATACGCCTCCCCGATATTGTTGTTCGGGTGCAATCGAAACACGAGTTCCGAGTGCGGCGTGCGCGTCCTGCCTCTGCCCGTGAGGTGTGCGTGGAGGGCGAGTTGGGCGGCGAGGAGGAGGTGCGTGGGCGAGAGGAGGACGGTGGCGTCGAGGAAGGCGTAGTCGAAGGCGGAGTTGGAGGAGAGGAGTTGAGAGCGGAGGTGCGGCGCGTTGGTTACGGAGCAGAAGAGGGCGATGTGGACGGGGTGGGTGGGGTAGTGCGGGAGGGTGAGGGTGTGGATGTGAGCAGGTGGGGATTGTGAGGGCGGCTGGGATGCGGTGGCTTCCTGGGGTGGTGGATGGGTTGATATGTTGTCTTGCGGTGGTGATGAGGTTGCCATGGTGACTGGGGCTGGCGATGAGGGCGCCGTGGTGTCTTGGGGAAAGAGGCGGGCGTAAATGCCTTCGAGGAGAGCCTTCAAGGCTTTGCCTTGGGATTCAGTGACCTCCAGGATGGCGGATGTTGGGGAGGCAGGTGCGGTCCAAGCGTGCTTTCCAGATGCAGAGCGGGTGTGACCCGTGATATTGGTGGAGTCGGCGCTCTGCCGTGGCCTGGCTGGTTTGACTCCGGGAAGACAGGTGAGTGCAGTCTAGAGGTTGATCTTCCGTCCCTTTGATGGTAGGTGATGTTTGAACAGCCGATTCTAGGGCCCTCTCTTGTGGCACCACGTGAAGAATAAGATAACGTTCGTGGCAAGAATTGCCGATGGATCTTGTCAGGATTTCACAGAATTGGTCGAACCTAGTTCAGCGACCAAGACGGCTGACCTGAGTCCGCTTTGTGTGCGTGAAATCCACGCGATGATCGCCCTGTCGTGCAACAAGTCCCACCCTGGGCGCTCTCCCAGATCCGGGATGACGGAGACGACGCAGTAGCTGCCGTGGCAGAAGTCACCGGGCGCAGATGGTCGCCGGACACCCGAGTGCGTGAGTCTTTCCAGCGTCGAGCCCTTCGACTCGGGCGCCGGATCTGGCGTAGTGGGGGGTTCAAAGAGGAAGCGACTTGGCGGGGCGCTTGGGGCAGCAGTTCGCAGGCATCTTTGGAGGAGCAACGGCGAGGCGTTGGACGGCGAACAGTAGGGCACTCGTGGGCGGTTGCAGGGCTGCTGTTACGCGGGGACGGCGCGAGACAGGCTGGCGCCATGACGGAAGTGGGTTGACGTGCGTCCGAGTATACCGTGGACGGACTTGAAGCGCGTGGCACACCCAGTCTCCCCAGCGGACAGGGCCTCTTCGCCTCTCACTTGCCGCCCGCCCACCGCGTCTCCTCTGTACTCTCGCTTCCGTGTGCATTGTCGTACTGCTTTTCGGTATGCGCCTCTACTGACAGCGCAGACCTTGGCCCGGCAGCCCGCAGGTGTTGCGCGCAAGCTTTGCGGGAAATTCCGTCTCTCCCTCCCCAGATGGCCTCCACGAGTAAGAGGATGCCGGACGCCTCGCCCGACGTCGCACTCTCCCGCGCCGCAAAGACAGCCAAAGTCGAGCCGGGCCTCGCGCAGAGCCCCCAGGCCTTCCCGCGCCCGTCGCCCAACGACTTCTCGAGCCATGTCAAGAAGCGCCTCGCCGTGTCGTCGCGCACCGGCCAGGCGTGCGACCGTTGCAAGGTACGCTGTCACCACCCGCGCGGCCGCGATGCGGCACCGCTTGTTGCGATTCTATGCTGACGTGCCTCGAGGTTCGGAAAATCCGCTGCGACCCAGTACGTCCGCCACAGTCTCTGCGATTAACCTCGCAGCGCACCGCTGACCGCGTTCCAGCGACCCGAAGGCTGCTCGCCGTGCGCCCAGAACCGCACGCCATGCAAGACCACCGACCGCATCACCGGGCGCGCGACGACCCGCGGCCAGGTCGAGGCCCTGGAATCCGAGAACAGCTACCTGCGCAGCCAGGTGGCCGAGCTGCAGGCCCAGTTGAAAGAGCTGGGCGTTGAGCCGCGAGCCACGCCGAGCTACAGCAGCACAGCGCAGTCGACCGCCGCGAGCGACTGGGGAGACGCCCCAAATCGCCGTGCCAGCACCAATGCCAGCACCACCGCCAGCACCTCGCCCCCGGCAGGCTATACGCCCGCCAGCTCGACGTTGGAGACGAATCGCCCCCTCCCGCAATACAAGCACCAAGACTTTGGCGACAACTATCTGGGCGTGTCGTCCGCCGACTCCTTGCTCAGCAACATCAGCGGCACGTCGCTGTCTGTCTTCGGCCATGACATCGACATCACCGACTTCGTCGACGACAAGGACTACGACAACTCGTACATGTCGTACACCTACGTTATGCGCGTAGCGCTGAGCCACACGCAACCCGACCCCGTACCGCTACCACCGTATCAGACGCTCAAGGAGTATTGCACTTGGTGGTTTCGATCAATGCACCCGTACATGATGCTATTAGACAAGACGACTTTGATGAAGTTGGTGTGGCGCATTGGCAACGAACCAGGATTCAAGCCTTCGCCGTCCGAAACCGTCTGTGTGCACATGGTCATCGCTTCCCTCAACTACCAGATATCGGTCCGGAACCGCCAAGAAGATATGATGGAAGAGTCGCATCGCCACTACCGATACGCCTTGAGTTTCTTCAAACACCTCTGGCTATCACACACATGGCGCGATGTTCAGGCCTTGACCTTGATCGTCCACCATCTCCGCAACTTTCCCAAACCTGGCGCCGCCTGGATCATGGCCTGTACCACATTTCAATTGGCGATGGAGCTTGGCTACCATCGTTCATCCAAAGCTTGGGCCAACAATGGCCACATGGATCCTTTGGAGGTAGAGGTCCGAAAACGCACTTTCTGGGCACTTCATGCTCTAACAGTAAATATAAGCGGGAAGCTGGGCCGGCCGATGCCCATACACATGGACGATATCGACGTTGAATTCCCCGAACCCTCCAATGACTGCTTACCAGGCGAAGAGGTCGGTCAGGATGATTTCCACAAGTGCTCGTTTCAGGTCGGCATACAAGTCGCCAAGTACACTGTGCCTCTATCACAGTTATATCGGAGCTTGTACTCGATCAACGCGGATCCCGGTGCTTACGAGGAGACGTTGCAGCGCCTAGAGGCTGGCATCAAACAGTGGAAAGAAGATATGCCACCCCAATTGCGAGATCCGGCGACGGCATCACAGGAAGACTACATCTTTGCTGTCTACTTGGACTATTGGTATCGCGAATACCAATTGCAGATGTACCACCCAGCCATGTGTCGTTCCGAGGACCCGACCGTTCAAGCTGCCAGTTTGGCAAAGTGCCTGGTTGCCTGTCAGAAACTGTTGCGGTGTTCCACTGAAATGCGGAAACTTCGGAGCTTGGACAACATATGGATCAACATCGTTACGTACATTGCTGCTATCTTCACGACCTTATTTGGCCACCATCAGAAGCGAGAGACACTCACCTCGGCCGATATGGACACCCTCAGGAGCGACATGGGTGAGTGGATTGAGTTGATCAGCGAGTCGGGCCAACTACTGGGTAAGTGCAGTGAGCTGAGCATTGAGCGTAGCACTGACACAAGGGCAGGATTTGGTGATAAGTTGAAAGATGCCATCTCCCAGATCATTGACCGCTCGTTGAGTAGCATCAATGCAAGCATCGTGAAAAGAACAGCAAGCCAATCACTTGCTCAAGTTGCGCTGCACGCGCCGCCAGAGCAAACTGCGGCATTTACTACGCACACGAACAGCAACCATCGACCTCCATATTCAAATGCCGCCGGAACGGCGGCTGCTGTTGCCGTGGCGGGCTCGACTCAGTCCCAGAGCTATGCTACCGGCCCTGCAAATGTCGGATATACATACAGCAATGGACAAGCTGCACCCACTCTACAACAAGTAGCTCCTCACCATGGTCAACAGCCTTACATCCCTGCCCAAGAAAGTCCAATGGCCGCATCGCACGCTGTAGCGCTACAACAAGCTGCGGCTACCCCACGCACGGATGATGCGTACGTGTTCGGCAATTCGCACTTGACCACCAACGGCCACTCTCACCAAACCAGTTATACGAATGACATACCTCCAGTCGATTGGCATCAGTGGACACGGGCGGCCATTGCATACAAACATCCTGGACCACAGGGCGAGTACCTCAACAGCATGCGCACACATGGCAGTGTCAGTTATGAAGGCGGCCAAGGCGGGCAGATGTCTGCTGTGGGCGAAGAGAACGTTCTGCAGACGCTCGGTTCAAACAACTGGCCGGAAATGCAATTCGTGCCCCCCAACAATGCTTTTGGCAGCCAGCAGTACAGCGGCCAACAATAGCAACAACCTAACACTCTCCCATGGGGGCTCAAACGAGGACCCGGTTTCCAATAAGTTCACCATGTTTCTAAGCGAGTGTGGGTTCTAGCGAAGGCGAAGCGGCGAAAATGATGGTTTCAAAGTGTTGCACCCAAATATACATTGGTGCTCTTTTCCCTTTGCCTCGGGATCGCAATATGGATCTTTGAGAATACGATGCCAAGATGCTCGGCTTCGGCTGTACTATACATAATTCATTCTGGGCGTGTGCACATAGACGGCGGTATGGGGATCGGTGCATAGTTTAATTGAAGGGAGACACGGTCGCTTCTTTGTCGTTGTATGAGGAGGCGAAATGGAGTCATGGAGGTCGATCAAAGCGAATATGTAGTGGCACGGGAGAAACATGTGGCACAGAAGTGCTGCGTCTGGATACCGTCTAGATACCTGCTGTATGCAGCCAACGAGAATACGTTGCAGACGAATCTAGGATTTGCTGCCGTGCACGTGGACCCACGAATTCATCTTGCATACACGTGCATGTTGTATTACGTTCGTTTTCCCGGGAGCGGTCAAACGCCGCAATGGCATCGCCACACGGCCGTCTATTCCCGCAAACCGTTCCAAGATCCCGTATTCGCGAATATGTAAACAGAACGCTCGTCTTCCATTCAATCATCTAGACGGCCCGCGGATCGGTGGCTGCACGTCGTGTGGTGGACGCTGATATTGCGGCCTGTGGGGCTGCGTAAGTCTAGAACCGATGCAGCAGGTGGAGGCCGCCTTGGCAGGTACGACATCCCCGCGAATGGAAGGCGGTGATAAGCTGCACATAAGCGCATGGAGGACGACTCAGGGCTTCTTTGGACCTTCCTCGAGGGGCGGAGCGCCCTCTGAGCCAGCTTGTCCCTGTGTTTGCTGCTCAAGGCCTGTTGTGAATCGACATTGTGGAGTTCAACCAGCACCAGGGGAACGGCGAACACGCCTGTCTCAACCCCAAGCATAAGCAGCGCCAAGGCGACTCACCAGGGACAACACTACCCGCGTAAACGCACGCTGTCGGGCGTAATACACACACTCGCCTGTGTCGCGGTGGCGGCGGCGGCGCTACACCGCGGTAAACACATCCTGGTCGCTACGACCTTCCTCAGCGAGCAATATGGACGATCTGCGCGTAACGTATGCGCCTCGGCCCACCGTGGGTAGCCGTGGTAGGGGGATTTGCGCTGATTGCGCCGTGACCACCGAATAATGTCAATCAATGGATGGATTGATCCGCTTGCCTGGGTTGGGCCCGCCATCGTCCTCGTGCGCTGCGACATGGGTGGAGGAGATCCCGGGTGATTGCTCGCTGGAGCTAGTAACAGGTATATATGAGGATGCTTGCCACTTTTTTTTTTCTGCCAGCGATCTACGGCTTTTGGGTGTGGATTTCTGCCCTAAAAGCGAGAGCTGTGAGGTAGACGTTTGCCAAAGTCACCGTCAAGGCAATCAGCGTGAAGAGCATTCGACACGATGCGGTCTTCGCTCTCCCTCAAGGCGCTGGCCTTCGCGGCGGCGGCCTTGAATGGTGTTGAGGGTATTGATCTGGCGAAGCTGCGGAGGTATGGCGAGATGGTAAGCCATGTTCTTTCTCACCATCTGTTCTTCGCACGATTTCATAGGCGTTTGCTGTCTCCTATGGATTGTCTTTCTCGTGTCGAATTGACGCGAGGATTGGATCCAGTGCAGCTCCAACCCTATCCAAGGGAGAGTACTAACAGCTCCAGGCCGAGTCCGGCATGTATCCCGACGGCTCGCCCATGCACTCCCCCGAGATTATGGCCTCGATTCTCTCCGCGCCCGCCGCCTCCGCCGCCTCCGCCGCCTCCGCCGAGCCTGAGACCATCGTCCCCGAATACGTCGAGCTACCGCTCAACCACTTCGGCAAGAAGGGCTCCTCAGACGGTACCTACTTGAACCGCTTTTGGGTCTCCACCGAAGCGTACAAGCCAGGTGCGCCGGTGTTCCTGTACGATGTCGGTGAGGCGGATGGAGCGCCGTATGTGGCCACCAGGCTGGGCAGAGTTAACGGCACGACGACGAATTCGTTCAGGCAGATGGTGGACAAGTACCAGGGGGTTGGGATTGTGTGGGAGCATCGGTACTGTAAGTTTGAACATCTTATTCTGAACCAGGGTCTCTGTGTTGCGGCGTCATATCTCCAGAACCCTGATTTAAAATGAGACGAAAAGGAGGCAGACTAACATGAGAACCAGACGGTAATTCGACCCCCGGAAATGTGCCTATTACCGCGGACACAAAGCCCGAGGTGTTCAAGTGGCTCAACACTGAACAATCACTGAAGGACATCGTTGCCTTTGCGGACAAGTTCTCGCGCCCCAATATCAACTACACCCTCACGCCAGCCAAGACTCCCTGGATCATGATCGGCGGATCGTACCCTGCCATGCGCACTGCCTTCATGCGTGACCAGTACCCCGACACCATCTTCGCGGGCTTCGCGTCCAGCGCCCCCACCGAGGCCAAGGTGGACATGAGCGTGTACTTTGAGCCCGTCGCACGCGGCATGGAGCGGTACGGCGCAGGAAACTGCTCCAAGGACATCCACGCCGCTATTGGATACATCGACAAGGAGCTTGGTAAGGGCGGAAAGACTGCCGCGAACCTCAAGCAGCAGTTCCTCGGCGGCGGCGCGGAGAAGAACAGCCACGCAACCTTCGCTGATGCGCTGTCCACCATCTTCTGGCTGTGGCAATCGTACGGTATGGACGGGTCGCCCTGGAGCTTGGGTGAGTTCTGCAACTACCTTGAGACGGACCCCGTCAGCACCAAGGTCGCGGACAAGGACGGCTGGGCGAAGACCAAGGGCGCCAAGTTCGTCGTCGACAGGTGGGCGAGCTGGCCCAAGTTTGCGGGCGTTGTCAGCGATTCCATGGACACTGTCTGCTCGGGTGACAAGAACAAGACGGCGGAGTGCAATCTCGACTTGGTCTTCCAGGACCCGAGCAGCGTCAGTTGGACGTGGCAATACTGCACGCAGTGGGGTAAGCTTATTCCCCTTTACCCTTCCGAAATCTTCAGCGAGTAAAGATGCCTGTGAATCACATACTGACCCCCCACGCAGGCTACTTCCAGTCCGCCAACCTTGGCCCCAACCAACTCGTCTCTAAATACAACTCTCTCCAGCACCAACACGATATCTGCCACCGCCAATTCCCGACCGCAAAGGCACCCCTCTTCCCCGACTGGCCGCAGACCGATCGCACCAACGCCGTCTTCGGCGGCTGGGACATCCGCCCTTCGCAACTCTACTGGTCCGGCGGTGAATTTGACCCGTGGCGCACGTTGTCCCCTCTTTCAGCGGAGCCCTGGGCGCCGCACCCGAAGGCGTTCACCAATCCGCCCAAGTGCGGGCAGGGCCAGGACGAAGATGAGATTTTTGGTTATGTGCTCAAGAATGCGCAGCATTGCTATGACTTCAGGACGACGGTGGCTTTGGGGGAGACGAGTCGGGGGTTCTTTTATAAGGCGCTGGATGGGTGGTTGAAGTGCTTTAAGCCAAAGAAGGGCGGGTATTAGAATGGGTAGAGTGGGGTGGATATGATAGATTGGGTAATCACGAATCTTGATGTGACTAATACTGGATTTTTTTCCTGTTATGGTTGGCTTGGGCTGTCTGATGCCAGTTGTGGGATCCATTTAAGTGACGAGTACTGGTGAGGTGGTATAGGGCGTGGGAATGTGACGCGCAGCCTGACAGTGGAGCAAGATGTGCTTTCAATGGGCTATGGGCAAGCCAGGACCCCATCGCGATATCTGAGGGGTCAGACTAATGTTGTCGGAAACTTATCTTATCATTTGGCAAGGGCGCCCCGAACATTTGTTGTCTCAACATTTTGAACGGGCGGACGTTTGCCTTGTCGGGTCCCGGTGCTGCTAAAGACATCTGGGAAGCGTTTGTAGGCGCCTGTAGGAAGCCTGCGAAGAACTAGGATTCGAGGTTGTTCAAAGGCGAGTAACTTCTAGATTGTAGCTGTAGAAGTATTGTATTTTTAATTGTTCTATTATTATAAAGCTCTATAGAACGGATCAGATCCAAAGCCTTCCAACGGGGGCAGCACTAAGCGCTAACGAAAACAAAGACAACTCAGAATGATTGGCCAACACAGCTTTCTGCGAGCCAACGTCGAACGGTAAGTATCGGCACCCATGTCAATCTAATCCAATCGAGCTGACGATCGTGTTCGGACCTCCAACCCCTGTTAGATTTGCAACCACGCCGACGGTCGACAATGACAGCTTCACCGGAATGTGTTCATATATTCTAGCCTAAACGAAACTTCCTCACTCACATTGGCCGTTGAAATAACCAATGGACATCGACATTCGCTCAGAGAAAGCCCGGTGGTTAACCCCAGGCGTCTCAGGGGCGATTGTCTCACCGGTGAGAGGGTCGAGATTACTAAGAGTCGTATCTGCGAACAGCGCCAGAAATGGTTAAACTTTGTCATGTGCCAATTGCATATGATCCTACGAGTCTCGTAGGCTGGATAAATTTTCGAAATGTTCGGTAGGTCTCATGTCCTAGAACCCCTTTGTTCATTCGGACTCATCTCTCGCCAAGCACTACTTAGTTATACATTTATCTGGCCTTGAGTATATTCGGAACGTGCGAAACACAGGCTGAATCATGGTCGACAGTATCTCCGAATCTCGACAAACAGCTCCACCCTTGACCCACAAAGATACAGGCGGAATGTCAATTGCAACATCCGTTGCGCACACATGTTCATATTGTCAAGAGATAGAGATTTGCCTTCCTAGCCAGAGCGACCTCTGGCAGGCACGAGGGCTTGGTGGGAATCAGGGTGCGCACCTAGGCCCTTCCATTGAGGGGTCCCGCGTCCTCGAGGGATCCAAGCACTCATGTAAACTTTTTATATGGGCTCTCAACGGCTTCCGGAAGAAATGTACAAACGAACAGGTGGAGGACTGGAAACTTCACGCTAGTATTCCATTTCATGCTATCGACAGCAACTCGCCTGACTTTAAGTTTATCTTGTTCTTTTGGGCTCTTTGGCCCAACGAGGGTCGTCCTAATCGTTGGGAAAACCTGAGCTTGTTATCCGTTATTGCTGAAGAAGGTAATGATGATCAATCCAAGTTGCCGAAGTGTGCTGACGTGGAATGTATATAAAGGAAATCCCGCAAGCACTATCATCCCTCGCAGGCCAAGTGTGCGAAAGTCTTGGTACTTTGATGACTCGATCCTCCCAGAGTTTATCTCTACGTGCAAAAGAGACCACGCTGTGTGTAACATTTCTCAAGACCATCGGATGCCAACGTATCTCCTTAAGATCCCAGAAGACACTGCTCCTGAAGCATCCATCCAGCTTGTGCACCATGCACCCTGCGTCGGATACGCAGCACTCAGCTATTGTTGGGGCGGTGATCAACGAATCAAACTCACTGTCGAAACTGTGGCGGAGTTTACAACATCTGGAATTCCGTGCTCGGATCTGCCCATGACTATCCAAGATGCTATCACGACGACTAGGAAGCTGGGACTGCAGTACGTCTGGATCGACGCGCTCTGCATCATCCAAAATGATCCGGTCCATACTAGACGCGAGATTGACCTGATGCCTAGTATCTATCAAAATGCTCAAGTCACAATTTATGCCGCACGTTCCAGCACGGTAGAGCAAGGCTTTCTCTCTGATATCTTCGTTCCAGGAAGAGATTCTCACTCTTTCCAAATTCGAATCCGCGGACCGGATAGTCTCTCTCGCCCAGGCGCTCCTGTTTGTCCCTCTGACCTACGAGGAGCTGTGGTATGCTTCAGCGACGATAATGGGTCAAACGTCAACAATCCCATTGAAAAGCGAGGATGGACCTTTCAAGAATTACTTCTCAGTCCACGACTCTTGGAGTTTGGTGCGTATCACACAAGCTACAAATGCCTTGAATTGGAGCTTTGCGATGCAAATTTTGCACAGCTCTATGACGGGCGATCGTCAGAGGCATTCGAGCTTGTACGCGTTTATTTTCATAAGCAACAAATGGGAGGGGACCTGAAAATCTGGGAGACAGCAGTGCGCATGTATACAATGCGACAGCTGACGAACCCTATTGATCGGCCTTTGGCGATTTCCGGTATAGCAGCCGTGCTGGGACGAATGCCGGACCTTCAGGGGAAGTACCTGGCAGGACTGTGGAAAGATGAACTGCCGTTGCAGCTTCTCTGGGAGATTATAGATCGCAGAAAACCTCGGTCAGCGGAGTATCGAGGCCCATCTTGGTCGTGGACGGCCGTAGATGGGACTGTCGCTTTCCTTGATCATATTCCCAATGGGTCACCAGACCGTGATCTACAGATATTGTACACGGCGATCCAATTGGAAGATTCGATCGTTCCACATGGAGCAGTGAGCCAGGGCTCATCAATCACTGTTCGAGGATGGATCATACCAAAGATTGTCGCTGAGGGTGGCAAATCTTTGATAGATATAGGCCACGTCGGAGATGCTACGGATGGCTGTCAAGACGAACCTTCCTCGGTGACTAGATCGAAACCGTGGAGACCAGTAGGTAGATATGGGCCTATGCCGCTGATACATCCCGACGCCATGGACGAGCTTACTGACGGAGCCACGGTATACTGTTTGGAGGTCTACCCTTTCGACGAAAAGACAGATATCGCGCCGTATGGACTTATTCTTGCTGCAGCTGTCGGGTGTGAAGTTGGTTTTAGGCGGATTGGCACTTTCAGGTTCTTCCCAAGAGTAGCGGGAGCGCGCTTTGTAAGTTGTCGACGACATTTGTCAGGATTGCGCGGCTTTTGCACTGGTTTCGACGCTTGACTAACTCTTCCTGGTATTGTAGACGTTGCCAATCGAAGAGGATGACATCGATGTGTACAGAGAGACGCAAAAGACCTGGATGAATGGGGCCGAGCTGAAGGATATCATCATCATATAAAAAGGGCGGGAATGCCTATTCCCTATGAACGTCAAGCTGACCATGGCTAGACATAATAGGCGCGAATAGGTTCATATTTGCTACCCTCAAGCGTCTTTTTCGGCGTAGCAGGAGTGAGGTATCGGTTTGTAGGGTAGCTCCGGATGAGTTAAGGAAGGTAGAATGGGGCTATATAAAGCTTGCTAAGGGAGTATGGAGAATTCTGCGTAGACCAAAGAAGACCTGCGATGATGTTCATCACAGGTAGGAGCAAGCACCATATCGCTCGGAGAACTCAAAACTACCTAACAGGGTGTTGTGCAATATTTAGAGCCAGAATCTTTGGTGACCAACCTCTGACACTTTCATCTCTGGAACAGTGCTTCGACTAGCTAGTCTCGTAATCTTTCCACGCATAGTCTCAGACTGTAAAATGAACAGAATTTAAGACTCATGTTCGGTCTAAGTGCATTTCTCTGTGCATTCTTCTTCAAGTTCGTTTTTCGCGTGATCCAAGCAGTAGACTAGTCTCGTCGCTGCGGAAGTTGAAGTGATTCAATGAAAGCCGATCTACTGAAAGACGATTCCTATCAAAGTTACCGAATCATGCCAACTTATATGTGGTATGGAAGGCAGAATTCCATCCCTTCGTATGACTTAGCAGCGCGGGCTGAACATGCTCTCAGCTAATACTTCCTGTGGAAGCATAGCGCTAGACATAGATGCGCTTAAATGCAAAAGAGGGGGCTTCATGAGCATTATTAGTAGCGTGATGACAATGGTAATGACAATACATCAGGTCATCTAGATTGCAGTATCTCAATGGGGATTCCTTGCCAAGCGGTGGTTATTGGCGAACCAGTCAGCTCGCAAAGAGCCGAAACACAACGATATGGAAGCTGAAGCTTACTGAATCAGCAGTATAGGACCTGAGTAGAAGTAATGCTTAAAAGGGCTCTTGGTGTCGCGAGATTGAGGCAGTTCAATCGATATCTTCAAACCCAAGACCTTTATTCAGACCTTCAAAACGAGCTTCAACTATGCAGGTCTTCGGAATTCTTCTCACCACTATCGCTATGGCGTCAAGCGTTAGTGCAACTCCAGCTCCCGGAAACGCCAATGTTGCATCAGTTGCTGCTAATGCGGCTGATGCATGCATTGTGGGGGAGAACTATTGTGGCTGGTACCTCAAACAATTGGGTGGGTGTTTCTACACTAAGGTATCACGTTTCCAGCGTTAACAGAATGATGTTCAGGATTCGCTCCTACTGTGGACAATGCTTTGTACCATTGCGTAACCCCTGGCAGGGCAGACTGGGTCGCAACCTGCAACAAGTGTGCGGGACCAACCGCTCATTGTGAGGGTTGAGGACGAGTGCTCGTGGAATGATTGTAATGTTGACGGGAACCGCCGATCCTTGGCCTTGGAGGAACGAATGCACGGGAAGATCTCAAGTTGTATGCTTTGGCTAAATTCTTCATTGCTGTTCATCACTAGGTCTTGTTCAACACCAGATCGAGTGAATTGGCACTATCACTGGAAGTCTAGCGTTCTCTCGTTTAGCAACTTAAATATTTTACGCACTTGAGCTCGCGGGACTCTGACAAATGTAATTGTGAAGTCCGTCGCCTCAAGGACAAAGGCATACAATGATCGGTGCGAAAATTCGTGCAACCCGGCTAATAAAGGACTTTTATCGCGGAACGCCGAAGGAAGCGGGCCTTAAGCCTGAAGAGTAGCAGGTACGGACCCATGTCGCTGATACATCTTAACGCTATCAGCAGGCCCATCAAAGGTGCGACAATGCCCTGTTCCAAAGAATATCTTGCCGATACAGAATTTACAAATGGACTCAAGATGCCCATACCGAACGGTGGGATGGATGTCAGACGAACAGGTACCTCAAAATCCATCGGAAGGATCTGTAAATCCTTCCTGCAAGACCTTGCTGCAGAAGACCACCACTCATACTACCCTTCCAAAGTAGTGATATTGTCATGGTAGCACATGAGAATCGAGGACATTGTTCTAGAGACATATAAGGTGATGCAAAGAGCATGGATGGACGGCGCTGATATGAGAGAGGCTACTATGCTCCAAAGGAATGTGAATGGAAATCCCGTCTCCTGTTTTGCAATGCGCAACTAGGAAAATCCTGCTAAATGTCAACCAATAAAAATATATCATATCAGCCATGGAACTCGAATAGTAGTTCGCAAACGAGTGAGACGTTCTGCTCAAATAAGCGAGAACTCAATCAGAATCCGTCATATCTGGGCATGCCTCGACCACGTTCCAGGGCCATCGAGCCATCGGGAACGAGTTTTGCGCCACGTGAAAGTCTTTTCTCACGGATTCTTAGGCACCTTCTAGTTCGAAACGGCTACCACTCACGAGACAACTCATATTGAGGCGTCGCTGCGTGCAGCGTTCGGAGCTGTGTCCGGTGTCTCACTGTTCCCTCATCATGATAATATTCGACATCAATAAATCACGTACACGTTAAGAGCAGCGCCCAGCGGCTCTTTGTTGCACGGAATGTAGCCTTAATATTGCTGGGCGTTTTATACTCCTTAAACTTCTTGGGTGACCACGCCGTTATGAAGCTTCCACATAACATGCTAGGAGCCACCTCGATCGCTCTGGAAAATCGTGGCGGTGTCGTGCAAAAGCCTGCGAATCCAAACAGTCTTACTCTCGAAGCTTGGTCTTCTGGCTACTTGGGTGGCGCTCTGGTTATCATGGCATGCATTACCGTCGCAAACATGCGCAAAGGTGTACTATTGCACAAGGTAGGCGTTCTCAGGAGATTCTCCTTATACGACGACCATTGACCAGATCACCAGCTTGTTCTTCTCGAGGTGTGCAAATTAAGTGCATATAGTTCCAGTCCATCGTGATAACATGAGCAGCTTTTCCTAGCTATATGGCGCAGCTTCTGGCTATTCTTACCCCCGCCCACCTACTCCTGGTGGCTCTCCGTGAGCGGTATGCTTCTTGACGCATCCTGGTCACTCCACAACGTGATTGCCTGGATGAAGGTCACGCCATTTCTCCCAAAGCGTGGCAGCCAGCTCTTCATTGGGACCCTGATCCTTGCGCAGCCATTTTGGGTCCTAGAGGTGTACGCTAACTTCGCGTACTTCCACGGAGGAAGCGTTCTCTTCCTCAAGACCCGGCCGTGGGAGGCTTTATGTCGAGATCCATGGTGGCTCTTCGCCGCTGGGGTGCTCTTCTGGAAGATCAAGACGCAATATGAGATGAGCTTCAAGGAGATCGTCGGCATCTCCCCTCGATTTGGGATCATGATGCTCGCTGCGTTTCTAAGTGTCGTGTTCTTCGTCCTCGACATCGTGTCCGCAACGAACAAGTTGAATCTGGGGCTGCCCAGTGGTATCAATCCGTTCTGGAAGGTTTCATCGGTGTTTAAATGCTTGATGGACTGCGTTATACTGGACGACTTTAGGACCGCGATGGAGCGGTTGCGCGCATACAAAATTAGCCACATTGGGAGCTTTTCACAGGATAACCCTAGGCAAACGCGAGATGATGGTGGTCTTGTGAGAAGGTGGGAAGAGGATGAGGCGAATGCACAACATAACTTGAGAGCCATGAGCTTTGGCTGTGGTGACTGGGTCGAGGTGCATCGCCCTGAGGATGTGGGTTCAAGGGTGAGATGTGCAGAGCATAGGATTCCCAGTCAGCTTCATCGGGAGATGTCTTGGCCACCAAGATTCGGAGCTCAGCGTCCGGAAGGCACAGCATTTAGTGATATTCACTATCTCGAGGAGATCGTTCCTGGTGCATTGGATGAAAATCTGGTGAAGAGGATGGAACCTTCAATGGGAAAACAAGACTTGAAGTACAACGTTGGGTCTGTTAATGGAAGCTGATCAAGGTATTTATGGAGCAAAATAAGGGTTGTAGCTATCTGGATCAGTGTGGAGACTTGATTTACTGTTACGCTGAGTATATATACCCCCTACAGTGATCGAGGCAAATGTTGAGAAGTATCTGTAGTCTACATCCTGGTTCTCTGGAGCGTGAGTTATCTTGAGCTAAACTATGCAGCGATTTGCAATTTGACTTGGTTTATGGAGGCACACACTCCGCACACGTTTCCTCATTTCTGTTCGAGTGTTCCATGACAGGAATGCTCCGCAAAACGCTCCGGAATCATGTGAACACTCTCTGCCCCAATCTCCGCATCCATATCAGCAGTCTCGAACTTTCCCTCCCAATTGGAAATTTCTGATTCCCCCCGGATGATACTGGTTTATCCCCATTGCAATGAAGATGAGTAGTGCATCAAAGATACCCAGGAATATCTCATGACTGCAAATATACCCATGAAAGCATTGAAGGAACTCAATAACTCACACGCGACGGGAGGGAAACTACGAAGCTCGCCGCATATAGTCCGTAAATGTGTTTATTCGAACACGTATCCGGCGCCTGCGCTTTTGGATTCTCTTGTACGCGAGCGCGGAACACTCGAGCGGCGTCAACGAACAGTCCAAAGAAAATGAGCTACACTACCAACCCCACTAGGATGAAGAACTGCCCAGAAGAGATGTTGTCTCCGCTAAGGGCTAGGGTTGGTATCGGGAGCCTGCGTCAGGAACGATAAAATGTCCCCGCCAACGGAGATCTTCGTGAGCTACGTGCGCAGGATGAAAATCTGTGGGTCCGCCCCAAGCGGGAGTATACTATGACCCACTGCCAACAAAGTGGGCGCAACAATGATACAGACAATATGACTATACACACGTCTTGCCGAGGTTCTCGTACGCGGAGTACGCGCAAGCAATGTAGCTGAGGCCGCCGAGTATGAACCAGATCAGGAACCAGGCGCGCGTTCGGAGCATTTGGTAGTTGTGGAGGAAGGTCGTCAAGGCGGAGAGGACGGCGAAGATAATAGCGGCTGCGAGGGAAGGCGTTCGGGTGTCTGGTTGGGAGATTTAGGATGGAGATCATACGCTGGTTGAGAAAAAGAATGCTCATATGGCATAAGAGTACCGCTCGAGTTCCTCGAGAGAGGCATATTGATTGTTGTAGAGGCGACTAGTCGGGCTGGAGAAGCTGTTTTGCAATATGGCGGATATAGTGAATTTTGTCGTGTAATTGGCAAGGACGATAAGGAAATAGCTAAGATGATCTGCCTCTTATCATCGTAAGAAGACTTAATTAATTATCTCCTGCGTTCTAAACTTCTATTCTTGCCAGAACATTACGCATGCGTTGGTACCTGAGGACCACTGCATTTCCTTGGATGGACTCATTCTACACTCTCGGCATCATTCACGACGTATCCGTTTCTTCTTTTAGAGCTTTGTAGTCGAACTGAGTATAAAGCGCGAGAAATACTAATGTTCGTAGAGGAAACTGTACAATACTATACCTAGATTAGAGTGGTGTACGAAGAGGATACACCCCTATAACCTAGGTGAGGGGCGACAACATCAACCCAGTGCATGTCACCACAGCTCCGCCAGATCCCAGTGATGCGTCTCTGTGAGTGAAAGAGAAGCTGATATTTTTGTAATGCAGATGGTTAATTGGGTGTAAGAATCGTAAGGCCTGCGATGTGAGCATTCTAATGTACTATGTCCCTGATTGGTACAGTTTATGCGAATTCTATGGGGCAAATAGCATTTCTTTGCTGGGATTGGGATAGGAGATGTTGTTGGCTTTCGAACACAATAGTGATTGTTGGGTTCCCAGTCTCGTCCTGACGACGCTTCTCCACCCTTTGAAAATCCCAGGCCGTATAAATTTAGATGCGAATGTAGATTTGTGTCTAATAATGGCAGTCACGAAGCAGGTGGTATTACGAGAATTCCATGTTAGTATGAACGACCTTTTGTCCGTAGACACTGTTGAGAATTGTGGATCTTCTCAAGTCTAGCCCTTCTTGGCTTTACCAGTGTTGTACTTCAATTAGGGAAGAGCCCTGGCCACCTTGTCTACAATTTCCCGCGCCTTTGCACTGCTTGGATCCTTGTGCCCCAGTTTGCTGTTATTGGGGTTCCTCTATACAGTGAGCTTATGAGTGAAGAGCACACCAAGTACACCAATAATCTCGTATGTGCCATGTTTCTCTGTGTTAGATTGGCGTCAGCCTGCTTCCTCCTCTCCTCAAGTGAGTACTAGGAAACATTCCACTGGCCCTTTGATGTTGAAGCTTCTTGTACAGCCAACTTAACTTTATGTATGATTGTCTCGCCATCGCAGGTGTAGAGGAACATGTTTAGGCTCCGTTGGTACATTGAGAGGAGGTTAGTCAACGCAGTCCCTATTGTCTCCTTGCTCGTGAAAAAGAATGGATGATGATCACCATCGGGAAGGATCGCGGTACATTCTTGAACATCCTTCGACGCTAATGCGTTTAAATCTGTGGAGTAAAATATCAACAAAAGCAACACAAAATGTAGCAGAGAATGAGCTTACTGAGGAACATGTTACCCGTATGCAAGGTTGCAAGATTAGTTTTGCCTTTACCGGATTGCGCAAGTAGGTAATTATGCACGACGCTCTTCATCTTAATGATTGGGGTCGGAGGTAAAGTGTCCGGGCCGATCCAGTTAACGGTTGCCCCATTGCCTCACGCAGTATCCGGTCCCCATTCTGGAGGAACAAATAGCTTGACCCCAATCTTCCATAGCAACGTCGATAAGCTTGAGCTCAACGCTGTGTATGGTGCCATAATAGTGTGGACGATCATCGCATTGTTGTATGCCAATGCGTTGACTGGACCCGTGTGGTCCGATCCTCTTGATAATGATGTTCCTGGACGGGTGCTGTATAATGCAGGGTCCTGGCGCACAATAAAGGTGATAGTGAGCCTCTGGGCCGATGCGACATGTTGTAAACTCGTTGATCCAAGTCGGCCAGTCTACGGACGTAACACATCTCTTAGCAAGTATCGACGCAGAAGACCCCTCTTAGGTTACGCACATCCTACTATGCCATGTTGACAATGCTGAAGACGTTACTCATCATGACTTGAGTCCTGAATGCCGATGGTGTATTCTTCGGATGCCTTGATGCGGAACATCTAGCTTTCATGGTTCAGCTCGATTGCAGGTACAAAGCGAGTTTATAGTCGTTTGAAGCTTGTGTAATCTCGGCTTTTCTCCTGTCTTGATTTCACGTAGGCCAGATAGTACCTTGGTAGTAGAAAAGGTGGTGGTCGGATTGTTTCATAGCATGGCACTATTTCCAGATTTGGCTCAACTTGCGATATGCATTTCCCAAGCTCATCTGTGTGGAAAAATGAAAAGAGTGCAATTAACGAAAGCAACGGAATCATGCGCATTATTGTCTTACCTCAAAAAGGCGTGGTTTGGCCATGAGTAATCACCTTGACTTAGTAACGAACCCGCGTACGGCTTGGGGCTTTTGGGTTGGGCATTGATGATAGTAACCCTCCAACTAATCGCCGCATATACGATTTGACCGATATATTTAGTGGTCATGTTAAAATTTTGTGCCATACTTCGAGGTGCTTGCGAGCCTTGACGAGCTAGTCTCCTGGACCTGCTGGTTAAGCATATTCGGTCCAAGCAGATCAAAATGGACCCATGCATCTCCCGCAATGACAATTCACTATCCAGTAGGAGACATCGGCACATCTATGAAGTGCAATGTAGCAAGCTAGAGAGAATAAGTCTCGGTTAGCTGCCCTGCCCTCAATTTACTATATGTGTACCCTATGACTTGTTCGGCATTCGAAGCGGATCGCGCACATAACCTAGAACTGCTACGGTTAAAGCACTATTACAGACCTTGACTACTTTACCCGTGCACAGAACAGCCCCTACCTGACGTGTATAAAAGCATTGACATAACATCCAATAAGTTGGCCGACGCTTTCCTCGGTGCAACAGGACGACAGGCACCCATGGGCATACTGGCCTGCGTAATACAGCCCAGATCCACCATTCAAGTGTTCACTCCGAACCCGGCGTGAGGGGCCGCCAGAAGATCTTTGGAGCAGCATGTGTCTTCGCTTTGACAGGAGCCTTTCTAGAGCGGATTTCTCCTTTGTGAAGGCTTTACTTTCCTTTTTTCCAGATAGAATCCCGGGGTAGGTAAATAGTCCAGAAAATTCGTTGGGCATCAAGCAAAGATTGGAAATGGAAACCCTGACTAGATGTGCAGTTGCTTCAGGTCGCGTATCTTTAGCTTTCGCCTCGTCAGTCGCCTTCCGTGGTCATCGGTACCGAATTCTAATAGCGTGCTGCTAACTGCAGATCATGCTTGTAGCCTTGCTCTTATCGTGTTTCGCTTGACACGCGCACAATAGAGCCCATCTCAGTCGGAGCGGACATCTTTTGCGTCGCCACGAGCACAATGTATAACACCAACCCAACACTCGGATTGAGTATCGTCCTTGCGCTAAGAACGGCTGTTTCTGTGCATGTCGTATGGCAGTGGCGGCGTTTGTCCCACATCCCTAGGCCTTTCTCGGCATCGCTCTCCAAGTGGTCGATGCTTAAAGAGTCATTGAAGGGAGAGCAGTCAAACTCATTCCAGGTGTTGAATGATAAATATGGTGAGATCGGCGTTGCCCTATGATGGCCCGCATTGACGCGCGGTGAAGGATCACTGGTTCGTGTTGGACCCAATGAGCTCATCACGAGATCCAGACGCTCTGCGAAAGATGATGGCGGTTCGATCAGAATATAAACGAGATCCTTGTGAGAGAAAAACTAGCTTACAAAACCGGCTCGAAAGACTGAGAAGCCGCAGGGTACAATGGGATGAAAATCGATCCCTGACGCGACAGGCTGTTCTCGATGCGAGACGAAATTGCGCACAATCAACTGCGGATCAAGATGGCCGCTGGTGTAAGTGTAAGTATCTTCTGTGGTTTCCAAGGCTGAAGCTTTGAAACGGCAGTACTCCGGAAAATAAAACGAATCTATGGAAGAGTCAATAGATGGGCAGATTGAGGAGTTCGTCCACTTATTGAACGAAATTTGTCTGTCAACAGACGAGAAGTGTCGACCAAAGGATTTCGCTGAGAAGAAATCCTTCCTTACACTGGATGTGATGAGCAAGCTAGCTTTCGGGGAAGCGTTCGGCTATCTTGACCAGGACAGGGACGTCTACGACTACCTCAACACAACAGCGACGTTTATCCTGATCATAATGGCACTTTAAAATCTGCCTTGACTAGCGGATCTACTTCACTCGCGCCCTCTCCGAAAACTGATGCCGTCAGACAGTGACAGACTTGTTTTTAGTGCTTTCATTGGGTAAGACATCTACAGGATCTAGAAACAATCGATGCTGACATTTGCATCAAGCGTCGTGAAAAGGGTCGTGACCGAGTGATTCAGTCCCACAGCCGGATCGCGACGCGACATGCTGGGTTCTTTCATCCGTCATGGACTCACGCAAGAAGAAGCATCTGGCGAAGCTTTGCTGCACGTAGTCGCTAGTAGTGACACATCCGCAGCAAGACTTCAAGCTGTGATGTTGGGCATTCTGACCTATCCGAGCACGTACAGAAGGTTGCAATCAGAGATCGACGACGGAATTAAGACCGGAACCGTCTCAGGCCTGATACGGGATTCTGAGGCACGCCGATTGCTACATCTCTAAGCGGTGATCAAAGGACTACGACTTATGCCACTAGCCTCTGGGGCATTCTTCAAAGAGGTGCCGCCAGCCGGAGACATAATCGATGGCAAGTTCATTCAAGGAGGAACGCAAATAGGGTCATCACCGCTGGGCGTACATCATCCCAAGAAGATTTTCGGACTGGACGCGAATCTCTTCACCTGAGAAGTTCGCCGAAATGGTGAGCACAGTTGATCTCGTGTTTCACTTTGTAAAATTTCAGTGCCCTGGCAAGAACTTCGCTTTGATGGAGGTCAGTTCTCTGCTTATTTGTTAACAAGATTGGAGCTGATCGCATAGTATCTGTTACCGCGATTCGACTTTTCTATCACTCGGCCCGACAGACCAGTCAAAGTATCGAATGCGGTAAGATCGAATGATCTTCCCGCAAGCATTTTTAAGTTGACCAAGCACTGTAGGGAATTTGGATTATGAAAGACTTCTGGCTTAGGATCGAAAAACGGGTCTAGTAACGAAAAGAGGGGAACCCCTTGCGATTGACCTTTCACATTCGCTGCCAGTCTCTCCTGCACAATGAAGGAATATCGAAATCCCTCATCTTTGTCTCATTGATCCAATGATCATCTAATGCTTCGTGGTCGGGTGAAGCATTGTATCATCTCCTATGTCCTTCTTCCTCCGCAGTTCTAGCAGTTCCTTGTACACCCAAATCGGAACGGTAAGACCGCCGGGCTCTTATAACCTCCAGCTCCCACGCTCCTCCCACCGACGATAACGTTATCTTTGTGACTCGTGGCCGATCCGAGATTAAACCAATTCACATTCGCGACTCGATCTCATACGTCAAATGCAGTTCATTTGATTCGCGATATATGATTTTGAAACCCTCCGCCGGCAATCCTTTTGGCAAATCATACGCAAACTCGCTGAAATCATCAGATGTGCTGCTGGCGATTGAGTTCAAATCGATGTACGAAGACTTGTGGGTTCTGTTATGTCTACTAAGATGAATATAGCAAACTCATATAGATAATAATGTTATGGAGCACCAAACAGGATAATGGTCTAATTAGTGTAATTGTAGATTGCGGACGGCTTCGGATGTTGCCTAATACCCGAGCATACGCTATGACCGTTTTCAAGTCACATTGGGTATAGCATATTCGGAGGTTGCCTAAGCTCCGAGCACGAGCTATCACCATCTTTTTCAACTCATATCGTGCATGGCTGACTGGACGACGATGTAGAGCATGGGAAACGTTCCCAATACCGGAATTTGTTTGCCTCCGATGTAGATATTGAGGGTGTCAATTGCGAAGTATTTAAAATATTAAGAAGCCTCCATAGCACATATCAGTAATTTACACGAAGATAATTAAAATCGGAAAATCGCTTGGTTCAAATCAAGTACTCGAGATTGATATCGAAAATGTCTACAGATACCCAACCCAAGATTCTCATCATTGGAGGTGGAGTGGGTGGCTTGACCCTTGCCCAAGGCCTATTGAAACACAACATCCGTTTTCATGTCTTCGAACGAGACGAATCTCAGTCATTTCGCGCCCAAGGCTACCGAATTCGTCTCGATGGAGACGCTGTCTACGCGCTAAAGGAAGTCCTTCCACAGCACACGTGGGAGAAGCTGGAGGCAAGCGCGGCTACAGAGCGCGAAACATCCGGAATCACGAAACTGGACGCTCTGTCTGGCGAGGAAATCATGTTGGGCCCTGGTGGCGGGCCGCCTGGAGGCCCAAACGGTTCGAAAGGCATCCAAGGACGGCGACATGTTAATGAACGACCAATGGCTGTTGATCGGACCGTCATGCGAGAGGTTCTTCTTTCTAATCTTGGGGAGAGCATCTCTTTCGGCAAACAATTTGAGAGATACGAGATCCACGAATCCAGTGTCACTGCACACTTCACAGACGGGACCTCGTTCAAAGGTTGCTTTCTTGTTGGCGCTGACGGGGTGAACTCGCGCGTGCGCAAGCAATATTTGCCCCAGCTTTCAATAGTTGACACTACTGGTCGCTGCATTTACGGAAAAACCATTCTCACGCCATCGCTGTGTTCTTCGATTCATCCAAAAACCCAGAGCGGAATGGTCTTGATCCAGCAAAGCGATCCAGACGGAACACCTCTAACGCTATTTCTCGAATCAATGCGGTTTTCCAATCCTGATGTTGTACTCATTCCGAACTCTAGAACTGGGGTCAAGGAGACAGTCCAAGATTACATATACTGGGTCCTCTTGTCGCAAGAGCACATCTTCAAGAACAAAACCGCCGATGTTGTTAGTCTTTCGCCCATCCAAGCTGCCGAAGTATCGAACGAATTGACCAAAGACTGGCACCAAATCGTCAGGCCAATAATCACGCAGCAGGACAAAGCTTCAGCTTCGGCTGTGCGCATTGTTACCGCTCTTCCAGACATGCCTCCCTGGATACCCTCCAGTCTAATCACCGTACTGGGGGATGCAGCGCACCCTATGCCTCCAACTGCAGGTTTAGGGGCTGTTAGTGCTTTGAAGGATGTTCAGAGCCTTCTCGCTGTCATCAACAGGGGAATATCTGAGGAAAGCATCGCGATATACGAGGAAGCTATGCGCAAGTGGGCTTCAGAGGCTATAAGAGGGAGTAGGGCCGGTGGGGTTAAGCTCTTCGGACAGGCCGAGTTCTCTCAGGCTAGACCTATAGAGTTCTAGTTACTATGAATTAGCTTTGAATTCGTCCTTTAATTGGTAAGGAGGTTTCATTCAATATTTTTGCTACGTAATCCAGGTGGAATAACAGTGCCTCACATCAGACATAGGCTCGCAACTAATGTCGAGGTTGCGATAGGCTAAGCCGATCTATAGATACAGTGGTCTAGTTGACTATAATATGCACGGGACAGAGACCTAGGGTACTTATTGTAGATATGTCGACTCAAAAGTATCATTCACGCGCCGGGGGGGAGGGGGTTTGTTTCGGAAACTAATACCGGTACCGGTACCTAGTACGTAAGCAGGAAAAAGCGGGATCAAGAGCCCGGGTCGTGCCTTACGCTTCTACATCATAACCCTCAATCGTTTCGACGACATCGCCGATATCGATACCTATACCACCATAGCGCTGTATGTCTCTTCGATCGAAACTGTGAGGGCCCTGATAAAGGAGGACACAATAGCGAGGAGGACTAGAAAATATGGGAAAACTCTTCTTCTGGCTCAAGAGACATGGCTAAAAATGAGTTCCTGATGAATAATCCAGGCCACGACCAGGTTCCGTTCGGAGTTTGCAGTGGATCAAAATGTAATGGTATCTAAAACTTCCGAGGTTGCCAAGTGGAACTGAAACTGAACTCATGCCTTCCATTTCACGAAGAATGAATTTCGAATTTGTTCGTCGGACCGAGAGACCAATATAATTCTGCGCCGCTAGTATCGATTTTCGATTTACCGATCATGCTGGATTCTAGTTAGTAAGATTGCCTTGGTACCTTCCTGGCTTTAAATTCGAGCTTTACAGCATAGTCCAAAGTTGCGAGATCTGCCGCCCTTGATGGCCACGCGCTGAATTCGAGCTGGCGACTACCATCGCCGTAGTGCAGATGCACTTCGGTAAGAAGTGGTGTAAAGTAAGAGTACCTTTTTGAGTAGGGTTTCTCGACCCTTAGCTGGTATTGAACTCTGCCGGACCATCCAGTCCAAGACCAGCCGTGATTCCAGTCCAATCCATCAATGAAATACGACCAGGCTCGAACCGGGATGCTTATAAGGACTGTGAATGAACGGTAAATCATACACGTGGTAAAACTCAGTGCTCCCGCCTTCCACTGCGTGCTATGTGAGATGTTCGAAAACTCCCCGTATCGCATTTGAGGAGTTTTGCTTATTCGTAAGCTTTCGACTTGAGTACTCTTCGATGCATGTGACGTATTGCAAGAATAGGCGGGGAACGTGTAATTTGTGTTTGGCCATATTTCTGAACGGCAGCTTCTCATTCCACCCGAACATTTTTGCTTGCATACAATCTAGCATCTTTGACCTGTGTTTGACGTGGGTTATTTCTAGCGGCGTAGTGAGGCTCTCATAGCAATTTTCCGCATTGCACTCGAAACAAACTTGTTCGCCGGTAAAACGAGCCGACGGCGACTCAGTACTGCCTCTTGAAACGTCCAGCCCCTCGTAAATCAAGTCTATCTGCGGATGGCGTCTTGTGGATCCGTCATACTCCATATGAATTGGTAGCGGCCCGAGGATGCTATCCGTTGTTGGCTCCTTGGCTGCGAGCTCACCCCTGGAAGGCCATAGGAGCTGTCTACACCGGCGGCAGCGACGAGGGTGAGTCCCGAAGACTCATATACAAGGTCCATGTTGAGTATCTGCTCACGCTTTGCATCGCACAGATACCTCAGAGTGGTACTGTACTGGAGATGTTTCAAAATGTGTAGATAATGACCGTGTAGATTATGACCGTGTAGATAATGACCGTGTAGATAATGACCGGGTAGAGGTAGGTGTGGCACATGGTAATGCCACTTTCTCAGCCATGAAGTCCCCATACAGCGCTAACGTAAGTTCAGTAAGCGCCTACCCGAGCGACCATGCGCTTAGGAAGACGCTTACCTGATATCTATTAGTGCTCGGCAGGGCTAGCCGATTGCTGCGCAATGACGGCGCCGGTCGGATGACTAAGGTGGCGTGACAAGCTGTAGGCTTTTGTTAATCGGCGACGTTGAATATCGGCGACACATTACTCGATTGATCAGGAGCTTTTCGGGCGCTTATATCGGCGAACTTGATCGCATAGATGTTACGATAAATACTAAATGAGAAACCTTTTCTAGATGATAAGTTCTTACCAACTATAGGTTCAACTATTCTAGCATCCCATACCCGCATCTGGGTCTACATACCATTATTAGGATCTGGTCTCGCATACCTTCATTGAGAACTACCAAAAATCGAAGAACGACACACAAACTTGGTAGTAACAAACCTCTTTTATCCGACATTATGTGCTTTCCAGCGAAGTGTAAAGTTTGCAGTAAGTATTATCTAGCATCTATATCCCGAAATGTTGCCTATGCTCATACGGATTGATTAGACAAAGCTTCTTGGCAGGGTTGTGGTCAGCATGTACCCAGGGTTATGAAACAAATTCCAAGCGAAGAATGGTGTACATGTGAACCTCAGGTCGAACGAGAAGGGGAGAAGTACCCCCCAAAAGCGCAATAGTCAATGTTTTGCGATCTATACGTGTGTTACGGAGGCTAGGACAAGAACAGCGTTGGAACAATCAATGTTGCGTTATATTATTGCGGTGTACACAGAGTGACTCATATATTCTCATTATATATAGCTGTATTTCCTACTTTTCGGGATTATAGAACTATAACAACTCTAAGTTCCTACATATCCTAAAGTCCTTGACAAGCTCGAGCCGTACGTTTCCTTGATACTAATAAGGAGCGTTTATGCATGCAATCGAGCAAGTCATAGGATTGGTACGTTATTTTCCCGTATCTCATAGGATTACCCAGGGTAAAAGGAGATTGCGATTGACTAGCGCAAAGGTAAGGTCCACTTCTCTGAAATGATTACTCTCTATTCAAGTGAGTTGATCTCTGAGCGCTTCTCCGTACCTTCGAAAGTGGTTTGAGAGTCCACTTCTTGTCCTGGCATTTTCTTACGCAGCACCTGCGGCAAAGATCGCTGCTAAGCTACCTACAATAAGTCCTACTACTAATGCCGAGCCGACAATAATACTACCTCTCGAAGCCGGGAATTTTCCTTGGATCACATAATGTTGTGCCTCGAAATACCGGTGGAATCCAACAAAGAGCATCAAGATGCTGACTCCAATGAATGCTGTACCTAACGACTTTCCTAGACGTCGCATCTCGTATTGCGAGTGCGTTCGCGAGTCCGCGGTGGCGTTTGTGGGTTTTTTGGAGGTGTCGAATTCCAGGGAACAGTTTAGACGGAAGAGTTGGGTTATCGCTACACCAATGGACGCAAGAGAAAGCGATGTACGGAGCCAGGCTAGAAAAGTACGTTCTGTAAAGGTGTCACAAAAGTTGCTCACTTACTTCCACCTGAAGCAGGGAAAGACGCACCTAGGGCCAGATAGTACCTAGCAACACTGCCCTTGTTCTCTAGTTCTACACTCCCCCATTCCCCCCAGAATCTGCTCCACCGCCCTGCGTCTCTTTTTACCGTCTCTCCTGTCCTTCTTTCGATATTTCCTATATGCTGTTGCGCTGGGCTTCTCTCCACAACTTCTTCGGTACTTTCATGCGTCGCAGTTACGTTCGTTTCCGAATTAGAGGCTTCGGCGTTGCGAGAGTGGACGGGCGATGTACAATCGACGTCTTGAACGGCGGAGTTTACAGGAGCTGGTACCTCAGCGCGGTGTGCATCCGCTGGGAAAGATGAATCCTATCTGTTGTTAGTGTAAATCTTCCCCAACGTGGAGCACAAAGATTATTCGATACCGATCAATAGTATTCGCCTATTTACGATCCCCTGTCGTCTTTCCAAGTAGATTCACCAGCGCTGTTGGTTTCATTTACACACCTATCGTTGTTGTAGGTGGAGTGCGTGTGTTTGCACACGTTTGTAGACAGCACTGGCATGACGTCAACACTAGGCTTAGATACGGCCTTAACCCTTATGGCTGGGCTGCGGATGTTGTGACAATTTGTGTGACGATTTTAGGACCGTAGGTATCGTGGAATGGAAAATATTTTGCAATGGAAAATATTGAAGGTTTACTGAAGTTGTATTACTGCGATTCTAACTGAACTACATAGCCATAGTGAGGTGATCGTCAGGGGAGTTAGCCTATTCAGAGTTTCCTGATTCAGTAGCTGAATTATAACGATTGTCGCGATCCTCAGGAGTCCATGAGGACTCGGTCCGAATAGGATCGATAGTAATGTAGATTGAACTGCGACAATTTGTGAATGTGTCAAGAGTGGCGAGCGTGAAATCTTATAATCCAAATCTGGAGCTCAGTCTAGTGACAGTATAATACTACGCTCATTTGCTTATAACTAACGAAGCTTACTTCTACCAAATCGAAATCTTCATAGAAAAATGCTACAGAATGAGGATATACCAGCAGAATAACTGGGTTTCGGGGAACACAAATTATTTCGTTGCGCAATAGGTGATAGACATAGATATTGCGTCGGCCATGGCGATTAACACGTGATTAAATGTCAACATGTGAAAAGATTGAGCGGGTGTTCGATCGCTCGAATTACCAACTTTGCAGACCTTATCATGTAAAGCATTTATTCGAACTGTCATCTATATGCGCAAACAAGATTGGCCCATTATTAAAATCAAATCTTCTGCAGTTTCAATTTGTTCGACGTGAACATGTTCATGGCAGATGAACGTTCTGAAGACACTCCCTACTACGAAGACACTCACCTAGTCCAAAGACTCAGGGACCTTCAATGGAATGATGAGAAACCTATATCCCTCTGTATTTCTCCGCGGCAAGCGGCCACCACGGATATTGACCTGAAGGGATTGATGTAGCAAGCGCGGTTCAGAGAGCGCAACATCCCTCTCCGTCCTCCATGTAACGAATTGGTCTTCTGAAACACCATTTCTGACGTGCTTGTTCGTTAAATTCTGTTCCTTCACCGTTGTATATGCTTTCCACTTCTGACCGTGCTCCGACAGTGCACGCGCTTCAGGCGGGTAGTCGTGTCCTGTGTAAAGACGATAATCCGGCGGCAAAGAAAGTAGCTTCTGCATAGAGCAGAAGAGTGCATGCGCCGAGCCACCCGGAAAGTCGCAACGCGCCGAGCCTACGTCGGGATTAAAAATAGAGTCTCCGGTGAAGACGCTTTCGCCGATTACGTAGCCAACGTGGTCTGGTGTGTGACCTGGAAGGTGTAGCACATAGGCCTCGATGCTGCCGATGGAAAACCGCTCGTCGTCGTCGAACAAGTAATCAAAAGCGGACTCCAATTCAGGTGAGCTGATGCTATAGCGAGCCGCTAGTGTGTGCTGCACGAGTTGGATTCTCTTGCCGATGCAGACATCGGCACGGGGCTGCCCACGATTAATAAGCTGTTGTTGCAGGTACCGAGAAGCCGTGAGGTGGTCCGCATGTACATGAGTCTCGAGAATTCGCGTAACCGAATATTTCTGTTCATCGATGATGGACAAGAGCGAGTCGGCTGTGGCGGTGCTTAAACTGTTGGAGGCTGGATCGAAGTCGAGGACGGAGTCGATTATGACAGCTTCGCGGGTCTGCGGATCGGCAACAATATATTGCCATGTGCTGGTCTTCGGCTCGAAGCATGGGTAAATCTCAGGTGTGTTGGACATGATCGATGGAAAGATTCGGCAGGGTGTGAGTGTAGAGTATATTGGTGTACTTTTCTTTGACTTTGTACATTCTCGCTATCGAACAGTAATGTCGCGTAATGCATGCGAGTCGATATTGTGACAACCCGCTGCGTCATAGCGCAACGGTTTTGATCGGCGACTTTCACGACGGCGACTGTCGCGACGGCGACTTCGGGGAACGGGAATTAGTCTATCGCTGCGCCACCAGCAGTCCTCAGGATACTCCTCTTTAATATAAGTTCGACGTACGCAACGTTTGTACCTCGTTATTGTCATCATACTTGTCATCATTCTTACCATCTCCCCTGACTTAATAACCCTCTTGGCGCCACCACTGTACTTTTCTATTTAAATGCATAAAATCTGAAAGCAAGTATCTTCAAAGAAGTTGATGCAGATTATCTAAGTGATGGCGGCAACCGGTTCTACACGATTGATCTCACATTTCCAGACCAAGTAAGCGTAAGCCGCGACTGACAAAAGTTGTACATTGGGGCTGACACACAGTTAGAGAACAGGAGCAGTATGGCGCAGGCTGGTCAGAGCTTTGGGAGAAGGGTGAAAGCAATTTGTGGGATAGAGGGTTTCCTTCTCCGGCCCTGACCGATATCATTGCTGAGCGACGAGATATACTGAGTCCGCTCAATGTAGACGGGAGTCGAAAGAGGGTTTTGGTCCCCGTAAGTTGTACGACGATTTCTGTGTGACGATTCTTTCCACTTACGACCGAAACAAAAGGGCTGTGGCAAAGGCTACGATCCAGTCATGCTTGCCCTGCACGGTTTCGATGTTTTGGGTTTGGAGATATCCAAGACTGCTGTTGCGGTGGCGGAACGGTACAGTTTCGAGCAAATGCAGAATCCATCGTGGGAAAATTTCGCCAAAGGAGAAACAAAGGATGCAGGGGAGCGAGGAACTGTCAGTTTCGTCGCTGGGGATTTTTTCGCAAAAGATTGGGAAGCAAGACTGCCGGACGACCAGAAGAAGTTCGACCTCATTTACGATTATACAGTGAGACGGTCCTTATTCTATATTCCGAAGCGTACGTGCTGACTGTTCCAGTTTCTCTGTGCCTTACACCCTAGTATGAGACGCCCATGGGCAAACCGTATGGCTGAGTTGCTCACACCAGGCGGTTTACTTATATGTCTAGAGTTCCCACTGTGGAAGGATGTAAGGCTACCAGGCCCTCCTTGGGGCCTTCAGGGTGTTTACTGGGACTTGCTGGCCTGTGGAGGCAATGGGCTGATTAGTGAGGGCAGAGAAGACACCCCCCCTTCAGTGAGCGATTGTGTCCAATTTGTGCGTGAGCTATATACGAAGCCGGAAAGATCCTACGAGCAAGGGAGAGGAGAGGACATGCTTAGCCTATGGCGAAGACAGGGACAGGAGGCGGTATTTTGATTTTATCCACGGTGATTAGGCAGACGGGGTGGGTCATATCGACATTACTTCGCCGGTTGAGTTGCATTTCATACTAGAACGAAAGCTTTTCGCTTAAACTACTGTGTACAAGGCCAAGCTTTCTACGCATATCTAGTGCCTCTTGTCATTCTACGTGAATGGGGATCTAGCAACTGGAGCCGAATAACATAGAATGTAATACTTTTAAATATAATCTATGCAAGTCCTTCCATTATATATAGGTAGCTATGCTTACTTCTAAAGACGGCGTTATTATTACGATTACATAGAAACACGATAGGGCCTGTCATGAGAGCAACGAGTAGAGACGTCTGCGGCCTAGTAGTAGGCTGCAGATTGATATTACTGCGTGCGGTATCTACGTGTATGTACAAGACGTTGGATAAGGAGAGAAGGTCCTCTTCCCCTTAGCCAACGTGGATCTATCATCTTGCTTCGTCGCGTGCCCTTACCAAGGGTAGCTAGCGCCATGATTCGACCTCAGCTAGTAGACGGGTCACCCGTATGCTGTTCTATTGGCTGGCCGCCAGCGCGCGATATCTCTGAGATATACTACTGCCAGCAGTATATCCATGCTTGTGTCAGATTCACATAGTGATTTAATGAATATCGGTGATCTGGAGATGAGATGGATTGATTGTTCAGTGTGTTGGCCGAGGTTCTATCTAGGGCGCCCTTTTGTGTGGGTCTTGGCAGATAACCTATCCTAGCCCTGTTTCGGCCAAGTCTCGATATCCTGCCTCCGGCCTCCGCCCCAGCCATCTGATAACAACACTGAGATACTCAGAACACGCCCTTATATCTGACACACCCCCTCAGCTCGGTGCGATATCGCTCCCTGAGCTGATTAATTGGGCGATTGATCGTCAGAGTACTCGGTGAAGGTAGTCCTATATCTCGTTAAGTGGTGCAGTTCTTGTCACCTCTATACTCGTCACGTCAACAAGACCTAGTTGATCGAGCAGGCCTTACCATTTATTGGCCGGCAATACCTTGGTGAGTCCATCGGCAATCATATCGTCCGATCTGATATACTCAACGGTGATTGTTCCAGCGGCGACCTCTTGTCTCAGCCAGTGGGTGTGGATATCCACATGTCGAAGCTTGGTCTAGAGTTTTGATACTTCCTGGGTTACCAGCCGAATTGTCTGTTTGTTATCACATTGGATTGTAATTGTGGTGCTGGGCAGGTTGATCCTTAGCTCCTTTAATAGTCGGGAGAGGTACATTGCTTCCTTAGCCACTTACGTGAGGGCTAGGAGCTCTGCCTTAGTCGTCGATGTTGTAATGGTATCCTGTTTGTTTACTTACTACGCGATTAAGCCACTAAATAGCTTAATTGCATATCCTTGTAAGCTTTTCCAATCCAGAGTATTGTTAGTAAATGAGGCGTTACTAGCGACCTAAAGGGTATCTCCGCCTCCTAGCTATAGGGCCTTTTGCCTTATTGCTCTAAGGTAGAGGAGTACTCGATTAGCTATATTATGGTGCTCTTGGCCTGGGTTTATAAGGAATTAGGCTAATCGTAATATGGCGAAAGCGATATCTGGGTGCGTTATTATGGTGGCAAATAGTAGGGATCCGATCTTCTATTAATACTTATTAACCTCTAATAGTAAGGCTAACCCTATGCGGGGCTTTAGCTCTACATTAGCTATAGGCGTATTATGTTAGTAGTCTATTTTATCAATCAATCATTAGATCTTTTTAATATATATGGCTTGCGATAGCTATATAAGGTTCTAGTCTCTCTATTAGATGACCTCTATGCTGAGAAACCACTATAGGTTATCACCTCCAGTCATAGTGTATTTATTTTATAGTAGGTTAACTGCTTTAGTTGCTACTACCTCCTTGTTTATAATGCTGTCCTTAATCACGCAGCATGGCTCATGTGGTACTATAGTAAAACTAAGGCTCTCTAGTATTGTAGTGAACTCCTTTTACTAGAGCTTAGGTGTGATATAGAGTCTATAAAGTGCCTTTTATAGCTTAAGGATGGTACCTTTATATTAGTATCCTACTAGCATCTTTATATAGACTTCTTAATTAAGTAGAGCATGTATGAAGGCATTAGTAACGTTATACTACTTAAGCTTAAGATTGTACTTAGCTGTGATTGCCATGAGTATACAAAATGAGTGGCTAGCTAGTATTATGGCGTAGATATCTTGTATGGTGATATTCTACTACTAATTACTATGGATGATAAGTCAAGCCTTACACTTTAGGAACTAATTATACTTATTTAGCTTATAGGTGTATACCCACATATAGTTGAGGATTTAGTGGCCTACCTATTTAATTGGCCTCTATTAAATCTTAATCCATAATTTCATCTAATAATGGCTAGTAAGATGTACGCGCTTAGCCTCCTTAAACTTATTATATATGGGATGATTGTTAAGTCGTGTACCCACTATAGGAAGTGGAGGTAACTCGTTTCTATAAGGCTTAATGCCCTTAGTTAATAGTCGTCTAATCTACGCCTTATTAAGGTGTTTACCCTAATAATTACCCACGCGACCTACCTGGGTACCTACCATGAAGGCGGCTACCTATGGCGTAGTTTTCATAGTTACTAGAGTAATAGTTAATTACTAATCGCGTATAACTAGTGGTATATTTTTATTAGAGAAGAGTTGCGCTAGTAGGGTCACTAGTGGCGGCGTTAATGGTGGTAAT